AGACAAATCAGGATCAAGACAAATCAGGATCAAGACAAATCAGGATCATATAGCTTCACATGTTATAACTGACCCCCGCTAGACTGTTTCTTTCCCTTGCATACCAAACAGCAATACTTATCTTGGCTGCGATGGCGAAGGTCGAACACCGAAATTCCCTGACAATGAGCATTTCCGCTTCTTGGAACGTACTTCAGATCCTGAACAGGAAGAGTCTTAATTTCAACGATGAGTCAATGATCTCTGTCACCCTTTTCGTCATCGCAGATCTGAAACCGGCATCATCTCAAATATAGACTGCCCAGCCGTTAAAAGACAGATGTAGAATGTAGATGAATAAGTGTGCTACAAGAACTGTGGCGTTAGATCAAAAGTTTGAAGTCGTTTAAGAACGTGTACTAATGCACGTAGATATGCGCTACATACAACTTTCCGCCTAATAGCGATTGTTGTAGCTTTGATGCAATAGGTCGAAACTTTGTTCGCAAGTGCGAAAAGTCTGTGGTCTTGGCATAGCGTGTTGATACAAAGCCTATGAAACGAAGTGACTTGATGCTTCTCAACTTGGAGAATTATATCCGATTCGAAGTGGCTAAAACGATATCGACGCGACTTTAGAGCTTGGGTAACGACGCTTGTGATACTTGCGAAAAACGACTCAGAGCTCGTACCTGCAGTGTGTAGTCAAGACCTTTAGGAAAAGGATAAAGAATATGATGTAGATGTGAATGGCAAGAATTGAGTCGAGTCGACCGAGGAGCGTATGGATAGAATCCGCCGGTCCGGAACATACACCCCGCCATTCGCAGGAGCTTCCTTACCTAGTCTAGGTATCAGCTTCCCCGCGATATGACGACAGTCGTTCCAGGCCATGTCGAAGCCGGTGGGGCACGCGCGAGTTGACCAATTGTTTGAGGTGGCGGCAGTTGGTACGGTCGGCTGCGATTCAGGAGGACTCGATATAATACTCCCGTACTATCCCTAACAACCATATTAAGTAGTCGAATTGACATCATCCATATTAAGTATCTCCCATAGCTCTTCCTCGTAAACAGAAGCACCAAGTAAAGATGCCGGACAAAATGAAAGCGTTGTCGTACGAGGGTCCTTTCAAAGTGTCCGTCAGGGAGGTCGAGCGTCCCAAACTCGAGCACCCGGATGATGTCGTTATCAAAGTAACGACGGCAGGTAGGTCGATAGCGACATCGAAATCTAAACCGCACATCGCTAATATAATTCCTTAGCAATTTGTGGCAGCGATCTCCACATGTACGAAGGTCGTACTGCAGCCGAGAACGGTATCGTGTTCGGTCATGAGAACATGGGCATCGTTGAGGAGATTGGGACCGGCGTGACCCTCCTAAAGAAAGGAGATCGCGTTGTACTTCCGTTCAATGTTGCTGATGGTCGATGTTCTAATTGTGAGCGCGGCTACACAGCTTTCTGTACTGGAGTAAACCCAGGTTTTGCGGGTGGTGCTTACGGATATGTCGCTATGGGACCCTATCAAGGCGGACAAGCACAGTACCTGCGAGTGCCATATGCTGATTTCAATGCTCTTGTACTGCCACCTGGTAAGGAACACGAGGCAGACTTTGCGCTACTGGCTGATATCTTCCCCACTGGATGGCATGGTCTGGAGCTGGCGGGCTTTAAACCTGGTGAATCAGTCGCTGTATGGGGAGCTGGACCGGTTGGATTGATGGCGGCGTACAGCGCACTTATTCGTGGTGCATGCAGAGTATACGTGGTCGACCAAGTTGACGCAAGACTACAAGCGGCTGAAAAGATAGGATGTACCCCTATCAACTTTCGCAAGGGTGATCCAGTGGAGCAGATCATACAGGCTAACGATGGTATGGTTGACAGAGCTGTGGATGCGGTAGGCTACCAAGCAGTCGATGCTTCAGGCAGCAAGGAGAAGCCTAACATCGTGCTCGATCAACTGATCATGGTGACAAGGCCTACTGGAGGACTTGGAATTCCCGGTCTGTACGTCCCAGCTGACCCTGGGGCTCCTGATGCACAGAGTGGAAAGGGCCAGATTCTTTTGTCCTTTGGTAAATTGTTCGAAAAGGTAAGTTGGTTGAAAGCTACAGCCAAATTGCTCTAACGAGGTTCGTTAGGGACTTTCACTTGGAACTGGGCAATGTAACGTCAAGAAGTACAATCGCTACCTTCGAGATCTGATCGTCTCTGGACGTGCGAAACCTTCCTTTGTCGTATCGCATGAGGTTGGAATTGAGGACGCTCCAACAGCTTACGAGAAGTTCGACAAACGAGTCGAAGGGTATACCAAGGTCCTCATACACCCCAATGGAGGGTTTTAACAAACATATTGGTGGTGATAAGGATGCTCGTACGTAACATGTGGATATGTATCATTACTTTGAGTCCTAAGTGAGTACTGTGATGTCCCACTGCGTCATTGGTCTTGTTTGCGCCCGCTGGGACGTCCGAGATGCATATCTTAATGGGTTATACCGGACAAAATACAAATACTGATCGTAGCAGTTGTCAATCGATGCAAACATCGTGCATGATGACCAGTCGATAAGAGACTCGTTAGGATTTAACTTCCCAAGGTTGTTTAGGCTCCGTGCTTACTCCGTAAAATACGGTGCGTTCCTTAAGGAGTGGTCGGAGGATTCACTGTCTCACCCCGCCAATCGCAACGCCGGAGTCTTGGTATACCGCGTAGCAATGTCAAGTCACTTTCTTCTGGCTATAGTCGCGGGCTTCAGTGCCTTATGCTTCTACCAGATATCTCACTACCTTTCCACCTCCGTGGACATCATTCACCTGTCCTCTCTTCGTAACCCTCACGCTGCAAGCTGGACGAGCTGGTTCCACCCGCAACGACAATGGGGTTACGGTGATGAACCTACGGCAGGTACCTTGCCTCAGCAAGACGGCGGACGTTATGCGAAGGATTGGAACATACTGTATCACTTAGGTGGTAATGGGCCATGGGTTGAGAAGATTGATGGTGTTGTAGAAGGTGGCATCATGGTACCTAAGGGTTGCGTTGTCGACCAGGTCCATATGATGTCTCGGCATGCCGAACGATATCCCACGACCAAAGCTGGCGTTCGAATAATGAAGCCTCTGAAGCGAATACAGCAACAAGCTGATGTGAAGCCCGCTGGTGATTTGGCGTTCGTGAGCGACTGGGACTTCATCAGCTCTGATCCACAGACGCATTTTGAACAGCTCACGTCGACAGGTCCTTTTGCCGGGAAGCTTGGTGCATTCACGACTGGCATTAAGCTTCGCACCCGTTATGCTCATCTTCTACCCAAAAGGCTCGCGCCTAATGGTAAGACTAACTTCTGGGCCAGTGACAGCGCTCGAGTCATTGAAACTGCAAGGCATTTTGGAGCTGGCTTCTTTGGCCTCAATTGGGAAGACACCTCAACTTTACATGTCATACCTGAAACCGCAGAAAGAGGTGGTGATACTTTGACACCAGGCGACACATGCAAGCGATATCTTCATGACATGCAGAAAGGGCACGACCAGGGCTACTCCAAGATCGTTGAATTTCGTGATACATATATCGGCGCTGCAAAGGAGAGACTTCTGAAAGACAATCCTGAGTTCAAATTCACGAATGAGGAGGTATTTGCCATGCAGGAGTTATGTGCGTTCGAAATCACCACCCGAGGGAGCAGTCTTTGGTGCGATGTCTTCTCACGAGAAGATTGGCTCAACTTTGAGTATGCTAGAGATGTGATCCACTACTACCGTGCTGGACCAGGTACACCGTATGCAGCAACCATGGGTGGTCTTTATCTTAATGCGACTGCCAAACTCCTTGAGCAGGGTCCTGAGGCTGGACCTTTCTTTTTCAGTTTGTAAGTTTACTCTACGCCCTCAGTGTTTCTGAATCTTGTTGACAGATACACAGCGTCCATGACGGTGACATGACCCCTCTCCTATCTGCCCTAGATATTTTCCATGACGATGAAGATCTCCCAACCACCCACCGTGTCGACAGCCGGGCATGGCGAACATCACAGATTACTCCTATGGGTGGTCGCATAATATTTGAACGTATGACCTGTGACGTTGGTTTGAAGGAGAAAGTACCACATGTCCGCATCAACATGAATGATGGCATTGTCGCTTTACCTGGCTGTCAGAATGGACCAGGACACAGCTGTCCACTCGACGACTTTCTCAGCTGGACGCGCAAGAGAATGGTCGAGATTGGAGACTTCAATGAAGTTTGCGGACTGAGAGCTTACGAGCCAGATGCTCCTGATATGATTACATTCCTGCACCAACACGCATAGAACGTGATACATTTCTGGACTGCGCGTGGCTCACTATTGGTGTTCAAATAGAATTCTCCATGATACAGGCATATTTCTTCTCATAGGTATATTTACAGCAATTTGAAGGATATCTGGCCGTTCATTCGTTCGCCCATCCTTCCCTTTTATTCCCTCAATCTAATGTCTCCCTGACCTTTAACAACATACCACCCTTGGGCTTGGTCGTGATGACCCCGACAACCTCTACCTCCTGCTCCTTATTCCAAAGCTCAAACTCAAAACTCCGCACAACCGCCGCCACCAGCGCCCTCAATTCACTCTTCGCAAAACCCTGCCCAATGCAACTCCGCGGCCCATGCAAAAAAGTCAGATTCACATAATTCGCGCCTTTTCCATCATGCGTCACTGCACCGCCTTCGTTCGTCACTTTACCAGTCTCAGCATCGATCCAGCGCTCCGGAACAAACTTCTCGGCGTCCGCACCCCAGAAATGCGGCGATCGGTTGACTGCCCAGGGCGATATGAAAATCCTCGTGCCCTTGGGCACAAAGGTCCCGGCGATGGTCGTGTCTCGGACGTTTTCACGGATGGTGATGGGGACGGTCGGGAAGAGGCGGAGGACTTCGTTGCAGACGGCGTTCAGGTATGGGAGGGACTCAAGGGTTTGGGTGAGTGGAAGGTCATCGTTCCAGACGCCGCCGCGTTGGGGCAGAGCGTCGCGTAACTCGGCGCGGAGTTTTGCTTGTTTTTCAGGGTGTGTGGCGAGGTTGTAGGTGGTCCATGTCAGGGCCGAGGAGGTGGTTTCGTGGCTGTTGGTATGGTTAGAATTTGAAGGAAATGTCATAATCTAGTGGGAACGGAAACGTACCCTGCAGCGAGGAATGTGAGGAGTTGGTCGCTGAGATTGTGGTCTGAGAAGTCGTTTGACTTGAGTAAGATACTGAGGATGTCGACGTGGTCGGAATCCTCCCCGGTCTTCATGGCAGCTTTCTTTTGCTGGACTAGGAGATCGCAATTCTTGCGCAGCGTGGTGGCGCTGTGCTTCATCCTCTCGTTCTCCTTCCATGGCAACATCTGCACTGTCTTATTTCCAAGAATCATGTTTGCGGCGAAGTAGATAGCCTTCTCAGTGGACGTCTCGAGCAGTTGCTCGTAAGTGTCGACGAGCTCGTGTTTCTCATCCTTGAGGGTGTTGAAGTCGTGGCCCAGACCGGCAAGGCCGATGATGTCAAAAGTAGCCAGTGTCGCAAGATGGTTCATTTCGACCTTTCCACACGGGCCTCCCTTATCGTCTCCGCCGCTCCATGTCGACGGGTTCTCGTGGATCTCTGATGATATGGCCTCGACTAGACCTTTGCTTTTCTTCCAGAAAATCGGATACAAGTCTTTGATGTGCCTGAAGCTGAAGCTGGGCATGATCTTCTTACGTTGAAACTTGTGCTCGTCGTCCTCGGCCAACAAAAGACCGTCTCCTAAGACAGTCGATAAGAACTTGATTACTCGCTCTGGCTTTACGAAGTCATATGGCTTGTGGACGAAAACATCAGCGATGGCGCGTGGTCCAGCGAGGAAGAGTGAGTCGGTGCCAAAGAAGCCATGATAGTGAATGAGGCCGTTCTCTGTGGGAACCTCACGAATCATCTTGAGGTGATAGCCACCGATTGGCTTCCTAAAGGCCTTGAAGCCAGATCCGATGATGGGAATTTCATTCTGGAACATGTCAATAACCGCATTCATTTCGCGAAACATGGATGTACCTTTGGTCCCGGCAGATGCCTCAGCGGACTGACAAAGTTGGGGTATATAAACGAACAATACCCCAGCCAGACCACGATATTGAAAATCGACGCGCGAATGATAATCCTCGAGAAGAGCAGGTTAGGGTCGTAGAAGTTATTCCATAGGAAAGCTTCCACAATCCCCAGCAGCAAGCAAGCCACTGCGTTCGAAGGGTTCTGCGGGGCCATCCTGAGAACAAGAACAGACAGAAGGATAAAGTAATATATGCAGGGACGAACTCTTCTGCAACCCACCAGAACTATATATCAACCCCGCCAGCAGCTGCACGATGGTCGACTCAATTTCCGCTTACGCTAAAGCATTAGATCGCATCGTGTGCCAGCCGCCTCACAGCGGCCTAGACGTGACGTATTGCTGATTCGCGCTATCATATGCCCTAATAATGTAAACCTCGGCATATTTGATTGAGCTACCGGCATGTCCCAGCGCCTGCAAGATTCTGGACTTGGCGAGTAGAGAAGGTGGATCTGGGTAGTTAATTACATGATCCATCCAAGCGCAAGGCTTAAAGCAATGAAGCATGTATGGCTATTCTTGTCTTGTTGTTGTGGATACCTCGAGCGAATCCTTAGAAGTAGCCAAATAAAGAATCGACGCGTAGTCCTTTGTGGATCTTGCTGATTGAAGTGAGTGCAAAGACTAGAAAGCTTACGACTGTTCGTGCGACTATCTGCATGACACCTGGAAATATAATTGTCGTAAGAGAGCGACGGCCACAGACAGCTCCTTGACCAACAGCTCCTTGAGGCACATCGTATGATAGATACAACTGAAAATTGCGTAGATTTCTATAATACTTCATGTCATTGTTTTGCTAACATACATTGAACGCGCAACTACTGCAACCGAAATCATTGCTTTGCATGGATGCAATATACCATGATACGGTGGATCAAAAATCCCGACTCCATTACTCCTCTAGTGCGTGCCGCATCGCATTACTTCTCGGGTCGACAATAATCATGAGCTAGAATGCAATAAACGCTGGGACATGATGTACTAGTAATACAATAGGATAATCTTGAATCGAGCCTGCTAGTAGAGATAGACTGAAAACTCCAGGTTCTCAAACTCATGTGGATCATGACTAGAAAATGGTCCCGAAGGACTCATCAACAGTCGGCAGCGGTTTGCGTGGACTGGTAGGCTTGCCGGTATCATCAGTCGCTGGCTTGCGGTGCCTAGGTCGGGTTCGTTAGCAACTAATTTGAGTTCAAAATGCACGCTGTCATACCTGAATGTAAATCCTACGAACAAACCCTTCTTCATCTTCTCATCACGGTCGGCCATACTCTCGAGTGCGTTCTGCTTTTCGTGCACTTCCTTGTACTTGGCCATGTCAGCCTCGTTGCCGAAATCATCGAAATAGCCAGCATCAGTCTCCGAGTCGAGCTCTGGAACGAAAGGTGCCTTCTGCTCCCTCAGTTTGGACCAATCAACCTCAGCAAAGTAAGCATGACCATGAATCTCACTAATGCCACGGAAGCGAGATGTCTTAGATGCGACCAGCCGTGTGATCAGATCCCATGTTCTCTTGGAGAGGAAGTAGTTCGGATCCTCGTACACGGGTTTACGCAGGACCTTCTTCCACTGCTTGAGATTCTGCCACGTCTCGTCGACAGTCGCTCCGGCAAAAGGTGGGTAGCCAGCTAACGCCTCAAATAACATACACCCTAAACTCCAGTAATCGACAGTAAAGTCATATTCTTCTCCTTTGAGTACTTCAGGAGCCATGTAATCGGGACTGCCCACAATGCTTTTCGCGTAGTTGACATCCCGTTCCCGAAGAGATCGGTAGCCATCTCTACGCTCTGCAGCCGTACGGTCCTCCATAGGTCGTCCGAAAGGAACGGCGACGTTACCAACCGCTTCGAGTTTTACTCTCAATGACTCGATCTTTGCAGGTGCAAGCATACCAGCCGCAAGACCAAAATCCGTTAGCTTGACATGACCGGTGCTATCGATCAGGAAGTTCTCAGGCTTCAGATCGCGATGGATATAGCCAAGCTGGTGTAGCGCATCGACACATTCGAACATCTCTGCAATGTAGAACCGAGCATGTCGATTGTGAAGTACGCCAGTATTGTTGAGTAGGGTGCGAAAGTCACCACCTGGTACGTATTCCTATTCAAACGTAAGTGCTTTGAGCTCTATGATCTGAATGATACTCACCATAGCTAGATAAATGCTCTTCTCATCTTGAAAAGCATACAAGAGCCTCACTAGCCATTCGCTCTTCGCATTAGTGAGGATGTCTCTCTCGGTGAGAACGTGACGAATCTCATCCAATTTGAATAGAAGCTTCTTGCTCATGACCTTTAGTGCACAGACTTCTCTTGAATCCTTCTTCTGCGCCAGATACACTTGGCCATAGCCACCTTGTCCAACTTGCGTAAGGATCTGGAAATCCCCGTGTCTAAGTCTTGTACGGCGCTTGCGAAGGTTCGCTCGCTCTCTTCCCAAGTATTGATTCAGTGCAGCATCATACTGCTCTTTTGGCGTTTCGGGAGGAGCGGGATTCTGAGCCTTGAACTGAGACAGGCGGTTCTGACGAGTGTGTACGTAGCTGAGCAGATCGTAGTAATGATCTAAGAAGTCTATCAAATGTCAGTATTGCAATATCATTTTGTGTGATGTCTGACATACAGAGCTGGGTGACATTAGCCAGCCGTTGTACAGAAGGTTTCCGAAGCTTGTCCAGATCATCAGTGGATATTGCCTGTCCCGTTGCATACTTCTGGCGCCCGTTGGTGTCTACATCTCTGGGCTTATAAGGCTCTTGTCGTGATGCAGCGGCCTGATTGACATAGCTTGTCTCTTTCGACACACCAGGGCGCGGTCCCGGAGGTGTGTTCTCTTTATTGGATCGTCGCATTGGGCTGCCTTGAGTATCACTCTGGTACTCAAGTACCGTCTTCTCACCATACTGCTCCTCTCCACCTAGAAGTCCTTTCCCGTGGGTAGAGCGCGGCAGTTTTGTGGGGGATGCCGTGGTAGGCTCGAGTCTCAATGCGTTGTCGAAGACGTTGGGCAGATCATAAGCTCCAGGCGGTAGCCTGTTCTTGCTTGGGCTTCCTTGTGGTGTCTGCGTAGGAGACCAATAGCTCTCTCCTGTAGGTGTGCTGGGCTGTTGGTATATATCATTGTGGGAGCGAGTGTGAAGCGGCGGCGGTGGAGCAGGTAGCTTCGTAGGGAACTTCTCGTTCGAGAGGATGGAAGCCATGGTGGACAGAAGGCCGCCGCTCGCAGCAAAAGCTGCGAAACAATGGACAATGAGAGTGTAGGGAGCGACTGAAGCTGCGCGATAACTTCACTGAGTAACCTCAAATGTGGATCGTAAGCTCGAGATAGTGTCGAAAGTCGTAACGAGGGTTAGGAGGTTGCGTTCAAGGTTGACCCGTTGCATTGTTTTGTTGTTTTGGTTAAAACCACGCTAGTAGTCTTCGGGAATGTGGGGCTTTCCGTAGGTGCCAGTCTGCAGTGATCGGACTGGAGTATAAATTGGTTTCATTTCTTCCTTTCCTAGGTGCTAAGCCAAAGTGGATTTCTATGTAGAGATCTGCGTACAACAAAATTGCTGCTTATCGCGGGATTGCTTTGGGTCTCTATGATTACTTTAGGCAATCCTTGATCGTCATAGTTATGGGACTGAGAGCCTTTTCCGAACCTTAACGTCGCAAAACACCATACTTGTCAAACAACCTACGGTGCTTTAGCAGATCTGTTATTGATCTTTCCAGCACAAGCTCAATATCCTTCATCACTGTAGCGATTGGGACTCTCATTGTTCTCCATCCTTGGCAAACCTCTGTTTCGCCAATACCCAGTATTCTCTGCAGCTTGTCACTCCTGTCTACCGTCGCACTATTCGCAGAATCGGCGCGACTGCGTAGCCTTCTTGCCCTCTGAACAGGCTGAGTTTCGTCTTTCAGGGTTTGCATTACTGAGGCTGCCTGGAAGGGGTCGGGAACAGTTGTTATCCATTTCTCTGTAATCTCCTTGTACTTGGGACGATTGCTTGGGTCGCTAAGATGACGAAGGAAGAGCTCTTCATCTTGGGCAGTTGTGTCGCCCCATACAAAGCGAAGAATTGCGTCGTCAGCGGCAGTGTACTCTTCCCAGCGTGCCAGAAGCATAGTCCGATCCTTCGCGCTCCGTACATCAATCACTCCAAAGAATTCACCACTAAGGCCAAGATCCGGATTCTGTCCAAATCGCGTTCTGCAGAAGAATCCTAGGTGTCGGATCTCAGCTTGGAAAAATTCAGACTTAAAGCTTTCCAGTGGTGGACTTTCTGATTTCTGTGGACTGAGTGACGTGATGTATGCCCATTTACGGTCGGAGCGGCCATTTTCCTTGTCCTTCGCAGCGGCTTGAAGCAATCCTTTCGTGAGCTAGTCGTAGATTTAGAGGCTAGATTGAGGAGCGGTCGCAAAGACACTCACACTGAAAGACTTGCCAGTTGTGCAGAAGAGCGGGAAGCACGGAGGTTCTCTGGTATTTGACATCGCATACAGCCTCTCAGTTAGACATGAGGTAGAGGAGGAGAACGTAGAAGATGATGGGCTGTTCCGTATCGGAGGTATGATTAGTACCGTAGCTTCATCTTACACCAATCAGAGGTGGATCAGCCTTCGGTCATGTGGCCGAAAATAGCATCCTTCAAGCCTTACTGCATGCGAGTGACGAGAGTGCTTAGACTGCATATGCATCAACCTCTAGAATTGATTCCATTTGTGGGCCTCCGACTCATAAGCCACACACACCAAGCGTAGTAAACTGAAGCGCAAGCGACGATTGGGGCAGGTCCAGATGAGTATATCAAGATCCTAGATCTCAAGGCAACACTGCAATGCTAGAAATTTGACGTAGATGACCGAAGCGTCACGCACTATGAGACACTAGCACTGCTACTGCTATTGATAGCGACTAGACCCTTGATCTATACAAAAGCACAGACAGTGTTAGTATCAGGCGTCACTTTGACTCCAGTACTTCATAAACTTTCCTAGGACTTGCGAAATGCCACTGCTGAACGCACCAAAGTCGATGAACGGGTCAAATCATGCCAGGTAACAACAAACAATACAAGTACGAACGCTCTAACCATGGTCGCTAATTTCAAACATGTAGCCTTCCAGTTATTGTACGCTCGATCACCGATACGACCATACACTCAATTGGCGGTAGCAGGGCGGCTAAACTGCTGTCAATATCGAAGGACACCGTTGCTGTCGAAGAGTGCTCGTATTTTTAGCAGGTCAGTTATGGAACGACGAAAGATTAGGCTGGTATCTCGCATTGCCGATTCGATCGGGACGCGCATCGTTCTCCAGCCCTCCATAATCTCCACGTCATTGTCCTTCCTCTCGATAGGCGAGCCCGTGATCAGGGTGCTCAGCTCGGCCATCTCGAAGCCCTTACTCCATCTCTTCACACCAGATATAGTGTGACCAGGGAGACCTGGCGTAGCCACCCGCTTTGTGCCAGTGTTTGGCTGTCCATTCAGATATGGGGCGGCTTGTGCTTTGGTTGTATCTATTGGGTCAACTCTCTTGGGCTTCGGATTCATTTCGGCCCCTGCTTGAACATCGGGTGTTTCTTTCGCCTGCTCCTCTGCGACTGCTCGCAAGAACACCTGGTCAGGTCTACTGGCATCTGACCTGGGATCTTCATCCACTCTTATTGCTTCGTCCTGGGCAATCTGAATCGTCTCCAGCGCTGGGCGATCCTCGCGGAGTGCGTCTTCTTTGGCCCTTTGCAAGAGAGCCTCATCATGCATCGTAGCCTTGCCTTGAACTTTCCTTAAGAGCGCCTCGTCCTCTGGAGTGCGCACAATGCGTTTCAGTCTTGCCTCGTCCTCAGGAGTCGCATCTCCCCACACTATGCGCAGTATCGCGTCGTCTTCGGGAGTATAAATCTCCCATCGAACGAACAAAACCGTTTGATCCTCAAGAGAGCGCTTATCGATAACTGCGAAATCTTCGCTGGAGATTAAACCAGTCCGCTCAAATTGTCTTCGGCAGAAGTCTCCCAGTTCAAAGATATTCCAGTCGATGAAATCTTCGTAGAAGCGGCTTATTATGGTAGTGGGCATGGGAAAGATAGGTTGATTTTCAAGGAGGACAAGGACCCAAGAGTTTTTCAGCCTCTTGTCTCTCCGTTCTTCGCGCGCGGCAGCTTTAAGCACTTCATTGATGTCCTACATGCGCATTATCAGCACAAAAGTCTGCATGCCACAACCAACGTCGCACAAGACTCTTACCTCTGGGGTCATTAGGACTGTGCAGAACAGCGGGAAGTAGTAACCGTCAGACATTGCGCATTGGTCGCCAGACAAGACAGTAAATAGACAAGATCGGAGTCAGGCGAGTGAAGCTGTTCAACTAAACGCTTAAGGTCTATTTGAGCGCGTCTGAGAGGTCTGGAGGATCGTAATAATGACTAGAAAGGCTGGAGACCTGTTCGTCCACCCGTTCCTGGTTTTTGGAGGGGCAGCGCCTTTACGCCCTGTGCCGCACCCTTTTCGAAGAAGGCCTCATTTGGGGGGGGGGGGGGGCAATGGCAGCGGGATTAGCTTCGTCGCGACAAGGTGACAGGGCCTGTGGAGAGGCATCGATCAGCCAATGATCGCACGCTTAGGTCCCAGCATCTGAACAAAAACGTCTATCGTCCCAATATCCTGTTCATGGTCGGAACTCTGCCGGGAGGCTACATCTCGTCATACAATGGCTGGCGCTTCGAAAAGCGCCCAGCACGTTGTGCTTCGCCTGCAGCGAGGTCGATACGATGTATGTACATCATACATGCGGAATGATGTGAGGATCAAAGTGAAAGTCTGTGACCACGAGGGCCTGACCAAATCACCAACGACGAGTCCAGCCGTTCAATTGGCTGAAGGTCGCTGTCTCTAAGCGCCCAACTTCCACTGCCAATGTACATCACCTGTCGGTATGATTGACAGCTCGAGTATCGACCTCTCCGCGGCCCTTGTCGCCCCCTTCCCCGCCCAATCCCCGCTTTCGCGGCTCTGGAGGGATACACGAGCGGCTGTGTACAGACCAATTACTAGCTATATCTCCTACACAAAAGATGCTCATCTGGATTGTTCTCTCTAGTCTAACCATATACATGTCAATTTACGGCCTCCATATCGCCCGTATTGCGACAGACTCTGGTTCAACTTGAGCCTGGCGTGCCAATCTGGAAAATTCATAAATCCTTGGCCTCTGGCGCGCTTGACCATCGAGGCACCACGTCGGAACTGTTGGTTCAAGACGCTGCAAGCGCACCAGTCGACGAATGGCATTCTGCCATGGAGTCTGCCCCCTCCCTTGGCGCATTACGGCGCAGGTTTCCAGACAAAGAATCGCCGCTAATAATTACAACTCGCATGCATATACGTCCCTAGTCAGGTTGTGCCACAGTTTATTTTTCACTAAATCATCCTGAGTGGGAAATATTGACCAAGAGGAATTCCCGTATGAGGCTGTTTTAACCGCTGTATCGGTCGAATCAGGCTCCATTGCCCAGTTGGGACATTATCGGGCACAAAAATCAAGACCTCAGATGCCCCTCCGAGTTAATGGATTATATCTACTCTTATGTTATTTGCCTTTTCATGATTGTCTACGAACGTATATTCACTAATGGATGTTCTCAGTCTCCCTTTATACACAACAGTCAACCAGATTGTCATTCCAACAAACTCCAATAAGATTTTAGTAGATATACGTTTCATCTAATATAGTCTAATAGGGATAATTTGCTTTGTTCAGACCCAAGGATCACAGCCGCTCTAGCCTAAGTCCAATTCGGTATTATTGTTTTGCCCCATTTGATACCATTAGGTACCGCCAATGGCGAAAGTTCGGACTTCAAGCTACAAGATTAGTTACTCTACTCTCAGCTACTCTAATGACAATATCGTGGCACATTAGGATACGCCGCCCATCTATCACAGGTTTGTGATCGGTCCACAAACTACAGACGTTTCGTCGTACGTGCAACGGTGATACCACCCAACTCACAGCATAATGAGACGTCTCGTCTCAAAGTCAATCAAGAGTCAAACTCCTCGCACGAAGTGAAGTCGGCAACGTTGTCAGGTTGGAGATGTTGACTCAATATGGTCGCACACGTCGAATTAGTCCCGCAGACCGACTCCAACAACTCAATCAATGCTTTGTCTCGTAATGCACCAGTATCTTCTTTCCAGGTTGGGGCAATGAATTTTGTAAATGTAATGAGGGCAGCGTTCTCCTCATCAGCCCGCATCTGTAAGCCATTGTCGTTATCGGGGTGCTTGATCAACACTTTGTCGCGGAAAGAAAGTTTTCGTCCGTATTGTGATGTGGAGACGTTGAAAGTAGCAGCGTCATTGCGCGACTCAGTGAACGTTAACCCTTCGTTGACATATTTAAGCCGGCCATCTTCGGAAACCCAAAGAGCAATGCCACTGCCCTTCGCAGCGCTGAAAAACACTGTACCGTCTCCGAACCTGTCGATTTCTAGGTTATTCCCCCTCTTCCTGATCGGAGCCTTCCCGACCGTAATCCAACTGGTTGGGACAGTATCCAGTCGCAGGTGCGGATTGCGACTGCACATCCTGGGTTTCGCTCGACCACCAGCAATCATTTGAGTTACCGCACATCCCATTGCCGTAGCCAGGTGTGACTTTCTCCCAATCGCAGCAGCCAGAGTCACACTCATAGTTCCTGGTGCAATACTGACCCCAACCTTTGCCCTGAGAGGTGAAGTCTGACGACTTTTGGAGAGTCAAAGCGTGTTGTCGAGGCTCTTGGTCGCTGTTCAAACCATTCTTGGTATAGGCGAGTGCATATGCAGGTAAGAAGATGAGAGAAATAGCGAGAGTTGATAATGGTGACATTTTTTGAGGTTTCTGCAGATTAAGCTCTATGAATGCAGGAAGTAATGTCTACAACAGACGGCAAAGCCTCATTCTTATACCCACTGGTCGATACTGTTCTCGGTTTATTCCATGCTCCTCACAGGCGCTCAATGAATCCGGCCATTGAAGAAATATGCTTGGGCTTGTCCTAGTCCAGAATTTATACATGAAGGATCGAGTAGCAGGCTCATCGAATCTGCTTCCATGTAGTAGATACAAGTCCTATTGGTGAAGCCAACATTGTTGGCCCTTCTATATTCTTTAGCTGGCGCCATCATTGTACCTCGATCTCGATGAAGCCAGTCTCAGGTAGCCACAAAATCGCTTGAACGAGCACTAATCCGCCTCCGCAGTAGCTTTCTCGCTAAGGCGTCGTTGAACTGTGTGAACAACGTTGCGAAGACGATACATTACATCATTCCTGAGATAAACTTTACGATTGTGCAGCGATAAGATCATGATGCATGCTTAGCAAGCATTGTCCGGAGCTGGATGAAGATTGTTCAGTTTCTGCTAACGGAGTAAAGTCAAGTACTTTTGACCCACGACACAAAATCAGCCCTCTAAAGCCTGGATCTGCTCAGGCAGCTACCCAGGCTGAAGTCTGGTACATAAAGGGAACATAGATCGCCTTACTTCATCCATGATGATATCGAGTTGAGTAGATGTATTTTAGCTTCCGATCCCGCCATTCAATGCGGGATCTAGTACACGGCACGGAACACCATATACCGAACGGTATCGAGAGTGCCAAGATTCGAGATGAACAACAATTTCAGCTCTGGAAAATCGGCGGCGGTCACACTAAAATATTGGCCGGCCAGATCTGTCGAACCATCGGTCATCGGAAAATTAGTCTGCGTGGGAGATCAGGCGCTGATCCATGCCCATGGATGCAACGTCAATGCTCTTTTTCACGGCCACTTCTCTATCTTCTAGCGTCCCGCACTGCAGAGCTTTTTCAGTAGACTTTAATTTAATGTCTACTCGAGAGCGAACCTAGCATTCAGAAACAAGAACATAGAAGAGGGAAGCAAGAGCAAAGGCGACAATGAAAGGGAAAGATATAGCGAGGGTGTAACAGACATGTTACAAAAGCCTTAACAATAGTTTCAAGACTCACACATCTAAGCCAATGTACCCTCAACATTTTTCCTTTCGATGATCATATCATCGCTTCAACTAGCTTTACGACTGGTCTCTATCATCTCGTCGATCATTATCTTTTCTCTACAAACGCTCCCATACATTGCCCAAAAAGAGATCTAGTCATCAGGCTCAGCTTCCTGCTAGCAACGCCTTACGCATGTTATGCGAGACCACTGTCGTGGAGATCTCGTGAAATACTATGCCATCGAGTAATACTGGAAAGCTGTGATAGACTCAACGGTCTTTCGTTTGCTTGCGATCGTTCATGAATATAGATCGCTCAGAACGAGATGTAGCGCTGAGCGGTAATTAGCTCCGATGGCAGCAAACTCTCTTACTGCTTCTCATAAAGACATCAGTAAGTATATAATAAGTAGTCAGTCCCCAATCAAATATTCTCATTCCAACTCATACACACTCATCTGCCTTGAACATCACATCTCTATCCATTTCACTCCAAATCCTTCATCATGCAATTCACCACCATTGTCAACGTCCTGATGGCTGGACTCGTCTCGTCCGCGCCTACAATGCAAAGACGTGCCCTTACCGCCGAACAAATGGTAGCCAATATCAACCAGATAACCCAGCTCTCACAAGACCTGCAACCGATTGCCTCAAGCATCCAAACAGGTGAAACCGTGATTGCGAAGCGTCAACAAAACCCTTTCGAGCCTGTCATCCGTGGTTTCTCTGAGATCATCAATGTTGCGCAGCGTGACATTGAGAACATGGATGGGACTGGCAAATACCCTGATGCGGAGGCTCAACAAGTCTGCAACGCATTCTCCACCGTAAGACCTCTGGTTCCTTTCTGATAAATACAATGCTCACGCAATTACAGTTTGTCGTCGTCCACCAGCGCCTCCTGAATATTGTGATCGGAAAGTCGGGGCTTCTAGAAGGCATTTTTCTTGGACCGGTTGCTGCAGTCTTACGCTCGCTCGAATCCACCGTCGATACCCTCGCCTTCGGTATTATTGACTCCGTACCAGGGTGCCAGGCGGATGCGACTACGAAGCTGGAGAGCTTGGATGTGACATTAGGCAAAGCTGTCTGCGCTTATACTCCCGGTGGCTCCCTCGGTGTCAACGTGTTTTGCTAGAGGACTCGTCACAAGGTTTTAGCACTTGATGTTCGAAATCATTGGGTAACTATGACTATCATATCGCCCAATGATACATACATCGGAGGTGGAAAACTGAAACGGTTGCGTGTTGTCCTATACTGGAAGACTTGAAGCTACATCGGCTGAGGTGAACTCGTGTGGGTTTAATAATGGATCGTATAATCACATAATTGTAATGAAATTTATACAAGACTTCTACTTATGTTGCGGTGTAAGAATTGAATAAATGCCCCTGAGCTTCACATTGACAATCGATCCGGTTGATGAAAAATGAGACAGGGCTCTAGACGCAATTAGATTTATCCTATTGCTACATACGCCCTGTCCAGAGGTCAAAGGAGCAAGGTCTTCAGTGCAAATCTCTCGCATTCTAGCTCACGTCGAGCTGGTGACCCTCCCCCCAGAGACCACCAAAGAGCGGAAGAAATTAGGTTCATACCCCTCGTCTCCTCGCTTTTGCCTCAAAACTTCACGGATCCAGGCAGCATGGCTTGACCATACGCCACCGCGGAAACCCTCACTATCCAGCTCTGCCCAGGCCCACTGCTTACATACTTTTAAGAGTTCATCATATCTGCTCAATTCCTCGCCTCCTGTTGCATGAAGAACCTTTTCCAGGTCAACAGGACAGAGATATGGAGGCTGTCGAGCATCTTCGGCGGCTGAGCTTGTGCCCTGCATAGAACATGCGTAATACACACAATGGTCTATACCGAAGCAATGTCCCAGCTCGTGGCATGCCGTCCGTGCCACGCGCGCCATAAGCAGGTTCCTATCAGAATTCTCATTGTAGACTGAGATTGCCGCTCTCATAGGCGAGGCGGAACCATGTTGCGAGGATTCATATAGCACTGTACCCTTCGACTTCCCTTTTGCTTTCCCGTTCTTTCTTCCTTTTGTCAGTTTTTTCGCGTCCTCTTTCCTCTTCTTGTCATTCTCATCTATGTCAGAGTATAGATCACAGTATCTGTTGACGTATTTTGCGCAATGACTCGCCGGCCACGAGTGCACGTGATCGATATCTTGCATGGCGTCAAGCTCGGTGAGATAGCGAGCTGTGGACACCACGGCGACACGGCTTCCCCCAAATGCACGTCCGCAGCAGAAATCGTCTGCTTCATTCTCGAAAATATCGTGATCAGTCAGCATTAGTAGTGCGTATGCGTCTGCAGGTAACACCTCAATGGCAACATCCAAAAGGTCACAGAGATTCAGCTGTCGAGGAAAGAGGTCATCAGGGCAAGGTCGATTTCGGATCTGAATCAGCTCCGAATCGGTTGCAATTGCAATCTCGTTTTGCTGTTCCTTTCTAGATGTCCTTTGTCTCTTCGTCTTTGGTTGGTCATTCTCCCATGGTACAAACTTCAGTCGCTTGTGCAATATTTTGACCGGGAGCGGATGGTAGAACGCTGCGATGTACGAGATAAAAACTTCCGTCTGCAATCTGCTAGTCCATCCTGGTCCGGGCCATGCAGCTGAGTCAGCGTATATTTTCTTCCCATTCTCTCCACTGTCGAGGTTCGGCTTCGCCCAGTCATACACATGTTGCAACGCCTTCGCCGTGGTAGGAGGAGCAGCAAGGTATATAGTGCGCCGCTCAGGCGTTACCGGATTCCGCCACCTTCCATCCCTCCAAGCTTTGAAAGGCTGCGGGGGCCACTTCGGGTCGTCCGCAAGGTCGTCATATGGCAAAACAAGCGGACCTGGGAACGTGTTCGGGTCGGGGACAGCTCGTTCCCTGGCTTGGACTGGACCAGAAGATGCCGCAGTAACACGCTGACTATCTGTTGGTCGTTTATAGCCTGCATCTGTAGCGTGTCGTGAATTCTCAAGTTGCAAGACATTGTGAGAACAGGTGTGCTCCGGCCTCTTGTTGATGAACTTGTTTCTATTTCCCAAGATGGCGCTCGTTGCGCTTCACTAGTTACGAGATGAGAATGATACTTGCCCGCCTGTTTCAGAGCCAATGCGGAGTGAGGAGGATAAGATGAGGTCGAGGGACCAAGAACTCCTTTATAGTTTTCCTGCCGCTCGTGTCTCCTTCGAGACTGCTGCGCCACCATCCCAGGCAGCTATCGCAATCCCCTGGCTTCTAGTTCGCATCTACACTGTACCTTTATGGGATGTTGTACTAGTAAATTCTGATATGCGAGATGCAACACTTGGCATTGCTGCGCCACTGTATAGACTGCACGCGCCGTTCGAGTGAGGAATCGATTATCGTCGTCGAAAAGACTTCGGCTCTGTGAGAATCGTTCGCAACATCTTTCACATCATTTAATCCCGAACAGATGAGTATATCGAGTGGCTTATTTAGCTCAACGTCTGATAGATCAATGGTATGGACAGACCGACGTGGGATGTTGGACAGAGAGTCTCGAGAGGTTGTCTTTGGACGCATTTTATAGTTAGACCGCTAATCCATTAACGGCTAGCGCTCTTTGGTCTACAAGGTCATCTCGACCTCAGGTTTCATCGAATGCTCGGTCATCTTTGCTTCATGATATCGAAACTTTGTTGGCAACTGCTCTTGATTTGGTCAACAAGGCTCTCTTATTGATATGCTGTTAGCCGCCAGTGATGGCAAGCTAAATTTCTGAAAATCCAGTATACCAAATGCTGACTGAGGTCGCCGGTTTGCTCATGGCGATTACCACCCGATACCTTAATATTGCCTAGGTCTTGGAAGATGGTTAGATACGAAGTCGCGAGTGCGACTATCGTGTGATCTTGCGTTAGTATCACACAGCGATCCCGATGTGCTACGACGTGTCATTAATCGCAAATGTGGACACCGAGACGGCCTGCTCCGTATAGATTGGAAATTGCGGTGTCGTCTCCTCAATGATTTTAAACAACACACATCGACTTGCTTTCTTTGGTCCATATTCGTTCTGCGTTCCATTATTCTACCCATGGCCAGAATATTGATTTAAAATCTCGTAACCGTAGTCCTTCTCATCAGCTGCCTTATCTCAGAACCATCGTCAACGCCAAGCGAAAGTTGACGAGACTGTCATATAGGCAACAAGCTCATCTTGTCATCACTTTCAGATACAGTAGTCTACCCGTTCTTTCGACATGTCGGGTCCAGCTACAACCCCTTCCGACGCAGGCATCACGATTTCCAGTGAGAACGAAAATCAAGAGATTTCCAGATCGCAAATGCACAAACTCCTCGTCGACAACGCAAAATGGAAGCAACGATCTGAAGAGACATCGAGTATACACATCGCCGACCTGAAAAAGCTCTCCCCCAATGATGCTTTGTCCACTGTCTTGCTTGGAGACAGCATGTTTGAGCGTATGAAGACCACAGGCCAAAGTGCTAGTCTGGAGCCCTGGCCGTCCACCGAAATGCTAGGTGGAAGAGCCTTTAACCAACTCAAGGCCACCAATCCGCTCTTTCATAAACGCCTAGATGGCGTTTTCAACACAGGCGTTGGCGGTGACGGCGTTCAGAACATCGTCTATCGGCTTGCAGGCGAAAAAGCGAAAAACCTGGACGGGTTGCTTCCAACATTAGGAGCTCATAATATCAAACTTTTCGTGCTACATTGCGGCACCAACAACCTGCACCATAAGCAAGGTCTGAAGGATCGGGACCGTGATTACATGCGCCTCATATTGCAGGCGCTACTCCACATAGCTCGAGCTGGGTCAAAGATTCTCGTTACTGGTCTCTTCTACCGGAATGACATATCGGATGAGCTAGTTGATGACGCGAACGGGAAGATCCAAGATCTAGTCAACAGCATGAATGAAAATATCGGAGCTCTACAGATCTTGTATCTAGCTCCTGCGCCAAAAGTCTGCAAGGAACATCTTGTTGATCATGTACATCTCTCAATCGATGGATATCGTCTGTGGACAGAGCACCTCTTACCAAAAGTGGTTGAGTTGTTGCGAGAGGTTGACTTACTGCGCAAGGCTGCCCGGTCTATTCACGAGAACGCGGAACAAGAACTATTCCATAGTCTGAAGTCTTCAGGGTCTTCATCGCCTTTGTAACCTCTTGTAAAGTTCCCTCCGGTCTTGAAATGTGGCCAACCACAACCGGGCTTCACTTGAGCCCCTCGAACATCAATGTTCCGGTACCAGTGTTGTCTTCGGTAGTCAGCAAGATATCTAGGAGATCTGTTCCGGGTCTCAGTTCTGGAGAAGTCTCTTGCAGCATGTGCGGGCTACAGGCCTGAAGAAGACATGCACATACACCCACTCCTACACCTAGCCCATGGGCATCGAATGAAGTAGACACCAACACTTCGAACGACTTCTCCGTCGCTCATGTGGGAGATTTTCCAAGTTATGCTACGACCAGAACCTTGCATTTGTCTGGATTGGGGAGATGTCCTGCAGCCTAAGCAACGTCGAGGAGATGGTCGTGTATGCATACAACCTGACATCCCTACATGGCGCGAAACTCCAACTCGAAAGTGATCATCAGCAGTGCACCTTACCTACCATGAAACGATATTCCATCTAGTGAGGGCAAGGTCATTCCTGGAAACCGAAGCCCGAGCAGGGTGCAATCTCGTCCAGATGCAACCTGGTGAGAGATTGGGAGGTACCATCCCATTCAAACTACGTTTAACAGCCCTGTTAGTATTTTTAACCAGCAACCAGCAAATACATCACAAGTAACCAATCAATGTTTACGTATATCAATACATTACCATGTTTTATTCTTACAAAAGCACATACAGAAGCCCCGCACTTTACACTCACAAGCACTCAGCTAACCCCTCACGCTGTTGCCTTGCTTCATCCCTGAGTATCTCAGCTACACCCGGCCATAAGCCACTTTCAAGTCTTCATTCCCTCTCTAGTTGAAACAGACCTTTGATGTCAAAAATCGCGAACCGTCTAAACTAACGCTGCAACATGCCCGATACCGAAAACTTGGTACCAGCACTGGTCCTTTGGTGGAATGCCAGCTCCTTCCGAGTGCTATGTCCATTTTGTCTTGACTCACATGGTCACGGTCTTACAGAGCATTCCAGGCGCAGAAGAGAACGACGTTCAGCGGATTGCATCGATGTCAGCGGAGGAAAATCCTACCGTATAGTCTGGCCCGACGAAATCGACAACTTGACCGACGCGTACGGTTGGGAGCTGGATAAAGATTCTGGCAAGATACACCTCGTTACGAGCCAGGGCTTGATGTAGGATCCTTTAAGACGCGGCAACCCGCCACGTCGACTCTTGGAGGAGTACGAGAGCTTGCATGGAGTGTATTTTGACGATCCTGAAGAATATAGGAATGGGAAGAGCGAGCCCGGTCCTGATGGCACGGATGCCATCACAGAGTCGCTAGCAAGGACAACATTGTCTGATAGTCAAGGTTCGGATCCACGACAACATGAACCTGACCGATATCGCTGTTTCACCGATCCGATGGCAGACCCAAATTTACGCAGGAAATTCTATGTGTCTTTTTGTGCTCAAGGAGATACTCAGAAACTCGATAATCATTTCAGAATGTATCCAGACGACGACTTCGCCAGTTACGTGAACATTCAAGGTGCGAACGGAGTAATACTCGCAGCGGCAGAAGAGAATGGCCTCCAAACGGTGGAATTATTGACGGAGAGAGGTATGCCTATCGACCGGATTGACCATTATGGTCGAACAGCCCTCATGGAAGCCGCTCTGTGGGGCCGCTTTGAGACTGTGGACTTTCTCGTAAATAATGGTGCGGATGTCCTCTCCATGGACGCGAATGGACACCGAGCAAGTGACCTCGCAGCCGTGGCAGAACGCAACGACGCAGAGCGAATCGAAAGGGCTAATGGAATGATGACAGTGCGTACGGACTCAAACCGACAGCGCGCAAGGATTCATGCTCTATTGTGCCGGAAGGAGCAGGAGCTTCGAGGAGACCGATTCCCAGTCCCTATCGGCGGCCCTCGCCAAGGGTACTTTCACAAAGCAGATGCGACGTCTTTGTGCTTCTACCAGGCTGATACCATGTATAAGCTTGGGGACCGAGAAGGAACAAAGGCCTTTGGTCGCTTGGATCGTGGGCCTTCGTACCCGGTCATCAGTGCAATGAGTGGGTATTCGCAGACATCTCGAGAGGACACTCTCAATAATAAGATCTGGACGCGCCGAGCGAAGCAACTCTGTGCAAGGATCGGCCACGATGTCAGTGAAAGCTATGCTTCTCATGTTGAGAAACAGTTGGTTGCGTACTATATGAATCGGCACTACATCTTCAAGTACGAGGACGAAGAAAGTATAGGGGTAACTTCCGAACTCGAAGCAGTGCTTCCGACAAATCTCCCACGAGGATGTATAACGGTCAGTCGAGATGCCATGTGTCCCGACTGTCAGGAATTCTACAAACTCTTCCAGCGTTCGTTTCTAAAGGTCCCACTGACCGTTCACTGCGTCGGTGATAAGATTAGATGGCTCTCATCAATCTTATGGCGCACATCCTAGGCGGGATTCTAGTAGCTGGAACTCGTACACACAGAAAGCCATACATTACCTTACCTATATACCTGTTACTTTTACTTCTATACCTTAACCTTACCCCTCTACCCGTAAGGTCGCCTTATAGGTCTCAACTGTTGCCTTGGCTACATGCGTATAACCTTAACTGTACAACTATAAATATACCTATACCTTACCTATAAACCTCTACACATCCCCTAACCTCTCCACTCCTTTCTATATACTATGAACTATGAACCATGCCCGCTACCTCACCTCCATATGCACTCGTTACCTCGCCTATATATCTGTACCCGTCACCTGACTTGTATACTCCTACCCAGCACCCACTTATATAAACTATATGCACTTACCCGGCACACACCCGTCCATACCCTTCACTTACCCGACACCCCCATACGCAGCAAACGCCTCCATACTCCTCCCTTATCAACTTACCCAGCACCAGCACCCCTCACCCAGCACACCACCCTACCCATCACCCTCTAACCTCTACTCAGCACACACCCCTACCCGGCACCCAGTCCCCTGTCTATATAACCCACACCCACGCCCTCCTCCTCCCACTTATCCACAAACCACACCCACCCACCACAGCAGCGCAAAATCAGAACGCATATGGCGCTGTTGTGGGGTTGTGGTCGTCGGGGAAACTGCAACACCCATGGTGTAGATTGCACGGCGATGCATGATTTGGAATGGGGCGATGGTGTTGGTGTGGGTGGGGAGTTGTCGCACGTCGATGCATGGCGGTATGGGGCGCTGCGCTGCGGAGCGTTGCGATGCGATGCATTGCGGTAAGGGGTGGTAAGGGGGCGTGTTGGGTGGATGGGTGTTTCGGCAGTAGTGATGGTGTTTGGGCAGTGGTGATGATGATGATGATGCGCAGTGCAGTGGTGATGATGCGCAGTACAGTCAATAATAATCATCACCATCACGACATTCCACGCATACTACAGCAGAGCAGTCACAGACTCAGACTCAACAGACAAAAGACAAAGAAGATGTACTTTCCGCAGAATCAGAAACATCGTCCTTCACTCCCTTATTACCCTGCTCATCCCCTTCTATCCCTCCTCTCCTCTCCTATACATCTCCTTTCCCATACATCTCCTTTCACACATCTTCCCTCCACTCCTCCCTTTCTTCCTTCTTATACCCCCCAAAGTCACCCATTAAATCGGAATCGCCCCACTAATCTTATTCCCCGTATCAACCGGCAAGGCCAGCACCCTGTACAGGAACGTATTAGCAAGAGCACACACGCACAGGTCTCCTATGCATCCCCTCTCCGCGTTATGAGAGACAAAACACATACTTCTTCCCCGTCTCCGTCGCACAGCAACAGCACAGCAGACTCGCGGGCCAGCACACAATCTGTCACGTGTGTTAGCCTCTTGCGTTCACATCCAGCATACGCAGCACGTTCCAGCAGAACGTCGAAATAAAAAGTGAGAAAAGTGACAACAGAAAAAAGAACCGAAGAAAAGTAGAAGAAGAAAAAAACATACCGCCATCCCAACCGTAACCACAAACCCAAGCGTCGGCCCTACGACTTTACAATGGCAGGGGTTCTGATCACTGCCCGTTTCGTCTACCGCGTTAGCCTCTTTCTCTCTTGATACAAATCTATACAGTATCCATCCATTCCCCCACAGCAAACCAAGCAAACCAAGCAAAAAGGAGTTTATACTCACGTTCCGCACTGGAAGCACACGATGGGGAGGGGAATGCAGTCCATTGCTCTCTTTGAGGAGGGGGTTGGGTGAGTTGTTGAGTGGGTGGAGGAGAGGAGTCTTCAGGATAGAGAATCAGAGGAGATGAACGAGGCTGTATCGAACACGTTTCGCAAAGTGAGATCTGAGACCGCAAAATAGCCACCAACACTCCGTCGAAACCGCGAGGCAGGCAAGGCAGGCAAGCTCAGCAGCTAAAGCGCAATCGTCAGGGCGCGACGTCTCCGGGTTCGATTCGATTCGCGAGGTCGTGTGGTGGATACGTGGTGAAGCTACTGTCGGTATACAGCTTTGACGACTAGTGAGGGAACAGGAATGGCAGAACAGAGAGAGGAAAGTTTCATGCACAGGTGGTAGCTGTAAGAAGCTGAGGGAGGGAGCTTGGACCATCCTTGGAACGAAAACGTGTGTGACGTATCACACACGCCCGCCCCGGCCGGCGCGCCGTCCCCTGGCATGTTGAGCGGCGCTATTGATAGAAACAAGACGTGAACCGTGCGTGCAACATGCATTGCATGCATTGGGATTTCGCGATACTGCATCACATAATCATTATTTACACTACGACAAAGTAGGACAGACATAGACTGAATCCACGCGAAGGTACTAAATGAGGCAATGTGATGTATATATATATATTCTTCATCTACTACTACCACCACCACTACTGAGGTTTTGCAAGCCGCCGTGGACTTGCCAGAATAGATACAGGCTGCTTGCCAAATAAGACACAGGCCCCCCCTTGGCTACACGCCCAGGAGCAGCAGTACAGGACCGTAGGAAAGATAAAACGCCGTGTAGGGAGAAAAGAAGTCGCGGGTGAATCTCATCACACTAGGTAGGTGAAAGGGTGGTGGGTATGGTAATGTTCATCGTCTGGAAAGCGGTCTGCCCCAGGATCCCCGCATCAACCAACATCTGCGCCTGTCGAGCCCGCCAGCCCGCCAGCCCGCCCCGGAATCTCGTCCTCGACCGTGGCCGCATACCGGTCGGTTGTGCGCATCACACAAACACCCCGATCCAGTTCTCACGGTCGCACTCTTTTCGGCTCACCAGCAGAAACCGAGCCTGAAGCAGGTCTCCTTCGCCCCTGTGGCGGTCTGAACAGCTGTTAGCAACACAAAATCACGACGCCAGAGGATCCACGCTCTCTACAGAAGCCTTGGAGGGATCATTGCGGCGCATGATGCCCTCTACCGGACCCAGCAGCCGCTGGAATCCGTCCTTGCCCAGCGTGGCCACCTTGACCTCCGTCTTGCTGACAACGCTTGCCGCGCGGGGCTTGTCGTTGAGGAGGGCAAGCTCTCCAAAGTAGTCGCCCTTCTTGTATCGGTTGACGGGCTGTTCGGTGCCACGCTTGAAGACCTCTGCATCGCCGCTTTCGAGGATGAAGAAGGCCTCGCCAACATCGCCTTCCTTGATGATGGTGGTGCCGGCCGGGTAGCGGCGGGTTTCGAGGGCGTCGGCAATCTTCGAGCGTTCGTATGGCGTGAGCGAGGTCAGCAGCGGGACCTCCTCGAGGAAGCCCTCGTACATGCGTCGTCTCTGGAATGCGCTGTCCATGAGGATGCGGCGGAAGGTGACGCGATCGAGCGCCCACAAGGTGGAACGCTCGGTCGATACGACCGTGGCAGCGCGTGGAGCGTTGTACATCAATGCGAGTTCTCCAAAAGAGCCACCCGGACCGACATTGCCAACCTTGCTTCCAAGCCCGTCTGGTCCCGACGCTATCTTGCCAGACGGATTGACGTAAATGTCAAAGGAGCCGTTCTCGACAACGTAGAAGAAATCACCAACATCACCTTGCGATATAACCTTGATGTCCTTGGCCGGGATCGGCTTCTCTTGCAGCGCGCCCAGCACGGCGGTAGACTGATCGTCGTCGAGGGGCGCGAAGAGGAAGTTGCCCGACACGGCCGTCTTCAGTCGAGACCACTGATCTGCCGTCTTTTGATGGAAGGGTGGCGCCCAGTTGTCATTCTGAGCGGATGTAGGATTGAGAGACTCAGCGGAGACGGATGTGCGGCGATTGAGGTTATAGTTTGAAGGAAAGCTTTGAGGATCCGAGGCGGAGGAGGACGAAGGAGGAGGAGGAGCGGAGGACTTGGAGGTAGCACTGCTGCCAGCCGGAGCGAAGCCGCCGAAATTTCCAAAGCCAGATTCGGCTTTGGATGAGGAGTGAGCAGGTCTGTCCATGATGTTGCGGGGAAAGGACGAGGCGGTGGGAGAGGTCATCTGGTCGGTCTCGTCCTCTTCCTGAAGGGCGTGCATGGCGGTATTACTGGGAGAAGAACCGAAAGGATTGCTGCCGGGGAAATTTGTTGTGGCCATGGCGCCGGCGTTTGTGGAAGAAAGTTGCTGTGCGAGCACAAACTCGGCACGCTGAGACTGGAGACGTTTCTGGAAGTAATTGGCGCAGAACTGGAGATGGTCTGTCGGCAGGGATCTCAGGTACTCGCGAGTCAGGGCAGACAGTTCATTGGCGAAGTCGGATGGCAGGTCCGACATGGAGGAGGGAGAAGAGCAAGAAGAAGAAGAAGAGAAGAAGAGAGATCAGGATGAAGCTGGAGAGTGTCGTCGGAGTAGAGAGGGGCAAGCAAGGGCTTGTTGTGTGGGTCGAGCTTTGTGGGTGGAGGTGGAGGTGGTGTCAAGGTGGAAAAGGCTGGCGGGGAGAGGAGCAGCAGAAAAAAAGCCAGGGCGCGCGCGGGCGCAGTGCTGGTCCTAGCGACTGGGGGATCCAACGACGATCCGGAGCAGAGGCGTGGATGTGTCTTGTTGTCTTTCTTGTATTATGTGGAGAGTGAATGACGAGTGACTGGTAGATTGTAGATGACAGCTGATGGCGTATGGATGTACTCTCTTGTATGAAAAGGGTGAATTGGATGGATAGGATGAGGATGTTGAAGGATGACAAGAGAGAGAGAGAGTTGTGGGTGGAAGAGGATGATGTGCAGCGGAGTTGTACAGTAGAGGGGGACAGAGAGATGAGTGCAGTTGCAGCAGTTATTCCGCAGTATTTTTTAGGCACCATGGCAGCCAGTTTAGGCACCCGAGACCCCCCCGTAAGCAGCGGAAATAGGGAGCATGGGCAGCTAATTCTGCTTTTTCCCGCCCATCTTTTAGCGGGTACAGCACTTTCACCAGCGGGCGGCGGCGGTTAAGGGGGGACTGACTCTCTTTTAGCGGCTGCACTTCAGTCAAGCCCCTGACGCCGGGGACAGGGGCGCGCACCCACAGCCCGTTTTGTGGTTTTTGCAGGCTTCGAGAAGCTTTCTAGACGCCGCAACGAAGCTTCATGTCCGTTCGCGCGGACAATTGACTAATGATGTTCACGGCGTGTACTGGACATTTAACATTACATGCATACACAGACAGGAGTCGTCGGGAGAGAATGTCCTTGGCCTGATCCGATCATGATGCAATGCGATATCTCGTCGTCTGCTAGCCATATATGTACCGGTAATACACTACACCACCACCTCTATACACGATAGTTACTCAGGATGGCCATGCTAGAACAATCATCCATCATACTGCATCTCTACTACAACAACAACTACAACACAACGACAACACACAGACAAACACACACACCTACGTTGGGCACCCGGACTTTCGCGGATCTACTCCAGATGCACCAACTACATCATCGTCAGGCACGATGATGACGTGCAGAAGGACAATCGGCACTCAGTTAAGTCCATCACCAGTCATGCGGATGTTTAGCTTTGGCTCTTTCGACTGAATTATCTACGGTTCCCTGGCAAGACCCTCACCGTCGCCCAGATGGCAGAGTGCACGTCATCTACAACCACAGTCAGGACCGCGCTCGTGCTCTAGCATAGCCAGTGTACCACTGAATACAATGGATACTCCTACTAATTATCCATGACCGTCTAATCATCACTTCAGACTGTGCACAGTCAAGATGAGTGAGTCTGTGTCTGACTGAGTGCACGGTGCTGGCCTGTTTGTTGCCAGTGAAGCCCAACAAAACACACTTAGCTTTGTTCCATTGTCTTTCTCCGCCCTGGCCAAAACACCAATTGCTCTCTCCCTCTCGCAATCTTGTTCATTATAATACTCATTAGTCCTGTGGCGTATCGTCGTTTGTGCGTGCAGTGCTAGTTGATCATAGCGACTGGGGCTCTCTGCCGTGTTTTGTGCTGCTCTGCTCCAACAGCCTCCTCCCCAACCTCTTCCTTTCTTATACACTACCACTACGCCTAGCCTTCCATCCACCACCACCACCACCACCACCACCACCACCTTCATATCCCTCCCTCTCTCCCTCTCTCCCTCTCTCCCTTTTCTCCGGGACCTGTCGCTCGACAATCCCAACCCTTCTTGCATCATATCTCTTTCTCCTGCGAGCCCTGTAGGCTGTCCGACAGAACGAGAACGCGAACCTTGGAAGCTAGCACTAGCTGCACCCCACTCATCGGTCCGCTGCTGCTGCTGAATTGCTGCATCTTGCATCCCTTCGCATTTTCCTCGTCCAGCTTTTGCTACTTTCAACCCGATCCGAAGCCTGAACCATGGCTACCTACACCTTCAAGTGGTATGTTGACTCCCATCTCCGTCCACTCTCTAGCCATTGCCTTGCTGATCCCATCCGTGCAGGGAGGATGCCAACGCCGAAGAGGTCATCATCACCGGTCTCTTCGACGACTGGGCAAAGACTATAAAGATGGAGGGGAAGAGTGGTTTCTTTAGCAAGACGGTCAGGATCCCCGCCGAACACATAGAAGAAGGCAAGAAGATCTACTACAAGGTATGGAAATTTGCGCGTCGCCTGCTGCAATTTCAGGTGCACACTCTCACACTTCACATACTGGGAAGCCGCGTCCCGGCCTCCGTCTCCATTATTATAAAGCCGTGTGATCCCGCCCTTGCCTGTCCCTGTCCTGTCACCACCTCCTGTTTCCAACTTCCCTCCATTCTTCCTCACCTCATCATCCACTTTACTTACACACACACGCTCTCTCTCTCTTTGCACTCCCCCATCTGACACGCCCACCTGCAGTTCGTTGTCGACGGCAATTGGGTCACCAGAGACGACGCTCGCGGCGAGTACTACGGCAGCTTTTACGACAATTTCCTATTGCCCGAAGACCTCACGACAGACCCAGCACACTCCACTACCACACCCTCCACCATATCTTCTGTTGCCCCCGGAGCATCCACCACCACAATGGCTGGCGAGGTACCCAAGGAGCCTAGACTCCAAGAAGAGAAAGACGTGCCTGGTTCATTCCCAGAGACTCCTGGCGCAACTCCTGCTGGAGAGGCCCAGACATTCAGCGTGAACCCAATTCCAGCCTCAGAAGGTGTCGGAAACCCAATCCATCTCGCTGCCGGTGAACCTGTCCCAGACCCCAGCACCTTCAACAGCAATACCATCGCATCCACCGTTGAGGATGGCGTGACCTCGCAGCCAGACGCCGAGGCTGACACCTTCTCGGTTGCCCCAATCCCTGCGACTGCCGGTATAGGCAACCCCGTCACCCTCGCACCTGGAGAGAAGGTTCCAGACCCGAGCACCCTCACGTCAAACACCGTTCAGAGCACTGTCGAGGACGCTACTCCAGAGCCTGAAGCCGAGAAGACCTTCTCTGTAGCTCCAATTCCCGCTACGGCTGGGATCGGCAACCCAATAACGCTTGCCCCCAACGAGGCAGTGCCTGATCCAAGCACACTCACCTCAAACACCATCGAAAGCACCGTAGAGGATGATGCCAAGGCCGACACCCTGCCGCAAGAAAACGGCAAGCCTAGCAATGGCTCTGCAATGTTTGGTGTACCGCCTGTCACTAGCACTCTCATCCCAGAGTCCAGTCTGCCGATGGGAGGTGGTGACGCTGCAGAGGATGTCGTTGCCGGTCCATTCATCTCGTCTGCCGGAGCTGGTACTACTACTGCGGACCTTGCTGGTCAGGTGCCGAAAGAGCCTCGCGCCGCTCCCTCTGACCCAACTATCCAGTCGGTTGCGCCCGAAAGCACCACAGCCGCTCTTGCTGCCGAAGTTCCAAAAGAGACTCGTGAAGCCCCTGCTGACCCGACAATTTCATCTGCCGGAGCAGGTACTACCACTGCTGCCCTTGCCGCCGAAGTCCCCAAGGAGACTGCAGAAGTCCCGGAGATTGTAAGCGAATCGCAAGCAGCAGCCGACGCCGCGCCAGAAGCTTCAGCATCCGCGCAGGCAGTCACAGACAAGTCGGCCGTAGAGGCTGAGCTTCTCAAGGAGGTCGAGCCAGCGCCAGCGGCTGCGGAATCTGGATCGGCCCCATCCTCGGACGCCGTCGTTCCGGACGAAGTGAAGGAGTCGATTGCGAAGGCCGATGCGCCTGCCGAAGCGACTACCAATCCGGTGGCCGTCACCGAGAAGGCGGCTGTCGAAGAGGAGCTCAAGAAGGCTGTCCCAGAGGAGAACTCCAAGGGCGAACCCGCCCCTACCACGACCGCATCCACCTCTGCAACGGCGCCCGGCGATGGAGCGACTGCTACTACTGACAAGGAGTTTAATGCCTCCAAAGACTCGCCTGCACAAACACCGGCAACAGCAGGAGCAGCGGCGGCGGCGGTCAGTGTGCCATCAGGTCCAGCGGACAGCCGTGATGTGAGTCCGATGAGCAAGACGGCCACTAAGAATCATCCTAACGTAGGGCAGCAATCGACGCCAGCGGTCACGACCGGCGCGACGACCACCTCTGCCTCTACGAAGACGGAAGCCGGCCCCGTCACTCCCAAGAAAGACGCGCCGTCCAAGGCCTCGGAGTCGGAGACGACGGCGAGCAAGAAGAAGAAGAACCGGCTGAGCGGCTTCTTCCACAAGATTGAGGAGAAGATCAAGGGCCACAAGGAGAAGTAGACACACGAATGCATGCGAAATGAAAAGAGCACATGACATGAACGGTCGGTCGTATGGAGAAGACTCATTCTTAATAGACGTGGCAGTGACAGCTTGGCGGGTGATGTATTAATGGACATGGTGGTGGAGGTGGAGGAGGAAGAATAAGATTGGACATGTAGGCAGCCAGACGTGCATGTTCGCAGATGGGGGAGGAAGCAGATACCAAATGTTTTTTGCGTAGTAGCGTGCTTGATTGCATTGGAGGACACGAGAGAGACGAACTGTTTTGGTTGTTGTTTTTCCCCGTCATTGCAATGGTGCGTTTAGTCGTTGTTGTTGTTGTTGTTGGCATATACCATATTGCGAATGCATCTTCTGTTGAGCCGCCTGAACACGTGCATCTATTGCGTCCCTGTCCTGTGAAGTCGATCGTCGATCTACGCATGTGAGAGTGTGTACGTATACATGCGTGTACGTATGTATGTATGTATGTGTGCATGTACGTCCTAACACGCAGCAGAGATAATGTCAAAAGGTCCCGATTCGAATAAGAACAAAGCCACAACAATCTCTATCTAATATATTACATCGCCGATTCTTTCACGATTTATCGCCAAAATTGTGTCGAGTAAAGTGTCATGTGCAAAGTGCAAAGTGTCGAGTTCTAGATTCGACATTCTAGACTCTGGACTCTGGACTCTGGACTCTATCTAGACTCTGGACCTGAACGTGCGATGCTGCGATGCTGCGATGCTGTGCGCATTTGTCGATGGGAGGAGTGCTGGTGTGGGAGTGCTGGTGGTGCTGGTGGTGCTGGTGGGAGTGTTCTAGACTTTGAGCGGGCTGTGTGTGCCAAGGCTGGGGACGGGAGTGGTGTAATTATCGGTCGGTGTTTCTTCGGCGCCTGTTGGGAATGGGGTCGTTGGGATGTGAGTTTGGATCTAGATTGCGGGGAGATGTGTGCTTTGTTGGATGTGCATAGAGGATGAATGGATGGGTTGATGGATGGATGGATGGAGAGGTTTGGGGGAGGGAGAGGTTGGGAGGAGGGAGGAGATGGGAGGATGGATGGGTGTAGAGACGGGGTTGATTATATACTGTTTGTTCTATTAGGCTGCAAGTGGAAAGCTGGCGAGCTATGGAGTTGGCAAGGTATGAAGCTATTAAGGTGTGAAGCTATTAAGCTATGAAGCCGTTATATGACTGGCAGGCTGTGAAGCTATGAAGGTATCAGGCTATGCAGGTATTAAGGTATTAAGGTATTAAGGTATCAAGCTATGGAGCTATGAAGGTATTAAGCTATGAAGCTATGAAGCTATGAAGCTAATAGCTAATAGTTAATAGCTAATAGCTAATAATTGCTTATACTAAACTTAATACATTCTCTAGTCTCTCCTACTACATTCAGTATATATATAATAGTAGTAGCTAGATATAGATTAGTCTATATATATATCTACCATCTATAAAAGTACACTACTAGATCTATGGATTTCTAAGTAAGAGTGTGTTATTTTATTACTTCTAGAGTGTCTAATCTAAGACAGATAATGCGAGCATAAGACGAATTATACCAGAGACATCTTTTCCAAAAGATGCGATGATATAGTCTTAATACCCTACTCGGATTTGCATATCTCGTCCGATTGATAGGCTTATTATCGAACTAGTTACGAAGAGGACTTACATCTTTAAGAAAAAAACAGGTTACTAGTGAATGCTAAGAGAAGTGAATCTAATTACGTGTTTAACGAATCTACACCCGGGAGAAATATAGATAGCTATATACAAAAGAAGAATAGCAGTCTATTAAGATATATACTACATCCCAAGTCCGACCCTCATCTTCTCTCTTCTCTCTTCTCTCTTCTCATACAGCGTAACCAAGACAAGACAAAACAGGGATTACATCAGGGTATCATATTAGTCCGTACGTAAAGCCACGAATTAAAAAAAATCTAAGCAAAGACGATGGCTTGACACGCGACTCTAAGTATAGCAGTCCTCGAACAGTACGGTCCTACCACGTGTCTCGGGCGGGTACGGACGTGCAGCATGGATTACCTTGTGTGGTAGGTGGGTAGGTGGATACAGAATGGGTCCTGGGTGGATAGAAAGTGGACAGCAAGTGGATAGAGTGATATGTGGGTAAAATGACACAGAGGCTGTCGAGAGTCGTATGATGTAGAGTTTGGAAAATGTTTTAAGAGCTGTGCATAGATACTTGAGCAGATGAGTAGATACGTACACGGCGGGAGGGAGGGCTAGGTGGTCAATTAGAGCGAGGTGCAGTGCAGGGAATGATGGAGTGATATCTTATGCTGTGTGGCGCATGGTGTGGCAACGGGCGTGGCTGGAGGTGTACATTGAATATTGGTATGTAAGGCGGGCATCAGATGACTGCAAGCGTGCGTACACTACATCCTCAGCCGCGTAGTACACATCCCATCCTGTCGTCAGGGCTGAGCCGGGAGTTCTAGCGGCGATGGTTGTCGCTCTCCCGCTAGTCCGGCAGCATCGACGCTAACAAGAGCGCTAAGAGAGACGCTAAGCAAGACGCTAAATGAGACGTTTGAGGAGCAGATGGCAATGTGTTGCTCGAGTGAATGTGATGTGATGGTGAATGCGATGCTACACCACTGCCATTGCATTAGGTCTGCAGCATCCCAGCAACAGTCGGCTGTCAGTCTATATCATCCGTCGTCTGCACATGGCACACAGTCACTCACTACTGCCACTGCGCACGGAATCACTGCAGCCCGAGACGCTGGGTGGTGGTGGTCTAGAGTCTAGACCACGGGATGCGCGTGGGCCCAGACCTCGCTCAGGGCTGTTCTATTTCGATTCGGACAGGGGGGGCAACAGGTGGATGGGAGAATCAACACTATAACCCACTTCCCATACACTCGCACGCTCTCTTGTCAAACTTTCCGATCCATCTGCCATCGACCGTCTTTCCCATACTAGCCATGCGCGACTGGGCCACCGCCTCTGCTCTGGACATGGAATTCTAAACCCTCTCTCTCTAGGCCCACCCACACCCATCGGACCATCTGCCCGGTCCAGATCTTTGCTACTGATATACACTCTCGGCCATGCCTCCATCGTGCCCGTCTTCTGTCGTCACCTGTGTTTCACTTTCTCTTTTCTTGTACCTCCCTCGGTCGTGTTGTTGCTGGCCGTGATACCTACCGTCAGTGGACCGTCTCCCGGATACACCGCATCATCCTTCTGGCAAACGCCAATGCCGGAACTCGCAGACGTGCTGGACCGTCTGGGTCTGTCCCAGTACCTGTCGGTCCTGTCTGAGAATGGCTTCGAGACGTGGGACGTCGTCATGGACGTGACAGAGGACGACCTGAAAGAGCTCGGCTTCAAGATTGGCCATCGCCGGACGCTGCAGCGCGAGATTGCAAACTCCCGTGGCCTCCCTCCAGCCGCCCAGCTGTTCTCCGAGTCGGACATTCGCTCCGAGAGCTCCTCACCGCTGCCCACCACCTTCCCGGGCATGGACTCTTTTCCGTTTCCTGCCCAGCCGCCCACCCCGTCCAAGACGCCGACCAAGGAGGGCGGGAAGAGGAGGTATCGCAGACATCCCAAGCCGGACCAGCATGCCCCCAAGAAGCCGCGGACCGCGTATGTGAACTTTGCAGACAACCTCAGGCTGGACCCGGCCGTCAGCAGTCTTTCCTTTGTTGACATTGCACGTGAGGTTGGTCGACGCTGGCAACACCTCCCCGCCGAAGACAAGCATCGATGGGAGTGTGCTGCCGCCCGTGCAATGCAGGAGTACGAGATGCAGATGGAGGCATACAAGAAGACAGACGCATATGCCAGATACCAGGACTACCTCGACGACTTCCGCCGCAAGCAGGCCGCCCTCAAGGACCGCGGCACCCCATACGGGAATCCCTCCTCTCACACCGCAGACGACCGACCACGGAGCCATCAATCACAGGAGCTCCTCCTGCTCGACCGCGCCAGCTCCGGCAGTCCAATGTCCATGGGCAGCGTGGCCACGCCCGAGATGGACAAATACACCGAATCCATGAGCCTCGCCATGAAGGATCTCGCCCACATGCGCGCCGACTTCCTCTCCTCCGGCGTCCAGCTCTATTCCGCATCAAACCTCCCACCCGAACACATCGTCCGCGAAGCCGCACACACATTCCTCACCTCCACCTCCGCAACCATCTTCGCCTGGCCACTCGACCACGTCTCCGCCCTCCTATCCCGGATTTACGCCCCGGGAACGAACACCTCCACCACCACCACCGACCCCATGGCCCTCGCCGAAGCATTCGTCCTCGCCTCCCTCGGCTCCTTCTACACACCCTCCATCCCGCCCTCCATGCGACACGCCCTCCACGCCTCCGCCACCGCTCTCCTCGAAACCGCCCTCCCCTCCCGCACAGACTACCTCCGCACCATGCGCCTCTTCCTCTGCCTCTCCTACCACGCAACCCTGTCCAAACACCTCACCAGCAAGCCCCTCGCCGCCACCGGCCTCCGCCTCGCCCGCTGGAAATACCAGGACTTCGCCCGCCTCCCAGACGCAGACATGTGGCGCCGCGTCTACCGCAGCCTCATCTTCATGGACGCCTGGACCAGCGTCACGCTGGGCTACAGCACCGATATCACCGACACCGACGTCGCAAGCGTCTGCTTCGGCCTCGTTGCCGCCGGCCCAGACGACGCGATTCAGCACTACAGCACCAGCATCGTCGTGCTGGCCGCCGAGGTCGCCGCCTCGCTGCGCACGCCGGCAGCGTGCAGCGCCGAGACTGTCGCGCTCTTGTTGCGCAAGATCGAGCTGTGGGAGCGCGACTTGCATCCGCTCATGCAGCTGCGCAATCTCACCGCCGTCTCGCCCGTCGGCGCGGCCGTCCTGGAGCCGCGACAGCGCCAGGCGGCGCTTCTCGTCCACGTATGTCCCCCCTTTTTCTCCCTCTCCCTCTGATCAATCTAACACCCCCCAACAGATCCTCTACCTCTCCACCATAATCCTCCTCTACACACACCTGCACGCCGCCTCCACATCTACATCCTTACCCCCGCTCCCCCACCACAACCAACACCCCCCCTGGCCCGCCCCCTTCGCCGCCCAAATCGCCCATTCTCACACGCACATTGCCTCCGCAGCCCGCCAGATCGCAGCCTTACTCCCTCTACTCAACACGCATCCCGCAGATGCCCATCGCCGCTGGTGGCTGCGCATCCACGCTGCGTATATGGCTGGCGTGGGACTCTGTTTCGGCGTCGCGGTGCGTGTTGTCGGTGGGAGTACGGGGGAGAGTGCAGCTGCAGGTTCCGGCGCAGAAAAGGCTGATCTGGACGCCGCGAGGGCGTGTATCGGGCATCTCGCGGCTGCGTCGACGTCGACGTCTACATCACCCGCAGCAGCAGCAGCCGCCAACGCTAAAACACACACGGAAGGAACAGCAGACGCTGGAACAGAAACAGGGGTAGAAACAAACCCAAACCCAAACACAGACACAGACACAGACACCGACCCCGCAGCAACCCGCCTAACAACCCTCCTCCGCACCCAGCACGCCGCGCTCGAATCCGTTCTCTCACGCGCTAGTGCCGTGCGTGTGGGCCCGCGCGGGAAGAGTAGTATTTATGCATTGTTGGATGGTGGGAGTAGTGGGAGTGGGAGTGGGAGTGGTAGTGGGACTGGAAGTGGGAGTACAAGTGGTGGTAGCAGACCGACGGAGCAACTGGCGCGACTGGAGGTTTTGCCCGTGTTGAGGGATCTGGAGGGGCTGATGGGTGGGTTGATTGCGGGGGTTCGGGAGGGGTGGGTTGGGTTTTGAGTAGGTAGGGTGGAGAGAGGGAGAGGGAGAGGGTGAGAGAATATTGGTTGGGAGAGGAGGGGAGTAAGGAGTTATAGATACCCGATATTGAGCTGTGTTTAAAAGAATATGTTAAGATATATATATATATATATATATATATAATTACCTATCATTTCATCTCTGTCATGCGCGCCAATATTTAAGCATATACATATAATCACTTACCATCACATCTGTCGTGCGAGCTGACATTGATAAAAAATCTATGCTAGTAGAGACGTCTATGTAGAATAGATCCTATGTCAAAGTGTACCTACCATCCACCGACACGTCAAGACTATGATACTATTCTAAACTATTATTATACTGCCTAGTATATATTCTTCCAAAACCTATGAATATATTCCTAAACTCTTACATCAGCCAAGCATTCACGTACGTATATCTAGAGCGAGGTAGGTAGGTATATACAGGCCTGTCAGACGCGAAAGGGGTAACATACCATATCGCGACATTGAGATGTGGCAACGTCCACTTTCAAATCTCCATCTACATCTATCTCCGTGGCACGGTATTAGTGCTGACTTCGATGTTGATATAAGGTTGTATTGGTCAGGCGACTAAGACTTTACTACCACCGTAGCACATCACTGCACAGAAAAGACGTGAGACTCGAAAAAGGTCTGGGTATGCAGGCAGCACACATGCACACACATTCCATTGATGCAATTCCATCCCAGTCTAGCCTAGCTACGCTAACTACACTACACAACGCAATGCTAATAGTAGATCTAGAAATACACCATACACACACACCCACACACAACGACCAAAGACCAATATGACGTCTAGCTTCACACTCGAGACAACATGTGCATCTCTCCACCCATCCAGATCTCGGCGTTCGAGGGCGGTGATGCTGAAGATTTATTCTCCTTCCTTTTCTAACAAGAAATGAAACGCCGGCGCTGATGCATTCGATGATTCAAAATTATGAAAAAATGGGCGAGGTAGGAGAGCCACGGATAGGCTCTTGACGGCAGGTTCAAGCGAGAAAGCCCTGGCGTCTTCTCCAAACTATCCGATGACCAAGATCAGTGGTCATACTGCTGTATGATCTTTTACTGGAGTGATGCGATCCAAAGCGTAATGATAACCCAAAGAACTTGTGATGAGATCAATAGTGATTCTTGTTGTTGCCAAAGGTGAAACGGCAGTCATGTTTCTTTTCGCAGGGTCGCTGAGAAGTGATTCTACACTTGACGGATAGTCTTATCCGAAGGCTGATGAAGTGACAAGTTGCAACCGTAGTCACATGCTCAAGTCTGTGTCGCAAGTAACAATTATGCGCTGAAAATGGCGTCGCAAGCCGCCATCACTGCCGTAAGTCGCGTCGCAAGGCTAAACATTGCAAAAGAATGCATAACACGCATCAAGAACTGGACCAACCAGTAAGTATAATGCACATAAACAACAGACACCGCATCTCGCAGGCACTTACTAAATCTCCAGGGGTGCAATCTGGTCGACCGTGTACAGCCACCCGCTACCCCTCTCTTCCTTCTCGAGCCAGTCGTATGGCCAGCTGATGAGGTGTCCCTGCACCATGTTCAAGAGGACCTCCGCGTCCTCCTTGTCAAGCATGAGGTCGTTGTCAGTCGCGCTGAATGCTTTGGCTGAGCTCTTCGTGGTTGCGCGTCGGCGTCGCTTCTGGCTGCCGCTCGTACCAATCGGCTTTGCGTCTTCCGAGTACGTGACCGCTCTATTCCGCAGGGCGAAGGCATCATCCTCGGGGATAGGAGGTGGGGGTGGAAATGTCGTCGTGTCGGTTGTCGCCTGTGTATCATGCGTAGAATTGCTGTTACTCTGCCTGAGCGCTGCCTTCTCATCCAAGTGTTCGTCTTTGCCTCCAGTGGTGGGAGTGGATCCGCGCAAGGCCTCGTCTTGTTGCTCTGCAGCCCAAGTCTCAACCTTGCCCATGGGATGATGTGGGTTGCGGTGCTCGATTTTGTCGTGGATATGCTCGTTCAATGCCTCTGCTTTCTTCTCTAAGTTGCCAGGTACCTGCGCAATGTGCGTCTTGTCTCCGCCCGGGGGACCAGTAGCACGAGTCGAGTTTTCGTGTTGTCTACGAGCTGTACTCTTACCAGCACCCTGAGACTGACTGAAGCGTTCACTGAAAGCATTGTATGCTTTGTATTCATCCCATGTTCGCACCTCATTGTCTGGTTGGCATCGGAACACAAGCCGGAACAACTTTGTGTTGTTCTCCGCAATCTGATGCCAGGTGTCGAGAAAGAAATTGTCGGCAACTGGATCACGCATGCAGTCTGGAGTGACGATAGGGCGACGCATCTCTGAGATTAGAGGGTTGACGAGTCTGGCAGTGGCACCACTAAACGATCGCTGGAGAGGCGGACCACCAATATCGGAGTCGTCCATAGGCGGCAAAGCTGGTAGGGTGCTGAGATGCGGTAGGCCCAACGCCTCTGTCAGCATGCGCTGTACTTGGGGTGGCGGTAGTGTTGCATTTCCATTTGGAACGGTCTTTGCGCTCGAACCGCTCGTGGCAGTCTTCACCGTGTTGCTCCGATCCCTTGTCTTGCGATGTCTCTTAGGACTCGGGACTGAGCCAACAGGCCTGCCTTCTGCAGCAATGTTGCTAACGAGGACCTCTCTACCGTTGTCTGTGATCTGCGAGTCACGGCCAAGGAACTCAGGCCGTTGCATGACCTTGAGCATGTTGTCTGCGCCCTCGCCACGGACATCTCGTTCGTGCTCTTCGTTTCTAGTCACACGTGAGTCCGCAGTGACCTTCTTATTCGCAATCAGATGAGGATTGTTTTCTTGTTCCCAGTCCACATCGTGATTGAAGCTGTGTAGTCGGTCGGCCTTGGCTATGAGTTCGTCCTGAACCCTGTGTTGCGACTCTATCAATTTCTGCTCCGTCAATTTGTCTGAAGCTGGAGAAGACGGTATCGAGGCCTCGGAGTTGAACTCTGCCTGCTCACGCTCCCACTGCTCACTCTGGCATTCTTCCTCCATCAGCTCATCAACGTCTATGCCAAGATGCTCGCGCATCAGACGCATCCGAAGAGTGTGTGCGAATTTCCCGACCTTGTACGGCTGACCAGCCATATATGAATCTATCAATTCCGTATCTCGAACGATAGCAGCGACCTCGGAGTCCCTTGATCCAAGCATGGAGCGTTCGTTGATGTTGGCCGATCCAATGATGGCAACACGATCATCCACGACCATGCATTTGGCATGGATGTAGAGTTGTTCTGTTACAAGCGTCTTGTTTGGTCCAATCTTACCCCAAGACCGGAGAGCGTAGAATTGGATGTAATCCTCCGGCTCGATGCCGGCAGCCCTCAATCGGCCGAAGATTGAAGTCGGACCTCGACAAATGCTGCGGTACTGGCAAGTCATAATGAGTCGGACACTGCTGCCGTCTTGGCTGTCGACTGTACTCTGGAACCCAGGCATAAGCGGGATCACAATGACTGCTCTCCAGTCCTCATCGTTGCGCTCCGCACGCTTGATACGTTCGACAAGCGCGTCGCCGATGTGGTTCTGCATCTTCGTTCCCTCGATAGTACAGCTGCTGATGAAGAACTGATTTTCGATGTAGACAAAATGATCAGAGGTTTGAATCATCTTCATGTAGGCTTGCATAATGCTGTCCTCGACCCTATTAGGTGTACCCATTGACCAGCTGCAAGCAGAGCGCAGCATTTGGACCTCACAAGTGCCATCGAGGCCGAGTGCTTCTAGATCAGCAGGATTGAAGTCAGGTGGGGGTAATAGAAAGGGTGTTGGACGCGAGGGTTTCCTTTGGCGGAGGATATAGTTCCATCTTTGCACAAAATGGCGAGTCAGATCGCGAGCAGGTTGGCCCACAATCTGCATTCCAATGTCATGCCACGGCATACGTGGAACTTTGGCACGGTCATACATTTCCTCGTACGGCTTGTCCAGGTTATAGAAGTCCTGAACACGCGGGTTCGAGTAATCTTTTCCAGGCCAAAGCTGACAGTGGTCAGCATCCTTTGGTGCATCACTAAGCTCAAAACCTGTGAGTTTGTCGTCGATAACTGAATGCTGAGGGGTGTCCCATCTCCCAAAGCAGAGATCTATACCACCACAGAAGGCCACGGTGTGATCGATAATGCAAATCTTCTCGTGGTGAGCCCAGAAGAACGTGTTTTGCCTTAAATGGTTCGGCGAGCGTTGGACAAAGACGTTCGGGTGAAGATCCAGTAGTGAGAATTTAGAGTATTCGGAGTCGATCGGTATCGCTGTATTGATATTCCGGTACATGATCACGAAGACTTTGACTCCTTCTTGGGCCTTGCGTTGCAGTAATCTGTCAAGTCTCCATTTCTGGCTGATGGCTGCGGGTCGTCGCATGTACAGCTCTGGGCTGAGCCACCAGTCGTGAATGTATATCACGTCACGGGCCATACTTATGGCCCTGGAAACGTTCCACATGTAATCTCTTCCGTCCACAAGCCATTGAGCAAAGACGTTGTGCCGCACTGGTGCAAAACTGCCGAATCGGTGCTCTTTCGCCCAATCTGTTAATGAGACCATAAATTTGATGGAATCTTCAAACTGTTGCAGCTGACGTTCATTCCTGGCAAGCAGCTTGATCTTCCTCTCCGAGTTGGACACTTTCAGCTGGTGGTGTTTGGGGTGAGTCGCTGAAGCCTTTGCCTTGCTTGCTATCTCTTGTGGTTTTGAGTCGCGGAGACGCTTCTTGATCGTGTCTAGCTTGAAGTCTGAGTCTACCAAGAAGACATCGTACACATTCATCTCTTCCGGAGAGTCAACACACACGATATAGCTGTGCCGAACCAGGAACCATTTCGGTGAGTGCCTCGCCGCTACCAGCGCAGGATTCCAGGCTCTTCGAAAATCGATTCCTTTTCCGGACTGGATTACCATCAAGCCCTCCTTGCCATGGTAACCGCCTTCCGTGGCTAGACGAACCCCAAGAGCAGAGAGTTCGAGAAATTTGCACAGTCTATTGCTGTCCGCACGGAAGATGAAGTATGCTATGAGCTGTTGCAAGTAGATCTGGAGTTTCTTCCTTTGCCGTTCGGCGTACGTCTCTTTGCGGCCACCGGCGGTAGCTGATGCTGACGTTAGCACACCCGCAACACTACCATTTCTGGCTGTTTCGGCGCCTAGACCTGGAGTCTGCGGGCCAGATATACTGGACTTCCGCCGCGCAAAAGCAAAAGAAGACCTTTGCCGGCGTCGGTGTGGGCGTTGAGGGCCTTCCGGGCCGCTTGCCTCTCCTTCGGGGGCACTGGTAACACCGAACTCTTCCTCCTCTTCCTCTTCCTCGCCGTCATCGACCAGGCCTCGCATTCCACGAAGATATGGGAGAGCACTCCTCGGAAACCTGGGGAGCTCATTTTTGCTAGAGTCTTTCAGACCAAGGCTGAGATACTTGTCCGATTGGGCTTGTAGCTTGTACTTGATGTGCAGGTTGGCAAAGTCTCGCAATGTTCTGTGAATCACCCATTTCATCCGTGTCAGACCACTCCCATATTCCAGCTCGATACGAAAGAGCACATGTCGATCGCCACCTTTGTTTTCAATTCTTTCACTATCAGCAATTCGAATCTTGAGCTGTTCCAAGAGAATTGGTATCCTCTTATGACCATGCTCATCACGTTGGAACATGCTTGCCAATAAGAGCGCAGCTGGAGCGCCTGCTAACAGCTCAGCCATGAGCTCAGCAGACTTAGCGTGGTCGACTTTGTTTTCCTCTTTACGCTTCTGGCCTAACATTTTCAACCCGGCTTTCAGTTGCCGCCACTTCTGGGCACTGATACTAGAGGTACGCTCTCCTCGTAATCGCCAAGCTGATGGCGAAGCTTCTGTGCCCTGCGGATTACTACCCATTCCTGTGAATCTTCGAAGGTTCATGGGTCTCCTGCCTTCCGGGGTCTCTAGATTTTCGTTCCGACGTGTGTATGTCAGTCCCCGAGCCGCACTGTTCATACCACGCGCCCAAGCGCTCTTCTTTGCTATTCTATCACGGCCCTCGTCCTCAGAGACGCCCACTCTTTGATTTTCAGGTATATCTGTCATGGTAGCACGACGTCCAAACATCGGACGAGGCGATGTAGGGGTAATCGTCGGTGAGTCGCGGAGGAAAGAAGACATCTTTGAAGCCGCTTTTGGCGTAGTCGGTGCAGTATGAGTGCCTCCTTCCGGATTCCATGGCCGACGAGATCTCCTTCTCGTTCTAAGGTCTGATGGTCCCTCACCACCGCTTTCTTCTGCGTCTGCCTCATTTCCATCACCGGTGGGAAAGTATGGTTGATCTCTTTCATACAGGGGAGTGCCCAGCCCAGGTGGCTTTTCCTCGATAGTGGGGCCAGCGATCGTGAAACTGCTAAAAGTTCTCCCATGAGTCTGCATGGCAGTTGGCGTCGCCAGAGCTTTGAGCTTTGAGAGTAGTGATTGCCCTTGTTTTGAGCCCGCATCTGCATCCCCTACTTCTCTCGATTGATTCCGTGAATGGCCCTGCTCGAATGTTTCAGACCGTGACGATGCAAATTGTACACTCCTGCGATCAACAGACTCTATTTCGCTTTGGTTCGTTGCTTTGCGGGACGGAGGAGCGAGGGATGGTGGCTTTGATGCTGGTCTCGAATCGATCCCGCCATCATATCGGCCTTCCACAACGTCCGGAGCAGAATTGCTAGCCCGACCATGTGGGAAAGGAAACTCTTGGGGCTCAGTGAGCTGGGAGACAAATTTTACAGAACCTGGTGTTTCTGGAAGTGGAAGATCCTCATTCTTTGTACCCTTGTTCTCCCTCACGATGCTTGGCTGCAAAGTACGTTGGGAGGGAGCGGTCTGGCGTGCAGAATTGTCTCTTTGGGCGTTTGGCGAAGTCAACGGAGATACCGCGTCGGGGGAGGTCGCCATCTGTGGTTGAAGGTTCGCCGCAGTCGACTTATACCGGGTGTGCCTATTGCAAAGATTTGCGATGAACGACCTGCTTGCCTTGTTCAGCCACAGATGGTTCCAGATATGATCCTGTGTCCCGTCTCTTGAGAATGATCAGGCCACAAAGTTGTTCTGTTGTATCATGGGATGACAGAGAGTGCATTCCACTGGGAAGGTTGTGTCGTTGATGAGTAGTCTTTAGGAGCTCAGCGAAGCTTATGGGGGGCTTGCCAAACACGTCTGCAGACCTGATGAAAGCTGAAGCATGAGCAGATCAATATATAGAATGTAATGAGACAGAAATGTGAAAGAGTGAAAACGTGGTGGTGCTCACGATTCTGCGTCGTTCGTGTCAGGGAGATTAAAGTTGGCGTTGGCGTTGATCACCAGCTATTACCTGGGCAGGGATAATGCCACCGAGCTACGGCCAGCTAGGCTGCATCAAGGTAGCGCAACGTGGGCATCTACCTAGGTATGGGTAATAATAGTAGCCTATGCCAGGACTAGAGGGGCCCTGGACCATCATGGATCCGTGAATAACGGCCATTCGACTTTGGACCTCGGGCCTTTGGGTTTGGTCATGTCACTGCTTACAATTTACTGTCCATAACGTTCAACATCGTCAACCATCAAGCGTATATACCCTTTTCTGATCATACAATCGACTGACTGGCTCAGACTTCCTCCAACATGGCCGGCTTGAATCCTCTAGAAAACACACACTCACACCACAATACACACCCGGTCTCCCAGAAAACCTTCCCCATCGCTGGCATCCTTACCACGGTCTACGGGCTAGATGAGCTGCCTCCAGACATTTATGAGGTCGCATGTGTCTGGCTCTTGCATCCAAGACTACAAACCAAAAATACAATGGACGCAATTGCATCACAATTGCTATATACATGGGATAGCAGGAAGAAAGCGGCCGAGGGCTCGACCAGCCACCTCAAAGGCCTTATTGCAGTGTCATTCGACCAAAGAAATCATGGAAGCCGTCTGGTAGATAAGGTCGCCAATGAAGCATGGCGTAATGGGAACCCACGCCATGCTCAGGACATGTTTAGTTGCTATCGTGAGTTGCCTGCTTGTTTGTGACTGCGACTTTTAGCTAATGTACTGCATTCCAGATGGCACAGCCCAAGACACGTCTCTACTTCTCTCCTATCTTCCCGCATACGCTTTCCCTACCAACAGTCATAGAATCATGTCGAACTTCGTGCTCGGTGTGTCCCTTGGTGGACATGCTGCCTGGCATTGCATTCTATTCGAGCCTCGCATAACTGCGGCAGTGATAGTGATAGGATGTCCCGATTATACCAGCGTTATGACACACCGCGCAGAAAAGTCCAAATTAAGGACATGGACGGAGACTAGTCCACCAGGATCCGAGTTCTTGGGATCACCAGACTTTCCGCCAGCACTGATGGAAGCGATCCGGCAATGGGATCCAGCTAGTTACCTCAGTGAGGGTAATAAAAGCGAAGAAGTCGTTGGAGATCTGAAACATCGCTTTAGCGAAAAGGTAAAACAGCATCTGTCCGGAAAGCGCATCTTGAACCTATCTGGCGGCGCTGACAAGCTCGTACCTTACTCGGCTGGGCGTCAGTTCCTGAAGAATCTCAAGGAGAGTTTAGATAACCAGGATGACACAGTTCAAGATGCTATACACTTCGAGGACGTCATCTACGACGGCGTTGGGCACCAAATGACAACAGAGATGTCTGTCAAAGCCGTAGACTTCCTTTGCAAGGCGATGAATGGCGGGAAAGATCTGCCTGTTTCAAATCCCTCCTCTGAGCGTAGCAAGATATAGTCTATGGCAGTTCTAGCTATCGGTATCCACTACATCGTGCTTAAGGTCTAGGCCGCATTGTTCAATTAAGAAGGTGAGATCCAACAGCTTTTTTAAAGCATTCCTCAGACTTTGGCCGATGATCTTTACAGCTGTACAGCCTACAATGAACATTGTCTAGCAAACAATCTTCACAAGTCTGCTCTAGCGATTTCAAGATCTCGGGCCAGTTCGTCGACATTCATCATTCGCAACACACATATCAACAAATCATAAGCGTGAGGAGAGAGTGCAAGGGCTCGCACAAAAGAAGCTACAGTTGTCGTTCCGTAGCCACCCATGGCTGCACTTTGAAGTATTGCGAAGATGCTCCCAGCGGCAGTTAGCGGTGTCTGTACGAACGCCGCAAATGAGCCTACAAAAATCAGTAAATCAATCGATGCAACAGTTCGTGGTTTGGGTCTCGCAGTCAATGCTTGGTACATACCACCGATAGGCCCTAAAGAACCCCATCCAAGCAGATTGAGGATTGGAATCGACACAGTAGTGGGATTGAGAACCACAAGGGCACTCAGGATGCGCATTACGAACTGTATAGGATTCTCTTTGGCATACCGTACTGTGTCGTCCGTGACCGAATCAAAAACTTGCTGCAGAAATGGAAGCATACCCGCAGAACACCAGTCCATATCCTGCTGAGTATATGAATTGCTAAACAAGCTGGTCAGCATGTCTAGCCTGATATTCAAGTCATCCCCCACCTTGACTCGGAGTGTCCTTCAGCATTCTCGCCAGACGCACGACGCGAGGACCATATGGCAGCGGTGTCCGCTATTAGCGCCTCAAGGTTTTCCTGTGACGCGCGGCGGCATTCAGTGTCGCAAACGATTCGGGATTCCATCTGTGAACGTAGACCTAAATGTGACTGGGACTGGAAAGAGACATGTCTGATAGGGCGTATCAGTCTCGCGTATCAGAAGAATATCTGACAAAAGCTCTGGCTAGCTAGCGACGAACCTTCCAACTAGATCTCCCTCTGCGTTCAGGGCGAGTCGATACTCAGGCATTGTATTGGTATCTATTACTGTTAGCATCCTCGATAGACCTTTATAGATCACGAACCTGTGCCAATTGATCGAGCGAAGCTTGGTAACGAAACGAAGTACGGATGATCGAAGTTTCAAAGAAAGGATTTTCTCTGTAGGCAAGGGGATATCAAACGAGCCCACATGAGAACAGTTTCGTAAGTCAATGGTCTTGATACATATTCATAGCTCGGCGTTGCTCACTGGTTTAGGTCCAATCGAGCGTTTTGTCATCTCGGTTAACTACACGAGCGACACTGTTTTGTCTCGCAAACAGACTGTTTCACCCCGGTAACTTGCCTTCCAAATAATTAGCGCGTTCTCGCCGAGCTTTCACTCTAAAGCTCGGCCGGTTTGGTCACCAAACTCTGCCGATGGAGGCCAAGAGGTACTATTCAGCTTGTTATAATCGCCGGGGCAGCTCGTTTGAGTATCCCCTTAGCAGTGCCTAGGTCTCATATCTAGACCTTTCGGCCCATGCTCTCCAACTCGTGTCTTGCCGATGTATACGTTCGTTATCATCGGCTAAAGGAGACGGTCGTAGCGTTTACATACGAGTCTTGAAGTGGCCTGTCATAACGAGCAGGAGAGAACAATGTTGTCAGTATCGGATTCAAGGATACAACGGAAGCCTCTGCTGGGAGAATTCCAGCTGCTTCAGAATAAATGAATCGTCCAACGATGTAAGGGTTATATTCGCAAGGGTGGAAATCTTCACATGCGTTCGAAGCTCTACCGACTTCAACAGTGACCGCAATCATTGTCGGATCGATCATTAATGACACGACTAATTGAAGTCTGTACAGTGACAACGTGATTCTTATGGTTAGTTCAGCTGATTCTGAGGGACAGGCGGACCTTCCATTATGCCAAAGAAATGCGTTCATCGCGCAATGTCAGGCTGTTATCATTAATCAGCCGAGTCTTTGTCGTCGTCTCATATGCCATGGGCGCAGCTCTGTAAGATGTATACATTGGATCATAAATTCGTGTCACTTTGTTCTTCAAAAGCCCAACTATAACCAGACTAGAAAGTCGAAAACGAAGCCTTTCTACACGTACTTTCATGTGCCAACAGATCCAGCTCCGACAACTTCGACCTCTTCAACGAACCATCCTCCAGCACGATAGGAAACTGCCACATTGCCTCGATGACTGCCATAGACATCATCGCCCCCGAACCCACGTGGAGGATGACTGCTACGCCATGATGCTTCTAAGACAATCAAAACAAAGCCTCGACATCGCGGACTGTACCATCTATTCCCCGGCGGCAGTCAGCATCTAGGCCCCACGTATCCATCGCCCCCTGCATCACGGAGAATGCATCGCCCCACTTACTCCTGCTCTAGCGTCTGCGTCGTGTCCGCCACCGTGGACGTGGACATGGCCTGACGGGGCTGCTGCATAGTTTGTCATAAAGTCCTTCTGGAACAAGATGATGTGGGCTATGGTGTCTCTGGCTGTGACTGCCGGACCGACCAGCTGGTCGGCATGCCCGATGCGCTGGGTGACTGTGCATGATAAGGCTTGGGAATGTGGGGTTTTGTGCGTGATGCGATGCATGGATGCAGGTGAGGTTGAGGAGAATGCAAGGCCGGATGCTGGTAGGTGGAGCTGAGATAGAGCATTTGAAGATGAACTTGGCAGAACTTGGATGTGGAGGTGTACTTTTGTGGTAAGCAAAGGCTTTGGCTGTCGACGAATTTCGATCCCGTTGCATGAACCGGAGTGCAAGAACAACCGATTGCTGTCAAAGCATCGTATATATGTCTACCCATGGATTGCAAAATCCTATATGTCAAACATCAGTACCGCCAACATGAAAGCAGCCACCCATCCCAACTCCCTCCAATATGCATATGCCCGCAGCCCAATCCCTCACCACTAAATCCCTAAATCCCTTGCAATATCAAACACTGCAAAGTCCCATGCCAATTCGCATTCACTCGCGTAAAACACGTATCCCCACCTGCAACACCCACATCATTTGTACGCGCATCCGTCCGCCCCTGCGCCTCTGCCTGCTTCTTAGACATGTAAGTCTCGGTATGGCCGGCCAGCAAAGCCTGCCCGCACTGATACGGCGTGCCGGTGAAGTAGCCGCCGTACTCGGCGCGAATACGGAAGTGCTTGGTTTGTGGAAGTAGTTGAGTGAGTACGTTGCCTGATGACAGACGGATGTACGCGCCGTTGCTGCGCGGGGTTAGAAGGAACGACTAGGAGACGGGACTCTGGGGGAGTGCTAACCATTGGTCGTTGTCGAATTCGAGGACTTGGTAGTCGGATACATAGCCGAAGGCGGCTGGGTGGGCGAGAGTGAGGGTGGCAAGGAGGGTGGCGAGAATGGTGGCGAGGAGCATGGTTCTGACTGATGTGTATGGTGTGAGTAGAGTATTGAGGATATGAGCTCCGGGCTTCTGCTATTATCTCTATGTTGAAGTTTCCGGAATAAAATAAGTGATACTTTTGGTGGTATTATGTATCTTTAAGGTGTCACATTCACAGTCTGGTCATATTCGTGGGTTAAACTTGACATACTTGAAGTTGTACTACCATGATAGTAGCATCTCTTCAATGAGTTACATTCAATCACAGGTCTTTGTCATTACTGCCCATTCACCCTTAGTATGCTCGGTGCAGCAGATCGGTTGTTCAGCCGCCAAAAGACTATGCCACCCTAACTCTCCCATTGCATGAGTCAATACGACATGAATTGAGGATATAACCGAGTCTGCTAACTCCCTGCATCTATTTAGGATGGCAACTCAATGACTGGTGCTAAGTATTACAATTGTGCATATTTGTAGTGAATGACAGCTACAGTTTGGGGAAAGTACCGCTCTCACCTAGGCATGTGACACTACAAGCAAATCTCGAATTGGAACAAGCAGACCTATGCCATTATCCCTGAAACCAGTACTTTGCAACAGAGGAACAGGCTGTCGCAAAGTCATTTCCCCCAAGGGGTGTTTCGGAAACTCGCAGCTGCGAGGATTCGAGATTGATTCCACGTGTATACTTCCGAAGAGGGTTTTTTTTAATGATGATAGACATGTTTCAGGAAGCTTAGCTATTGGAAACTATTATGAGCACGTTAGTGAATATGAAAATGAAATTGGGCACAGTTTCTGTACCTCGTCGATGACGTTGGTCTGTACAGAACCGTCAGAAGCGGGAGTAAGCAAGTTCTGGTCGTCAACTATCTATGTCTTAGTAGATATGTTCAGCAATGTCACGAGACTATCAGCACATTGTCGAGTCTACCTCTAGTTGATACGTGCATCTGATCAAGAAGTCAAGCATAGCACTCGAGGTGCAAGAGAGCGAGTGCTGAGCATAGCGATAGGTGAGAGTGGCGATAATGATTGACGGCTCAATTTGAGTGACTTTGACAGTAACATACGGCTGGAAAGCGGTTGCATCTTCCTTGTGGGCACAGGCGTAAAAAGAGATATGTCTGTTGCACAGCTCTATAGACATAAGTAGTCAAATTTTGGGGAGCAGAAAATAGGCAGACATATCACATACCTCATCACTTCGTCAATTAACCTTGGAAAGTATACTCTGCGACGCGCAATAATGCAGAGCAGTGTTCCTGTATTCAAGGTCTATGGCCATGCCACACTTTGCACACCTGAAATGTATCTGAGGCGACCCACGGTGTTTCATTGAATGGAAAGCTCTGTGACTGATCTCCCTTCCTGTATGTCTGAGCCTATTGAATCGCTGTGGCCGCAAGATATGATTGCTCGCGCCAAACACTAGCTGTCATGGATGTGCTCGCCACACCAGTTCCCTCGCCACAAGTATGCTGCGCATCCGATGCCCGAGTATCAACCACCTGTTAGCCGCCATGTCATTGCCCCTTGGCTCCAACTAAACGTCTGGAGCTCACGCTCTGCGCGAGTCGACCTCGACTGAACCCTAGCTCTCATAGTCATGAATATTGCGGGGGGAACGCTGGCTGGTTGAAATATATGATAGAGTATGGTTCGAGCGGCACAGTTCAAAGCAAAGGCCTATTGTACTCTCCCTTGTCAGACCAGCCGTTGTTTCAGGCGAGTCAGATGTCCAGACCCACAGAACAAGACTAAATTTGTGACAATTGAGGCGAGATCTCGATTTTACATCATCGAGTTTTTCTGTCTAGTGGCATGTTAAAGGTCTCTGAGGTTGATCCATGTGTCTCGCGAATGATGAGCCCGTGCGTTGGATATAGATCTAGAGAGTCTATCTCTAAGGTCTGAGTCAGTCAAACTAGGACTAACTTGCTCAAGACGGCGTGTGGCGTTCGAGGTGGCAGAGACATACATGTGCTGCTCAGAGCGATGCAGGTCGGTGGTGATGCGGAGTTTATCTGGCATGCATATGAGTGCTCACATTGACAAAAAGATCATCAGAAGCGGACCCAAGCGGTCCTGTCCATGCCGGCAGATGGACTGTTCTTCTCGAAGATTTGCGATTGATTCATGTAGTCGAACGACTAAGACATAAGTCGACATGCTCTTTAATCACAAGGAGCTGACGATCAACACCATAGAATTGGGCCATATGTGTAACCTCTCACCGTGGATGGATATCCTGTCGGGAATCATCTTGGCATGATTCTTCCGCGCTAATGACGGTTACTCAGGAAGGCATTGACCTGCACGGGCTCACAGAAAATAAACATTGGCCAACGACATACCATTGGCTGCACGTAATGTAACGAGTTCGATTACGATATCTATTGTGGTACATACCGATAAGGCTGACAAGTACCGACGCAATGACAAGTTCGAGGTCACGCTGTACTACTCATTTGTAATAGTCTTGTGTTGACGTGTCTGATGAAGGAATCCGCCTTCGTCTATCATTGGAGCATTTCAGCTGACGCATTGCGACTACTTCACCGGAATAATGCGCCAAGAGCTTCTTGACCACAACTAGTGAGCCTCAGTGAAGGCCATTGCGTATAGAGCTCCGTGAATACTCCGAGATGCAACAGCAGCGTCCGGAGTTGGCGCGGAGGTCGACAACACTGGTGGCTGCTGTTACACAAATACCTCAGCGGTCTGGTCTTCACCACGACTCGAAAGTTGAGCATGTGCTGCAGCTTGACTTGACTAACGCAAGATGAAGAGCGCGATGGATTGTATGAACACGTATTAGGCAGAAGATAGTTCTTAGTCCACGATCTAAGGTTTTTTGCCATGCGCGGGTGCGGCACAAGTGCAATGCATCGTCCATGTGCCATTTGTGGAGGGAACGGCCCGTATCTTGGCGTGCAAGATTGTGACAGAACTTAGAACAGCGTCAGTCTTTCAGTCCACAATATACCTACTACCTGGCTTGAGACAATCAGTGTGTTCAATGCGGTAGTGCAGCAGGCAAGGCCAACTACGTGCGATCCCACGGCGGCAGGGAAGTCCGGGTCCGCACATCCGGAGTGCTACTGCGACGCTAACATTGAAGGAATGGATCTGGAGAATTTGCAGACGATTGCGCCAGGCGGACGATGATGCTGTCGCACAGATTCACCACGATAGTCTTGCATAAGCGTGTGGAAACGAATGGCGCCCGGGCCTAGGCGCAAGACGCCACGATTCTGTGTGATTGGGGGGATCTGGGAGCATCGAGGAGATTAGCCTTGGTCGGAGCCGCATCCGCATTGTCCTTGCTGGGCCATCTAGCACTCACTGTAAGGCGTAGTGGAGGGCAATGGGGAAGCGAAGGTGGAAGTGCAGACGCAGATGCAGACGCAGATGCAGATGCATCTGCATCTGCATCTGCAGAGTGAACGAGGATTTACGAAGCGTGTTATGGTCGAAGAAAGGGTCTTGCAAAGGACCCGAGAAGACGAATACGGTAAGGCGCGTGTCCGGATGTGTGCAAGTGTGCTTTTGGAAACTACATGCGGAGCATGGCCGCCGAACAGAGGATAGTGGTCCGTGCGCGCCGTTCACGATTCAGCAACGACTACGACACATCATTCACTCGCATCACCTCTTCATTCTCGTCATTCTCGCCTCATCAACCGTACGTTACTCGTGCCCTGATCTGCTACTGAATTGCCCGCAGGCGACTGGAGTCATGAAGCCTGGCGTGTTTCCCTCATTCACACCTGCGGCACTTTTCATGGCGAAACAGCTCGCAGGCATCACGTCGCGAGGTCAAGCCGTGGCATACATAGGTCATGCAGCTTGGAATACATTGCATGAGACGGGAACATCAGCCACTCTCGATTGCAGCATCCCTTCACTAACCGCAATGGCGCCGAGTATGTTCCCTCTATCGCTTCGTGCTGGTCAGCACACTCTCCGGCCGTTGGCAGGGGGGTAAGAGACTGGCTCAGTGACTAAATGGCCGGAATGTCATATATACATTATAGCCCTGCGACTCTTATCATCCGTTCTTATACGATTGCAATGCGCCGCGTGCACTTGAACCATCAATCATCTTGATCTTTGCTGCAGTCACGTCCTCACCTCATATCAACACGCAAAGGAAAGAGTTGGCCAGGCCGACATGGAACAAACCAGTTCACCGCGGGGGCTAATCCAAAACCAGAATGATGGGTAAGTGCTTCCCATTCGCCGCCGGGTACTGCGCTCGCCGTTTGCTTCAAGGGTCGGACTTTCAGTTGCACGGTCCTAGATTTCGTAACACGCGATGTATCCCACGAGCTCAAGTATGTTTATCGTCTATATGGATTTCCTGCCATTTTTTGACTGGTCTTGGACAACCCATCGCGTCCACTCGGCTGGAATTTCTTTCGGTCTGTTTTGACCAACGCTTGTGATATATATTTTCTTCCCAGGCATCTTTCTTTCCCATCCTAGTCTACTGTTTTCTCTCCGCGAAGTCACTCGTTACCAATATGGATAATCTAAGTCTCGATAGAGATTCCCGGGAGATGCGAGTGGGCAGACCCCAAAGCATAGTTTCGATCCTCACCATCCCGAATGCTGTGCATTACAACGACCCTGATACACTCCCATTGCCGCTGAACGCTCGACACTACACAAGAGGAAGCTTGATCTCACCAGGCTCAACACCACCGCGATACTCTTGGATTCAAGATACTGTTGCGCCTATCAACGATGGCTCATACAGCAATTTGCGTCTGGACTGGCCGTCGGAACCAGGAGATCTAGAGAAGCAATGCGGCCTGGAACAGGTTTGGCCAGGCTCACAGAGTATCTCTTCCATTTGCAGTGTCGATAAACGGTTCCCTGTACCCCCGAAACGTCAGCTGCGCCTGATTCGCGCCCTTCGACATACATTTATGAATGTATACAGACGGTTATTCTCAGTAGTCCTATTAGCAAATCTCGTCGGCATGGTAGTCGAGTTGTTGAAGTTAAGACATCTGGACTCCTTTCGCTCGCTTAACACGTCGCACCTTGCAACAGCTGCCAGCGCAAACATTATGGTTGGCACCATGATCCGCCAGGACTATGTAATCAATGTACTGTTCCGGACTGCCTGGCTCATCCCACACTCTGCCCCTATGTGGGTTCGTAGGAGGATCGCGAAGATCTACGAGTTTGGCGGTGTCCACTCTAGTTCTTGCATCTGTGGGACGATTTGGTTCCTTATACTGACTGTCGTCAACTCCTTGAACTATCGGAGCCGGATGCCGTCGATAGGCGCTTCTACATTGGGTGTCACCTACTCTCTTGCTGGAATCCTGGTGGCCATCATCGTCATGGCCTATCCTGGTGTCCGATTTAAGCACCACAATTGGTTCGAAATCTCGCACAGATTTGGTGGCTGGACAGCTATCCTTTTGTTCTGGTTCCAGATCATAATTTCCCTTCGCGATTCTGTCAGTGACCAAAGCCTTTCTTCTGCATTGGTCAAAGAACCAGCGTTCTGGTTTCTTATCGTCATTACCTTTCACGCCATCTGGCCCTGGGTGTTCCTTCGCAAATGGACATTTCGAGCCGAGAAGCTCTCAAACCACGCAGTCAGACTTCACTTCGATCAGACCCTTCAACCTTTCGTGGGCATCTCCATCTCTAAGTCTCCACTCATGGAATGGCATCCATTCGCTACATTCCCAGCCATACCTGACGAGGAGTCAGGCTTGAAGAAATCTGGTGGAGGGTCTCTCATCGTTTCTATTGCTGGTGACTGGACCCGCAAAACTGCCAGCGACCCAGAACCGCAATACTGGGTTCGCGGCTTCCCACGCACAGGTGTACTTAGCATGGCCTGTATCTTCAAACGCGTCGTCATCGTTACAACCGGGTCCGGCATCGGCCCCTGTCTCGGCGTGATGCTTGATGCTGTACGCCAGCGCCACGTCGCCGTACGTGTTCTCTGGAGTGCGCCCTCAGTGTTGGGCATATATGGCCCGCAGGTCCTCAAAGCAGTGCAGGATGTCGATCCACAGGCTGCCATTATCGATACACGGACACAGGGACGACCAAATATGATTGAGCTGGCATATAATATGTACAAAGAGTCAGAGGCGGAGGCAGTGTTTGTCATCAGCAATCCCATGCTCACGCGTAAGGTAAGTGTCACCAGGCTGCACAGCCTATGCGCCTTTGTGCACCCCTTGTTACCTGCCGGGATCTTGCTAACATGTGCAGATCGTGTATGGTATGGAGTCGCGTGGCATCCCCGCGTACGGACCTATCTGGGACTCTTGATCCTGGGTTCGATCATATTCGCTACTTTTTCTGCCCTATTTTATCCCTATGCACTGCAATCTCGTCGTTTCGGCTTCCAGATACCCACCACGCACGGCTACCGACAAACCATAATAACACCTTTACGATACACGACAGCTCGCTTGAACTGCAATATAAGCAGTCTGTCAATGCAGGCATTTCATACATTTGCGACAGAGTCATGCGGGACGTTCATTGCATTTAGCGATTGGTACTTTCAAGGAGTTTATATGTGCACAACCCCACTTGCAGCTAATTGCAAATGATATATTCGCGTTGCATTAGATATATAGTCACATGTTGGGTCTATCCATAGTTCGGGCTGCGCACTCGTCTCTCACGGCGTCTTTTCTAGCGTTCAAGTTCGTTCATTATAGAGACCTGTGTGTCTTCTATTGAATATTTCCAAAAGCGTTTGCTTATTCAGTACGAATGTTGATATAGTCTGGGGATAGTTTAACCAGCAGAATAGCAATTGGAAATACAGCTTTAACCGACCTGAGGCATTCTAAATAATCGAAGCCTCTATTTCTCACTTGGGCCAACTAATGCCAGCCTAATCAAGGCTAGGTTGTCCAATACAACCTCACCAGCACACTTGGGTAGCGTTAGCTAGCAATTCACAAAGTGCTAAGGTAGCTCTAAGGCGCAGTTTCTGCCAGCTATATTGGGTCAGGTAAGAATTTATATGATTGGCCGATAACCCTGGTTCATTGCAGTAAGCTAGTGTACAGATCTCGCATGAGTCTCCGTGGTACCTTCAGACCCGATCGATCGAGCTACCAGCGGGATGGTAACCTAGTCACTTGTTTAACTAACTACCAGCCAGTCTCAGGCGTGTTAAATCCTATCAAGACATGCTCAATTTGGCTAGTCCAATGTATATAGTATTGCATATATGCTCACTGCATGCGCCCATCTCCACACTCCTATCAAACACTACAGCGTAGCCTTATAATTACTCGACAGATATACATATATCTATCTGCAACATTCCAACATGCGTCACGAACCCAGGATCTCACTGCATAACACCATAGAATATATCAAAAATCTCTTTTCAATACCAGAATACCTAGTTTGTTACCTAACCGCTTGTTTTTTGCTGTCTTGCCACTGGACGTAGACTATTGTGACAGATTCACTCTTCATAGCGCACACTCAGTGTTCAGCGGTAAACTTCGCTTCTAGGGTATAAAATGGTCTTGTGGAACATTTCATGGAAGCACTTGGGGGAAAGATGGTTTTCTACTCTGAAGGTCAGTGTTTGCAGCTTTATGGGGATGTTGAGATAGAGGTTGTCTAATGGTTGGATGGGCTTGGGAGGTTTCGCACAAACAAAGCGCTATCAATGCTGAGTCAAATGTAATATGAGAGCTATACCCCTTACTCATTTAGAAGGGGTCTGCTAATTAGTAGGGTATGCTTTGCCATAGTGCAGGATGATCGTACGCACGTATAGATCGCCCATAGTCTCCACTCCTCGAAAGCGATCTTGCAAGTCCAGAATCGACAGCCGGCACGATCGTGCAGCAGCGAGGGGACAGCTTCATTCCGCACTCGTCATGCGCACATATTGTAACGGTGGTGCTTTATTCTCCCTTTCTACATATTCTGCATAATTTGTGCTCCCCGATTGAACCTTCGCACGCCTGTGTAACCTTCTCCTATCAATCTTATCTTCGCTGTATCTCAAAGCTACCCTTGATCAAAAGGCTCGTATCTATTAAAGAATATGGCGAACGCTAATTTGGTAGCTTACGACACGAGAACTTAATGTCATACTGGGCAGTAGAGTGGATCTATTATGTCTTGAAGACCTCATGAGATTGAACACATGATCAAGGCCATATCTTATCTCCTCATTCAGATACTCAGCACCTACCCAAGGACAATGTCATCATGTGTAGCCTTTGGCCTAAGATGTTGAGGGCCGTATGGTTGTGTGCGTAATGCGGACGTTGTGGGCTATTTCAATGTGATTACATTTCATGCATGTGAAGTACCGAAGTTTGGCCTGATCTTTCGCCGGGTTGGTGCCTAGCTTGATAAGTTATTGAAGTTCAATGGACATATCCCAAGGGTGCACAGCCATATATCTAACTTCATCTGAGATGTCAATAATTCTTTGGTTCGAACGAATGTGGACGTGAAGGTCAATAGGATGATTATGAGCGAATGATATAACATCTAGAACACTTTAGTTCTGCCGCCTCACAGCAAGACTTGGATCCCTGCTGTTGCTTGCGGATCACACCTATATGCAAGCGTGCATCCCCAATCCTGTTTTCCTACCGATGTGCCGTACAGTGTACTGAGTCAATGCAACCTCACATCGATCTTCCTCCACAGCCATGTCAGAACTCATCAAATTTCTCGTACCTCTGTCTTCTCAACTTGATATCATCACGATTCCCCATGGTATGCGTCATTGCCCACCAGGTGTAGAAGTATCGTAGCTTCACATCCTGGTCGAAAATCAGGAGGCTCCCTAGGGCGGGATCCTCCTCATTGCAGCGGTGAATACATCGTCGCATGGAGAAGGCGTGGGCGTTGGGGCTGGTAGGTTTATGGTGTATGGATTGAAGACCGAAGAGACACAGCGCGTCGGCGTCACTGAGGGTGGGTGTTGGGGGCGTGGAGGAGGCACTGTTATGAAGAGTGGTCGCAGGACGGTTTGTGTTTCGACTGTGGGCTGTGAGATGATTTGTGGTTGGACAGTTGGTTCTCGGAGGTTTGGTGATCTTGTGGTTGTTGACCGAATTCCTGATGCTTGGACGGTTGCTGAACGGACGATTTATGTTCAGACTATTGGTATTCGGACGGTTGATATTCAGACGGTGGGTGATCAAACGAGTATCATTCACATCTTGAATTGGGTGATGCCTGATTTGCAGGCCGTTGGTATAACGACGGCTTAAACAAAAAGGTATCTCATCCGAGGACAGTATATTCGTACTTCCGTAAGTTGAGAGTTGTAAGGATACTATGGGACGGATGGCCGTGCCCAAAGAAGACTTATGTATTGATAGCACAAATCAGGTCCATGTGCGCATCAGAAGCTTTCAATAGAGGCTTGACACACACAATAAGACAGCTAAAACTGGCTTTGGCTGCATGGCTTATTGTTGAATAGATGTCACTTGTTCCAAACAATGATATCGAAATCAAACAGTGTATACTTCCAAGATCACCCAGTGATGCAGCTGCGTCCACATTGCACTTTCCCAGATAACATTTTTCGAAATTATTCACGAAATATTCACATTCCACGACAGCTGGCTAAGAGGACTAGCGTTGTTATCGTGGCCATCGGTCGAAAAAAAAGAATGTCGGCTATAGGTTTACGTTCGTCTTAATAGGCCTGCTACAACTAGGCATTCATCATCCAATTAGTATTAGGTATCCGCTCTGTGTAGTCAATCGGGCGCAGAAATCTTGACATTGTGAAAGTTGCTAGCGCGTCATTCATAACGTCAGCTTGTGCGAAGTACAGCGTGTATACCACCATCCAGTAAACGTGGGACACTGAACACTACTAAAGAAAGACGTTGTGTGTTTGACAAGACCACTACCCTTTGTTAACATGTTTCAGCTTTCTTGCCTTCGACCTTGATTTCCCATCCGGCTCTTAGAAACTCCTCTATGTTTGTTTGTTTGACGCCAGGAAACACCTCCCCAAGGTTTTCTCCAGGCAGATCGTGCGCTCTGCTCAACATCGACAACATAACTTGCAACTCTACCTCACGCATCTCATCGCCCCTGTCCGGGTCATCAAATATTGCCTTATTCGAAGGCAACGGCGTTATGCGATGCTCGCGAATGTGATCGGCATGGTCGACCGCAACCTTAAACTCTTTCCCTGTTGCTCTTGCTACAATACCTGGGAGGTCTTTGACAAGTATTCTGTTCGATGCCACTAGACTCTCACGAGGCCAATCTATCGCAGGCAGACCAATTAGTTTCTCAATGTATTGTGCTACATCCGTTGAGTGACTGAGGACTAGTGGATAGTCGCCATCACCTGGGATCACACATTGCTCGGCGTCCATATCGACGAAACACCAGAATGGAGCTATGTGTGTGGGTTTGGGATCATGTGGCATTGCAAGGTGATCGAGAAAAATGCCACAGCGGAGGAGGGTGTATGTGAGGTTTGGGTGTAAGTCCAGCTCTTTTTCGGCGGCGACTTGGTGTGTTGCGAGGTGGGATGAGCCACTGAATGGGGTTAAGGATTAAGACTATGAAAGGCAAAAGAATGCAGGACCAAAGAAAGAGATCAATGTGCAATACTTACGGTATCGGGACGTTGAAGTCTATGTAGAACTCGCTGGGAATAAACCTCTTTACTGTACTTGTTTGAGAAGCGGCACGAATGAGGTTGAGCTGAGCTCGTGCGACCGTTTCAGAGGAGAGGAGGAGCGTTGAGATCACAACTTCTACGTTGTTTTGCTGTAAAATGTTTCTAAGTTCATCAACGTTCTCGTAGTTCACGGCAAGCTTTGGATATTTCATGGATGATGCGGCATCTGCCTGGTATATATCAGCGCGTGCTATCTGGGCTTCACAGACTAACTGACTGTTCTTGACAAAACGACGGCCTCATGCTGGCCTGATGCTTTTATAGCGTCAATGATAGTGCGGCCTACTCCTCCAGTCCCTCCAGCGATTGCAACGATGACCATTATCAAGAAGACGGAAGTTAGGTGGTCTGAAAATAGAATGTAGTGTGAGAATATTTTATACAATCCTGTATCTCAGTTTTTGGGTTCCAGGGAGCAGTCTGAAGTTCGAAGGATTTGCACTAATTGCAAGAACACCACCTTATTCACTCCAGTATATGACCAGTGAGTGATCACAGTGTCTTCTACACTGCAATTCACATGTAGATACTATCGCTTCGAAACGGAATCCAGGATTCGAAATATTGGTTCCATCAATTGATTGGGGGGTTTGGGTTCAATTATAAACAGGCAGCTTGAACGGGAGTTGCACCTGGAGAGCGTTTTAAACACATGCAGAGAAGTATCCTACATCTGCACGGTCACGTAACCCTGCAGGGGACTGATACCCTACCAAAACAGGGATATATGTCGTATCGCCGACCTCTGGGCTCCACGTCAGATATGCATATATGCCGCACTGCTCCCCTCCTCACTTCCGCGCTCAAAAGTCCCATCATCGATGCCGGTCATGCACATCGCGGTTAGCGGGTACGGCGCCTTCGCTCGCTATATCGTATCCGAAATTACTGCCGCGGGTCATACTGCCATCGTTTTAACACGATCCTTGAAAGAGAATCTCACTTCTGATGGCATCGAACAGCACGTGACTGACTACTCCGTCGAGTCGCTCACATCCGCGTTGAATAATTGTGACGCCTTGATATCGACAATAAGCGAGCTCACGACTGCAAACATCGAAATCCATGCTAACATGCTCGCCGCTTGCCAAGCGAGCTCAAAATGCAAAAGATTCATACCCCCTGAGTTTGCGGCAAACATTCGCGACTACCCTGATCAGCCGGGCTTTTATTACGAAACGCATGAGCCCGTACGACAAATGCTACGAGACCAAACGGATGTTGAGTGGTCCTTGGTGTGCTTGGGGTGGTTTGCCGACTACTTTGTACCGGCAAAGAATCGTTACATCAAAGACATTGGAAACTTGCATCCTATGGACTGGTCTAACAAAAGGTTCCTGATCGCGGGATCAGGAAATGAGCCTATTGATCTCACTTGGGCACGTGACGCTGCGAAAGGACTGGTAGCATTGACGGAGGCACAAAGGGGGACGTGGGAGGCGTATACATTCATGTCAGGGGAAAGGAGTTCTTGGAATGCGGCCGTTGCACATGTACGGCATTCTGCGGATGGTTGGCAGAATGCCCCTTTGGAGCACATCTCGTTGCGCTCTGTTGTAGAGTCTGTGAGATCCACGAACGACGACAAGGTATTGGAGTCGGCTGATTATCACCTGCTATCAATCAGTGGAGCATGTGCACTTCCCTTGGATGCTGTGCGAGCGCACAAGGATAAGTTCTTTTCGGGAATTCGGTTTCGATCTCTAGAAGAAGGCCTACTCGAGGTCAACCGTGCTCCAAACGCTATCATATGACGGAGATGGGAAGCACAAAAAATCGTATGTTTGTTTACTAGAAAGAAGAGTTGGCCATGGAATAAAACAGGTCCTTTTGATGTATACCCTCGCATTTCTGTTCCATGCTATGCCTCTGTATCCCTACCAGTAGTTTCAACACGCTGTTACGGTAGTCTTAGCAACTAGACTGACTAGGAGTATCGTTGACTTACCAATCTCGTCCTTTGTCATTTTGATGCGTTCAACGTACTTGTGCACATATTCTCTGTCAAATGGAGGAGGGTTGTATTCATCCTTTCCTAGAATGTGCCTGCCCCTAGGAGCCCCTCTCAACAGTTCAGCAGCAGTGTCATCCGTATAACCATCCAGAATACTCGCAATTCTAGCCAGCGGACCAGCTGGACAATTCTTCGAATGCGCATTGACTTGTCCGAGCCACTTGGAGAACGAGACAGGATTGATGTTTTTGAACTCATTTGCTATCGCTAACTTCGTGAAGAATTCGTCGAATGTGGGGGCTCCGGGATTATCGAAATCGTAACACTCTTCGTTTCGTTGCTTATCTTCGAGCATGATGGTGGCAATAGTAGCGCATAGATAGTCGACTGGCAAAACGATAGACAGATCAGCGTCTATAGATGGAAAAGACCCGAGCTCTATACATCCAGAGATCAAGTTGTGCAGGAAGTCACCACGATCCATTCTAAAATGACCAGTACACGCTGTAGCTGACACGAGTGGTAGACGATATGTGGTTGCCATGGCTCCACGGAAGCGTGCAGCAACAACCAGCTTTTCCGCAATGTATTTTGATGTCCCGTAGCCATATTCTCGGTCGCGGTATTCATCAAGGCCATAGCCTGCGTGAAGAGGTAAAGTGGAAATGGTCGAGATGAAATGGACGGCTTTGCCACGGCCAGAAGCAGCGAGTCGCAGAACTTCATGCGTGCCGAGGATATTGGGGCCCACATATTCAGAGAATGGACGCATCCAGTCCACAAGAGCTCCGGCATGTAAAATAGCATCGACTTGGTCAGCTAAGCGGTCAAATTCTTCCTTCGAGAGTCCCAAAAGAGGTGAAGATAGATCCCCGATAACGGGCTTGAGCAGATTCACATACTCAGGCTGCCATAGTTCGTACTTCTTGAGGGTTGTCGTCATGCGTTCCAAAGCTGCTTCGTGACTCCCAGCTCGTACAAGGGCACACACAGTCAAGCCTCTTCTCAAGAACTGATTTGTCATGAATGCCCCCACAAAGCCTGTGGCCCCCGTAACGAATATCGCTTCAGGACCTTTGGACAAATTTGTCCTGTTGGCTGCAACGTTCTCGTACGCAAGACACGGGTCCAGTACTCCATTCTGTGGGGCCGAATGAGAGGCATATGAGGATGCAGCAGAAGCCGGTGTAGGCGCAGAGCGATTGTCTCTTGTCATCGAACTGTCATTTTTGATGCTCTCAAGTACTTGTGACAAGAGGTACATGTTTAATGACTTGATACTTGGGTGAAGAAGGGCGATATTTGGTGGCAATGGTAGATCCACTAATGTTGCTAAATGATTGCGTATCAGGACTGCGGTCAAGGAGTCAATGCCAAGTTCTTGGAGTGGCCGGTCAGGGTCAACGCTCTCTGCGTTATCATGACCAAGAGCCAGTGCTACGGTTGCCCGAACCTTGCGCAATAATATCGCGGCGGACTCCTGGTTGGAGGCGTTGGCAAACAAATGGCGTAAATTGAGACGATCTTGGGTTGGATTAGTTACTTCGATTTTATCTGTAATTGAACGTAGGAGAGGCGGCACATTGCCCTGATCCTGGCTTTCGTGATACTTCTTGAGCTGCTCTAAATCTAGTACCGCACCAATGGTATTGGGACGCCCTTGGCGGATGCACTCCTCGAGGATTCTTAGGCCAGTCTGATGCTCCATAAAGCCCAGTCCCAGCTGCGAGAGATGAGCGCGGGTTGTTGAAACGAGTGTAGTACCCATCCCATCTCCAGTCCATGGGCCGTAAGCTACTGACGTCGCTGGTAGACCTTCAGCGCGTCTCATACAAATTAGGCCATCAGCAAAGGCATTTGCAGCAGCATAGTTGCCAAGTCCAGGAAGACCCAGTACACCGGATATGGAGGAGAACACCATGAAAAAATCTAATTCGGGCATATTCTTAGTCAAGACATGTAAGTTCCAAAGCCCGTCTACCTTCGGAACGAATGTCGTCACACATTTCTGGGCTGTCAGAGAAGAGATGATACCGGAATCAACAACTCCTGCGGCATGAACAATGCCTCGAAGTGGGCGCTCTGGAGTGAACATCGGCATAAGACAATTGACAGTATCATATTTGCCAATATCGCTGGCAAGAACGGTGACTTTGGCTCCAAGCGCTTCAAGGCCGTGAACTATTGCATCAGCACCAGGAGAGCGCATACCGGTGCGTGATATCAATATCAGGTCGCGGATGCCGTGGGAGAGTACTATACGACGAGCTACTTTGCTTCCCAGATCACCAAGACCTCCTGTCACTAATACAACTCCATCAGATCGAACTAATGGTCGCTGCTGAAACTTATGTGGTATAGCCGTGCGCATACGCTCTAGATGCGGTGTGAATAGTTGGTCTCTGCGGACAGCGATTTCAGGTTGGTCATGCATCATAAGAGCGTTACTGAAGGCTTGCAGATTTGCTTTTTGGTCCATGTCTATCGTACGGAGCCGCAGATCAGGATTCTCACTCCTTGCTGTACGAACCATGCCCCACAGGGTACCCCCGCCTATAACCGTAGGTTGGTCTACGACGGAAACACTGATAGCATGCCGAGTAACGAATACTACAGGCATAACCAGCCTGCTACCAATAACCTCCTGCAGCAAATTCAAAGCCTTTATAGCGAAGGTATGTGCCGTTTGAACAACATCACTACAATCCGAATCCCAAAGGACGAGAATTCCATCTAGCAGCGGAGCCTCCTGCACTGAAGCAATAGGTATAAGCTGAACTGCTGTGTTCAACAAAGCTACTTTGATTGATTCCGTCCAGTCGGTCTCCTCAGATGGGCAGACAACACCCCACGAGCCCGAAGGATGTACCTTGCGTTCAAGAAGCATTCGCCACTCCACTTCGAACATCATTGTCGCTATGTTCTGTTCAGAGTCGCCGACACCTGCTGTCACCGAGTTTTCGCTGACCCACTCATATTTCCGTTTAGGCTTGGCTTTCTGCCTTTGGAAGGCGTAAGTGGGAAGTCTAACCCTTCGACAATTGAAAGGCTTGAAATATTCGATCCATTCAATTGGAATACCGCCCAAGTGTAGTTCGCATAAAGCAGCTTGAATGGAAGAGACTTCATGCTTGTGTGGCTTTATAGACGGTAGCCAGACGACAGAGTTCTCCGGAATGCATTCTGCTCCAAGGCCGCAGAGCACTGCACTGGGCCCAATTTCGAGGAACATACTTGGTCCTATGTTTGCCATCGTTTTAATTGCTTCGTTGAATCTCACAGGATGCCGAACTTGCATCATCCAGTACTCGGGTCCTGACAATTCTCCGGGCATAACAAGTCGCCCTGTCATGCTACTGATCATCGGAACCTTGAGTGAATCGGTGCTGAACCTGATGGTTCCTAAACTAGCTTTGAAACTCACTAACATATCGTTGACGTGGTCCGAATGAAACGCGTGACTTGTTTCGAGTGCTGTTGTTTTACGACCAAGGGTTGCCATGTGAGCTGTAATCGTATCTACGTCCTCACAGTCTCCGGATATGACAATCTGACTAGGAGTGTTGTAGCCTGCAACTTCCACCTTGAGTCCTCGATCTCCGATTAACCTTTGCATCTCGTCGCTTGTCGCTTCGACTGCAGCCATCTTTCCAAGGCCGACTGGAAGAGCTTGCATCAGGCGCCCACGCATCATTACTAGTCGACAGGCGTTGTCCAAGTCGAAGACTCCTGTAATATAGGCCGCCGCGAACTCTCCTATACTGTGCCCTAGTACAAAAGCAGGCTTTACATTCCACGTCTGCCATAGCCTCCAGAGAGCAACTTGAAGAGTGAAGATAGCGGGTTGAGCGAAATCAGTGCGATGTAGTAGCAAAGCATTTGGGCTCCCTGGGTGCGCCCACATGACTTCAGGCAATGGTGGCTCTATCTCTTTAAACTTGGCAGTGATCTCATCGAAAGCATCTCTGAAAGCCGGGAAGGCCTCGTATAGCTCTTTTCCCATTCCTAGTTTCTGACTTCCTTGACCAGAGAACAGCATAACGAGTCTGGAGTTTCCAAACTCCTTATGGACATTTCGCATCTTATCAGTGCTAAGGCTGACTGATTCCAGCTTCTGTATCAACTGAGCTTCATCACTTGCCATAACAATATGGCGCAGGTGGAAGTGGGTACGAGACACTGCTAGAGAGTAGGCTGTGTCCATGATATTTTCATGATGTTCATTGCCATTCTGTATGTGCATTCTCAATTTGGCGGCCTGCGCTTGCAAGGCTGACTGAGAAACACCGGAAAGTAAGAATGGGACATCCGTGACACCGGTTGTTGCCTCAATACGGGTTCTTGTTACTCGGGTAAGATCAGGAGGCTCTTGAAGAATGATATGAGCATTTGTACCTCCAATACCAAACGCACTCACTCCAGCTCGGCGGACGTGACCATCTTTCGGCCACGGTGTGTTTTCTAAGACTAGTTGCATATGTGCACTATCCCAGTCCACTGCTGTGGTAGGTTCGTTCACATGCAATGTTTTGGGTAGAATATTGTGTTGCATTGCCAGAATCACCTTCAGCAATCCAGCGAGACCTGCAGCAGCTTGTGTGTGGCCCAAAACTGACTTACAGGTACCGACTTTGAGAGCCCTGGAGGCAGAGCGGGATGGTCCAAAAACTTCACCAAGGGCAGCAGCTTCAATTGGATCTCCAAGCTTCGTTGCAGTACCATGAGCCTCAATGTAGTCGATCTCACTACTATCCAATTTTGCTCTAGCCAACGCTGTCTGTATAAGTGAAACCTGTCCTGGCCCACTGGGAGTAGTCGAACTAGCGCTTGAGCCCCCGTGCATCACAGCACTCCCTCGCACTATGGCATGGATCTCGTCTCCATCACGTTGGGCATCAGAAAGGCGTTTCAACACTATGACAACAGCACCTTCACTGAACACGGTACCGTTGGCATCCTCTGAGAAGGCCCTGCAGCGACCATCGGGAGACAAGCCACCCAACTTAGTGAACTCGATCTGGATTCCTGGAGTCGGAAGTAAACTAACACCTCCAGCCAGTGCCATGTCACACTCGCCCTGGCGCAAAGCATTACATGCAAGATGTGTAGCCACTAAAGAAGAGGAGCAAGCGGTATCAACTGTAAGAGACGGCCCACGCAGTCCTAGAGTAAATGATAATCGACCTGCTAGGTTAGCATAGGCCGAACCTGTGATAGAGTGGCCCTGGAGGTCTGGAGGTGATGCAACTGTCACCGCACTGTTGCTAGCACCGATGAATACACCCGTGGAACTTCCGACAAGGCGTTTCTTAGTATATCCAGCTCTCTCGAAGCTTTCCCATCCTAGCTCTAATGCCAGATGCTGCGTTGGATCCATAGCTTGTGACTCAAGTGGAGAGATTCCAAAGAAGGCTGGATCATGCGAGTTGATAGATTCAAGAAAGCCGCCCATGTAACAATACGAGTTGCAGTCGCCGGGATCACATTGGCTTTCAGTGATAGCATCATGGCCGCTTTCTAACAGCTGCCAAAAGTCTTCTGGGGTGTCCACCCCTCCAGGCAGCCGACATGCCATGGATATAACAGCAAGATCTTGTGTAGCATGAGTAGAACGGAGCTCGTAAACACATGATTGTTGGCTGGGTTCAGTTACCTCTACCCTAGTGAGGTACGTAGCTAATGACTTGATGGTGAAATGCTCAAATAGCTTTGCAATGGGTATCTGTCGCGAAAGTTGGGTTTCCAACATGTTCCGCACACGAACGAGACGGACAGAGTTACCCCCGATATCAAAGAAACTCACTTCCGTACTAAAGCTGTTATAGCCAAGAACCTCGGCCCAGATAGTTGTAAGTGTGCTTTCCATGTCTGAAACGGGTTTCGATACACCGTCATATGGTGTTAGACCCAAGTGGTTGATCGGGTCAGGGAGGGCTTTTCGATCGATCTTTGCGTTGGGAGAGAGAGGTATAGAATCTAGTTGTATGAAGAAGTCGGGTATCATATAGACAGGTAGGTGTTCAATGACCCACGGGCGTAAAATAGTATCAAGAGGTTCTTTGACGTGCATAGGTTTTGCAAGCACGCAGTATGCCACAAGGCGGTCATCATGGCCAGCGACAACAGCTTGAGAAACCATCACATGGGCGGTAAGTGCAGCTTCAACGTCGCCAACGTCGATACGATGACCCCGAATTTTGATCACCCCGTCCATACGGCCGATAATTTGGAGTTCCCCATGACTATTGAAGCGAGCCAGATCACCTGTCCGAAAAAACGGTCCCCCGTGGAAAGGATTTTCGAGAAATCGAGTGCTTGTGAGCTCTGGATTGTTTCGATAGCCATTTGACACGCTGCCACCACCAACGTATGCTTCTCCTTCACATTCCATCGGCACAGGACACATTCTGTCGTCAAGAACGTAGATCTTCCCATTTGCGACCGGATGCCCGATCACAATGTCCCCTTCGCCAACCTCCCCGACACTGCCGTATCCAATCTCACATGGACCCCAGACATTGAAAACATGATCAGCCAGTCCTAGAAGCCGGTCTGCTAATTGGCGGGGAAGGGGTTCACCTCCACAAATGATCTTTGAGAGGCGAGGTGTTCTTGTCCATCCAGATTCCAGGAGCATGGTCCAGGTGGCAGGAGTCGCTTGCATTATAGTGATATGATGGTCCTTTATCAAGCTCATCATCTCACGTGGATCTCTGGCCGCGCTCATGTTAGCCATGATCATAGTAGCACCTGATAACAAGGGTAGTAATAGCTCTAGAGCTGACATATCGAAAGATATGGTGGTGATAGCGAGTAATCGATCATGTTCATTACAGCCAGGTTTGTATTTCTGGAGGGGACCTAAGTAGTTCGAAGCGGCTTCGTGGCTAATTTCGACACCTTTCGGACGTCCTGTAGAGCCGGAAGTATAAAATATATAGGCCACATCTCGGCATTGTATTGGGCTCTCCAGATTGGTATCATCGATAATTAGAGGATCGATTATTTCGTCGGTAGTCAGGCTTATGTCTGTGTGATCTGCGAAACCAGGAGCTGGCCTGTAGCTTAGAATAATGAGTACGAGACCAGCATCTTCGACCATTTGATTGATTCGCTTCGTGGGCAACGCAGGATCGATAGGAACGTAACTTCCCCCTAATTTCAGTACAGCGAGGATGACCACCACAAGATCAATGGAGCGCGAAACTGCCAGGCCAACAATATCGCCAGTCTGTACACCGCGTTTGGAGAGACATCGCGCAAATCGGTTGGCACGGGAATTCAAGGTCTGATAAGATATTCCCACTGTGTCGTGGATCACAGCAGTATTGTGTAGGAATCTTGTAGCTGTACTTTCAAACAGCTGATCCAACCGTCCACCAAGTAAAGAAGCATCGTCCGTGTCATTAAAGTCGTTAACGAGCACTTGATACTCCTGATCGGATATAGTTCTGCGGTTGGTGTATTCACCCATCTCAAGCTATAATGACAGCGAAATAGTCGTCGAATACCTTCTTTGAATACAGACCATGAATTTGATATATAAACAACATCGGACGAGCATTTATCGGTATCGGTAGTTCATATCTTGGCTCCTAGGCTAAGAAGCCTAACACCGAGCGTAGTCATAGTGCACTCTTTTCTCGTCGAACTAGCGATGCATATCAGGGCCTACTGAGCAATCACGATAGGATTCCGGTACAGGGTACATTGAGGCCGCGCTCATTCCCAGGGCTTGCAATGTTGCAAGGATTTAGAGATCTCCGTGTGGTTGAGTTGTTTGATGACATATAGTTGTACCAATGGCATAGCCTGAGGACGGCTACTCAATCTTCTTCTAGCCTCTGCGATTTCCACGTCGGCCTTTCCATTTCGATGCAGAGGCGTCATGGGAACAGCGATCCAGTTGAAAAAATTTACGCGCTTTGAGCGCTTCGGAAAGCACTACTTCCAACGACATGCTGACCAAAGCAGCCAGGAATCATTCACTCAGCCCAAAGTCCTAGTGTATATAAGCTCAAGGGCGATCAATGGCGTTCTCCACCCAAGTCACGAGTGACGTGCCGATTGCGCGAAAGGAGGGGAGGGCAGCGAAGCGCGGGCCTCCTGATCCGTCGTTTCCCTAGCACCTGACGAGCTTGGCACTTGTACACGCGTGCTATCCTGCAATTTTCATTCTACTTTGACGTAAATAACTGTAGAAGAATATATAAAGTAGAAAAATAGATAGGTAAATATATATATATATCATAGTCTTTCTATAAGGTTATTTTATTTTTATAAAGTCTTACTAAGAGATAGAGAAGAATTTCAAGAAATCCTTAGTAGTTCCTCGAAGATAGCTTTTGCGAAAAATATATTACATCATAGACTGACTCAAACTCAGAAGTTTAGTGTTCAAAAAGTAGATAGAATCGTTTACTCTTTTGGACTCTATGGATCTATATAGTTGTTATAATGTCTCGACTCTTATAGAGACAGAGAGATAAAGAATATCTAATTGAGGGGGAGAAAACATGCGTGGAAACGAAGAGCGCCAAGCTCGTTAGGTTCTAAGAGCACGACGAATACCCTGGAGATGAAACATCGAGGTGTAAGCGTGCAAGGTAGTACTATTAGCGCCTTGCCCTTGACCCCAGTTATCAGACATGGTTTCAGGCTCATCGTGAAAGTGCGTGCATTGCCACGTAGGTAGTATAATGACATTGCATGCAGTGTCTTTAGTGAACAAGGCCCCTGGGCATATAAGTGCAACAATAGACCTAACATAGATAGTACAATGACATTGCATGCTGTATCTTTGATGGACAAGGACCCTGGTCTATGAACGCAACAATGGACCCATACAATAGAGCCTTTGATAGTTAACATTAACGACAGGATCCAGAGAAAAGGCGATGTTTCACATCGCCTTGTGAATCAGATTTCAACAATGCAAAATCAAACAGAGAAGTATGAATCCGCTCCATCACGTCATCTTCCTCCCATACCAGCTTCATATGTACCTTCCCGAGCCATTGCAAAGATTCCAGGGAATTCATCTATCGAAGAAATTCTCGAGATTCTAGAAAGGGACGGTGTTGTCATCGTCAAAGACTTCGTTTCTTCGGATGTTTGCGATAAAATTGATGAAGATCTCGAGCCATACCAAAAACAAGCGATTGCCGAAAGCGATTCCTACGTAAGTCCATCCTAAGCCTAGACTTGCTCGTAAAAACAGTTTTCTTGACAAGGTGAATAGGACAATTTCATTGGCAGAAAAACGCTGGTGATAGCCGGTCTAGTTTCCAAATCTGATACCGTTGCTAACATCCTCGATACCAACGAGACAATTGAAAGATTGCTGAGGATAATTCTAGAAGCGAGATATCCTGCAGTTTACGAGCATCAAATCGAGGATACTGTTGTTGAGCCGCTTTTAAGTATTGCCATGGCCTTTTACGTTTCCCATGACTCTCCTCGTCAGGCATTGCATAGGGATGATATGATCTTCCATTCTAAGCATAAGCGAGATATGCCACTCAACGAAAATGACGGGTTCAGTTGCTTCATAGCCGGAAGCAATATCACACGTGAAACTGGAGGGACAATGATGATCCCTGGCTCTCATAAGTGGGAGCAAGAAAGGGCTGGTAGACCTGACGAGGTTTGCTTTCTTGGTAAGATCTCATTTTTGACGCGTTATATGGTGATCAGGACTAATTCTTACAACAATAGAGATGGAACGGGGCTCTGCTTGCTTATTTGTGAGCAGCATAGCGCATGGTGCTGGTTTCAACACTGTGCCCGGCTTTGTTCGGAAGATAATCAACCTTGTGTTTTGTCGTGGGACACTGCGTACTGAGGAGAATCAATTCCTATGTAATCCTCGGAGCAAGGTTCTGGAAATGAGCCCCAAGATGCAGTCTTTACTGGGGTTCAAGAAGCCTTCGGGTAATTGGCTCGGTCTTGTGGAAAATGAAGATCCAACCAAGAACTTGGCTGCTGTCTACGAGAAGATGCTTGCATAGGTGTATACCGGGTGGAACACATCAGGAATGTGTGAAATAGTTCTTCTTATTTGACAATTTACAGTACATGCCTATGGTACTGCAGAATGTGATACTTCGTTGAATTCCTCTTTGATAGCTTCCGCGAATAGTCGGACGCCGGTGTACAGCAATGCTTCATCTGCGGTAGCAAAGGTGAGCCTGAAGTTCAAGCCTTGATTTCCGTAGGTGTTTGCTTCAAACATAGACCCATTTGTAACTTGTACCCCTTTCTCGAAAGCGTTTGCCTGTATCCTGTTCTCAATACATAACCTAGAGTCTTCACTCTCAGTATCTAAGGTCGACACTACCGAAGAATAATTGGCTCGCTCCTCAGTGTTAATCTGTACCCATATATATATACCACTAGAAGGTATAGACCAATTGCAAAGACTTTTGGGCAAGTGCGCCTTACACGCTTCAATCATGATATCTCGTCGTTGTCGATATTTCTTAGATAGCGATTGCAACCAATTGAAGAAGCCCTCATGTCCCCAGGTTTCATCGAGAAGCTCAATGAGCATCAGCTGTGATGGACCACTGACAAATGCACTTGAAACTTCATGGTAGGAGAGGAATTTCGAAATGATACTATCATTAGCTGTGACCCAGCCTGCCCTTAGGCCTGGTGCCAAGATCTTCGATACCGAGTCTAGTCTTACAACGCGACCAGATGTGTCTAAAGAGACATATGAGGGTGTCAGGTTGTTGAGGCTTTCAGGCCGAGGGGAGCTACCGACGTTGCCAGTGTCCAAATTTAGGAAATAGTATGGGTCATCTTCGATGATGATCATATCGTATTCCTCGGCGATAGTGTAGATCTCAGCCTTTCTCTCAGCTGGCTGAGATACACCTGTCGGGTTTTGTCCAGAGGGAATCATGTAGAGCACATGCGGCCTGTCACCATCGACCCAATTCCATGATTTGAGAAGAGTCCTCAGCGCCACTGGACGTATGCCATCGTTGTCCATGTCTATGCCTCTGGTCTTCAAGCCGAAGAGGTCTGCGACTTCGAGGAATCCGGCATAAGTGAATTGTTCACATATCACATTATCCCCTCTGTTGCAGAAAATTCGGAGAGATATGTCCAGTGCAGACGTTGAGCCCGATGACAGGCAGGTCCCCCAATCAGCATACGGCGGGTTATGCACCAGCTCCACATGTTCCGTGATAAAGCGAAGTAGTTGTGGTGACCCAGCAGCGTGTCCGTAGTCGAGCATGCTGGTCAGTTCGTAAGGTCCATTGGATTCCGAATCATTACGAGGAGTCTCCATAGATTTCGTCACAGTTTCGGGTCCGCTTTGAAAGCTCTTCCATGGAAAATGATCCGCGTTCGGACGACCAGTACAGAGCTGAATAGCCGGGCATGATGGACTTGGTGTAGCAAGCTTCTTCAAGGACGCCCCCGAAAATTGTTGGCTCTCGACGCTAAGGTGTTTCAATGAGAGTTTTGATGGGTTGTATTTGAGAGAGTGCGGCGACTTGAACGCATCGTATTGTTTGTAGCTCAAGGGTTTTAAAGCCAAGGACGGTTGAGCTCCAGTCCGCGCCAGATTCACCTCAGAGATCGTCAGGCGGTCCATATCTCTACGACCACTTGCTGCAGAGTCTGTTGGAAGTTGATATAGGAAGGCGAGCTTATTTGTGTATTATTGAATTGCGAGGATGACCATCATCATCCCACATCAGTCTTACCGCGTGTGGCGCGCGGGTACCTGCAATGTCGTACTGCACTTTGAATATCCTTACACAGTCCATATTCCCTGAGCCCCTGGACCGTGACGTTGCATGGAAACTTTATTAATAATCCCTTTTCCTCTCGATACGCATCTTGATCTTACTGTGCATGTGCCCCGGTTTAGTAATATAAACGTACATTATTCGCCTATTCGCTCCAAATCGCAAAAGATTCCTTATTGCATACAAGCAGGGGTGTTACTGTAATTGACATGGAGTTGAAACGTTCTCGTTAAGCGCATACAGCACTGTGATCTGCACACTTGCATCTACAGCAATGCTGTCCTAGGTATTTGCCCAAGCCAAAACTTCTCCAAGGCTCTCCGCAGGGTCCCCATTGTTGACAATACCAAGCCAAGTTTCCGGTTTCCTATAACCAAGCAGACTGAGCATTTTATCGCTCATGTTGAGGACCTTACTCCTTGGGATAGCAAGAAATTGATTTTCCTCTGGACGATGCGTGCCCGGAATGAAAAATAGACCATACATTTTTCGCACCGCATCGGGTACAGAGTTATGACCACCCCCATGATACACAGTGCCAAGGAACACCAAAGCTGATCCAGGGTCCATCTCTAGATCATGGTGAGCACTACCTTGGACTATTGTAACAAGCAACTTGCAAAACAAAGAGAATCGTACCTGCAAAACAAACTTCGTCAATCCTCGGAACTCGAGTATGACTCCATTTATGAGAGCCCGGAATCGCCATCGTCGCTCCATTCTCACGAGTAGTCTTCGACCCAGCGATCATGAAACCTAGAGTTGTTTCATTCTTCAGGCTATATTCGCCTTCGCCTTCGTGATAAATTCCATGAATCATATCATCTCTGTGCAACCTTTGCCGAGGAGCACCGTACCCGATGTGGTAAGTCAAACTGCTACTCAAGAGTGGACCTATCCTGAACTCTTCTGTTCTATCTTCCCAAGTTGCGGTGCACTGTTTCTCCAAGACGGCTGTCCGGAGCTTGTCAATCACATCGAATTCGGCGATTTTGGCCATAGTTGGAGACTTTCCAACAACTCCCGGAATCATGGTTGTCTGACTAGGAATTAAATCATAAGCTTCGTGGCTTTCTGTCTTTGATTGTTGTATGTATGGTTCTACTTCATTGTTGACTGCTGCAATGTCCTCGAGCGAGACGAGGTCAGTCAAGATTAGGGCGCCCCATTGCTCAAGGATAGTAAGGAGCACCGGAATAGGCGTTTTCGCAGATACTCTGGTGATCTGAGTGGATGGTTGGTATAATGGGTCGACGGGTGGCGGAAATCCAGGCATCTTGAGGCTGTCCTGAATTGAAGTTAGGCCGAAGGGACGATCCGTAAACCATTCCAAGGGCGCAACATGAACCGTTTAGCATGTTCCCTAGCCTCATGTCCTTATTATTGTCCGGATCAAAGATACTGTTCATGTTGAGATATGCTGCAAGATACGCACAGACTCGGTGAGGGGAACCTTGCCATTATGCAGTGAGTGACACGTCACACCTCGCTGCACATTGTGTCTTCGTCCGTGTTCCACTTTCATGCAATGGTAATTGACATGCTGCATAAGCTCTATGCATGATATGCTCTGCGTGCTTCACACCCAAGTTGAGCTGACCATGGCCTCCGGACTTATATCTGCAAGCGAGAGAACAGAGCTCATGGTGACATCCATTTCCCATCAGATCCCTGGTCTCCCATAGCATCGGCGAATTACCAGACACATACAACGGTGTTCTGCGTTCAGATCCCGCTTTCCAATATGGTCTCGCCAAACTCCTCCACTCTTTTGGAACCTCAGGAAATACCTCAAGGAGTGACCGAGCTTGAAAACCAAACAAACAAAATTGCAACTAAACATGGCCGTACAACCCAAACACAAAAACCCTTCAATACTCTCTCCGCTATCGGTATAGGCTATGGCGTTACCAATACCGCAGTGGGCATTCCCCTCGTAATCGCCACCACCATTCCCCTTGGCGGCTCACCGCAAGTATTCTGGGGATTCCTCCTCATGGCCGTAGTCGGCCTTGCCACAGCAACAACTCTTGCAGAATTGATCTCAGCAATGCCTCATCCAGGAGGGCAGTACATATGGGTCAATAAGCTTGCGCCAGAGCGATACAGGCGCGGCTTATCATACACCACTGCGATGATTAGTTGGATATCTGCAATCGCGACTGGAGCTTCGGGAAATCTTTCCGTACCGCTAAATGCATTTTCCATCGTTACACTACTCCGTCCTAGTTTTGTTTACCAAAGATGGATGGGTTTTCTCATGTTCCAAGTTATTAACGTCGTGACTTGCTTAGGAGCTTGTTTTTTGCATGTGCTACCGAGCATGTCAAGCTATATACTAGGGTTCAACGTCCTTTCGGTCGGCGTCATTGTCGTTACACTGTTTGCAACGTCTAGCACACACACAAGCGCAACAAACTTCTTCACAATCAACAATGTATCTGGTTGGCCAAATGGTGTGGCATTCATAATCGGCTGCAATGGTATCAACTGGTGTTTCTCTTGCTTGGATGTTGCAACCCACTTGGCAGAAGAGATTCCATCGCCTGAGACCAACATTCCGAAGGCTTTGATCTGGACCATAGTCATCGCTTCCAGCAGTGGTATGCTTATGGTTCTCGCCATTCTCCTCAATATCGGTCCTATTGAAGAGGCGAGCTACTCAGGCGTTGATATCTTCTACCGAATTACCGACAGTAAAGCCGCAGCAGTTGGCCTTTGGATTCCTGTTTTGATTCTCGTTCTAGCCTCCGTCTGGGGCATACAGACTTGGCAATCCCGTCTTGCATGGACTATCAGTCGTGAATCTGGCTTTCCCCTTCATCCCCACTTTAGCAAGATATTTCCCCATCCTTTCTATACACCTATATGGTCATTGCTAGGTTCAGCCGTTGGTACGGCACTTTTTGGATGCCTCTATCTCGCTTCTGAGCTAGCCTTCAACTCACTCATAGCGACGGGAATTCTGCTACAATACCTCAGCTATAGCATCCCAACTTTACTAGTGCTTTGGCACGGTAGGTCTAACTTTCGCCACGGCCACTTTTGGTATCCCAGATTAGGTCTTCTTGCAAATCTCATCATGCTGGCCTGGACAGTGACAGCTTTGATATTCTATTGTTTTCCTTCATACGCGGAAGTGCGCGCGAGTCAGATGAAATATGTCTCCGCCGTTATGATGCTTATCGCGGTGTTTATCATTTCGCTCTGGTTCCTCTATGCTAAAACTTCTTACAAGGTCGTCGAACTTGTTATGCACTAGAAATAATCCATGGCAGGGGGTCTATACTGCCAACAAGCGTAGTATGATATATATTATTTTACTGGCGTAGTTTCTTAACAAATTTGTATACCTCTCGACACCTTCAGTAGGGCAGACTGTCCGGCTCCAGGGTTCTTAGGTAGGATCGAAAAAAGTCATCTGCTGTAGAGGTGAATAGGTACTCTTGGCAAAAATGTAGCCAAATCCGAACATCTCGCCACTTCCTCCAAAGACGAGATTTTTGGACGCGTGATCTTGGATGATATGGTTGACATCGAATCTATGACCTCATGTCTCGCCTGAAAGTACACCCCTCGGCGTTATCGTACAGTCACTCGCAATTTTCCTGTCCTTGGCTTGTCACTCTCTTCCAAGCGGATGTGTTCATACATGATTGCGCATATTCTGCCAAGGATAAGTTCCGCTCCAACGCATATTCGCCCCATCCGCATGTATGTGTGACAAAACTCCGTTGACAGTGTGGTACAGAACTCTACAGTCTATAATCTGCAAAGCTTGGGAGATCTTGATGCAACCTACAGTACTGCAGTCGACTAAGGGGGAGTAAAGCATAAATAAAGATATATCTAGATTTAGTACAGAACCTGTGAGAGATATACATATAGTCCGAAGTTAAAATAGCGAGGGATACTGCTAGACGAGACAGTCCCGCGGCTCCTACAGACCACTGCAATGGCCAAGTATGTTCCGCAATCAGTCGGACAAGCAGATGCTTGACGGAAGAATCATGGTGACGTATCAAGGGATAGTAAACAAAGTAGAGCAACGAGAAGTACCGGAACACTTACTTACGAAATGATAGAGTTCTATAAGCCATCCGTTATTTTGTCCTATGCATATAGCCTTAGATATGGAGCGTCTATTAGTATTCAGTCAATTTCGTGAAGTTTGATACCGACCATTGGAGTGATCAGCATGACATGGTGCGGACAAGCTGCGGGACCACCTGCAATGAGGGCAGGTAATAGTTGTCGTTGCCCAAGGAGAAAACCGATAAGGCTTGCGACCCACATGGCTTGCCTGATAATAATATATATCCAGCTCTAGGGCCCAAGTCGCAAATTTGGCTTAATGTCAACGTAACGTATATCAGATGATTTTCGTGTCCTACGCTCACTGTGACTGATTGTATACGTTGCTCCGTTTCTCATCTATACCAATTCCGACTGCGCAAATATGTTAGAAGTGTATCAATTCTCTCGTATTCTTCCTCTTCTCTCTCTAGTACTACTTTACATCTACGTAAGTTGCCGACCATTCATTCTGTCCCATGCTCACTGACAAAGTATGTAACGAAACTGTTATATACAGCACTCTTAGGCCCATTGTCAAGATATCCGGGCCCTGTTTCAGCCAAGTTTAGCGACATAGAATCCTATTGGCACACAGTGAAACTTAATCGTCACATATGGCTGTGGCAAATGCACGAGAAATATGGTGCATTCCTAATTGTCAACTTATTGTACTAGTTTAGTGACTCTTTCAACAGGACCAATAGTCCGGATAGGCCCGAATAGCGTCGTCATATCGTCTGTGGAAGGTTTTCACCGGATATACGACGTTAAAGCAAACACCCAAAAAGCCGAGGCTTATTTGGCGTACGCGAAAACATGGGGCATCTATAACACATTTACCAAGCTTTCTAAGGAAGAGTATCAGCCTTATCGACGTTTCGTTCAGAGTGCGCTATCTGAACGAAATGTCAAAGCCGCTGAGCCAGTTGTGATAGAAAACATCGACAGGTGGGGCGATCTGCTAGTGATTGGCGGATCTTCTAAGACATGGAGTAGTCCACGGGATATGGTTGGTGAAGCTGATGCTCTTGTTTTCGACATCATCTGTGATCTTTGCTATGGCAAGAGCTTTAACGTCAAGGAGCATCGTGAGAACGAAATGCGAGAGACATCTCGCAGTATTCAGCAGTTCATGAAGATCAATTACATGGTAAAACACAAGTATATTTAAGGAAGCCTTCACATTTTGCTAACACAAACCACAGATTGCAAAATCTCCATGTGTCAAGCTATGGATCTGGCTCAAACCACGAGGACTGGACGCACTGATGCGAGAGATTACTCCGGCCTCTATCAAAAGGTATTTTCAGACAGTCGAGCGATTGGTTCTTACTCGACTTGAGGAGGAAGAGCTCAATGAAAAGAAAGGCATTGACGTGCGGCGAAAGGATCTACTACACTTTATTTTCAAAGCCCGAGACGAAGGAAAAGTCATCATGTCGCACGGAGCTCTAGTAGAGGAAGCCGGCATGTTCATGATCGGCGGGACCGACACAACCTCGCACGTAACTGCTGCTCTCTTTTTCTACCTTGCGCACAATCCACGTGTACTCTGGACTTTGACCCAGGAGATTCGCTCGACTTTCATATCACTCGACGATATCAAGGCCGGCCAGGCCTTGAGTCGCTGCAAGTATCTAGACGCTTGCATCAACGAAGCACTCCGCATGAGCTCTTCCGGAAATGCTGATCATTCACGCGAAGTCCTCCCCGGCGGCCTCAAAGTCGGCGATGCATTCTTCCCCGCTGGCACAATTGTTGGTAGTTCGTCGTACGTGCTACATCACTCTGCGGACCATTTTAGAGACCCATTCGTTTTCAGGCCAGAACGGTGGATCGTAGGGGGAGATATCACAGCAGCAGATGTAGCTCGAGCTGAGACTGCTAATTTCCCGTTCTCACTAGGCCCAAGGGGCTGCCCGGGGAAGACGCTGGCTTGGGAGGAGCTGCGATTGATATTTGGACGAACACTGTGGAGGCTTGATCTGGTGTTGGCGCAAGGTGACACGACTGGGATGGGCAGGGACGAGCTGGGATGGGGAAGGACGGATAAGACTCAATATCAAGCCGGTGACGCGATGGTAGGGTACCGAAAGGGGCCGTTTGTACAATTCAAGGTGAGAGAGTAGTACACACGATGCAGGAAGTACTGTAGCTCCGGCAATGCAATAAATGGTACGCCATGACTTCCACGGCAGAGGTCTGGCCTGCAATCTATTACTGGCACATATGCTGAAGGCTATTCTCCTGACTCGTGTGTCAGTTACGAACAAGGAGGTCCAGACTTCAGTATGTGCACATCCAGATCATATAACATCAATCAAAAGTCTTAACTTTGGCATAATCCCAATCCATGACTCACTGAGGTGATGTAAATGTGCTCCCGTAAAGTGGATGACGTGTATCAGACTGAACGACTTATTAACGTTGCAATACCTAAAGTCTAAGTCCGGGGCTAGAATCAGAAGGTAGATACCAAAAGTGGGAACATCTATATTCCCCAATATGACCAATTTCAAATAAGTAATCTTTACTGCTTAGCAAGGTCAATAAGGTTACTCTTCGTCTGGTAACTAATTACTTATTAATGTGGGAGTAACATCATATATGTATGACCCCATGTACCGATTTATACTACGTTGTTTGGGCTCCGGCTTTCGGCAAGCCGATGTTCAGCTATTCACTTTCTAGTACCTACATAACGTCATTTGAAGGGTCTGGAGCAAGGCTTGCCCCGCCAAGAGACATGGATGTTTTGACTTGTGCCGACAGAACCTAGCTCCCGTTAACTAACTTAGACAGGCTTGGCGGTTCGCGCTTGCGTCGTCATCAACACCGGCCTTTGTCAGACACCAGAAGTTTCTTAGAACCTTTTCTTACGTTTTGGCTGCGGGAAGCTCTAAAAATTCCGACTCACCGTTCTACAGGACCTTCATCGATATCCATAAATGTCGCTCTACCTCATCCACTGAGATCAATGGCAGCAGGCCTACAGCTCCATTGGAAAAGCGACGCACAAATTCATATAGCCTCACGGATCTCGCCCCTTGCAATACGGCGCTCACAAACTATCTCGAAACAGCGAGTAGCAAACTAGGGATGCCTCGCGCGGATCCTGTCCTCCCGACCAGTTGCTGTCAAGGCTTCGACCCGGCAACTATCATCGCCATCACAATCCTGATCTCTCTATTCTTCGTACCGTTGATTATGTGGTGGATCAAGAACTGGAGTTCTTTGAGAGACCGTGAGTGGTATGATGCTGAAGGTAGGCTAGTATTCTCTCCCGGGAGCAGACGACATCACACACAGAGTTGTACTTATTCTTGTACGAAGCTGACGAGCCCAGACACTGAGATGGGTGGAAGCAAGCTGAGGACTGGTTTGGACAGAATCGTATGAGACCTGAAATGTGTACCAAGGATTTATTATATATGGGCTACGTCTCGTTGCACGCAGATAATAAGTGAAATAGCAAGGTGACGTCGCAGGTTCGGTTCTCCGTCGCGCCTTCAACTTGGAACTTCATACTAATATCAGAACACACAGTTATCATTACAATCGGTTACCCATGCACAAACGATGGAACATCCATGAGCTCTATCGATCCATCATCCTCGCGCGTGTGTCTATTACGCCAGTTCCGCCGCAGCAGCTTTCCTCTGCTGACCATCGTGACCCAACTCCACCGGCCCCCGCTCAACACCGCTCATTTCAGCTGGGCCGGTGTATTCGTATGTACCCTGATTCTTCATTGGGTAATACGCTTGGTCCGCACTCGCAGTTGCATAGCCTCCATGCTCACTCATACCAGCTACACCACCCGTGTACACCGGCGGCGCACCATGCTCCCCGTTCATATACCCACCAGACATATTGTTAGCTAGGGCAGCTCTCTTCTTAGCGGAGCAACGTCTTCGGAGGTAGAAGAACACACCGGCGGCAAGAGCACCGACAGCTGCGACACAGCCTACGGCTGCGCCAGCAATAGCACCAGTACTGATACTACTGGATTGCGAGCCTTGTAATGTGGAGCCAGTGTGTGCACTAGGTGTTGGAGATGTTGCGCTTGACGACTGTGCAGTTGGGCTTTGAGTTGCTCCAGGTATGCCTGCGGATGATGAGGCGGCAGCGACCTGCTTCAGGATATAGAAGCCCCTTGAGGGAGCCTCGATGAGAGAATTGTTGAATCTGACATTGACATCTGCGACGGGTGGCTTGAGACGGTACACGAACTGGCCGTTGTGATTATCTATGTCATCGTTTGACAGATAGACGTTCCACTGTAAAGTGCCGCCGCTGGCGGTGTTGAGGTGTGGAGCGAGACACTTCCAGTATCCATTGTCGTTGTCCTGATCTTTGAAACTTGTCAACCAGACAGAAATCTCACCCTTGTCGTTAAAGAGGTCTGCGCTGTTGTCCGGATCGGTTGTGTAGTATTCGGTGTTTGCATTTTCGGCTGCGTAGAGAGAGTATTAGTCGTGACTGGGACCTCCTTTTGCCATGAAACTGACTTGTCAATATCCAATCAACCTCCGCTGTTGTGCCCTGGTCTACGGACAAAGTCGCGTCGAAATCTCTCGTATTAGTATCGGGCTTAGAGAACGCATCTTGAGCCCATGCGAGAGGTGCGGAAAAAAGTATCACACTCAGAGCGAGTGATATCATGTTTATGACTGTACAATTGTCGCACGACAAAGCAACCCATTAAGAAACAGAACGACTGAAGTAGATGATACAAAGTAGTACATATGAATGCCAGCGATCGGACACGCGAAAAAACAAAACACAGGAGATGTATTAACAGGAGTAGGTGAGGAAGCAGACCGAGGCAGGTAAACACTCACCAGGCCCACCGTCCCTTAAATTCGCCTCCACCCCTTACTCCCAGGCCTCCAGGCTACCTGCTCGTGCCAAAAACTGCTCCCATGTAATTGGTTCCCTCACGTCTGAATAGATAGACCATTTCTCGCACTAAACAAAGCCGGTGCTTGCACCATACCATGGTTCTCCACCGGTCTTTTTCCGCGAACATTAGGAGCTTTGAGGGTGATAGCGATAATAAATACACGACTCGTCCAAAATGGGATAGATAATTCTAGGATTAGTTCAGTAGGTAGAGGAGACTTTATTCTTTCGTTATGCCTATTCAATGCATTAGCCTTACACTTCTATAAGTCCTAATCTGAGGTTAGACTTATGTTTAACGGCTTGCTTACGTGCACGGAAATAAACCTGCGGAACAAGGCGCCCAACACACTAGCTTGCAAGTGACGAGCTAGTGTATAAGGCCAGCAGCGCTATGCTAACCAGGGGCTATGCTGGTACAAAGATAGAAGCGGCGCTACAATTAGCGACCGGAGTTTTCGAACAGTATTTGAGATCAAATTTTCGGTATGATGTAAAGATAGAGATGTTGAGTCGAGATCATAGACTCATAGTCTGAGTGTGGAGTATCGTATAGGCGAGCAAATGTTGCTGTAAAGTTTGTATTGGATGATCACGTATGCTGTTAGTAACAGTGAAAGATTGAAGAGAAGGGTGAATCGCATATTTAATTGCATCCTAGCATCATAGCCTACAATACTTGCCCAGTGTGTATGGAGTCACGAAGACGAAGTGTGATCGTGCTCTTCCGATCCACCTAATCTACTTCCTCGTCTCTCCCTGTCCTTCACTTTCCCTTCATCATGAATGTATCCTCTTATGCCCTCAATCCTCAACAAATAAATCTCTCATTCACTTCCGTCAATGATCTCCCACTCGTTGTTTTCAGATACATCACTGTCCAACCATGCATCATCAATGCTGACAACACCAGAACCGATGACACCGAAGTTTCTATGCTCATACAGAACATCAGTTCCATCAACAATCCCCCCTGTTGCAGAGCCGTTGGCTTCAGCCGAAAGCGACGGCGACGTGTTAACGCCCTTCTCAAGCGCCGGAAACCTGAACTCCGGGAGTGCAGCACCACTAGCCGACGCCGGGACAGGCACATCTCTGGTGACCAATCGTGACTTGGGAATTGCGCGCTTGCTCCGACTCGGGTCGCAAGGTGCGACCGAACATGTGGCATTCACGGACTTACATCCTTGGTCGAAGTTGCTATTGGACTTGTACGCCTGCTCGGATTTCGATACAGGGCCGGAGGTGGCGCTAGCATGTAAGGAGGTTGCCCGGGCTGAAGGGAGTAGGTATTGGCCAGGGGAGATGGTAGGGGCCTTGAGAATTTGATTCTGGTGGATGGATGTCTTGGAGGTCTGGTATGGAGGCGCAGTGTTTCTGGCGGTGTGCTGCTTCATTGTTGGGCTTGTTGTGGCATTGGGCTCTGCGAAGAGCTTGGTAGTATTTTCGAGAGCGTGGTGGACCTTCGCGTTGTTTGCTTCTATGTTAGCATTTTTATTGTCTTCGCTGTCGTCCTCGCTATCTTCGTCGTTTCCCTCGGGACCTTCAGTTTCACTGTCCCCGTCACTGTTCTCGTCACTGTCTTCATCACCTTTCTCATCACTCTCACCATCGTTCTGTTGCTCACAGCGATCGGAATGTTCCGTCAAAGATGAAGAAGCACCCGATCTCTCATTATCATACGAGGCTTCATTCTCAACCCTCCCATCAGACGCACCTTTGACCGCTGTATAACCAGCGAGAACAGCTTGTTCCTTAGCCAGAAGGTCTTTGGCAAAATCAAGCAGAGCAGTTGCTTGATCCCGATTCTTCACAAGTCCGCAGATTTGATTGGTACTGGCGCCGCCCGTGATCGCTCGATCAATAGCTTCCATGCTCTTGACCACACCCTCCTGGTACGTTTTCTTCAGGTGAGTCAAAGAGTAAATCTTCATTCTCGACGCGTTCTCCGGGACCTTATCGCGAAGGACGCGCGAGTGGTATGCTCGTATGCGTGCATGATCGATAAGTTTGTTACGGTGGTGCAGTGCCGCCTTTATCTCCTCGTCCTTGCCCTTGAGATAGTTGTGACTGTGGATCTTATCATGGGGAGCGAGGGTTGCATTTGTTGCGCGCTGCTTTCGAAGTTCCAGCTTGCGATATCGGGTGGCTGTGACTGGTGCATTGCGAGAATGCTGGGGATGGAGTTTTTGCTGCGATTCGGGCACTGGGATATGCTTCGGAGCCCACCTGGAAAGCATCAACTCGCTGTAAGGAGAGTTGTGCTGAAGCTCTTTGCCGTATTTCAAGAATTTTTCTTTGGCCTCTTTGTCGTTAACGGCATTCTGATGATGCATTGTGCTGCTCTGTGTAGATGCCCTCATCTTCTCAGGCGGCTCCGTCTCAAGCCTGGCCTTGCTCAAAGCTTCAATCCTGACTGGACTCTTCATAGCCTTTTTCAGGGGCATGTTAGGTGTCAGTACGGCTTGATGATCGATCTTCTCATCGCGGCGAGTTGCACCTGAAGAGTCGAGATAAGGCTTTGGAACACTACCCTCATTCCTCGATCGATTGCCGTAATCAACGCGCCCGTCAGGCAGATTCTGGAGTTTGCATGTATCGAGCAGACCAAGGTATGTTTGCACCGCGGTGCTTACGATTTCAGCGCCTTTTTCCACGAGCGCTGACCAGTAGACTTCGTCACCTCCGTCAGGTGTGAGATGCATGGCAACATCTTCGAAAGCAAGCCGCATCTCCTCCTCCATCGACATGACGTATCGCATGATATGTTTACCCTCTCTACTGATTACCGGGATGTCATGTGGGACCTCCAGGTCCGATACGATAACACCCGGCACCGGTGTACCCCTGGTTCTGTGGAGTGTGCCAGGAGGTTGAGCACTACGGATGCTAACGGTAGCCTTTGATGAAGATGGTCTCTTCCTCTCCGTATCATGCTGTCCTAATATTCCACCAGTGTGGTGAAAGTCTGTATCTCTTGGGCCACCAGTAACTGTAGCAGTTGTGATTTCGTCTGGTCTCTCATGTTCAATCGATGCTTTATATCGCTGTGCTTGAGCCGTACAGGGGTCATTAAGCGCTGAGTGTCGTGGGACAGGATTTCGACGATGATCATGGTCATTCAAGGGAATACCTGCTTCTGCAACAGGGCTCAAGTTAGTCCGCTGAAAAAGTGAATAGATAATGAAGACCTCTCACCTGTATTATGACCTGGAGAGGTACGTTGCTTGTTGGCTTGATCAGATGGCGTTCTGTACGGACTCAACACGGAAGTAGATCTATCTCTTTCACGTTGCTTTCGCTCCGTGCTAGAGTCGACATTCTGTCTGCTAGATGATGACTCGTCTGAGAAAACCATCTCTCTATCCTCGTATCGATATTCCTTGCAGACTGGACTGTTATTATGCGCAGGTTTGGCAAATTGAAGGGCACCGCGAGGTGGACACGTAGTGTAGGCCCTGGCGATAGGGCAGGGTGGTGGTGGTAATCGAGAGCTCATGGTCACCTTGAAAGTAGGCTGATAGAAGCGATCTTGGTCGGTATCAGGACGTGAGGGATATTGAGACATGGACGAAGTGGGCAGATGCGAAGTCAGGAAAGATAATGCGGGTGATGTTGACTAGCTAAAAGAAAGGAAAGAAACCCTTAAGTATTGATGAATCGAGTCACTACGTGAAAAGTTCCAGGCCACTGCTGCCTAAAAGGTGGACAAGTATCGGTGAAAGCAAAAGTAGTAGAAATGAACACAGTATTGTAGTCCACATGACGTTTAGCTTTTTAAAGTGCTGTTTTCGACACCTCATGTTGCATTCATGGCAGTATTCATCGAATCACGCCATTTCGTGCCATACTTCTTCATGCTCCATACACACATCGGACCACTGATGATACCAACAATGGCGAGAATAGTGAAGAGCCAGCCATTCCCAATAGCTAAAATTGCAGGTTCAGCAGCTACAGAGCCAGCGAAGCCGAATATGTTTCGCGCAAAGTTATTCACTGCAATACCAGTCGACGCCTGGCGTGGAAGAAACTCTGTAAGCATCGTGGTTGCGAGTTGAAAGATTAACATGCTGCCTATACCAAAGAAAAAATTTGCAATCATCTGTTGCATTCCTGGTCAGCACGAAGGAGTGAGGTAAAGGGGTGTTTGAGCTTACCGGGATGATCCAAGTCGCGCCATTGTGTGCAGCCCACCCGTACCAGAGGAGCGCGCTGGGGAACAAGACCGCTCCCAGCCATGCGTTCTCTCGCATGCGGTCTTCAGGTTGGAAGATCGGCCTTCCTTTTTCGTCGTATCGCCCAGCTTTACTCGCTTCCCTCTTCATAATATAGTCAACCCACCGACCGCCAACGAGAGAGGCAATCAAGTAGCCAAGGCTGTTTGGAATGTACAGCAATCCGATGATAGAATCCGAAAATCCGTATGGTGGGATTCGGAAGGTCTCCTGTATGGAGACGTTTAGTACATATAAGGAGCCGAAAGCGATAGAAGCATAGTATACGGTGACAAGAACAGCAGGGAAGCGGAGCAGAAGGAGAATTGAAAGTGGATCAACCAAACATCGTCGTAGTACTCGAATCCACTTGCTTGTTTTGAGCTGGATGCTCTGCATCGTGGACGCGCGTCTAAGAGGTTTCGGCCCTAAGACTGCTTCCGGATCGATGTCTTGTCTGGGCTCTACGTCTCCAGTTTCCGATACATGGTCTGTTACTTTCGTAGTCCTTACGACAGTTTGCTGACGTTTTAGTAAAGTCTCCGGCAGAAGAAGCAGGATGCCCATCAAGGTGATCCCACCGAATCCCACCAGAAACCATTGTGTGCTTCTCCAGCCTAGAGCATCAGCTAGAGCACCTCCAATCATAGGGGCGAGGAGAGGTCCGCATAGTGGTCCCAGATAGAAAAGTCCCATGGCTTTCCCACGGTCTTTCGGCTCCCATATGTCTGCAATCGTCCCAGCTCCAACAGCCTGTACGCTCGAGGCAGCACCGCCACTGAGAGTACGCATAACTATGAACATAATAACATTCACAGAAACGGCAGAGAGGACATTCCAGACAAGGAAGAGGCTGAATGAGGCGACATATACTGTTCGTCGACCCAGTGTCTCACTGAACGACGACCACCATAGAGGAAATATGGACATTGAAAGCACGTAGAGTGCCAAGCTGAGATTCGTCACTGTCGGGTTGGAATCAAAGTCTTCTGCAATGTCAGCAAGGGCTGGCATGATAATGGCGGAACCAGCTGGAGCAGCAGCAGCCGCTATTGAAACTACAAGGTCTGGATTAGGCCCAGGACACTCATGTGTGTAAACGGGTGCATACCAAGTGCCGTTAGAGACCATTTCGTAGTAGAGGTATAGTCAGTAGGCTTCGTGACCTCTGGGACAAGTGTCAGAAATGCAAGCAACCCCCTACGCTCATTGTGTGGAACGGCCACAGCTGCTACAACTCTTGACCCTACCGAGAGTGATCTTGACAGTGGATGTGGCTGAGTTGGGCGCTCTGGCGGTGGAACTAGGATCTGAGACGACGCATTGGAAGATTGGTCGCTCTCTTCCTCATTTTTAGATTTCGGAGTGTATGGCCGCGACTCTACTAGGGATAAGTCTCCCGTTGATGCGTCTTCACCATGATGTTGACTCCATAAACCCGCCATATTTCATGGATCACCTCTTCTATTATTAGTCTGGCTCTGAATTTATGGGTTTCAAAATTAGACTGGCATCGTTCGGCGGGTAATTGGTTGGCAGTGCGGAGTCAAGGACTGTGGGATATGTCCCCACGCTGGCGACGGAGATGTTTGAGTGGCATGTACGACATAAAGAGTCAAGCAGAAGTGCAAATATATATAGGATAAACTTAGTAGGCAGTGTATGTTAGTTGTTGTATAGCGACAAGGGTGTTAGACCTGTGCCGTATGGACCGGCTCTGTGATGTGCTTTGCTAGCGCTGTGTCGAAATTATACAGATAGCCATCGCACCACCAAATCAAAGAATCTTTATTTTAGCCTCCTATTATTTCTCCGCGAGCATATCAGACGGGCTGGCGGCATAGCATAAGGCGATTGCAGGTGTGATGAAGCTTTCTTCGAAGCAACAATCTATGTTCGCGACGCTAACCATCTCAAGCACTAGCGCTTTTCTTGCATGGATGGGCGACCTGGCGAGGTTCTATTGGCATCCGACCCCAGACCTTTTTAATGCTCTTTCATCAACAGCTCCTCTATCTTTTCTTCATCCCATTGTCGAACGATATTTCGTGTATCCGATGTACGGAAATGAGAATTCGTCCCGAGAATTCCCAGTCATTGGCTGCTGATCTTAGAAATTTCGCCACTGCAGGAGCCGAAAGCCAGAACGTACAGCATGCTACTCCGCGGGTATTGGCGAAAAAAATGAATGAGAGCGGCAGTATAGCCGATAGTGCTATGTGATGAAGTGTGAGTTGCTTGTAGATGCTCTCTACTATCCAGGATAGCCCAGCAGTAGTATATTTGTGCTCAAACATCAACAGGGAGTGACTCGCCGAAACAGAGATCTGACTATATCTAATATATCTAAGCCTCTTGAGACTCATAAGACGATAAAGGGGCTATATAGGCAACCTTTCCGTAAAGGCTTTAGCGTCTTGTGATGATTTTAGATGGCCCTAGAAAAAATCGAAGTAATAATAGATATGGGAGGGTCCAGGCCCCCAGGGTCATGGGTAGTGCCAAGGTGACCGTGGCTTTAACTTGTGCCGCCCCTTGGCCGGCTTTCTTCCCATCGTTTAAGAAACTTGGAGGGCTAGAATAATCATAAGTAAAATTTCGACTAGATCATATATAAATGGTATCTAGAAAAGTGGATGTAGGTAAATGAGACTTCGAACTTTACTCCTATCTATTCAAAACTAGGCTAGTCTTGACATATTTTCGAGGTTCATACGATTCTGGGGTGTCTTCGTTATGCCAGCGGTAAAAAATCGGCCAAGAGCGCCGCATTCCTTGTCGGATACGGCCATGGGATTTCCCTTCGGTTATTTTTCGCCGGACGTGAGGGCGAACTGCGGATCACAACGATGCTGGCCAATTGAAACCGTGTTTGACACTAAACACTTTCGCCTTTCTAGGTATGGACAAACGACAAGCTTCGTACGGCCTCGATCTCCCGTTTCTCGGCGTAATGCTCAGATCGAGCCCATTTCCATCGCCCACAACCCTCAGTCCAGCACGAGATGCGGACTCTTTTGACCTGCGATCGTGGCCATCTACCCGTTCGCGATGAGACATCTCCCGTCAAACTAAGAATGCGATGTCGTGGCCATCCCACGGGTACACTGAAAGAGCATCGTATTCACACATGATGTCATAACCAGATGCGTCCTCCTTCAAACACGGGCTATATATCGCCAACAACATCCACCTTCAAAGCAGAGATGAACCACACAAATACATTTCATCGTTCACAATGACAACTCCTAAGCTCAACGTCCTCATCGTCGGCGGCGGCATCGCTGGCCCCGCCTTCGCATACTGGCTACATCGCGCAACCCCATGCACAATCACCATCCTAGAGCGCTTTCCAGCGCCTCGAACCTCCGGTCAAGCAGTCGACATCCGCGGCGTCTCTGTGGACATCGTCCGCAAGATGGGCATTCTACCCACCATTAAATCGCTTAACACCTCAGAATCCGGCATGCAAGTCATCGACGTCTCAGGGGCCGTGAAAGCCTCATTCCCCGTCTCCGGCGACGATAAAAACCAAGGTCCGACATCCGAATACGAAATCATGCGCGGCGACCTGGCGCGGATCCTGCTGGACATCTCCAAAGACCACGCACAGTACGTATACGACGAATCCGTCAAAACGATCGAGGAATCGGACAATGGCAAAGTTCACGTCGAGTTCACAAACGCGCATCTCCCGCCCAGCGATTATGACCTCGTTGTCGCGGCCGATGGCATGCTCTCACGCACGCGCCGCGCGGTCTTTGGCCGTGGGCCCAACAACAAAGACTACCTGCACCACCTCGGCGAATACCTCGCCTACTTCACCATTCCGTCCATCCCATCCGACGACTCATGGTCACAATGGCTCTCCTTCGGTCGCGGTCTGCTGGCATTCAAACGCCCCGATCGCGACAACAACGCGCGCATCTTCCTCGGCGTCGCAGACAAGCCAACCGCAGAGCGCTTCAAGGCCTTTGAAACAGCGGTGCACGAGGGGCGAGACGCGCAGGAGGCATTACTCAGAAAGGAGTTTGCGGGCGCTGGCTGGCAGATGGAGCGATTCTTGGGTGAAATGAGCAAGAGCGACGATTTCTACTTCCAGATCGTCGCCCAGACGAAAATTGAACATTTCACAAAGGGCCGCATCGCGTTGCTTGGTGATGCCGGATATTGTCCGTCGCCGATCTCGGGCATGGGCACAGCTGCCGCAATTACCGGCGCATATGTGCTCGCGGGCGAGATCTCGAAGAATCCAGAGGATATCAAGGAGGCGTTGGCGAGCTATGAGAGGGTGCTGAGGCCGTTTGTGGACGAGGTGCAGTGGCTGATTCCAGGGGCGCCGCAGCTGGCTGTGCCACAGAGCGATTGGGCTGTCAAGATATTCAATACAGTCATGGGGCTTGCGAGTAGTAAGCCAGTGCAGAGACTGATGGGATATGTGTTACCGGCGGCTGGCAAGAGAGGGTGGCAGCTGCCTGTTTATGAGAAATTCGAGGAGAGTCCTGGCATTGGAGACGATGAGAAGGTGTAGGATTTCATTCGTGAGAGTCTAGTAAGATTATAATGTCGCGCATATCTACAGTTTTGCCTTTCCGCTCTTCTTACCGTTCTGTGCAGCGCTCCAAAGCTGTCCGCCCACTCTCTCCACCTCGTCTAAGATCACCTTGACGCTCTCAATACTCGTCAACGGATTACCATTCATCGTTCGCAGGATGTACACCGGCCAGTCAACAGGCACAAGCTCATGACTCACTCTGCGTAGCGGGAACCCATGGATATAATATTTCCCTTCGTCCTGTATCTTCATCTTCAGCGCCTTGTTCACACCGCTCAATTCATCCATATCATCCTTGCTAATACGCTGGCCACCAGCCTGAAGTGATTCCGGGAAGAACATGATGATACACGCATTTATATCCGTCTCATTGATGAGAATCAAATTCCTCCTTGCCCGGACCTCGTCTTGGATCTGGGCAGTCAAGGCAAGACGTTGGTCTATCAAACGCGACAAGCCATCGTTGCCAAAGTACTTTATCGCAGCCCAGAGCTTCAACGCATCGAAGCCTTTCGAGCCAATGAAAGGGGTGATTTGGCCCAAACTCCACTGCGTTTTCAGGATCAGCTCAGTACTTACACCGACCTTGGCCAGTGTCGAGGGGTCTTTGAATAACACGAAAGAGCATGCATAGGTCACCCAGAGCACCTTGTGTGGGTCGATGGTGACAGAGTCAGCGCGCTCGATACCTTTGAGTTTGTGCTTGTGCGTGTAGGAGAAGGCGAGGGATTGGCCGTGGCAGGCGTCGACGTGAAACCAGACGTTCTTACGTTTGAGAATAGTAGCGATAGCGTCCAGGTTATCGATGCACACTATGCGGTAAGATTAGTTGAGTAAGGGGTAAAGTTGAAGAATGGCCTACGCACTCGTACGTGAGTCTCCGGCATAGGCTACGCAGGCCATAACATGACGTCCAGCGGCTCGTTCTTCGTCGATGCATCGTTCTAGCTCGGGTAGCTTCATCCGGAAAGAGTCGTCGACGGGTACGCGGACAACATTTGCTCCACCTAAGCTAATGGACGACAGAGCTGATCGAATGGAGTAGTGCTCGATGACATCCGGTACAAGGACGCGAACGTACTTTGGCAGCACCGGCAGACCATAGAGGCCAGAGTCCGGGAACGTGTACTCTCTTGCAGCAATCAAAGCAATAGCATTGCTCAGACTACCGCCGATTGTCAGAATACCACCAGCTTCTAGTGCATTGGTGTATTTCTCCGGAGTGTCGTAGCCCAGATTCGAGCGAAGCCAATGTACGACCTCCATTTCCTTGAAAGTAGCCTCTGGTGAGCAGACATCCTGGTTCGCTAAATTCTGGTTCAGGAGAGGAATCATGAGGCTGGCCCCAAGTGAAGGAACACTATTTCCTGCATCTGGGAAACCAGTCCAGTTTGGACTACCCCAGTTGACGCTATTATCAGCTATGGACTTGAACTCCTTCAGGAGTTCGTCATAACTGATGCCCGTCTTAGGCAAGGATCCAAACTGGACAGTAGCTGGGGTAGGCTTTGGGTCTCTCCGGACTGTCGGTTGTTCTCGGAATTCGACACCAAGCTTGACAATGCTGTCGAAGAAAGACGCAATGCGCTCTGAGCCTTTCTGGTACGGTCCAAAAAAGTCCTGCTCGTCTGGTCGTCCGAAGGACGCAACATCGGTTATCTTTGCTGGAGCCATAATAGCCACAAACAAAGCTTTGGATACAGTCAGATCTGATCTTCAGGACTGCCTTGATCTGGGACTTATATACTTAACACTCCGTATGAGTGGACCTTTCTGCAGACACGAATGCAGATAGAGAAACTCAAAAGAAGGGGCCGGCATATGGCAATAGCCGCGCCAAGCGAGATCTCCAGAGTACTCCATATGTGACAATATAACCATGTAAGCTTATAGATCATATGGCGAGTGCTGTCGCCTACATGCTAGTAAGGTCTAAGATCCTAAACTTCCTTAGTCCGCTTTCGCACAGTAGAGTGGATACAGGCATATAATAAGTAAGCTGACCGCTGTAGCGTACATTACCTCCTCCATGGTTCGGTTGTGTGATGTGATGCCATTGTGGATCAGAAGGTTGGCATCATCTGCAGAGTCTTTGTCTGCTGTTAACGGAGTTCTGGAATGACGCATTGTCCATTGATTTAACAGGATAACAATGGGTCAAAATGGGCTCAGCTCAGCTTTCTCTTTCATTTTTACAGTGTGCATAAGACATAGTTCGGCACATGTGATAGTTATCTGTTCTTCAAAAGAGTGCGCTGATGGAGGGCCTGAGGGACCGAAGGAGCCTGGAGGTGGGAGTGCGTAGGATGAAGGATCAAAATGTACGAGACGAAAGTTTCCAATTCCCCACACTAACGTTGGTATGGATCAGCTCCTCAGAGATATCCATTGACCTGCATATACGAATATGACTTTCTTTGTTGTTCCTTTGTTTTAGCCTACTTTGCACTTTCTCTTTGGCTATGACTCGCGACTCGCGACTCGACGACAGTGCTTAATCGTCGTGATACGTCGTATGCAAGAATAAGACGATTATGGCGTTAGAAAGACGAAACCCACATGCGGCCATGATACCCATTTTATGCTGCAGCAAAGCAAACTTGTGGAGAGCCTCTCTGAGTTTCTCAGTCACTTTCCCGGATTCGGACTTCCGGGCCGAGGCGAAAATGGGGAACTGCCGATTACAGGGGCGCCAGCAGGATAGGGCACGTATTACTCATACTGTAATGCGTCAGATCAGTCCCACCCTTCTGCACGCTCCGCCTAGAGCCCACAGATAACGACAACAAGTATTTACTATTGATGGAGAACTTTATCCGCGCCCCAATCCATCGCTCTTACTGACCGCCTGTGACATCTCGCTTTGTTTGATGTACTTAACTCCGTCATGAATGACTAATTCTGCATCCGATGTACTTCATCTCTCTTTCTCACATGGGCCACACTCTCGTGAAGCAGATTCGATCCCATGAAGCGGCGCAACAACCGAGTTCTGGAGTTTCTGGGCTTCTTTCCGTTTCCTGATCCTGTGGAAGACGTCGGACCTCCTCCAGATGGTGGTCAAGGTTGGGTCCAGGTACTTGTAGCCCAGTAAGCATACTTTTTCTTATCCTGTGTGGTGGGACTGACATTGTGAGCAGCCTGGTATTGTTCAATACCTGGGGTTACTTTAATAGTTATGGACTCTTCATCGACTACTACGCATCCGCCTTTCCAGGTACAACGCTATCCGCTCTATCGTGGGCTGGAAGCACTCAGATCTTTCTTTTGCTACTCATCAGCACGCTCTCTGGTCGTGTATTTGACGCTGGCTACTATCGTCTAACATTACTAGTGGGAAGCATTCTTCAGGTCGTTGCCATATTCATGACAAGTCTGGCATCACAGTACTGGCAACTATTCATGGCTCAGGGCATATGTGGTGGTATCGGGGCTGGCATCATCTATGTTCCCACCGTCTCGTGCGTTGCGACGTATTTCGCGAAGAGGCGAGCACTAGCTGTCTCTTTTGCTACTTCGGGAACAGCCACTGGTGGTGTTGTGTTTCCCATAATTGCTCAACAACTGCTTCCCAGGATCGGGTTTGGCTGGACAGTCCGTGTCATGGGCTTCGTCGTGCTCTTTAACTGCCTAGTTGTATTTGCTTTGGGAAGACCACGTATTCCAAGGCGGAGCAGTGGAAAGTTTGTTGAGCTTGAGGCTTGGAAGGAAGCACCATATTCTCTGTTCACCGTTGGTGTCTTTCTATGTTTATGGGCAGTCTACATCGGATACGACTATGCAAGTCTACTGAAGACATGCGTTGACCTTGACTAACACGATATCAGATCAATATCTATGCATCTTCTGTCCTTGGAGCCCCAGACTCGACAGCACTCGTTATACTCTTGATTCTCAACGCAATGGGTCTTCCCGGTCGCCTTGTCCCGGCCCTGGTATCTGATGCCTACCTTGGGCCATTCCAGACTCTCACGCCTATAGTAATAAGCTCTGGTATCATGTATTTTTGCTGGATAGCAGTCAAGTCGATCAAAGGTTTATATGTTTTCAGCATCTTCTTTGGCTTGGTCAATGGAGGAGTTCAAGGCATGATCCTAGCAGGATTACCGAGTCTGACCACAGATCTCAGCAAGATGGGCACGCGATCTGGCATGGTCCTGACAGTAGTCTCTTTCGCGACCTTGACTGGGCCTCCTCTTGCCGGAGCTCTCATACACGAAGATGCAGGTGGCTTCTTATACCTACAGATATGGGGAGGCCTTTCAATGCTTATTGGCGCCGGGTTCCTGTTAGCAGCCCGAAGAGCAGCAAGTTCCCGATCGAAGACTGAGCCATAACTCTATCAGTAATTATGCGAATTTCGAATTCCCCAACTTCGGCCCCTATTTGTACCAGGGCGCATGCTGTATAATTTTTGCAAACGGTATGAAATATACGCTTCATGTTCCCCACCGAGCGGCATTTATGTGACGCCGAGTTTGATGCGAGCTTGCTTCCATTCGAGTCAGATCACCTGCAACTGGCCTCCCCACTTCGTACTTCGTGGCAGGAGAGGAACAATACGACGACTTATCATCTCACGATCAGAATGGCCACAGATTTCACAGTCCTCTCTGATGCTGCTGTCCAGGCACTTTTCCGTGCATTTACCAAGGATGACGTCAAGTTCATGGCCGAAGCGCTTCGTTCTGCTTTCCATGCCTACTCTACTGCCGAAGAAAGCAAGTATCAGCTACATCGCTCAGCGATCACTCGTCCCTCAGGTCGCACTACTTTGTTCATGCCTTCGACACTTGAGATTGGTTCATCAGTCAAGATGGTCGGTGTTCCTGCACCGGGGGAGGATAGCACTCTCCGCTGCACATTGACCATCTGCGACAATATTGGACAGTGCATTGGCGTCATCAATGCTGGGGAATTCACCGCCTTCAGAACTTCATTGGGGGCAATGCTCATCTTTGATCAAAGAACGCGAGTTGGAAACATCGTCATCTTCGGTGCTGGCAAGCAAGCTTTCTGGCACCTCCGTCTCGCAATAATCCTGCGCGGCAAAAATATCGAGTGTATCACAGTCATCAATCGCTCTCAAGCACGTGGGTCACAAATGGTCCATCGGGTCAAGCAGGAATGTGGTAACGCCGCAGATCACATTGTATTCCATATTGTTGAGGCTGGCGACAAGTCTCGAGAGCATACATACCATGGGGACATTCAATGTGCCGACGTGATCTTCTGCACTACGCCTAGCACGGAGCCCCTTTTCAGCACTGAAGTCCTCGCGGCTTCTTCCCAAAGTAAGCGCTATATCTCAGCGATTGGATCTTACAGGCTCGATATGCAAGAGATCCCTCCCGATTACTTACAATGGTATACAAAGCTCGAATGTCGAGAGATTCTCGTGGATAGTGGAGAGGCGGCATACTTAGAGGCTGGTGAGATCGTCAAAGCAGACATAAAGCCTGAACATATCCTGGAGATGGGTCAGTTGGTAGAAAGGGAGAGGACCACGACCGGTGAGGCGGTAAGGTCGTTACAGGATTGGCTCGAGAACGATAATGTGGTATATAAGAGTGTTGGCCTAGGAATCATGGATCTTGCACTGGGCAAAGCTCTAATTGACCTGGCGAGAGAACGGGGCGTGGGTGTTCGATTGGTCGATTTCTGAGACTGCAGCGAAAATTCACCTGCCCGCTGTGATTCCTGATCAATTCACGATTTCACCTTGTCAATCAACACGGATGTCATTGAGATAGAAGTCCGCATTCTGCCTAAGAAATGATCGCCGTTAGTCCGATCTCGGCAACGGATCGGATCTATACCCGCACTGATGACCTCATACTTGGATATTTGGTGGAGCCGCAAGTCAGCCATCAGAAGTATCTCTTTTTCAAGTTACTTCCAAACTAAACCTTCGATAATACACATCTAGCCCATTTTACAATATGTCTACAACGAAGAACCTGGCACTCGTTGCCTATACAGATCCTGTGTCTCTTAAGCAAGAGGAACTTGACCTTCCCTCGTTAGGCCATCACCAAGTATTAGTAAAGATCAGTCACGTCGCTCAAAATCCTACTGACGGTATGTATTCACACTGACTATCGTCCTGTATTGAAGACTCGTCTATTATAATACTCCTCAAATTCATTCCATATCTTCACATCCACCAAATCCATGTCTCTCAGACAACATCACCAGTCATTCTAACAACCTCCAGTCCAATCGTACGACAACGGAGCCCTCGGCCCTGGCGCCGTCTACGGCTGCGACTTTGTCGGCGATGTCATCTCCACCGGCAGCGCCGTAACTCGCGTCTCCGAGGGCGACACCATCAGCGCACTCATCTGGGGCGGTGAAATCCCCGGCCTCGGTGCCTACTCGCACTACACCATCGCCGACGAACGAATCTGCTTCAAGATCCCCGCCGGTGTTGGAAAGGCCGAGGCAGCAACGATACCACTTGCTGCAGCCACGGCATGGCTCGCTTTGTTCAGTTCACAGAGTCTTGGCATTCCGAGAGTGTTGGAGGGCGAGATGCAGGGGAAGGTACCGGGGCGGAAAGGCGAGGCGGTGCGGGTGCTGGTGTGGGGTGGAAGTAGCAGTGTTGGACAATATGCTATTCAACTCGCTAAGCTCGAGGGGTTGACTGTTCTCACGACGTGTAGTCCGCGAAACTTCGATCTCGTTAAATCGCTTGGTGCGGATGAGGTTGTTGACTACAACGATGCTGATGCTGTGGAGAAGATCAAGGCGTTTGGACAGACAGACTACGTGTTTGACACAATAGGCACTGCGGACTCGAGCGAGCAGTCTGGGCTGGCGATCGATGGAACGGGTACATTATGCACCGTTAGGCCGGGGAAGGCCTTGACGGAAAAGGTGCCAAAGGGCGTGAAGGTAACGGATGTACTGGTGTGGACGGTGTTCTTGAAGGAGCACAAATATAAAACCTTTATCTGGCCGGTGAGTCTCATTGATGTTGAACGGATCATTGGTCCCAACTAACTTGCGTATTCAGCCCTCTAAGGAGGACCATGAGCTTGGGGCGGAACTATTCGATCGCATCCCGCTCCTTCTTACATCTAGCAAGCTGAAGCCGAACGCAGTGCTACCGCTGAAAGGGCTGGACGATGTTCCAAAGGGTTTTGACTTGCACCGCAATAAGAAAATTTCAGCGCAGAAAATTGTGTATGAGCTATAGCTCATACAATTATCTAGACCTTAGACCATAGATTTCTAAGCCACGCGTCTGACCAATCGAAACCTGATTCGGATTCGGATTCGGTCTCGGGCTCCGGAATCCACGGACGCCGCAAGTCTCTCTGTTTTTGGCACTATTGTACTCTGTGAAAGTGGTCAACGGAGATAACTTCAACTATTAATCTATTCTCAGTAGAATCGGTGCAATAATCGATCCGCATCTGATTCATCCGTAGTACGTACGCACTCACGCCAACAAGCAGCCAAGTAAAACACCACAAATCCTTCAGCCAAGCCTCCTACGATGTCGCAGCAGGCGCAGCCACCATCCATTCCGGCCCCCGTCAATCGCAGCCTGGCGGCGCGCAATGCTTCCCAATGAAGCCTAGCGCGAACATATGTTTGCGCCAAGTTCACCGCTTTAAAGTTGTGGCCTACGGCCGATGCGGTGCTGCTGTTCCACCGTGCTGGCATCATCCACACGAGGTAGGATTTTGAGGCGTGCATGAATGGGGAATGATTCTGCGCTGCTGCGCGGATTGGATGATGAGTGTGTCTGTTGTTCGCGAGTGGGCGCAAGGGGTTGGATGAGTATATAAGAGAGGGGATGGAGAGGTTAGGGACTAGATAACAACTTCTGGCATCTGGATCTACTTGCGTGTTTACAATTGCGAAGACTTTTTCTCTGTGTATGTTTGGACTTTCTGACCTGATGGCTGAAAGAGGTTTCGAGAGCATTCATTCGGGGCACGATAAGCTGCCGCGAGACTCAGCGGTCAAGCGTGGGATCAAGAAGGTCGTCGGTGCTTTTGGGTTCACGAAGACGTATAACTTTGTGCTCTACACCATAACAGTTGGTGCGCTGGTCGGCTTCGTGCTGGCTCGACTGGAGTATCTCAATGTTGGAGGCGTGTTCCTTGCGGTATGTATACTCCCCTTTTTTCTTTCCTCTTTCCTCTTCCCTTTCTCCTTTCTTTCTATCCGCCATCTGCTTTTCGTCATTCTCTCACACCGCCATAAATACACAATTATCACAAACACACACACTAACAACCCCCAGAAAGCCATCCCCGGCGAAGCCTACCACTACACCCACGGCCACCGCCGCATCGGCATCACCATCCACCTCATCGGCGTGCTCTTCGGCGGCCTCCTCGCCGCCCTCCAGTTCACACCCATCATCCGCCACAAAGCCCTCTGGCTACACCGCATCAGCGGCTACGCCGCCACAACCCTCCTCCTTCTCGGCAACGCAGGGGCATTCATGATCATGGACACCAGCATCGGCGGCGCGCCCGCAATGCGCGTGTGGTTCGGCCTCCTAGGCGCCGCCACCACGCTCGGCCTCATCCTGGCCGTTACCAACATCAAGCGCCTGCAGATCGACGCGCATCGCGCCTGGATGATCCGTGTGTGGAGCTGGGCGGCGTGTATTGTCAGTCTGCGGCTGCTGCTGCTGGCGGGCATGCATGTGGTGCGGGTGTACGGGGTCGAGCTCGTGACGGCGCTGCGCTGCGACGAGATCTTCAGCATGTACACGATCAACGCGGGGATTCCGGACGCGCAGAACCCGGCCGGGCTGATTTATAGCGAGTGTGGCGCTGGGGCGAAGACGAGTGCGGTGCAGGTGTTGGTGTCGAGTCTGGGGACGGGGCCGGAGAGTAGTGCGGCGGCGCTGCGGCCGTTGTTTCTGATGGCGGCGTGGCTGGCTTTGGCGATTCATGGGTCGTTGGCGGAGTTGTATTTGTGGTTGACGCCTGCGGAGAGTTATCGGTTGAGGGTTGTGAGCTATCAGAGGCAGGTTGCGAGGGGGTGGAGGAAGGCCGGGGATGGGAAGGATGCCGGGTTGACGAGTACGCGACTGGGAGATGCGCCGGCGTGGTGGTCGTTGCCGGCTGAGGAGCAGATCAAGATTTTGGCTGGTGAGAGGATAGCTGCTTGAGGTGCTAGCGAGATAGAGGATGATGAAGATGATTTTGATCTCAATATGTTATGGAGTCAGGATAGGTCGGGCGGCCAGTATGTGGCATGATATGATGTAGTCTTTCTGTAATTCCTCTACTTACGGTCTACTTCGAAATTATGCACCGAGAGGTTACTTGACCCCTTTCACCCGTGCTTTTCCGGACTGAAATTTGAAACTTTCTTCTCTAGCAAGACCAGCTGAAAAGCTTGCATGAAAATATATGCCAGGATCGTTTTGGTTGGTGAGTTACTTGCCCAATTAACATTGAAGGGAAATAGAACACTCACACTCACGGTCGTGTGGGAGATCATCGGTAGAGTCCTACAGATCTCACGACATATGAAGCGTGGATGGTGCTCAAGATGCCATTCTCGCAATTTTATCGAAACCACTCGTTCAAGCATACCCAGGCTAATCTCCATTCTTCATCATTTCAACCCCCGCACAACACCCCTCCATCGTGACTGAATGCACATCCCGCACAACAGGGACATCGATGGCAGGATTTGCGACGAAGAAATCCGCTGGCACGAGTTTCAGCTGCATGACTTCCACGGGCCTGTCCATGGACACACACAAGTTAGCACGCACATTCCCAGCCTCAAGCACACACACACCCATCATCATCATCATCATCATCATAAAAACACAAACCGACAAAAACATACAGAAACGAAATATTGGAGAAACTCACATTACAGGCCAGTCCTCAACACGCGGATTATGCGTCAATCCGAACACACACCACAGTACAAGGTCCGCGTCAAGCACATCATCATTACGCGCCGCTGCATCGCTTACGCCGCCAATCTCGCGCCTGCTCTGCAACGTATAGCGACCAGCGGCGTACAACTCGTCGTCTTTGAACTTGGTAAGCCAGAGATGTCTCTGTGCGAAGGCGGCGCGGTGGGCCTGGATGCTATTTGGGTGTGCAAGGAGGAGTTGTGTTGGCAGCGGAGCGAATTTATATGCGACTGGGTTGCGGCTGATCGGGTTAGTTTTGTGCGGATTTATGATTTTGAAAACACGGTTTGTGGAGGGACAGGCGTCAAGGGGTGTACTCGTTGGGATGGGTGTTTTGCGGATTTCGTAGGCGTTACCGTGCGGATTTTTGCGGGCGTCAATGGGAAGGGGAAGTGTATCTTCTTGGATAAGGGTGTTGGAGTGGCCGTCGATGGCTGGGTCAATGCGGGCGCAGAAGATATGTTGGTGGTTTTGTGCGAGGACGCCAGGCGAAACGACGGTACCGTAGGGGCTTGTTTTATCTGGGTCGATGTTGACGACCGATACGATGCCTGTGGCACGCGATTCGAGAGTGATGGCGGCGCTTTGGTCGAATCTGAAGGCGAAGATATACTCGTAATTTGCGAGCGTTATGATAAACTGTATGACGAGCTCGCGGCGGCGGGACAGCACGGCCCGGCCTGTGCGCCAGTTTGTGTGTTTCCAATTGATGCCAGAGTCTTGCTCGTGGAGGCAGATGACGTTTTTGGTAGGTGTAGCAGTGCCGCTGGAGTCGATAAGGACACCGTCGAAGTACTGCTTCGTGTGTCAGGGGGGTTTTGTGGGCTTAGATTTCTCGTACCACTTACTTTGATCAGGCCTAGGCAATCGCACCCAAGTGTAAGATTGTTCATGGTATCGCCAAGAGCGCCGTCTCCGAAATCAAATGCTTGCTTGCGGTGAAAAGGAGGTCGGGGATCCGCGTATGGGACCGTCTAAAGGATATATTAGCGTCTCCAGGCTGCCAGGTAAGGGGTAATGCCGTGGAAGTATCTTCCAGTAAATATCGGGACTGACCATGTCACTCATGCTCAACCGGTACAAGATGCTGCGATCATCAAATCGAACGTCATGGATGACTGCTCCCTCGCGGGGATTGAAAGTTACTCGCATGCTCCACTTCTGCCACTGAACGAGATTTCCGTCTGTAACTGTGAAACTTGGACCTTCAGGCTGAAGCACAGTTAGAGGCTTTAAACCCTTCCTTACTCCATTCGGGAGCAACTCAGGAACATATTCACTGGCGCGACAATGGTCCACTGCATTTGCAGCATGAGTCTTGCCGGTAAGCTGCTCACCCTTGCCGCCCGTTGCAAGCTCTTCAATCCGCACGACCTCCCTCTTGTGCGCATCCATGATAGGGATTAGTGGAAGAGGGAAGGCGTAGAAATTCGTGTCAGGATTTCCACTTCGTGTGTCTCGGGCGAATATGAGACCTTGAAAAAAACGCGTTTGCTTATCTTGAGCCTCTCCACCTCCATAGGGCCACGGTTCGATGACAACTTCGAATCCTTCCGGCAGTTTGAACTGTGCCAGTTTCTCCTGGAACCAGTCGGACTTCTTACAAACATTGACCAAGGTTTCAAATTCCGAGCTGTTTGGGCTGTCAGATGTCACTCGATGTATTTATTAGGCTCGATCTTGATTTACAGAGTGAGACTGGCATGATGCTCTGAGCCAACGACCTCGTGAGCTACTCTCCGCCCAGATATCAGATCGATAACCGATTCATGATACTCAGGCGCTTTGAGCTTGTTCTCTCCAATGACATCATATCTGGCTTGCGCCAAACGCTGAGGTCGCCGGGTATCGTGGGTTAGCTTCTGGGTGTGCTCAAGATTGAGATACTCGACGACCTCTGCTTTTGGGGGCTCTAACAAGAATATCATCCGAAAGTCGAGGACTGCATCTGGGTGGCACGCGACAATGACATCGCGCGCGAGGTTCGTCTCATCTAGACTGAGCTGGGAAAGCGGATGTGAAAACATTGTTGTGATTTTCATGGTCGAACGGGCAGAGAGAAAGATTATAGTGAAGATAAGATCAATTCATCAGTCAGCCCGAGCTTGTCCCTCTTATACGGAATGGATGAGTGTTTCATGTTGGCGAGAGATGAGGGTCGTATGACCATCCATGGTAGTGTTGTAGTGTATGGATCCGTGGCACTGTCCGGAGGCTTCATGGATGGTTCATGCAGGTCGATGTCACGCTAGAGTCGTTTGTAGAATAGCGACCACAATACGGATGAGCCCGATACTTTATCAAGCAAACGCGATGTAGTTACTTGAACGACGCTTCAAGCACTTTCGCGATCCTCGATACGTGGTAATGCTACTGACTGTTCTGCATCTTAGCTCCACTCTTTGCAATCGATAGAGAAATCCCGCTTTGGATTTTGTTACAAACGAAGATAGTTACTCGAGAAGATAAGACGTTTTGCAGATCCCAAGGACTGATCGACCGACACGGGGCCCCGGTCATCATTCTCCACTCTGCAATTTGACTACCCCTTTGGGCGTGCCTTTCTTCACGCCGCACGCGTGAAAGCCAAGGATCCCCTTCCTCTACACGCGGCAGACATCCGGCACATCCACGATCTACTTCTGATGCCCATGGAAATATGCCGCTGTATGACATAGACGACCATGGGATACACAGACCTTGTTTGTCCGTGTCAGTCTTGACAGACTTTGACTATACCAACGCAGCAACGGAGAGACGAGAATCCTCGCTCATGATAGATATGTGTAGGCATGGTGCGGCCAGTCATCCCGCTGAAGGAAAGCAAATGCTAGTCGTTCCCCGCTCACCGCGGTAGGCCGTACAGCTACGGACAAATGATGGAACTCATATACTGTGTCCTACCCCTCTCGTTTGCATCTCTCCATGACATTTTGAAACACGCCAAATCACTTCCTGCTGATCTAAGGCTGGTATCCTGGAAATGGAGTATTTCTTACCATAGCCAAGGTGGTCGCCACGATGAGGTAAGGCCTTGCGCGAGACAAATAAGATGACTGCGTACGCCAGCCATCTAGTGTGTTTGGGGTCGATTCAAAGTCTCACTGTGGAGCTTGATACTGATCACTAGAATGATATGTTTGCTGCTCAGGTTGCATGAGTCCTCATCCGGACAGCACGCTCGTAGTCGTCTAAGCGGACCTCTCGCGCCTCCCACGCCATGGTGGCTTGTACGCCCTTCTGAAGTGCACTCAAACCGGAAGACGACATGTCCATTCCTGGGATTTCTTTCTCTCCGGACGTGTCTTTGACGAACCCGATTACATTGACCCAAGTGCCGATTTGCAAGCCAAAGGAGCGTACATCCTCGAGGACATGAGAGATCTCTACGTTAGCGAGATATCTGATCTGTCTTCGTCTATGAGGTAGCTGGTGTGAGTAGCCCAGCACAAGAGATGCTGTCTTGGTATCATAATGTTCGACACTATGCAGACAATGTGAGCTCGTAGCATTCCAGGCACGTAGTACAAACCTACCAGCCAAGGAGCCGCACCTTATCACCGACTCTACATAGGTCCAGATCGGGTAAGAGTATCAGTCTTGAGCCAGTACCTGTGGTATTCATGGCTCATGATGTGTTCTAGAACAGGATATGTTCTTTGCGCATGATGCGTATCAGAGACACCTCAGTGTGGTGGCGCTTACGTGATGGCTGTTTACGGAGCGAGCAACTGTCATGAGCTGTATATGCTGGGGCTGCCAGTGATGAAGCTTTCCTTTGATGCTCACAACTTTCGGGTTGTCACGGCTGTTCTCTCGATCAGAGTTCACAAATTGAGGTTGGTCATATTATCCCGCTCATGCGGTGATATTGGTAGTTGTGGTGGTATATATATCTTGCTCCTTAGTGCCACCTAGGGGGAGGGCATTTTGTCTAGAGTGGCCGGCGCCGCCCCTCAGCGTCATCTGGCTTTGGTCGCGAAAGTCACTGTGATTGCCCGCCTTCACATTACCTACTACTCCTATGCACCTCATCAACAGGCACCAACTTTCATAAACACTCCAACACTCAAGTCTACGTACTCCTCCACACCCAACACCTATATTCGCCTCTTGGGATCCTTTTTCGGTGCCATCAGCATTTCCGAACCTCACCCGCCTTATCACAAGACCCCCAGCAGCACCCCACTCGCTTTGCTCCTCGACTCAACACCGCGCCTCACCACGATTTGTCTCGATCTTCAGCTGTGGTCGTAGGGACCAAACGAATCATCTCTATAATCTAGCCACATAATCTCTTTCAGCATGTCAGGCTGGGGTTTCAGCCTGTTCGGAGGAGGAGGGAAGGCGAAAAATGCGCCCAAGGAAGCGATAATAGACCTGCGAAAGCACTTGGAGATGCTGTCCAAGAGAGAAACGCACCTGCAGAATCAAATGTCAGAATATGATGCCACGGCACGAAAATACGTTACCACGAATAAGAAAGGTTAGTTCTACCTCTATCGGTCCAAAGCACGGGCGATGAGTCTGGAATATTAAATCACGGCCTGTTGTAATCGCCACAATGAACACCATGTTCAAGTTGACCGCAAGCTAATAGCACCCTATAGCCGCGAAAGAAGCCCTTCGAAAGAAGAAAGACCTCGAGCCACGCCTGGAACAAACGTCCGCGCAAATCATGACCCTCGAGCGACAAATATACAGCATCGAAAACGCAAACATCAACAAGGAAACATTCGACGCAATGAAGAAAGCCAACGCAGCCATGAAGCAGATCCACAACGGCCTAACACAAGACAAAGTCGACCAGACAATGTACGCCGCTCTCCGTGTCTTCTTCCTCACTCTAAATTGCCCCTACTAACAACCCAACAGGGAAGAACTCCGCGAACAACATGCAATCGGCGAGGATATCTCCGAGGCCATCACACAGTCGATGGGCACACAAATTGCCGACGACGACGAACTCGAAGACGAGCTCGAACAACTGCAGCAGGAGCAACTGGACGAGAACCTGCTCAAAACCGGCAGTGTACCCGTCGGCGACAAGGTTTCTGCGCTGCCGAGCGCTCCGCATCACGTCAAACCCGTCGAACAAGAGGAGGATGACGAGGAAGAGGAGCTGCGGAAGCTGCAAGCGGAGATGGCCATGTAGGGAGAGACGGGGGATAATGTGTTGCGTTGCGCCTCCTGGAAGTATGACGAGAAGACGCAGGCTGAGATAGGCGCAGATGAGACAGCGCATGTTCGACGGATAACAGCACTCTTCGGCCTACGTATCAAATTATCGATATCACATGTATGAGGAGTTTTATCTTTTTTTTTCTGTTACCCAATATCGACTCGCAGGCTATACAACCTCCCTACCATGCCATGACCTTTCCCTTTACTTGGGCCGCGTTGGGACTTCTCTTGCTGTACATCTTTCACAAGTCCTATCTTACGGGTAGCATACAACTTAGAAATACACCATCATATGAACCATCTACCACAACCAGAACCTCGCCAGGAATACAGACGCACGCCCACCTCTTGCCACTCACAGTCCGCAATGCATGATTCACAGCAGCCAAAATTAATGCACATGCATACATGCATAAAGTATAATGCATATACCCAAAGTGAGCTACATATATCTATGATATGCTATGATATGACATGATACGATATATAAACTTTTTCAAAGTCTAGTCTGATAAACCACACGCTTTGGGGAAAAAGACACTGCGCTGCACAAGCACAAGGACAAACAACGACGCGTTGCAGGTGTGTATCTGAAACCAAAAGCCCTCAAATCTACCGCCGTGGAACCTTATATTCATGCGCATGCGCACAAACGCATGCTTCATCCCGTTCATCATAGTCGTCGTAGGCGTCATCGTCGTCATCCACATTCTCATCTCCACTTCATACTGTGATAGGTGATGATTATTACCAGCCAAACATTACCAACGCCTCCGCACCTCCCAAAAAAAAGGTCCACCGTATAAACTCCAATGCACACGATCACAAAAGCAGCACATAACCCTCTATTTCTGTTCAACGGAAACATCCTGCTGCACAATTTCAGGAGTATTACTACTTGGTGCATTCACAGCAGGTCGTGTCTCTGATTCCTTGCCCGGGAGCGAGGACAACGTATCGGGTTCAGGGCCTGGGAGTGAGGACGACGTATCAGATTTAGGACCTGGCAGAACGGCTGTTGCCGCAGTTGCAAGCTGCGTAATGGCTTCTTCGACTTTCGTCTCCTGCACTGCGGCCTCAAGCTGGCGTCTCAGGCCGCTCGGGTTGATGCCCGTGCCGTTTGTTGGTATCGACTCGCGATCGCCGTGTGCAGTGCCTGGTCTTGAGAGCCCGTCCTGGGGAGTCAATGGCTCGACGTCGGGGCGCTTGGGACTGTCTGTTGGCACATTTTGGGTGGTGGTCGCGGCAGACAGCGACGTTGGAGCTGCTATATTTTGGGCATTTGTGGCGGTGTGTGCTGGTGGTATGCTTGTATAGGGTGATTGTGCGTAGGGCGATTGATGTGTGGGCTGTGGCGGTCTTTGCGGTTGCACTTGAGGTTGTTGAGGATTGGGAGGTTGCTGATGTTGTGGCGGTTGCTGAGGCTGTGGTGGAGGGACAGAGTAAGGACAAGGTACGTTAGGATCCTGTGCAGTTCCAGGCTGCTGTGAGCCCTGCGTAGACGCAGAAGCGTGTGCTTGAGCCATCGTTGGGGGATTTTGAGCCGGCGTGTTGGTACCCATGTTTGCTACTGCCGCTGTACCGTTCTGCATGAGCGACTGCGGTATCCGAATGTTCCCCAGCTGAGCAGGAGCAGGGGCTGGTCCAGGAGGAGTGTAGCTTCGAGGAGCTTCATTAGAAACAGCGTTGTGACGTTGTGTCATGGACGGTGGATTGTATCCTTGCGGGGGAGGCGGTCTCGCGTTTGGAGGGACTTGGGTATGATTTTGCTGTGCCGGGTTCAGATTATATGGAGATGTGTATGACGGGCGATTGGCGGGAGCAGGACCATACGGAGACGTATGTGTAGAAGCTGGGCCCCCAGCGGTCCAGGGAGAGACGTAAGAGCCTGTTGGGTTGCTTGATGAAGGCTGTAGCGTACCTGGGCCCCGCAAACTTGACGGGAGGCGAGCTGCAGGTATAGGCTGTTGAGGTGGTTGGGATTGTGGAGGATATGCGGAAACAGGAGGACGCTGTCCAGGTTGCATCTGGTATTGTGCCATATGTTGTGGATAATACGATGGAGGATGATTTGCGTGCTGCGGCTGTTGTTGTGGAGGTGTCGCAGCTCTTCTACGTGCGACCTTTTGGATAGGCTTACTCAAGTCGAGTCTCCAGACGACACCAGATTTACTGGTCCCTTCTTTAACTTTCACAAACGCATCGCCAGACAACAGATTGTGTCGCACTGATGATTCCCAGCCCTTCGAGCCTGCTACGAATTCATAGTAAGGGTACTTCCGTTTTATAGATCGGTAGATGGACTGCAAAGGCAATTGATGGCCCTCAGCTTCATGGAGTACTTCCCAGATGATCTGTACATAGTTGGCAGCAGGCTTCTGTAGCTGTTCAGGAGTGAAGTCTTCTTTGCGTGCTGGTGGCGATGCTGGCTCCTCGATCTTTTCTGCTCTAGAAAGTCGTCGTACCGGTGCCATGGAGGATGAACCTTCACCATTAACCTCATTCGCGGAGCCACCAACATGATCGGTTGAGAGTTGTGCAGGGCGTGGAGCTGCTTTGTTTGGTGCATTTTGGATGCTTTCGATAGTGATATCCTCCGGGTTGCGGCCTTCTTTGACTGCCTTCTCCCTCTCCTTAGCCAACTTCGCCCACAAAGCTTTCTCACGCTTAGACATCACGCCGTCTTTCGGGGGTCTACCAGGGCCGGATTTGCGTCTGAAGACTGTACCTGGCGGTAGACCAAGCTTTTCAAGTTCTGCGGGGTCTTCGTACATGGTTGTACCAGCGGTATCTGCGGACGCTCCTTGTAGTACGACGGCCTTGAATGACGTCGGATCTTTAGCTGTGTCTTGAGAGAATGGCCTACTGATGATAGGACATTCTTCTTTCAACTCGACTGAGGGCTTGACGTCTTTGTTTTCTTTATCCGATTCTTTCTGAATCGCCTCAGTCTTAGGCACCTCTTTCGGCGAAGGAGATGCTACGATCTTTGCCGCATCCATCTCTTCATCTGGCACCACGGTCTTTTTGTTCTTATTTTTCTTTTTCTTTTCCGCAATGCCACGCTTCGTCTTCTTTTTCACCTTACTCAACTTGGTCTTTTGCACGTATTCTTCCTTGGGGGCCTTCTTCTTCAGATTGAGCTTCAGCTTCGGTGCTGGAGGCGGCGGTGGCTGGTGCTTTCGCTTCTTTTTTTCTGGTCTGATAGGTTCAAATTCTTCTTCGTCACTCTGGAGATCTGAGTCCAGTAGTAGGGACTCATCATAATCATACGAAAGCGAGTTGGTCTGGGCAGCATCTTCTTCCTCTGAATCCATGCCATCGCCGGTAGGTGCGATACTCTCACCTCGACTATTCTCAAATGTATAGTTCATCTCTTCCTCCAAGTCGGACTCGCTTAATTGGTCATCATCATCATGACTGGGTAAGAAGAAACGGAATTCGACTGCTCCAATGCGCACACCATCTTGGTGCTGTAATGGTTTGATCTCGGGTGGCGTCAAGTGAACAGTCTCTTCGCCTGGTCTCGCAACAAAGACCCCGTTTCTACCGAGGACGTGAATATCAAAGTTGCCGCTATCGAAGTTGTATTTGATCACAGCATGTTTCCGGGAGACGGCGTGGAGCCCCCCAAAGGGCGCGTGTTTTGGTGGGTGAATTGGAACTTTGACACATCTATCTGGGTTAGGGACGTGAGATGTGTCGACTTGGGCCACACCATCCTCAAATGAGGCGTTATGTGACATGTTGTGGTACTCGTATCGGGAGGGGTGTACAAGATCTTTTGGGTTTGCGGTAGGAGAGCCATTTGGGTGGCTATCCCTCGAGCCCCATGCATCCTCGTCGTGTAATATGCCACCATTCTCGCTGAGAGATTTGCAGCTTCGAAGTTTGCGCCGCTTGCGCGAACATGACTGTCCATCCCGTCGTTCTGCCCGTCTCTTCCTCCGTTTGGGCTCCGAAGAATCATCATGAGCGCGACCCAGCTCAATAGAATAGGTTGTCATGTAGAAGTCTCCATCGTTGAAGACGAGCTTGGCGAAGGCACTGCGCACCTTGTTCTGCATTGTGCCTAATGCGACAGGATCTACGGTATGGCTTAGGATGTCCCAAGGCGCGAGATTGTCGGGAATTGCTTGCAGCATGGCTTCATAGTTCGCCGGCAAAGGAGTCAGTTGACCCGTAGTGGATATATCTGGAAAGTTGCTGAAGGGGTTTGCGGACGGACCGTGGTGATTCAGGTCATTCGCGGAGGTAGAGGGGACGTTTTCTCTAGAGGTAGCAGGCAGCGTGGGTGCGGGAAAGGGAACAGAAGTTGGAAGGCCCTGGGCGTCGAAGAGAGGGAAATCCAACGCTGGAAAGATAGTTCGAGTCTCGGAAGATGTTTGCGCGAGCTCATTGGAAGCTGCGATTGAAACTTCTCCCTGTGCCAGCGCAGGCGCATCCTGAGATACTCCGTCCACCGCCTCTTCCTCTTGCGCAACCTGCACGACGGCGGCGTCGGGTTGGGCATCTTGTCCGTTCAGCAGCTCCGCACGTTGCGGGCTATGCGACTTGTTTCCATCCTGTTCAACCATCGGCCCGGTCGAGAAAGCATCCCAAGCGTCGTCGGGAAAGGTAAAGTAATCGAATGGGACGTATTTGTCGCGAGCATAAGAGACCGCTTCGGGAGTGTCTGTAACAGGCACAGGAGAGGGGAAGAAGGAGAATTCGTCGGCGGGTGAGCTGGTACTGGAGCTGAGAGCTGGCGTGGACAAAGCAGAAGCCCGGAGGAGAGTGTGTAGATCGGCTTTGCGACAACGATAGAGAGGGTTTAAGATAGAAGTCGAGGTTGAAGTTGAAATTGAGGTCTCCGCCGTTTCCTCCACTTCTGCCTCAGTCCAAACGTTACCCGGCATGCTGGCTCGAAAAGCTTGGCAGTGTGCACGGACGCTAGCCAACGTCTCCTAGCGCTTTTGATTACCCCAGTGGGACTGTCGGTGAAGTGTGAAGTGCCGTCGAGCAAGTTTGTCGGTTTTTGTCGCAAGGAAAAGGGCATGTACAGTTGGCTCATATTGGAGACGAGTGTGTATGTAAAGGTGAGTAAATCTCTGACCTGAGTCCACGCGCAAACTATATGACAGAATCCCTCCAGTCTGTGTTGAAAACCGTGGTTCACTTCATGCCTACTGCTTCCGATATGAGCGACTAAAGGATATCGAGGCTTTATGACTGACGGAGTCGCTCAGGCAACAGTCTTAGACTCAAGGACTGTTTCGCCTGAATACTGGTATTGCCGTCAACAATGGCTCCCAAAAGCAAAAAGAATGAAAAGTCCTCAGTGACATCCGCGAGGGCTACAACAGCTGACGTGAAGCTCCCTTCATGGCCGCCCTTCAAACCATTGCTACCGGAAGTGGATCTCCGACTTCACGAACTAGTTCCAAACCAGATCTTGACTGTGTCGAATCTCTTTAGCTCGAAGCTTTGCAAAGAATACGTAAATTTCTTGAGCTCACTACCAATGGTCACTACGCCTGGAAAACCAAAGAAGGGAGAGGCAGTGCGCGTGAACGACCGCTTCCAGGTCGATGACGCCGCATTTGCTGAGCGGCTATGGTGCGAGACAGCCTTGAGGAATCTCATTATGGGCGTCAATCAGGAGGGCGCTCTACCATTGTCTGATGATGGGCTGGAGAAACTCTGGGGCGGCTACGTGGTTGGTCTCAACCCAAACATCCGGATCTACCGGTACAGCAAAGGGCAGTTCTTTGATCAACACTACGACGACTCGAACAATGTCGTCCTGCCTGGGACACCTTCGGTACCCGCTCGTACTACATGGACCTTGCTACTCTACCTGACATCACCTGCAACAGGATGCATTGGAGGGGAGACAGTGTTTTATCCTGAAGATGATCTGCCTAAAAAGTCGAAAGCTGCCAAGAATCAAACAGTGGGGCCCGTTGTTGTCGGACTAGAGGCTGGCATGGCATTACTCCATCGCCACGGGGCCGAATGCATGCTTCACGAAGGACGAGAAGTTATACAGGGCGAAAAGTGGGTCATCAGGAGTGATCTTTGCGTTCAACGCTGAACCATGGAGATCCTTTCGCGGATGACGTCTCGCCTTCGATGATATCCTATCCAGCAATCCATGTACACCTAGGCTGAATTAGGGAAGTGGACGGCAGTCACGACGAAGATCAGAGGCGCAGAAAAGCTTCACATCCACAATTCTTCTTTGGGGCGCTGGTCGCATATGGACCATAGTAGAGACAAGCGACGGTCTGACTGACGGTTAGGGGCTCATGTTTTACGACGAGTAAACCCAACAAACTTGCGATCGTACCGTTCCGTTTCCAATCAACATTTGACGACTCTATTTATCAACAAGAGAAACAGTCATGTTTTGTTCCTGCGCAACAAACACAGCACCCTTACGTATGAACCAAGCTTGCATATCAACACGAGTCATGCTGAGACCTAGGAAGTCCCTGTAGAGCCGCTCGTACGAGTCCACACTCTCGACCTGTATCTCTAGATCGCCATCTCCCATCCGAAGTCCAAAGACGCTGGTCTTGACAGACGTGCTGCACTCTGCTACCCGATTTGCCTTTCTCTCCTCTGTGGCACCCTCCCCTAGTGTAACCTTGGCAGCGTTATCGACCCAGCCAACACCATTAATCACATCGAGCCCTTCAGATTTGACGCAGTGATTGCCTGGCCCTTGGACTGTCTGGTTGGACTATTAGTACATCGTCTAAGCTTCATCTGAGTGTCTCTAGCTTACAGAAACTAGCCTCGAGCAGTAGGGATTCGAGCTAGAGAAGAAGTACGCAGTCTGGTCTTCTGTATGAAGACTGATGGATGCTGAGGCTACTTTGTGCTCGGTATAGCAGCACGACCGCTCATCCCAGTGGACGCAAGATTCGTAAGCACCGAAAGACCCGTCGGTACAAGAATGGTCCAGGTAGTAGTAAATGCTCTTTTTCTTGGCTTGGGCAATGGAGGCGAGGGCGACAGGGAGCGCGAGATCGATGAGACGCATGTTGAAGATGATATTAGTCAAGGATTCGAGGATTGACTTTATAGAACTGCAAATAGGATCAGGAAATATACATGGTTATATACTAACTGCGAAATAATTCGTACCATAATTAATAAAAAGACTGTGGAGCTGCCGTCAACATCCGGTTCAGATAAGCCGACCCAAGTTTCATCAATCCCATTTTCCAAGCCTTCAGGGCTACTGGATTAGAGTCTTATCGTTACAACACTTCCGGTGCCACTCTTTCGATCATCATAAAATTGAAGTGTACTAGTAGGTCCATAGCAGGCTAACGATCTCCAGTACCTACGAAACGCTCACTCGAATTCATGGCAGACCAAGTTTATCATCTTCAGATATTTCAGATAACTAGCAGTAAATATAAGGGAGTCAGACATCAGATACTGCAGATGGACACACCTGATGATATATATAGAAAAAGCCCAAAGCTGTTTAGAGCAATATCGAAGTGTGTTTCGATTGCCTCTACGGGCCGGGGCGAGATTAGCGCGGGAGTCCTCCGGGACACGGCGGCGCTAGACCATTTCTGGCCAAAGCCAGACACCACGTCAGTCCTCCCCACTTCTGTGCAGCATTCACTTCATATTTCTTCAATCAATTGTTGCTTCGTGTATCCTCATCGCACCCCTCCACCCGCCATTGTGAGTCTCATTTGTCCGCTTCGGCCTCCTGCATGCCCGCAATGTCATTTGCCCTCGATCTTGGTATTCTGACTGAGGACTGTGAGCATCGAAGGGCATCGCTGGCAGCAATGGAGGCCCTGTACTCCTGGCCAGCAGCCTTGACCCCACACCCATCCTCGATCACCACACATGCACATATCGCAAAACTGTACCTGTGGCTGCCGTACAACGCATCGCACCAGGGTTTTCGTTGTCTGTCACTTGCCGTATCATGCGGCCCGTCGGACTCGATGAACCACCATGGCTAACTTAGAAACACACACGTTGCGTGCCTTTTCTTTTCTTCTGCATCACGGCCCTGCCCGTCCTGGCGTCTGGTGTCTGTTCCGTTTGACGTGGCTCCAATGATGCCCGTCTCGGCTAGACCCATCGAATGCCAGTCATGGTTCCCTTAGACAGCAGCCCAATGCGATTCGGCATCCAAGTGTGATACTCAATCTCTTCAATTGTTCTTCTGTCGTCATTTAGCTTGCTCGACTTCCCCGGACACCTTTCCGTCTACCCTCGTACTGTACTTGGCCTACTTACATCTCTCTCTGTCATACGCTGACTACGTCGTCCTCGACTCGCTGACTTGACTTACTGCCTGCACCACAAACTGACACTACTCTAACAAATGGCATCAACCCACATAGCACTCTTCGCTTAACGTCTAGTACACTCTCGGACCATTCGTAGGTGCTCATTCAGTATGGACAGGAGAAACCGTCGGCTCTACCACATCCATAAAGCAATCTTCAAGTTTCGAAGAAGTCCGTGAACCTTAGCAACTCCAACGTATCGGCCCCTTCGGGCAACCTCATATCATGGCTAGACCCTTGCGATCCTACGGAAGTGTATCCGTCTCACAATGGAGAGATCCACACATGTATTCACAGCCCCCAGCTCCGGCTGCGTATCCGGATTACGGGAATACCGCCAACTACTTCTACCAATTTCAAGAGGAATCATCTCCTGGTAATTATAAGAGAATGGCGGTGCCTTACAATCCCTTCGACTATCAAGAGCCACCCTCTGAACACGAAGACGAAGAAGATGAGCAAGTTGAGCCTGAGAATGAGATTGTAGAAGGTATGTTTGAAACCCTAATTTCTCATATATGCAGTGCGTACATCGCATTCTGACCAATGTATATAGAACAACCCCCACCGCCTGCCCAGCCTGACCCTGCACCAGTTCCCGTGCCTGTGCCGGAAGTAGAGACTATTTCTCCACCACCACCACCAGCAGCGCCGGCACCCGCGGAGGAAACTGCACCGCCAGCCCCAGCTCCCGAAAAGGAAGAGACACTTCCTGATCCGGCGCAACCGACAGAGCCTGCTAATGAAGAACCACCAGCTCTCGTCCCGGAGCCAGAGCCAGCCCCTGAGAGTGTTGCATCACCTCCGTCTGATGTTAGCGCTCCTGCGCCGGTAGTCGAGAGTCCTCCTTCTCCGCCAGTGACCGATACTCCTCCACCCCCACCTGTGACTGAAGCTCCTTCACCAGCCCCTGTTCCAGCGTCATCTCCCCCTCCAACTGCCCAAATCGATCCCACCCCTTCTCCTTCACCAGTAGTAGAATCATCGCCCGCTGCACCAGATCCCCCGCCTGCAGCCCCAGATCCGCCGGGCGACACATCTTCCACAGATCACGGCGAGAAGAGCGTTCACTTCTCTGCAGACACCAAAGAGGGCGCAGCGCTCAAGTTGAAGAAGAAAAAACCTCTTCCGGTTATGACCCGACCTCACCAACCAACACGGGCTGAACTCAGGGCTGAGAAGGAAAAGAAAAAGAAGGAAGCTGAGGCCGCCAGGATGGAGGCTGAGGCTGCTAAGAAAGCAGCAGCGCCGCCTTCACCCATCCTCGCAAAGGCTAAATTGAAGACTACGCCCCCGTCGCCGGTGCTGGCAAAAGTCAGACCGAAAGTGGCACCACCGTCTCCGATACTGAAGAAATCGAAGCCACTGCCAAAAGAAGCTTCAGACGAGCTAGCTACGGAGGAAGCTAACACGAAGGCGCCTGAAAAGGAGGATGATACCGTCTCTAAGTCATCAGCATCATCATCGTCGTCCAAGGAGAAGGAGAAGAAGAAACCGCCCCCGGCAATGATACGGCCACACAAGTCCGCAAAGAAAGACAACTCGAAGAAGGAGCTGGAGGCCGAAAAGAAGAAGTCCAAAAAAGACTCCTCGAAGAAAAAGAAAAGTAGAAGATCCTCAAGCTCAAGCTCAAAACGTGACGCTGAGCTCGATGTACCACCACAAGCTCCAAGTCCACCACCGGCAGATGCCCTATCAACAACATCCATGGATGAGGACAAACCGACTGGCAGTCCAAGTGATGGGGTGGCAGATGTCTCAAACGATGCGTCTAACGACGTTGAAACAGCGCCAGAACAGGAAGCTGAGGCTTCGGCCAAGGAACCCGTTGCTGAAGCGGGTGAGCCTGAGGCAGGGCCAGTAGAGCCGTCAGGGGATGTGGGAGCTGTAGATACACCTGCACCCCCCGATGATGAGCCTCCAGCTATAGAGCCATCATCAAGTGAAGAGGCATCTGTTGATACACTACCTCCTGTGACGGACAGTCTTCCTGCAGATCAGACTCTACCCGAGACCTCAAAGACAGAAGAGCCAGAAACTGAAGTGTCAAAGACAGAGGACCCAGCTACAGAGGACCCAGCTACAGAGGACCCAGCTACAGAGGACCCAGCTGCAGAGGACCCAGCCGCAGAGGACCCAGCCGCAGAGGACCCAGCCGCAGAGGACCCAGCCGCAGAGGACCCAGCTGCAGAGGACCCAGCTGCAGAGGAGCCAACTGCAGAGGACCCAGCTGCAGAGGACCCGGCTACAGAGGACCCAGCTGCAGACGAATCAAAGGCAGAAGAAGCCCCAGCAGCAGCATCAAGTGGAGAGCCTGCTACTACTGACGAGTCACCCAACACAGAAGAGGTGCAGGATGCCCCTCCCGATGCTCAATCGTCGGACGACAGCCCGGATACATCCGAAAGCAATCCTCCTGAACCCATAGTAGAGCCTACGGGCGATGGCGATCCTAGCCCTCCAGTTCCTGAAGGTGATCAAGACTCACCAGCTACTGAAACCAACGCCAATGTCGAAGTACAATCTGGAGAAGCAGAGAGCAACGCTCCAGGAGCAGAGCCTCAAGGAGAAGCCAGTGCCGACGCTCAAGGTCCGGCCGAGTCAGCTCCTGAAGACGGCAGTGCACCAGAGCAATCTGGTACTGAAGAGCCTCAACAAGAAATAGAGGCCGACGTTGGTGAAGGTGCTACTGCTGCCGGTGCTGATGAGCCTGTCAGCCCAGATGAGAATCCGGCAGATGCTGCTGAGGTTACTGAGGCTACTGAGGCTACTGAGGCTACTGAAGTTACTGAGGCTACTGAAGTTACTGAGGCTACTGAAGTTACTGAGGCTGCTGAGACTGCTGAGGCTGCTGAGGCTGCTGAGACTGCTGAGACTGCTGAGGCTACTGAAGTTACTGAGGCTGCTGAGGCTGCTGAGACTGCTGAGACTGCTGAGCCACCAACCACAGACAAAGAGCTAGCTGCAGACGATGCACTTTCACCCTCACCTCAAGATGTCCCATCCACACCTGAGCCTATCCAGACAGAATTCGAAGGCAATCCGGAAGACAAAGCCGAGGCTGACCCTCTAGACCGCTCAGATATCGAAAGTATCGACCTTAGACCCGAGGTGCCTGAGCCTCCGTCACCACTGGAGAGCGACTTTAGTGCTGAGGAAACCGATGGTGATTCACATGCAGATGAGACTTCGCAAGAGGTGCCTCCGGAAGCGCCAATGCCGCCTGGAAGGGAGGATGAGGAATTATCAGAGATTTTAGAAACACCCGACGCCCTAGAAGCATCGGAGTCAGATCTAGATCAGGGTGTAGATGCCACCAACAGTCCAGAGGCGACCGAAGTTTCAGATACTCCAGCCGCCCCATTACCGTCTCAAGGTGAAGAATCGGAGTCCTCAAAAACTCCAGAAGCTCCAGAGCCAGTTCAAAATGAAGGTGGGGATGCTACGGCCGCTCCAGAGGCTACTGATGTGTCAGAGGATCCGAAAGAGCCAACGCCGTCTGCGAGTGGAGACTCAGAATCATCAAGGGAACCAGAAGCTGTGGAAAATTCAGAAGCCCAGGACGCTGCTGATACCTCAGAGACTATAGAGACTCCAATTCCGCCTGACAATGTCTCTGCTGAACCTACAATCAACGATGATATTCCTAAGGAAACGCCAGCTGATACTGTTGAGAACACTAATCAGCCCGCTGAAGAAGAGAAGGCTACAGCAGATCCACCTAGCGACCCTGCACCATCCTCAGAGGAAACAGTGGCCGAATCTCTTGCTGAAGCCGAGTGTAACGTCCAAGAACCGCTCATTGAGAATTCTGGTGAAAAGGACAACGCCTCTGAACCTGATCAGACCACTGCTTCTGATGAAACCGTCGAAACAGGTTCTGAATCCCAAGAGTCAGAACAGCCTGTTGAAGAGTCCGCACCCACAACCGAAGAAGATGAGACTGGCGAAAGCAGTGGAGAGAAAGAGGCAGAAACTGCGCCTGAGCCCGAAAAGGTCAATCTCCCACCTGAAGTTCTTGAGGCATACGGTCTCGAAGACGAGAGCAAAGAGAAAATAGACCACGACGTTAATTTGGCCATTATCGCTATGTCTGCCAAAGAGGAAGAAGAGCGACTTAAAGCCGAAAATGCAAAAAGAGCTATCGAGGAAACTCTGAAGAATGAAGGTGTCACAGCTGAATCGATTGATCCTGTTGCTGTGGCTGATCTTGCTGCTGCAATGATTGGCTCACCGGCGAGTGAAAGTCATGAAGAGCCTGAAGCGGATGAAGCAGGCGAACCAGCTACTACCGAAAACCAACCTGCGCCAGCTGCTGAAGTGGATAAGACAGGAGCGGCAGCGACCAGTGAAGAGCAGTCTACTCCAACTGCTGAAGTGACTACTTCTGCTGAAAGCCCTCCTGACGTCCCACCAGACAATACTGCTGACACCGAAGACCCGGTTGGATCAGAAAAGCCCCCATCTGACGAAGAGCCGAAACCTGACGTTGCTCCGGAGCAACAAGAGTCTTCAGCTCCCGAAGCCGAATCATCATCGCCATCTGTTCCAAAGCCAGAGGAGCCTCAACCGCCTGTCGAAACTCCTCCTGGGACTGACGAAGAAACTGAGGGTGAACAAACAGATGCACCTGCTGCACCAGAAGTTCCTGCAAGTGAGACCTCACCCAATGAACCGGCTGCTACCACATCTGAAGAAACAAAGGAGCAACCAGCGAGTGAAGAAAGCAGCCCAGATCCGCCGGCCGCTGCCGAGAGCGCTGAAGAAAGCCCACCCAGTGAAGAAGCGCCAGGCGAAAGCACTATAGCCGAATCAGTAAGCGCAGCCAGTGCCATGCCAGCTGATGATGGCGACGACAACAAAGACGTAACAGACGCTGCAGAAGATTCTAAGCCTGTAGAAGATACACCAGAGTCGCCGGAAGCAATAAATGAAGCTACCGTACCCTCAAGTGAGCCCGAGCAGGGTACGGAAGAGTCATCCAAAGCCGATGGTGAAACGACGCAAGGTGACATGGATGTGGTTAAACCTGCTGAGCCTTCAGCCGAAGAGACATCTCTCAGTCCGGCTGTTGAAGACAAGTCCGCAGAAGCAGAGAAACCCGAGGAGGAATCTCCTAAGGATGAGCCGGCTGAGGGACCCTCCGAGGACGAAATTGCTAAGGAGGCAGAACCAACGGATCAAACCCCAGCAGAGACCACAACTGAGGACCAGCCTCCAGTGGACGAAGGAGAGAAACCAAAAGAAGAAGACGCAAAAGCAGAAGAGCCAAAAGCAGAAGAGCCAAAGTCTGAAGAGCCAAAAGCTGAAGAGCCAGCATCAAACAAGGAGCCTCCAACCGAAGAGCCACCAATAGAAGAGCCCACAACCGAAGAGCCTCCAAAGGAAGAGCCTCCCAGCGAAGAGCCCTCAACCGAAGAGCCCCCAAAGGAAGAGCCTCCCAGCGAAGAGCCTCCCAGCGAAGAGCCTCCTAGCGAAGAGCCTCCCAGCGAAGAGCCCTCAACCGAAGAGCCCCCAAAGGAAGAGCCTCTTAGCGAAGACCTACCAAAGGAGGAAGACCCACCAAAGGAAGAAGAGCCACCAAAGGAAGAGCCAAATGAAGAAGCAGTAAAGGCAGATGAGCCGAACCAAAACACGGGTGCTCCTGCACAGCCGACAAACGTAGAGGCACCACAGGACGAGGTTTCCAAGGAGGCACAGATTGATGCCATTGCGCCGCCTGGAGAACCAAGTGCAGAAGCTGCTGCCACTACCGTGGAACAAAGTACTTCATCAGATGGTACAGGGCCTCCGCCTCCAATAGAGCAAGCCGTGCCATCACCGCCTCCGCCGCTCCCGAGAACTATTCCTCTACCACCTATCCTTGAACGATCCATTCCTGAGATTGTGCCGCCACCTCAACCCGTTCCCGAAGAGATTCATCCTGATGCTGTTGATATCCGCTCTCAAGATGTCTCTGAAGCCAAAGAAGCAAAGCGCTCTCGCCGACATTCTCATTCACATTCTCATCGAGGCAGCGGTGAACTATTACACCGCCGTCGACGTGAAAGTTTTGCATCAGGCGACAGCTCGGGTAAGAGCGGACGTGACAGACCAAGACACGAGCGTAGACACAGAGATAAACACCCCGAATCCGGTCTAGATCGAGTGAAAGCACCCCCCGTAGCGTCTATAGTGGTCAAAGACAAGCGTCATCACGGCGAATCCTCCCGAAAGGAGTCGAAGCGCCGGGCGCGAGATGTAAAAGAAGCTGAGGATCTCCGAAGGCTCCAGCTCGAAGACGAAGAGTATGAGAGAGCCCGCGAAGCGCGCCGTCGTCGACGCCGTGAAGAGCGCCGCCGCGAGCGCGAAGAAGAGAAGCAACGCATAGCTGAAGAAGAGGCCCATCAACGAGAGCTAGAAGCCAAAATCGAACGCAAACGACTCGCAAAGCTCGCAAAAATCGATGCCAAGATTGCAGCCAAGAAGCAGGAGCTGGAAGAGAAGGAAGCCCAAATACGTGCCAAAGATGACTTCGACCCAAGCATCGCTCAGGAAGAGGCCGATCGACGGAGGCGACGCAGGGAGAGAAAAGCAGCAGAGCAAGCCGCTGCTCAGGGAACATGGCGTGGAAAGGACGCTGCGAGGAGAGAGGCTGAAGAGTCTGAACCTACTACGACGACACGTCCCGTACACTCGCGATCCCGTCGCCTCTCTGAATCTGTTCCAACCAACCCTCCTCCTACGCAGCGCCGAAACTCTTTCCTTGGTAGCCTCTTCGGTCGCGGCCCTCCTAAGCCCGATCCGCCACCTCCAATCACAACCCGTTCACGCCCAGGCACAACATCAAGTACAGCCCGCGTCCTCGAAAGTCGAGACTCCAACTCCTCGCGCCGCCGCGAGCGCGATTCATACGCTGCAGACTCAGACGTCATCCGCCCAAAGCACCGACGGGCGTCGCATCATAAGCGTCTGCACGAGGACCTAAGTGAACCACCACGCACGCCAGAGAACGCAGAGACATCCTCGGCAGCAAGAGAAGAGCCGGTAGACTCACCGATGGCCCCCCCTCCATCTCCTCCACGAAGTAGACGCGACGACAGATCAATCACACCTATCCTCGCGCAACTAAGCATGCAAGAGGCCGATGTGCCGAGTCCGACGAGCACCACACGGGCAGAGCGGGCAGATCGCGGAGAAACGGCCAGAGTGGCAAGAGAGGGGCAGAGAGTAAGAAGTGGACGTGTCGAGAGTGATCGAACACGGACTAGAAAAGTGGATGGGGAGGAGCCGAAACGGCGTCGCAGAAAGGACGTGGAGAGGAAACCGGGGAGCAAGAGGAAGGAAGATGAGAAGAATCCCTCCGGAGGAGGTATCTGGAGTGGATTGAAGCGGATCCTATCTTGATTGGGGAGTTTTGATGGAAGACGAAAGGTTCTTGGATGTTTTAGTATAACTTTTCCCTTTTCATGCTTGATGCATTCTGTTGTGTTGCGGCATAACACATGCGTTTTGGCTTTGCTATCTTCTGTATATGTCTTGTATGTTCGCCTGTATGTATTCATGTATGCTCTGACGAAATCAATTTGAACGAAGCTGCGAATTTCCTAGGGATAAGAGCATGATCTTGGAGATGCTCCTTTCTATTGTCTTTCTATGTATATCTAGTATCAATGGATCGATAAATTGACGACTGTGTTCCTATCCTCCTCCTGCTATGTAATGCTGTTGTGTTGCTCGGAATTAGAGGGCGAGACGCGGTGCTTGAGGTTCTATAGGCCCTAGTAGAAAAGTGGAGTTCAGTAGAGTAGGGAAGCAGTGAGCTCATGGATACCGCTCATGCACCGTTGAAGAGCGAGCACCAGCGCTGCCCTGGTCAGTGTATTGGTAGCCTTTGCTATCTATGCCCTCTAAAGTCGTACAGGTATAACCTATATTAGGTCAATCGGCATGTTCATGCGCATGTATCCCACATTGTGTATTCCCTTGTTTATCGGAAAGGATGTTGAACTCAGTTTGGCTTCTAGAGATGTGATTGTTCATGTCCTTCTTCCTGTCAAGGTCCTGGATTTCTGTGATGTTTGAGGAGTTGTGTCTTCGTTTGAGGGGATGGTGTCTTTTGTGATTAGATACGGAATTGAGATATGAGGGGCTTTCAAAGAAGAGGTGGAGATGTGTCCTTGTAAGAGAAAGGTAGAGTGTTTGAGCAGGAAGTCAATATGGAGTTGTGGGATCGTAGGCTTAGTAGATAGTTGCTGTGCGCGCCATCGGGGTGTTTTTTTGGTGTCTACCATTTTGGTCCTACTTTTAAGCCTTCAAGGTCAACCTTCTGAACTAACATAGCTAAACCTGGAGAATGGTCTGGAGCTGTTATCAATCAGCCTCACAACTCCCTGTCCTTAGTGCTGGTAGGGTGCTTAGCAGTCTGATATTTGATGGTTCTTTCGCTTCTCGGTTACGCGGGCGGCGATATTAAAGAAAAATATAAGTTAGTTGAGCTACGGACGGAATAAATCTCGTGAGGTGTTAAATTCTTATTCGTTTACTGGAAGATTCCCACGTTGGAAAAATACAATAGCCATATGATGATTAGGTCCCAAGCATCCAGAACATACCCCTGACGTGTTGTGACATTGAAAAATGTCATGGTAATAGTGACATGTTATTGAAAATAAGGTATCATAATCTCACGATGAAACTGTTGGGAAAGGCAGTCTTTGAGATCCCAGTTCTTGGTGAATAGTTCAATTCACACAAGGTGTAGGTAAAGAAAGAGGGGAAATTTCTAGTGAGTGTAACCAGATACTACACTGTCTCCGTCCATCCGTATCCCACTATCATATTTTGGTTGCCTTAAATTGAGCCATCGGCATAAGAACGGGTATGTCTGATAGAAACCCATGCTTCGCCTCGAAGTCGCCATTCATAGTGCTGCCCATATCCCTGACTGCCCTCGATATCAAGGACGTGGCGACTCCATCCAAGCTTCACCATCTCTTCCTCGAGCTCAATCATGACCTTGTTTCCAAATTCTACCCCCCTCAAGTATACCATCGCTGGCACTGAGCTCCAATCTTCAGGCGCCCTGATGTGAATTTCTTTGAGGGAATTGTGCTGACCTAGTACCTGTGCACAGCACTTATGGATCATACGAAACCCGTTGACAGGGTCACGACGAATAATCCACCAGAAATACCAGGAAGCCAAGCGAATTGTCTCGAGGTTCCTGCAAACGCGGCTGTAGAAAGGTAGTAGAGGAGAAGACTCCAAGGAGTGGCCATAAGCCCGCTGTTTGGGGTAGTGGAAGACCTCAATATGACGAATGTGATTGGCATTGATAGTCCCGATGGCTTTGAAGAAGGAGCGTGGCTGATATGTATATAACTGCATGCGGTGCTTGCCATAAAGGAACGGCCTAGCCTCTCGAAGTATCTGCTTGTTGATACGAAGAAGTTGTACTGCACCGTAGTAATCGACAGCAGCTGAACTATGGTTGGACAATCCCGATACAATGCTGATTTCGCCGTTCAGATCTGTAAGCGCAAGCCCATAGATCTCATTGCGAATTTCTCCTGGAAGATCAAGGAAACTAGTCGCGCTTACAAAGATCAGCTTAGAGACACATAGAAAGCTCAGTAAGTAGTACATACGATCTAGGGGATACTTCGGCCTCAGCTAGATCTTGCTTCAGGGTGCTTCGCAGTGTCTTGCGAACAGTGTTCTTCAGTGGTTTCTTAGCCTTGATCTTAGATACCTTGTTTGTAGATTTCTTTTTCTTGACTTTTGAGCCATTCTTTGACTTCCTCGGAGCCATGATCACTGTTATGAGTGGAGTTGCTGGAGGACAAATGAAGTTGAGACTTGGGAAGTGATGCGGTCTTAGTGATTGATAAGCGCTGCGACCACGAAGCTACAAGCGACAGGGACAAACAAAGTCATGAAATAGTGAACAAAGATTACAAAGTGTAGTATGTAGCTGTACCACTTCTGTCGTTTCCGTCACACCAATTGATTGTTTTGAACCCTGTTTCAATCGCTCGACTGAGGTCAATGATAGCTTCGAACTAGCAACTTCAGATTCCAGGTGTCTACTGTACCATGACCACTACAAGTTTTGTCATGGCTCATGTCAACACTCAGTTGCTCTGCACGGAGTTGAAGTGTTTTGGGGGGGATGCAGAAGTGAATAGTTTTAGATATCGACCATGGTTTTCCACTGCCACGATAGTGTATCTAGCTCTCTGGCTTTTCATGAAACCGCTGCGACTATTTTCTCCATTACTGACTGAATCGGTATCCTGGTTCATACGAGGCTGAATGGAAAGCAACGACATACTCGAGATGAGGTTCCTATTTCTACCCCTGAAAAGAAGCGCCACCCCCACAGTTTTCATTGCTGCGCCACATCACTGAATCCCACCCCACCTCCGGCCGGCTTGACTTCGGAGCTTCACCTCCGAGCTCGAAAATATGCGTTTGCGACGCGTGCCTAGTAATAATGAATAGCCCAGTTTATCATAGAACCACAACCTCTGCACCTTGAATCTCTGACTTCGGCTGCGCCTATTCGAACATCATGCAGGCTCCGGTGGTGGTTATGAGTATATCACTTCCAGCTGTTCTCACTTGACCAAGCTAACCAGATTTCAGACACCCAAACTGGTGAACGCCAGTTTGGACGTAAAGCACAGCTCTCGAATATCACCGCAGCCAAAACGTAAGCTAGGTCAGCTTTGTAGGCTTAACTTTAGCTCATGGACTATAGTGTTGCGGACATAATTCGATCATGTCTTGGCCCCAAGGCCATGTTGAAGATGTTGCTAGATCCAATGGGCGGCATCGTACTCACAAATGACGGTCATGCCATTTTAAGAGAAATTGAAGTCGGGCATCCTGCAGCTAAAAGCATGATCGAACTCAGCCGGACACAAGATGAAGAAGTTGGAGACGGCACAACGACCGTGATCATATTAGGTATAGGATATGTCTGAGGCATTCGCTTTTGCATTGAATGCTGATCTACCTTGCAGCTGGAGAAATCCTCGCACAAGCCCTACCCCAGCTTGAGCGTAATATCCACCCGGTCGTGATCATCTCAGCCTTTAAGCGAGCTTTGAGCGATGCTCTCGAGCTTATTAATGAAGTCGCCCGACCAGTGGATGTCAGTGATGACAAGGCCATGTATACTCTCATAAACGCATCTATCGGTACGAAATTCGTTTCAAGGTGGTCTGAGCTCATGTGTAGCCTGGCATTGAAGGCTGTTCGCACAGTTCAGTTCGACATCGGTGGTGGCAAGCAAGAGGTAGACATCAAGCGATACGCCCGTGTGGAAAAGATACCCGGAGGTGAAATTGAAGACAGCAAGGTTCTGGACGGAGTGATGGTCAACAAGGATATCACGCATCCGAAGATGCGAAGGAGGATAGAGAATCCTCGCATTGTTCTCCTCGATTGCACGCTTGAGTACAAGAAGGGAGAATCGCAGACCAACGTCGAAATAAGCAAAGAAGAAGACTGGAACAGAATACTTCAGATTGAGGAGGAGCAGGTCAAAGCCATGTGCGACTCAATCCTAGCCGTCAAGCCCGACCTCGTTATCACAGAGAAGGGCGTGAGCGGTAAGTCTCTTACCCCTGATAGACCTCCATCACCAACTAACACAATGCAGACCTTGCCCAGCATTTCCTCGTCAAGAACAACGTCACCGCCCTCCGCCGCGTTCGCAAAACCGACAATAACCGCATTGCTCGTGCCTGCGGCGCCACCATCGTCAACAACGTCCACTCCATACAACCCTCGGACGTCGGGACCCACTGCGGCCTCTTCGAGATCGAGAAGATCGGCGACGAATACTTCACATTCCTCACCAAATGCAAGGACCCAAAGGCCTGCACAATCCTCCTCCGCGGTCCGTCCAAGGACATCCTGAACGAAGTCGAGCGCAACCTGCAAGACGCCATGGGCGTCGCCCGCAACGTGATCTGGAACCCGTCCCTATGCCCCGGCGGTGGCGCGACCGAGATGGCCGTCGCAGTCGGTCTGGAGCGGCGCGCAAAGAGCGTAGAAGGTGTTGCACAGTGGCCCTACCGTGCCGTCGCCGAGGCCATGGAGGTTATTCCCAGGACCCTGATTCAGAACTCTGGTAACTCGCCGATTCGGGTGCTGACACAACTGCGTGCAAAGCACGCCGAGGGCAATGGCAGTACGTGGGGCATTGACGGCGATGCTGGTAAGGTGGTCGACATGAAAGAGTATGGCGTTTGGGAGCCTAAGGCTGTGAAGGAGCAGAGCATCAAGACTGCAGTGGAGAGCGCGTGCTTGTTGCTAAGAGTCGATGATATCGTTGCTGCGAAAGCGGCGAAGCAGGCATCTGGGCCTATCGGGCAGGGCGGTGATGATTAAGGGGTGCTAGTCACTTCAGAGTAGATGTTGAAAATGTGGTATCTTCTGCGACGCTCGACAATACATAGCCTAGGCACCTATTCTGCAAAGCAGAAATTTGTCTGTCCAACGTCAAATATACCAAGATATCAAAGAAAATATCTTACTCTAGGCAATTATTCCTGGAAGATCTTGCGATATGAAGTAACAACGACAACTGTATTCCCAAAATACCGTCCCTAGCGCTATGCAGCTCTGTCATTGAACAACGCCGTGATATGCCATCATTCGTGAATTGGACCCTTTGAGGGCTCATCAACGTTGGATTCCGAAACCATGCCGATCTAATAGACTTCAGAAAAGCTCTTCCTATCCTGAATCTTCGCCTCCTCAAGCGCATCGGTCGTTTCTTGCCCTGTATCGGCCGTCTCAGTCTCTGCATCTCCATCGCCCAGCTCATCCGCCCTTGCCCCCTTGCCCATGCCGCTCTCAACCTTCCAGCCAGCCTCGGTCTTGGCTTTCTCTTTCTTCTCACGCACGCTTGTTCGTCGTTTAGCGCTCGAACTCCGACTCGGGGGACGCTGTCGACCATTCTGCTTCTCGTTCGGGAAGACTGTGGCAATTGAGCGCTGAGTATTCTGCCGCTTGGGAAAGTAGTCGGAGTCTTCGGAGAAGAAACCTTCATTTGAGCTTGCGGATTTGATGCCGCTAGAGTATCGTGCTGGATTCAGAAGGGCATGCGACTGGCCTTGGCGTGGGCCTTGAGATTGACTGCTTTGTGTCGGGGAAGGAGAAGCACGTTCGTCGACATCAGATGAAGAGCCTGAGGCATCTGCATCTGTTTCAGTCTGTGAAGGAGTCTCGGCATCTGTGGTAGAGTTTTCATTCATGGTGTCATGCTGTACAGAGGGCTTGTTGATAGGTACTAAGGAGGCTGCTTTAATGGGCAATTTGGTGCTAGGCTCCTCTGCAATGCTTGCTTCCTTGTCTTTCTCGGGGCTTCTCGAGGCTGAAACTACAGCCTGAGTCAAATCGGCAGTATTCTGGCGACGCGGTTGATTCTTCCGTGGGTAGTTTATTTGCGCGTGGTTGCAACCATTCACACAGCCTCCCCACTGGCGGATTGGCACACTTGCAGATTCACCGAATGGAAGTGGTGGTCCCTTTGAAGGCGACGTGCTACTACTGGCTGCTGCGGCGCGTTTCTTCAGATCAGACCAAGTTCGCATCTCGTTCTCTAGAATGAATTTGCCGTTGTTGGCATTCTGCTTCATGACGACAAATTCGCAGTGATTGACATTTCGTAAATCTTCAAAGTACTCAACGCTCCAGTGGTACCTGTAATACACCTTCAGTCATATTTTTTATAGGCAAGAGGGGCATAAACGTACCATTTCATGAGAAATACCCTCGTCATCATGCCATGGGTGACTAGGACACAAACACTAGGAAAATCGTCCTCTCCAAATTGCCTCCATAGACTCTCGTTGAAGCCGCTTATCCTGTCATATGCATCTGCAGCGCTCTCACCGTTTGGTATCCTGTAGAAGAAGTGTCCTATTTATAGCGTTAGCTACAGGGGCTGTTGATAGCTCTGGCCATAAGTACCGTAATCCGCCCTTTCCTGCCACATTCTCTCCATTTCCGCTGAACATGGCTGGAAGTTTCCAAAGTCTTGCTCCCTTAACCTTGGCTCTTCATACACTCTGATCTTGTGGCGCGGGAAGGGGCTTGGCTTGGGTTCGTCCGAAGTAAGTGACTTCAGAATACCTTCAGTGGTTTCGCGAGTGCGGCGGTAGGGTGAAGTGTAGAAATGAAGTGTATCGTCCGGTCTCAGGAGGGATCTTAATCTACCCCCAGCTTCCTCTGCCTAATTACAGCTTTGGTGTTAAGCATTAAAGTGTAATCGTCCACTACACTCCATGCGGGGCTGTAGCATCTGGTGAGGAGGGGTACAAACCTGTTGTTGTCCGTCTTGTGTAAGCTTAACTCTGTGGTCTGGTATAAACTGGTGGATATCGCGGTTCTTATTTCCCTCGGACTGAGCGTGTCGTATCAGGATTATCATCTGCGTATTTCATTAGTAACCCTCGTAAGGCTGAGGTGTGGTAAGCTATCACTTACCCGTGGCTTGCCCATTATGACGAAGTCTTTGGGACAAATGAAAAGAGTAGTGAGGGCGGCAGATAGCAAAGTTGAATTCACAATAGGGAGAGGTATTCATTCGCCGCTAAATTGTATTTCAAAGCTGCTGAGGTGTTCCTGCCTTCTGTTGCGACAGACGTTTTAGAGTGATTTGGTCGTAGCCCTGCCTATGCACAGCCACAGCAGTGGCGCTCATCTCTCGCGCGACATGATTGTCTCTCTCCTCATTCCTCTCCCTTCCCCACACACATACAGACTTCGTTGCACGTCTGCGACGCTAGGCCAAGCTATTGTTCGATACCTTTCGCTCGCCTTGACGTATCCATACCATGTCTGAACCCATTCGAGAGTCCATTCCCACCTCTGCAGACCCCCGAAGCAAGCGCCCGACTAAAAGACGCGCCTTAAGTCCTGCCAGTAAACAAGCATCTCAGGTCGAAGCACTATTCGCCAAACCAGACCGCGATATACGCATACCAGATGGAACCGTGAGCAACAAACATAGCCTTCCACCTCCTCCGGAGATTGTCGCAAACGTACAAGGTTCGTCTGCGGGCGCCGGGTCGGGAGAGTTCCACGTCTACAAAGCAAGCAGGCGGCGCGAATATGAGCGGATTAGGACTATGGAAGAGGAGGTAAGAAAGACCCAAGAGGACTTGGACTTCCAACGAACACGAGAGGAGAGGGCGAAGCAGGACGCTGCCAAGACCGACAAGAACAGAAAGAGGAGAGAGAAAGAAAAGGCGAGGAAGCAGCAGCAGAAGAATAAGAAGGGCAATGGTGAATCTCGAAATGGAAGTGCTATTCCTCAAGAGGATGGCGAGACGAGCAAGCATAGCGGCATTCAACTGAAGTCGGACACGAAGCTTGCGACACCTGGAATGATACCGTCAAAAAACCATAGCGACGCGACCGATGATACTCCTGGCGATTTAGCGGAAGGTGCACAGCCAGTTGGCATCATCATCCACGATGAAGATTGAGGCGAATGGGAAGAATAACGGCATGGGTTATCATGGCATACAACACTGCTGACTATAAAATTCACTGGAAGCACTATACGGTGAAGTCGGTTGCTTCGCGCAGAGTCTGTAATGCCTAAGAAAACCTAGGACAGTTCAAAGAAGCGAAAACAGACAAAATGGACAAACGACCTTGGCTTTACATGGAAAAATGGAGCTTATAGTCTATGCTACAAACTTCGTGCGTTATTTGCCCAATGACGGTTGACAAATTCTAGAGCACCCGTCCTCGAGAATTGCCATTTCTCGTTGCTATCGCGAACCTCTTCTAATATAGACCCCGAAGACCTCCGCGGGTACGAAGCTTCAGAACTGGGTACCCTTTTATGCGGTGCTGTATGGATCCGGTCCCATTCCATTGGCGTTTGAATCCAGGAACTCTCGTTTCATTCATTCGACATTGAAAGCTGCGCGCAGATCAGATTCTGCTTTCAGCCTGACCGACCGAAGACACAATATTTCGTCCGCGTGGAATGGTTTTGGGTATGTAGGGTGCTCTAGACTATGCGATCTCGTCTATTTGAAGCATGTTCATGCTTGGATGTGCCAGGATCACTCATTGCGCATCTTGAAAGCATCTATTTTCCTCTGTAGCTCAATTCTTTGTGCGACCAGCTTGCTCCGAGCTTCCTCAAGCTGCTGGATCTTTTCCTCGGGTGAAGACTCACGCGGCCTTGGACGCGCCTGAAAACAATTACCATCTTGTTAGCAAACGAAAGATCTCAAGTGTAGAAGCTTGCAAGACGAGACAGTGAGGTTGGTATGTTGGATGAGTCATACCTGTTGGGCTTGCTGTTCCGACTTTAGGCCTGCTCCGTAGAGCGCTCCTGTCACTGTTATGGCAGTAACAGCACCAGTCAATACAAATCGTCTAATCTTTTGCTGTGACATGATGGCGCGTCGGTCTCAAAAACCGTTCAAGGCCGTGCAGATTGACGTTTGGCTCCAAGTGTGCTTCAGAGGAGAGGAGGGTAGATATCTTGAATGTCCTGTCGTCAGTCCTGATTATATAATACGCGCTAAAGTTCGAAGTCAAGACTGGCAATCCCTCTTCGAACCTTCCAATGTTACCTAGTAACAACCCTTCATGATTTGATCGACGTAGCTGTGCTCCTAAGGTTGTCATTTAAAACATCTTACTCAAGCACGTTAACGCTTAGGCAATTTCTCAATTTGTCAAAATTTGACCCAAGTTTACTAAGATCGTATGCAATGTCACAAGCTACTAGACCGCAGACAAGCACCTCGTCGCGTCTCAGCACGGTACCCTCATCGCAGAAGCCACGCCAAATCTCGCATCTTCACTCTCAACTAGCTCAACTGACTGCGAATCTGTCTGATCTGGAGAATCTTCTTAGTATCACAGCAGGACAGGCCGAATCGATGCGGGGTTTGGGAGGCTATACTGGCGGCATGTAAGTGTTTCAACTTGATACAGAACTATCCATAACTACCAACATCGGGCTAACACAACGGCTTCTCAGGTTCATGGCCGCCAGCAAGGTCTTGGGTGAAGAGACAGTTCGAGGAGGCGCTGCAGATTCGAGCAACGGCGAGCAACACGAACAGGAAACATGAAAAGGAAGTAATAAGAGCAATATGATGTCACCGTCTGACGAAGTTGATGAAGTGGGTTACGCAGCATAATGCACTCCACCTCAAGACATACTATACTTCTGTGATGCTCGATGTGTGAACGGTTGTCCACACGAGCCAGGGCCTCGACCACAGGAGATTGACGTATCATGAACGGTGCTAAATCAAATTCTCGAGGACCACCCGATAAAAATTGGCTTGAACATCGAGAGGATGGACTCGGATCTTGAGGCTGGAAAGACATGTCGGATGCCAGCTTAGCCTGAGCACTTTTAAATTGCATGACTTCCGACACAGCATAAATATGCGTCCGATTCATCTCACGGCGTACAACAGTCGAAATTTTAAGCAGTCACCCATAGTACATCAATTCTTTCTGTGATAAGAGGAGATAAGCCTACAGATAGGCAAAGTTGTGCCAAGCTCTACAATACCATTCACGGACTGTGTCTCATCGGATCTGCTCCGACGAGCGACATTGCTTTGAAAGCTTGTCAGACTCACCGCATAATACGCTTAGCTATCATTGGTGCGATATGATCGAATCAAGAAATACGGTTATAGGGAAATGATAAGCTATGGTGTGCTTAGTGGAACGGACCATGCAACACTGACGTATAAGTACATGCCAATTCGCAACTTCTGCGAGACAGAACTCACCTACAGATGTCACCATGGGTACAAAAGCGTTTCCTATGGACCAGCTTACTACTTCTATTGCCAAACAAATGGATATCGAGCACCAGGCCTTACTCGAAGATTGTAGCACACGAGCATCGTCAAACATGGATTGGGCTTTTCAACGAAAGAAACTCAAGCGTCGAAACGTACTGAAGCATACGAGTTTCCACCCAGGAAATACAAGCATGTCACCTCCCTGAGGCCTTGATGTCACATCTCGTAAAGGCGCGTGCTTCGGAATGACTTTGCACCATCCATACACATCTGCTTAGACACTGGGCATATATCTACTCTACCATTGGACGCGCATCCACTTTCCAGACCAAGGGCAGGGTCATTTATGTCACTCAACATCTGCAAAAATAACATCAACCGACAATCCAATATGCCCTGGCCTAGCTGTTGCACAAGGGCTAACTAAGGGCAGCGACAAATCACCTCAAGTGCCAGCTTGTGGCACAGTCACTAAGCCACAGAATGCAGCCGCTCTTATTGGAATGTCCCTGGTCGTCAATGCATAGCCCTACCAACATGGCAAATACTCGTTGTGAGAGAAGCGCGCTTTTCCGGTTCAACGCGGAGAGCAGAGTTTCTCATTCGATCTGTGAACAAGCACGGAATCGTGTGTGGTGAGGTGCTGCAGGATCCTGGTGACTTGCATTAAAGCCCCCACCTTTACAGGACGACCGGACCCCCACACCCCTCCCTCTAAAACTGCAAGCATGAGGTAGTGCGAAGCCCACGATCACGACCACCACCAAGTTACCCATCGCTGGACTCGTCGTCTCAAGGAGCACACCCAAAGACTTATTATGTGCCTTTGTTGTTGCAATGATCAGGTCATCGCGCTCTGAATATGCCGTACGGCCAACTCGGTCGCATCATTGAACAGGATACTCTCCGGTAATAACAATCATCTGAAGTGTTATTAGCGAAGGAGGCTAGGGCAGCCCGGCCCAGAGTCCAGACTCAGTCTTTAATCCATAAGCATGTGATTTCGACGTCGATATGGATACAGCGTCAACAACTGGTGCAAATCGACGGGTATGTTTGCGAGACTTCTTGCGTATTCAAGTGTTTCCTTGACCACACATGTGCATACCATCATGCATTGAGAGCTGGGAACATTGATCTGGCGCATGGGATGCTTTTTGGTGCCATTTGGTTTAAACGCAGATGCTCACAAGCACATGCTCAAAACTATTACGGGAAATTCGACGGTGACCTTTCTACCTCACGACCATCGTAGGGCTCCAAGGGTCACGAGACCAGTAGACCCATAAGCCGACCAAACCCGCAGGGCCTGTGCGTGCAGGGTCTTGAAGCCTCTAGATGACCACACTTGTCCGATAATAGCCATAAGAGCTATACAACACTACGGCATGAATTCAAATTCCTCAACAAGTGCTACCACTACAGCCTACGGAATAGGTTCTTCTCTATCAGCGCACAACTGCTACGATCAAATCTTCAGACGCGACTCACAACGTGCGCTATAGGACTCTCGTAAGGTCTAGAGAAATCTCAATTGGCATGGTTCTCGAGATTCTGTACTAGGGCAGGCGTAGCTGCCGCCGCCGGTCTATTCCATCCGATAAAACTCGCGGACCAACGTTAGTGCCGTCTCATATTCACTCACACAGTGTGAGTCGCTTGCGCGGAGCCAGCATATCAAACGCATTCATTGAACTGGCTGATAATTTGGCTATACGATTCATGCTATTCTATGTATTGCGTATGCGCCGAATTTTCGACGAGCTCTGTTCGCAAAGGTTACGATACTAAAGAGGGTCTGTTCGGAATATTTAGGAATGATCAAAGCTCGCTGGGCAGCAAGGTGGGTGGCAGCACTACCCGGGATATGGTCTGCATGACGAGAAGCTTGTTAGTTGACAGCAAGGATCCGGGTGCAGGTGGCATTTCCGCATGCGATCTCGCATGACGTTGTTGTCCCTCATGCGCGTTCAAGGGAATTGTCTCTGGCGCCCTTGACGAGTCTGGCAACAACAACACAACGACCGTGTGGCAAGTCAAAGACAAAATACATACACAGTACTGCCGCGGTATTCGCCTGTGGTGACATTCTTACGACAGCCAACGGATTCGCTGATCCGAGCTTGGTCGACAACCAACCGGTCGCACATCAAAAAAAAGGTCGGCACGAAGACCGAGAACCGAAGTATGCATGCAGTCACGTGGAGTCTTTGTGTGTCGCATATGCACATCGCACATGCGCCCAAGAACATTATACTGGCGAACGCTAGGTACAGAGTCTTGTCTAATAGGGAATTAGCTACGGAAGGCGTTGATGACAAAAGTGAGCATCGCGTGTAATTAGCAGATGGATCCACAGACACATGTGGATTTAATAAGCATTCCTCCCACCCGTTCATTCAAAAGGCATGATGACGGAATGGAATCTGGCAGGTGGTTGTTGGTAGCTGCACACGGGCAAACGAGACTCCTTCAATCACGGAGATGGCAGCGATGATGCACCCTTACTTTTGTCACCACCGATCGACGTTACAACGACTCACTCCAGACTTCAATCCTACTGCCGATCCGTAATGCTGGTCATAAACGCGGAGTCGCAATTCTTTTTTTTTTCCAAAATTTTCTTTTCACTTTGGATGAAACGTTGGATGACTCGCGTCCTCGAGGAGTCCTGTTAATGGGGCAGTAGAACTGGGTTCCACTTCAAAGAACATTCCCTTGCAGTAGAAGACTGGGAATGCGGAAGAGAGGACCAAAGGCATCGCGCGCGAAGTAACAGAATCTGGAGAGGAGAAGCTCCACAATCGAGGCCCCCCGAAAAGTCGCCTTCAAGGGCGGGGCGGGGCCGGGACAAGACAGATGCAGGAGTGTATCCGTACGGTACGCGACAGCGAGCTCGAGACGGGAGGTCAAGGTGTGAAGAGAGGGATTGGCGAGCAGCGCGGCTGGGATGTAATAATAAGCAGAATATACTGGCAGCCAGATGATGAGCAGCGACTGGAGTCCAGGACAAAGAGCAGCATCTGTTGAACGATTGGCTGGAAGCCTGACTCGTTCTCCCACACACATACACACTCCCATATACAGATGTACTGTATGTATGTGTATGTGTAAGTGTGTGAAGCAGCACACCCCACCCACGCACCGGAACGAACAGGTCACCACCGTCACCACCCACACTCCTTTTTATTCTCCCATGGTCAGCCCGTCACTGGCCAGCGCCACCTTTGCACATGCTGGCGACCGTGCATTGTCATCTGCAGTGTTATTCTTGCCAGGATTGCTGCAGGCTGGCGTGCCTTAGTTGCGCAGTGCGGCAGTAATAGTGAGTTTGTGAATATTTAGCTACTGTAACTATTACTTCGTGTGTATGTACATCTCTGCCGGTGCAGTGTTCATCGCGAGGTGCTTGTACGGTTGAAAACAATGCCATCCATATACACGAAATGTCGTCCTGCGTGTGTTGCTTACCAGACAGAGCTTTGACACGTGCTACCCGGACATGATAAGTCTGGGTATACACGATGGCGGCTGACAGGATAGGTAATTTAGCTACAATCACCAGTTAGGCCGGACTCTCACAAGGTGTCAAGGCCTAGCTGAAGATAAAAATCACAGTAATACATCTCTTATGAGACAGACTCGCATAGCCGGGATCTGATGTATACGAAGACAGTTACAGTTATTGATATTTAGGGAGTCCCGCCACCACCACATGGCTCGTAGCCCACTTCACTTTGGCCGGAAGAAAAAAAGACTGGAGCACGCGGCCGAGCAAGAAGCAGAAGTGTTGCGTCGTCTCGCCATCTCGCCGTCTCGCTCGAAATGTACATGGATATATATCTATGATATAGCATGGGCCCCCTCCTCTCCTCCCAGAAACATAATCATCAACAACTCCATGGCCGTTTGCTGTAATTTGGTCTGGCTTTGCAGAATATAATTATTGTCGCTAAAAACACACAGGCCAAGACGGATAGGTTGACGACTTGCTGCTGACACTGGCTGCTGGACCGGTGGATCTAGCTACAGCCTCCTGCCGGTGCCAGACTGCCAGTGAGAGAGGAGAGAGAGAGCCCCCGCCGCCCTCCCACTATTACTGCCACCACCACTACCACCACCACCAGTTGCCGCTCCGACACCCCCCGACAAGCGCGCGACCTACCACACACACACAACACCCTCATCCTCATCCTTCATCCCCAATCCCCCCCTTGATCCCCCCCCCCCCCCCCCCCCCTTGCCCCATCTTTCTGCATCTTTTTTTCTGCCGGCACACACGGGACTCAGGACACCCCAACCACGGGCGATTTGTCCCTCTGCTATTACTTACACAGTACTGCATTCAAGACTGTCAAACCACCGCCCATTCGCTACTACAGCTGGCTTGCTACATAGTATAGTGCACGGTACACGGTACACAGTACATTCATTCCTTTCTATTTTACTCCTACTTTCCATCACCTACTTTGCTACTATTACCTCCTCTTGACGGCCCCACACACTCTCCATCCATCCCACCTCATCCTTCCACTAAAGGCTTGAGGCTAAGGCGGCCTCAGCGGCCTTCCGCCCACGGCTACCCTCACCAAATTCACTCCAGACTCACCACACCACCCCCGTCTACTACAACAGTAACAGTAATAGACCAAGACCAGGTCCTGCACCAGCTCTTTGGTCCGTCACTGTTGCTGCCGTTGCTGCTGCCTCTCAATTGCTGCGACTTGCATCGACCAGCTCCTCCAGCGGCATCGTCGCCTCAAGCCACCACGCCTCCCTCCCTCCCTCCCTTTTTCCTCCACCTAGGAGCCTGCAGGAAGAACAAACGAATAAGCAAAGGCAAAAGCCCTCACTTCTCGCCTCAACCGCCAGCCCCAGGCCTGCTGCGCCATTCTTCCTCGCCCGCTTGTGTTGCTGACGCCCGCTTTCTGCGCAACACCAGCTGCTGCCGGCTATGTCTGGGGCGCAATATGGGGTGCGTGGGGGACTCTCAGACGACCTTGACGAATACTCCATGCCACTGGACGACCATCTGACCTCTCCGACATCATCCTCCTCCCCGCGAAAGCTCCGCTTCACCACCACCAACAACAACAGCATTAACAATAACACCTTTGACCATTCTTCCGCTGCCTCCTCCGCCTTACACTCGCTCACCTCGACTTCGACCTGGGACTCCAAACTGGAGCTGTCACCACTCGAGTCGGCCGCTCGCCAGGGCGTGCTCGACGCTGCCATCTTTCCGTCATGGGAAGACGATGGCGCTGAGGTCGACTCGCCAGAGGAAATGCAAAAGAAGGACCCTTTGGGCGCTCAGATGTGGAGACTGTACAGCCGGACAAAGTCTAATCTGCCGAATCGAGAGCGCATGGAGAACCTGTCATGGCGGATGATGTCCATGAACCTGCGACGTGAGGCCGCTGAGCGAAAAGCGTATGTGAATGCACTTGCGACCATACACTTGACTTGCGCACACTTCTCTACATGATCGTATCTTGCGACTGCTCCTCGCCTGTACTAACATCTCGCTCACAGACTATTATTGCAATCATCCAGAGCCGCCAAAGCTACTCCCAGTGGGATTGCCCAGTTACGGAGCTCCATTGACCAGGGCGCACAGACACATGGACCGCCCTCCGATGCCATGAACCTCGACGACTTTATCGAATCCGAGAATGTCGGCTCGCCTGCAGGCATCTCGCCGGACTCTTCTTCTGATTACATCACCGCCTCTCACGCTGTCGCTCCATCCATTCCTATCCGCAAACCTAGTCAGACCAACGATCCCAATCTACATGTCTTACGAGCTTCGGCACCGTCGGTTCCGCCAATTGCCAGTCGAGGCAGAGAATTTGGCTACGTCCAGCGACATGTGCGAAAGACGAGTATTGATGAGCGACGTGTGAGTATGAATTGTCATCATGTTGTTCAACGTGTCTAATTATTGTCAGAATCGGAAGCGACCGGCTGAGCGATCCCCTCAGGTTCCTCCTGTCAACAATACTTCGATGCCAGCTGACCAAGACATGGACTCTGCTCTACATCACTACAGTCTCGACCACAACTTCCCTGGCTCAGCCTTCTACCCTCAATCTCAGCATCCTCATGTGCCATTCCACCTCGACACCACAGCCTTCAGCATCGACAACCACGACCCTATACTCAACTCTGCCGGGCCTCTTCAACAGAATTTCCCATTTTCGCCTGTCGGTTCGCCGATGATGCCACAAGGCCCCTACTCATCCGTATACCCACCCAATTCCGTGCCCTCTTCACTCACCTCGACCGATTTCTACTCACCTCCTGGATCTGCGTATCCATCTACTGTATCGACGCCGCAGCCTGTTCCCGAGGGAGAGCAAATGTTCTTCAACCGTGATGGTGTAGACGTCAGAAACACGCATTCGAGACAGACTTACGGCTTGCAGCGCCCGTCAGGACTGTCCACCTCGGTGCAGCAATCGTATATGTTCAATCCTAATAGTGATTCGCTCTTCGGTGCAGTGACTGCCGCCAGTCTTCCGCAGTTTCAAGCGACATCATTTGCACAGCAACAACCAGGCCATGTCAATCCCTCGCAAGTGCTGCATGGATTTCCAGGCCGTGCTCAAGGCATGTCCATGTCACGGGATAACATGTTCACGTTTGGTGGAGATTCTGACGGCGAGGACGACGAAGGCGGAGCATTTCCTGATCGGACTATGCCTTCGCATAATCAGTTCTCGTCGATGGACGACGAGAACAATTTCGACTCGGGGAGCAACTTCCAATGGGGAACTGACCTTTCCAACCAATTCAATCCCACTCCAGCACGATACCCTGCCGGACCACCACGAAAGACTGTTACCATTGGTGGCGCTGAAATGGTTTCTTCGCCACAGGATTGGAACGGTAGTGGTAGTCTGGGACGTACGCATGGGTCTGCAGCGTCTGTTAGTGACATTCGAAATCGTGGAGGTGACCAGAGACGAGGCAAGATACCCCGCACTGCCTCCACGCCCAACGCTGCTGGCTTGGTACAACATCAAGGACTTCAGCATGTCTCTCAATCATCGCCCAATTCGCCGCCGGAATCGGGTTTCAATTCTGCAGCGCCTTCACGGCCTGTCAGCCCAGGGGGCACAAAGGGCGGCGATAATGGCGCACCCACGACGTGTACAAATTGCTTTACACAAACCACGCCACTCTGGAGGCGCAACCCGGAAGGCCATCCGTTGTGCAACGCCTGTGGTCTATTCTTGAAGCTGCACGGCGTCGTTCGTCCACTGTCGCTGAAGACGGACGTTATTAAGAAGCGCAACCGTGGTAGTGGTACCACTGCACCGGTGACAGGCTCTTCCACACGGTCGTCCAAGAAATCTTCACGGAAAAACTCGATTGTGCATACACCTGTCACTACCCCGACGTCCGGCAAGACTGCAGAGTCGGAGTCGCCACAATCCGCAGGCGGTGCTAATACGCAATCTGCCAACACTGCTTCGAGCTCTACTAATGCTGGTCTGAGTAAGAGCAGCGTCGTCCCAATTGCTCCCGGTCCACCGAGAGCACAGCCTGCCGTCGCTGCGAGTGCTCCATCTGCTTCTTCAAGCGTTCGTGGCGTGCCCGTTGCACCAAAGCGAGCTCGCGGGCAAAGCAAAGGCAACACACAGGAGCTTGAGATGGGCGATGCAGACGACACCAGCGGCAAGTCAGTGCAGCCTCAGAACTATCCCAACCGCCCGATGAGCCACGGCTTGCCTCTACCAGGCATGCATCACGATAGTTTACCCATGGGTGCCATGGGGCAAGGCTTGACTGCTGGAGGCAATGCCGTCGCGGGGCCAGCCGAGTGGGAATGGTTGACGATGAGTCTTTAGTCCTGATCTTTATGGGGGGTGTTCTGTGGTTGTGTCTGAATGGCTCGATTTTGCGCGAAACTGGATGCAATCGAACCGTGGACGGTGATGTGCATATAGCATACCGCACCAATTTTGGACGCCTTCGGAGGCGAAGGTGTTATGGGATACATCTTCTTCCGGTTCGACATGCGCATTCGCTTATTCGGTGCATCAACGGCTCCATGGACGGCCGCGGCGGGAGTTCAAGGAGTTTTCTTTTTGGCGCCGTCCCTGTTGTCTGATCTTTTTCTTCTCTTGATACCAGAACCATTTTCTTGTTGCAGCTGCTGTAATGCCGCCTTATCCAACTCTTTCTTCACCCGATCTGATCTGATCTGATCTGATATCTTGTTGTTCTGATGATCTTCTGCGCATAATATCTTGCACACATTTCTCTTTCATTTGCTTCGGGTGTTTACAACATGCGATGCGGATCTGCGACTTCTCTGATGCACTCACTGCTCAGGGGATGATTGGGCGGAAGGGGGTTGTTTCTGTGTGTGTTTTTGTTACCTCTTTCTGTCAGTCTCTTTCTCCCATGTCTGTCTGTCTGCCCTCCTCTAACATGCTGCGGCGACGATATGGCGACGATATGTTGTGTGTTTTTTCGCAGAAACGACGAGACGATCATGGGCATGGGCATGCATTTGGAGGCGTGGCGCGCGCACGCGCGTGTGTTTGCGATGGGCTGTTTTTGCGCTTGGGTTTGTCTGGTTCGGTTTGCTCTGGACTAGATTGGTGCTGCGCTGTTCTGTATGCACACGCACCTGAGGATGATGAATGCGTCTTGATAGATTGATTGATTGGTTGGTTGGGCAGTCGTCGTGAGTGAGGAAGGGAGGGGCTGGCGGGTGAGCGGGCGAGCGGGCGAGCGAGCAGGTGCGCACACGAGCAAAGTGTTGCTGCGAGTATATATAGATATATATATATATATATATACGTTCTATATATATACGACATATATATGCATACCAGAGGCGGTCAATGGGAGACTGGTACGACAGTTAATTAATTACGATCTCAAACCTACTACTACATACACATTTTATAGTATCCTCGGGATAATACACGTACGTACCAGACAGAAACATGCATATACACACAACAATCCTAATGAGAGGGCATGTGCAAAGATGTCGAGATTGAGCGATGCAATCGGAGGTAATTGATTGACTATCCCCAAAAAGAATTTAGGTAAAAGTCGTTGGTCGTACGTATATGTATGTGTAAGGTGGAAGACGGAAGATGGAAGATGGAAGATGGAAGATGGAAGATGGAAGATGGAAGATGGAAGATGGAAGATGGAAGGTAGGTATGTAGCGTACGTACACTTACTCTTATATATCTATGTATATATAGACAGATAGCATGGACAGATTAGATAGAGTAGATAGATATGGCTATATAAAGCTCCTCTTGTGGAGTTGAGTGAGTACCCGCGCGGCCACCCCTACCCCCACGCCCACGTTCCGCGCTTATACATTTCCCCCCACCCTTGCTTCCTTCCTACACACTCTCTTTCTCTCGTACCCCTGACATGGGATGTCCTGTGGAGAGGAAGGTGAGTGGATGAAGGTTAAGGGGAGATATAGGTACGTATATATATATATATATATAGAGATAGATAAATAAGGGAGAGAGAGATAAGTAGATAAATAGATAAGTAGATAAGTAGAGCCAGATTTTACAACTAAACCCTCCCGAAATCTTGGACTAATCATCGTCCATCTAGGTCTTCTTAGTCCTTTTTTATCTTTTTTTAGTTTGCTTGAATCGTTGGTCTTACGGTGTTTGAGAGTTTCTCGTATTTGTATTGTGGATTGTCGATTGTCTTTAAAGTATATATATGTGTGTACTGTTTGATTGTATGTTTGAATTTGGGTTTGGGAGGGGGGGAAGGTTTATTCTACTAATTTAATTGAGTTAAGTGTAGGGGGCTTTAGTTCGATCTCTATTAAAGGAAGAGGAGTAGGTAGATATTATATACTTTAATATAACGTATTAAGTAATTATGAATATACATATATACTATTAACATAATCTCTAGACAGCTACTTAGTCATTATCTATCTATCTAATATCTAGTTATGAAGTAATCAAGTGGGTATTAGGAAAAGGTCCGGAAATTAGTATCCGACTCGAGCGCCACTGGGTTTGATAGGATAGTAGGGGATTTTAGGTGGAGACGGGCGAACGGGTAGATATATGGATAGATAGATAAATTGGAGATAGGAAGATGAATGAATGGATATTTATATCTCTATCTGAGGTACCTACGTACCTACCTAGCACAACTACTGTGCCGGGCGAGGGGTTATATATATCCTATCGATCGAAGCCATGGTATTGGTTTTTGGTGGTTTGTGTGGGTGTAGATGGTTTCTTTTTCTTTGTTTTCTTGTTTTTTTCGGTACAGTATGCGGTAGGGTAGGGCTTGTTCTGCTGGTACTAGTTTTATATTGATATTTGTTCTGTGTTTAGTTGGCGCCATAATATTCCACGGACTGACTTCGTGGGTTCGTGGTACATGTATATATATGCATACACTGTCCTTTGGTTGTCTGTGTGCTAAGTATTTCAGGGGCTCATCAGGGGTTTAACAGAGGGTTTTCAGGGATTTGGTTTTCAGGGGTTTATCAGGTCCCACCTCAGACCTGCCTGGGTGGATTACACTCCACGACCGATAAGCGGCGTCCACTAGATACCTGATTTAGCGAGTCGAACTATCCTGGTCTCTGATCAATCAGCGCTCGTACCAGCTGTTCCTGCAGGGAAGCTCGCTAGGTGGCCGGGCCGATTAGATTGCATGACTACATGGGGTTATCTTGTGGGAAATTGATGCGTATATGGGAATGAAGGTTGCGCATGTGGGTATTGAGTGCGGGTTTTAAGGGAGAGATGTGGATTTGGGGTTTGCGTTTGGGGTGGGAAGGGGATTATGGAATCAAGATTAAGGGGTGCTGTTGGGATTGTATAGCTTGTGATTTGTTTGGGTTGTGGTTGTATATATGTGTATGTGTGTATCGTTCGCTTATTTGTGCTGGAAGAGTGGCGGGTGTGAAAGAGTCAATACGAAGAGGACTTGTGATATTTGGTTGGATTCTGGACGATGTGACTTGTTTTCCAGCCGTCTTACGTGTTCGTATATACTTAATCTACATTTGGGGATTCTTGAATTGTGGAATCCGCTATTTGAATAAGACAAGTACAAGGAAGAGGACTGGAAGGGCTGTGAAATGGGAATGTCAAAGATTAAGACCCAGACCGAAACAGCACAGGAGCTCAGACGATAGGCTCGACGAGGCCAAGTCCGATGTCTCCGTAAGCCTCGCTCTGACGGACGTAGATAAGGTTCTTCGTGGCCAGCGACAAGACATGCAGGAAGGCATTTGCAGCCACGAGTCGATTATTCGCGTGCGTAGGGAGAAGCTTTTCAAACGTGATCTCGTCTTCATGGTCATCATCATGAACCATATCTTCTTCAGCGTTGCCTGCTGCTTTCTCTCTGATGCCTTGCTCGATGAACTCAAGGAAGTTTTGGCCTTCCCGGTCGAGCGCATCGCGGAGTTGCTGGCTTTCTGTTACGTACGGTGCGTCGGCGGCGTCGGCGGCGATTGGTTCAAGATTCTGGACACCCCCAGAGGCAGAGTCGTAGGGCTCGGATTCAAAGGGCATTGCGTTGTCGTCACCTGCCTCGAGGTACTGTGACAGCGGGCCTAACGCACCAGATCCCCGGCCTTGCAAAGGAGAAGCGCTGACCAGGCGTTGTCTATTGTTTGATCCGGAGACGCCGCCAATGGATAAACCTGCGGAGGCTGGAAACCCGAGATCTATGCCGCGCGCGACTGATGAGCCACGGATGGATGCGGTGATGTTCCAGGGCATGGCAGATGACATCCGACGGTCGTCAAGTACCTCCCGCTCATCTCGAGGCAGTTCAATGGTATCGTCACCAAGGGGTGGGAGTTCGTTCTGGTCCCCCAATTGCGCTTCGACGCCGCGACGAAGCTCACCCTCCTCACTCCGAGCCCTGACACGGCGACCTTCCGAGGAGTCAGTGTCTTCCACGTCAACGACATCCGGATCACGAAGCCGTTTGCGCAACTTGTCCTCGCGTCTCTTGGTCCCGGTGATCATTTCCCAGAGCGAGTCACCGCAGTACATGTTGAAAGGACTTTCCACCATGTGAGAGCCAACGCCGCTACCGACACCGCCTATGCCTCGTCCTAGGACAAGCCATTCTGCATTCTTCTTTGCTTGAGCGATAGCTTTCTGGGGCATCTTCGCCGTCGTGGCCAGAATCATGATCTCGTTGTAGTCTGAGTTCCAGCGTGACAGTTCGGTGTTGCGTACTTCGAGCTCACGGTCCGCTGCTATGGGTTTGCGCGTTCGGCGTTTTCGCAGAGGTGCCGATGCAGCTGAGGATTCTTCTTGGTCTACCACGAAGCCTTGTGATGCTGGCTCATGAGTTGCTTGCTGAGCACGGGGAGGAAACGGTTCGGCGTCAGGCAGGATCATGTCCTCAACGAGTGGTGGGAGTTCTGATCCCATAAAGTCTTGTGGCTATTGATCATTAGAAATGCATCAACATGGCAACATGCGGATTACGTACCTGACCTGCGTCACTGTAGCCCTGGCGGACGGCCGCGTCTGAGCGGTGTTCAGCTGCTAGGTTCCTTCGCGCATTAGGAGTCGGTGTGCTAGGCATGACCGGTTCAATGTCAATCATGTTGCCCTCCGCATCGAAGCTAAAATCAGCTTCCGAATCGAAACCGGCCATGGTATCGCGCCTGATGATACTGCTGGGATCGTTCTGTTTGGCACTCGCACCATCGTCACCTCGCACCTGGAAGCCAGCGCGGCCCATCTGACTTGAACCTTCAGGGATGATGAGACCTGCAACAGTAGGACCACTTCCCTGCCTGCTTCGCATCGAGGGACCTGGAGACATCAAACTCAGACTCTGTGACCTCATGCCGATACCCATGTCCAAGTCCATGAAGTCAAAGTCTAGTGGCAGCTGTGCGAGTCCAGGCATGAAAGCTGGGTCATCGGCGAGTTCGAGCTGGTCGGGTCTGCTCCCGTTAGTGCATGAAAGGACAGTGTGCCAGTTCTCATTTACCTTGCTCTGACAGTAGTAGCATCTATTTCGACATTCTGATTGGCCTTGAGGAACTGCCGAATGCTGTTATACGCATTCTGCGCGTCAAGCAAAACGTATTGGCACTGTTGCGAATACACCTGCACAACTCCGTACCTATGTTCGTCAGCTTGCCCCCTCCAAACAATTGACAGCACATACAAAAGACTGCTTTGAAGACGCAAGGCCATCGGAGCTTCAGGTTCCTTAATCGTATCACAAGCTTTCGCAACGTCGACCTTGGAAATGGCCTTTCGATTGACCTTCTTCAAAGCTGACTTGGACCCGAGAGTAGCTACCAGCCTATATCTATGTCAATTACAGATGTTTCTCTTAAGCGAAGTATCCTACCAGATCGTTGCAACTCCATACTTGCGCGAAGTAAGAACTACACCGAGTCAGCAAGGCCATGAAAATGCGTGCACGTCAGAAACTGTACCTTCGTGACTATAGAACATCGTGACACAATACAATTACACCGTGAATACTTATTGGTACAGAAAAGACGCGAGAAAATGAGTGTTGAGTAAAAACAAGGAAAGACAAGTGAGAAAACTCACATGAGGAACGGAAGAAATGAGATGAAAGAGGGAAAGCAGCAAGTAAGCCTGACGCGGCGAAACGCGAGCGCGAGAAATTGGTGAACAATGTCACGCGTATCATATTTGGGCGCGTCGTACTTGATTGAGATGCAACGTCCGGTCGTTCACCTACGTCTAAATCAATCTAGGGATCATATGATCCTTTCTCACTGGTCCACTAGATCGCTTACTTGAGCGGATGAGAGGGCTATAAACGTCTTTCGCTCACTAATATTACAAAGTTGAAGGCGTAAGAACTCGATGTGCTAGAGATCTATGACCATACCACGCTATGCAATATCTAGTTCTTGTGCCGCAATCATAGCTCACACGATCCACTGTGGACGATGAGATAGGCACCTCAGCCTATTCCAAGTACACCCAAGGTCCATCATGCTTTCTCGTTCAAGAAAGCTTCCTCCTTTTCTGTGGTTGGGAGAGGCACGGCACGATAGAGCAGTATCAGAGCAGAGTGACTTTGACCTATGTGGTGTTAGAGCTTGCCCAGAGACTCTGGTTGGGTACTTGCCGCCGCCAGATAAGGTCTCGATTCTTTCAGAGTCGACCTCCGATACCTTCTCGTCGTTGAACCACCACCATTTGCCATCTTCCTCCTTCCGCTTGCCAGTCTTTGGATCCTTAGGTCCGCTCTTCTTCACGAACGATGTGTAGTGGCCGCTGTCAGCGCTGGCACCTTGGTGGGTAATTACGCCTCGTAATTCATACAGACCTGTCTGGTTGGATCCTTCATCGGCAGACATCTTGGGGTCAACGAGTGACAACAGCTCTTTCTTTGCCGCGAGAATAGATTCGATTTTCTCTCGCTCGACTTCAGCATCCGTTTTGTAGACAGCATCGGCCATCTCAGTATCTTCGCCACTTGCATCGCCTGTCTTCTTCCTGTCGTCCTTCTTCTCCTTCTTCTCCTTGACCTGCATAGGCTCCCCATTCTCTTCCTGCGCGCGTATCCGCTTCTGCCGTTTCTTTGCTCTTTCGACGTCTTCTTCTTCTTTGCGGATCTCTCGGATCTTATCTCTGATGGGTACAAGAAGTTTTCGCAAATCTTCAGTGCAAAACTCAAGCACATCCAACTCGTGAGGGAACGTTACCTTACGCATGATTTTAGCCTTCTTGGCGGTGTCCCGTCTCCAATCGAATCTGACAAAGTGCACCGGTAGATACTTCGGCAGGCGGGATATCAAAGATGTCTTTGTATATATTGCATCTCTATCAAGAACCGAGGACTTCTTCTCGATCTGCTCTTTCAGACCTGCCGCCAGGCCGTCTCTAAGATGATTAGTCTCCAGGGTTATGTGGCAGTTGAGCTTGAAAAATGTGTCTTTAGACTTGACAGGCTCTTCGCCGCCTTCCTTGGCTGCCTCTTCGTCACACTGCAGAACCGAATCGAAACTTCCAGCCATGTACTTGTCGATGAAAGACAGATCTTGCGTCTCCTGTGAGCTGGAACCGGCAGACGTGGACTCTTTCACTTTTAGCTTCTGTCGCAATTGTGACACGATTTGCGACCAAGCTTCTTCCGCGTCCTGTTGGGCGTACCCATGCCCATCTTTCGACCGTTGCGCAAACTGAGGAAAGGCAGTTCTCAGAGCGTTGAGGAACATTAAGGGTGGGAATCCCTCCTGAGTCTCAGACATCTGCTTGAAAAGATCGCGAAGAGATCCAGTGAGGTCGGACGATGCACCGAGTCCTCCAAGGCCAAATTGGCTGAGGTCTGCGGAGCCACTGGCTGCAGGGCTGTAGCTGTTTAGCACATGCCTGTGTGTACGCAGAAATGGAACCAGCTCCCTACCTTGGGGTATACTTCAAGAGTTCGTCTTGTAGCTCCGGAATAGACCTTAGAGTCTGGAGCGTCGAATTCATATAGCATGTGTTGCCCAAATTTTGGAGGCCTGCAGGTATAGCGCCGTCCGATTGCGCCATCTCAGCTTCCGTCATATCCTCCACAAATTTTATGGGCTCTTTAGGTCGCTGTATCGCCGCTGCACCCTCCGCGGGAGTGCCCATCATCATGAACTGATGGCCAGGCTTCACCGCAAGCTTCGAAAGATCGGTATCATCTTTTAGCTGGCCACCTTTGATGAGTATCTTTTGTCTCTCCGGCTCAACACCAGTAAGAGAGTATAGTTGGTACTTGAATGTCTCGCCCGTAGAGCTGGGATCGAGCTCGACATCGTATTTCTTTCCAGCATGTTTAACCACCACTATATAGTTCATTACGTCAGTTGTGTGGTCATTACTGGCTTTTGCTAGCCGTGAATACCGCCGAGGCTTACCTGGTACGGGATCCATAATGCTTGAAGAGAAGCGAGACGTCGAAAATGCTTGTCAGAGTGAGTCTGCGAAGTGATTGATGCCAGAGTCCGCCGACAGTAGTGTATCTATAATCCTTGGTGGCGGGTCTCTGCCAAGGCTCAGTCGACGGATTTAGCTTGCCCCGCCAAACAACGACGAAGCTCGTTGCGTGCGCATACCTACCTGGACCGTATTGACCGCATAACCGTAGGTTTGACATGATTCTCAGGGCGCTATATTGATCAATCACATCCACGATATGGTAAGAATGAAGCTACACAGTTCAGACACACGCTTATGCTTTGCTTAGTCTCAAAGCCTCCGCCCGTACCTGCAGTGCGTCCGATCATCATTGACGGCCGCCTTGTCACTCTCCAACTTCGCATCGCAAACCTCTGAACGGCATAATGTCCCTGAAATTGAAGCTGCTAGCTCTCCGGAACTCCTCCTGAATCCATTGACAGTATCACGAAATGAAAATGAGAAGGTCTTCATCGAACCTAGCGTGAACAGTGTCCGCATCAGCATCAAGATAAAACAGGCCGATGAAATCGAACATATTCTCGTACACAAATTTACGCGGTTCTTGACTCAGAGAGCTGAACATTTCTTTATATTACGGAGGAAGCCGGTCAAAGTACGCAATGAATGCAAACCATCAACGCTACGTGAGTCCTAACGCCCATTTAGGGGTATGATATTTCCTTCTTGGTCACGAATTTCCATACGGAAGACATGTTGAAGCACAAGCTTGTCGACTTCATAATTCAGTTCATGGAAGAGGTAGACAAAGAGATATCGGAGATGAAACTTTTCGTAAGCTGCGATCCCCCCTGTCTATATGCAGCCAGCCATAACACTCCTTCGTAGTTGAACGCCCGAGCAAGATTTGTTGCAGAGTCTTTCCTTACACCAGTAAGTTTCGAAAGTACACTGTTTGCCGATGGCTCACACGAAATAGTTCGACTGATCGGGCAATCCCTTGAATGGCTTCGGAAATCTTGGCATTACGATATAGCCACATCACTACATGCAATGCCATGTCATTTCATGACCATGGCAATTTATTGCTAGGTCTCAAGTAAGCTTGGACGATTCAAGGCAAGCGTGGTTGCGAGAAGCAGAACTAAACAAGGCGATATAGCGAACAATTAAATGACAGGTTGCTACCGTTGTGCTTTATACGGGACTGTAAGTAGAGTCTCCGATTTTGTGATATGCTCTACTGCCCCTGCGCAAATAAATTTTGAACTTCCATTTTATGTTGTTTGACTAAGAGCCAATTGCCTGTATCATAAGGCCGTCACAGACTGCTACTCTGTCAAAAACATTATCGTAGCTTTCACATCTCTTCTGCTTCTGTGAAAGTCAAGAACTGACAGACAGCACAAGAGGCGGACACGGCAACCAAAGCAAGGTGGTGGGCCCACCTCGCTTCGACCTGTTCACTTGTTTACAGTCTGTCAGCAAACGCACGTATTTGCTTGACCAAAGTATTCGCACGTGCTCCACCTCACCCTTGACAATCTCCCTCGTCCCTCTTCTCCTCCTCTCCTTCTTCTCCTCCTTCTTGTCCTAACCTTCTCCAAGGTCTCTGGGAACGTAATATCCAGAATTATGGATCTTGCGGAATCTGAGCTGCGGCAGTCGCCGCCTCCTCCATATGGGGCATTTTCGTATGGCACAGAATACCAGTACGGCGAACACTACGCTAACCAGGTACCTTCGGCGATCAGTTACCAGAGAAACGATGCCGTTCCCCAATTCCCGGGTGATGTCCCGCCTTCTCCCCACGTGGCAGCAGCCAATCAAGTCCACATCAACCCGGCTCATGGACGATTCAATTCTGCATCTTCAGACGTCCCTCCTTATGCTCGAGCTAGTGCGTATGAAGATCTAACGAAGAATGGCATCCCAGATCCAACTGATCTCTTGGACAACTACTTTCCGTTTAGGGATGTTTCACTTGACCGTCCAGGCTCCACCGCGGGTGTCCTCAAGATCCTCAATGTAAGTGATCACGAACACTTCACCTGATCTCATAAATTAACGTCTAAACAGACTCCATATGATGTCACCAAGAACGAGATTGTCGCTATGCTTGGGCGTGACGCTAAAATCGCCACCTACCCATCGTCTTCAAGCTATTACGGTATCCACATCATGTTTGATCGATCCACAGGCAAGACCGGTGAGGTATTGGTAGAGCTCCAAAGTGACGAGGAAGCACAAAATGTTGCCAAGTCATTGGAACGATACTCCAGACGTACCGGGAAAGCCCGCATGTGCGGTAATCGCGTCACGTCGATTGAGGTTGTTGGACAGGAAGAGCTGATGGCGCTATTGTTTCCAAAAGCCAAGTGCTGCGGATGGATTGGTCAATATGCACATGTTCGGGATCCGAGCGAGCATGAGTCTGCGTTCGAAGGCTTCATGAACACTGAAGAGCTGCGTCAGATCGTTATGCATGCTCAAAAGCCCGGCAAGGTAAGCACGGCCAGATTTCACCATTGAGAGAGTGGCTTACAATATTACAGGGACAATTCGGCAAGAACGCGCCACAGCGACCTTATGAAGCCCTAATCTCAGTATTGCAGAAATTTCCATGGCACCAGTCAGACCATATAACTTTGGCTGAGCGCGACAATATCTTCAATACCGTCCGTGACATGGTCGGTCTTCTGGTGCGTCAGGTATGTACACAAGAGCTTTACAAAGTTTGCCTTCCTTGTTAACATTAATTAGGTCTGTCAGGAATCGAAGCACTCGGGTCAGTTCGGCTTGAAACTCAACCAGCAGCTGCTCAATGAGCTCGTGATTGTTTCTTGCAGCGAAGCCCTCTTCAATCCTGCCCAGCAACGTCATCTTCTGGATCTCACGTACGGCGAAACTCAGGTGAACTACCCTCTGCCTCGTCTCGCCAATTGGTGGCCGTTCGAAGTTCTCACCTACCGACCTGGCGTCAACGAGAAGCTTCTTGAGTACTACGCGATTCTAATCAAGCAAGCCACGACGTCTCCTGATGTCAACTCTCCAGAGGAGCTTGAACAAGTTCGTCGTATGATTCCGCTCATGGACACTCTACCTTTTGGAGCTTTCATTATGCGTTACGACGAGAATAAGTTCCTGATCGACTGCGCAGACATTGCTCGCATGGAAGAGGACATCGTGACGTATCTTATACGTCGTGTCATGGACAAAGCGGCAGATTATGGCATCTACATCCCGAATTGTCATGACATCCCCGATCCACATGCTGGACCAGATGCTATGGTGCCATGGGCCGGTGACGTCTACTGATGTACGGTGCAGTCGAGAACGCAATTCGGCATGAACATTACTTGGAGAGTTCATAAGCTCGACGTGACTTGCATCATCAGTCTTGAGAATTGGGCGAATGTGGTACGCGTTGGACATTGGACGAAGCGAATTCTAGATCACGAACTGCAACTTTTACTTTCTTCTTGGGCTTCCTGTTTTACAATACGCACTTTATATGCGTAATTGCTGGTATAACGATGCTTGACGACCTTTACGACCAATGATGGATTTGTTTGCTATGTTTGAGGGCGATGCCTTACGCACCTTAAAGACTTGACGTCGTTCCAAGATACCTCTTACGCAGCGCAGTGCCACTTCTAAGTAGAAATGAATTGAGATTCGAAAACGCTACTTGGAAGTTTGCCATTACTTCAAAACTACGTGCCCACCTGAAGAATACATAGATCTCGAGCCTTAGTGTCACGTGCGCTCTATCAGTCAGGTATGATTGGTTTTTCAGCCTTGCTCGCGCGTTCATAATCCTCTTGATTTGATCCCACCCTACCAAACACACGACAGCAGTCAACAAACATTGACAGTCACCACATCAGGGTTGTCACGAGGTAGCAAATATAATATGAATGATACGTTTCTCAATTTGCATAGAAATTCGTAAGGTTTGTTCATCGTACCCCGCGCTCGTCACGCAAAAGGCCTCTACCTTGTCTTGTACTTCCCTAGATATCTTTACTAACAGGCTAGAGCCAGCTTACAGATACGCCGGGGATCTGAAAGTTAACAGCTTAATTCAGAATTCTACCGTACTCTGTATGCAGTTTTAAAAAGATAGGAAGAGTATCAATCGGAGTCTTTTAGAGGAGGAGGAGGAGTCATTACACGAGACAAAGCCATCGAAGGCCACTCAGGATACTAGTAGGAATTGAGGATCAGCGGTGCAGACAACATCATGGCTCCAAATGCGACATCGTCTTTCATCATCCGGTTCTACGACCCGGAAATTCGTGCACCGGACACAAAGGACCGTGATCTTGACGATATATTGGAGCAGAGCGATCAATGGTTTGAAGCATGCCATGACTACGTTCAGATTCTGTTTCCACTCCCGGAAGAATCCATGTTCAACTATTTCGCTCCAACAATTGAGCGAGACACTTTTGATGGGTTTCGCAGTCGCCCCGAGCTACGTGCGGAGATGAGAAAGGCGTTCACGAGGATGCTTGCATTCTATGGCTTCGAACTACACATTGCCTCAAGGGCAGAATCTGGGCCCCATGATTCTATCACAACGAAAGTCACTGAGCAACCTGATAACACAGCAGACAATCAGAAGCATGAAAAGACAGAAGTCGTCTCCGACACCAAAACCAACACCAACGACGAGGATATCACGATCGTGAAGGCCCCGACATCCGCGCGTCGATTCCAGAACTGGGTCATGCGATTCAACCACAACCATCTCCGGATCACGCGCATACTACGCAGTCTACGAGTACTGGGTCTCACGAAAGAAGCTGACGCATTCTTCGCGGCCCTGGAAAGCGTACAGGCTGAGCGCGGAAAGTTTAGTGATACTAGTCTGAAGTACTGGCGCCGCGCTGTCGAGCAACCTCTATGGGTCGCCCCAGATGGCGAGAAAATCGGATGGCTTCAAGGTCTTGAGGACGAATCACAATGAGGCTTCACTACTCGGAAAGGTGTGCTCGGGCTTCGCTGGGTTTTCACAGCTGCAAAGACTAGCCTGGAGCGAAGAATACGGAGTAGTGGTGATAGGACGTAGTGTTTAGATGGTATAGCAGAGCAGTCTACGGTGGTGATCATTACTGCCAGCCTTATTTGAGGCACGAAAAGATATTCGAGGATTTTGCACCTACCAAAAGATATAGAAGGGTATACACCCCCATGAAAGAGCCTCAGCAGGCCTATACTATCAAATCTTGACAAAACGCCACAAGCACGTGTGTTTACATTTGCTCCTGTAGTAATATCCTGAGAACGCTAGCTACGCAAATAAATAGGGGTAGTCTCGCTATGTAGCCACAACAGCAACCACATCCTCCACACAATCCAAAGTCTACAGCTACACAAGCCTGGTCCAGAGAATGACTATACACATCACACTTGCATGCAAAACGCGGAGAATCGCGTATCTGGCTCTCTCCAGAGTGAAAAGAGCATTCCTGCAGCCACGTTCTCGTCCAGCTCACAGCTCTGCAAGCCATACGTGGCAACAATAGCCTGGCCTCGGTAACTGGCCTCTGAGGGACAAAGGCGTGTCTGTATGCTCACTTCCAGGACTTTAACGCTATCACTATGAGTCTCGGGTTTGGTCTGGCTGTAAATAGCCATGATGCACTTGTTGCGAGCAGGTATGATGGCTGGATGGTGAGCTCTTTGTACGAGAGGTGGCGAGGGGCCACCCTTAATTTTCTTCCACGAGGTTCAATATATCTTGTTGATTAAGCTGTAGCATAGAGTATTCAATCTGGCTATCTCCCACGCCCGCAACGAGACTCTCGAATAAAGTAAGGAGTGTACACTGATTCTTCTCGTTGACATTCCTCCTGAAATTACGTTTCGCAGGTCACATCTGTTATGACGGCAAATCATGCCCTGTTCCATCCAAGACATACATAGTATACTGGCATGGCACATGCTTACCAGTCACGCAACACGACTCTTCACACCTCAAGAGTTGATACGTTCTAGACGCCGGAGTCATCCTGGAAGTGCTTCGGATGCTGATAATCCCACAGGTTCATGGGATTGCTGAACCACTCGTCCCAATTCTCACAACGCTCTCTGATATCAGCCTCGTCCTTTGCGAAGGTCTCATGGATCTTGTGCCTGTTTTCGATGATCTGTATAGCCAGGCCAGACGACGCGTGGAACGCGATGTGGCAGTGGAAGATCCAGGTCCCTGAGTAAAATTAGCGTCATCCATATCTTCAATATGGAACTGTACGCTTAGACATACCTGGGTTGTCCGCCTTAAAGGCGATAATCACGAATCCTCCCGCCGGCAGTAGGATGACATCGCGCCGAGCCGGATTGTTACAGTCGATATATTCGTTGTCGCAGTTCATCTTCTCTGGCGTGAAGCGTTCGCCCCAGCCCGGAATCTTGCCACCTGGTGAGGAGTCGTCGTCGTCCCAGGGGTGATCTGTCTGGAATAAGACAGCAAAGTCATGGCCGTGGAGATGCATCGGGTGAGCAGCAGGGAAGAAACTCCGCTCGCCACCGCCACTAGGGATCGCGTAACCAGTGATCACCATCCAGATCCATTGGTCGCTTTCTTCCTCGTCTATTGTTATGATGTCGAGATAGGGGCGGTCGATAATACTGTCGTATTTGTCGAGTTGGAGGATGGTGGGCTCGCTGAAGTTGATGCGGAATGGAGCGGTATGCATGGCCCATCGGCTCTGGAAGCAGGAATTAGACGGCTCTACTGAATCATGTGGTAGCTTGTCTCACCAATTCCTCCTCGGGTACATATGGCGGACCGCTAGACTTCGAAATACCAACATCGAACTTGTACTGCTTGTGGTTCGGCAAAGTTGCCAAGTCCATACCAGGTTCTAATCACATCAGAATATGTAAACAGCATGTCACCATGGCTACCTACTGATGTTGACTGGATCTTTTACCTGCCATTCATGCCATGGTACGAGCTTGTCCTTGTGTTCGTCTGCACAACTTGTGTCGATTCCGCCCTCGGGCTCTGAGAACGATATAGTGTTGCGGCTTTCTTTGGGATTATAACGAATGATTCCAGACTGCTCGTCCGGGCCGAAAGCAAACTTGCTACACTTTCGAAGGGGAATGGTTCTGATCCAATAATTGCCGGCTCGCTCTTTTTCGTAAGGCTTGTCATGGCCCTTAACAATGATGTGGTAGCGTTGACCTAAGTATGTTCAGCCTCATCGATCCGTGATTCCCTTTTGATACATACCAATGCCGACCTTGATATTGTCTGTTGTGTATGGCTTTATGGGTACAAAATCTGCCTCAATAACGGTGAAATTATGATGATCAATGGAGAAAGAGAAGGCTGTGTCCACAGCAGTGTTGATGAGAATCAGTTTATGTGTTGTACCGGCTGTGAAGTTGAGCTGGTACTTGTCCTCGACCTTACTCCCAGGTCCAAATTGACCAGTACCATTGAGAAGGATGTTGGTCATCTCAGGAGCAGTCCCCTTGACTAACAGATTCGGCCAGTCCTCGAAGACACTCCGATGATTCCAGTCAGTCATTAATATCGGCCGGAAGGACTGGTCTTCATCGAAGTCTGCTGTCGATGGGCCGTAGATCGTGATTGGTCCTAGCATGCCATCGCCTGTTGTTTGTGATCATTAGTGGCTTTCACAGAAGACGTGTTCTTTTGCTAGGACCTTACCGTATTGCAGTGAGTAATGAGAATGATACCACGCTGAACCATATTGCATGGCCTTGAATCGATACGTGAAACTATCACCAGGTGCTATGGGACACTCTGTGATACCATTGACACCATCCATATGGCTATTCCGAAGCTGGCGAAATCCATGCCAATGCACAGAAGTACCATTCCAGCGGAGACCATTCCGTACCTCAACTTCGATGGTGTCTCCCCAGCAAGCCTCTATATCGAATCATTATCAGCCATCTAGAGACTACCAGTATGGGTTTGGCTACAAAAAACAACAAGACATGAGAGAAGATTGTAGGCAGAACGACTATCACTACGCTGTCTCAGGGAGAAAGATGTATATCCGTGACGGGAAGTCTTGCAGTAGTCTTCTACAAAAGTGAAATGCCGAACTTACCAATCCAAGGGCCCGGATATGTCCTATTGAATACTTTGCCAAACTCTAATGTCATACGGTCTGGTGATATTGGTTGCTCCCCAACATCAAGAATGAACTATCGTTGTATGAGAACAGCGGATGGTCGCAGGTTACACTGTACTGACCTTTCGTAGGATGCCAGTTGGAATCTCAGATTCATCTTCGTAGTCCGTGTCGATGCCATACTCGAAACCAGCATCATTGCGAAGCCAGCAGTTTCGACTTTGTGGTGTGTAGCAGCTCTTGAAACCCTTATCCTTAAGACTTGGGTATTGGCATTTGAGATGACTGGGTCCTTCGTCGGCATGTTTCGGTGCTATCACTACAGGTGTGCCATCCTGAAGCATGTAGATTTTACTATCATCACGACCCTCATCGGAGTCAAGGGTGATGACTTCAACGTCTAGAGGCTTGAAATGAGGATGAGGAGGTCGCACAATAGCAGGCTTGATATGAGGCTCGACGAGTTGCTGCAGAGGGGCTTGACCATCTCCAGGCGAAGATCCAAGGGAGAAGATATCAAAGTAGTAAACAATTGTCGTCCACACTGCATTGAGCTTCATAGTGTCAATACTCTTGAGGCGAAGCGTGGAAGCCTCCTAGAGAGTTGAGGAGTCGTGAGACTGTTAACACCAGTATTTAGCCTTGATGACTCGCAGCTTTTCAAGAATTCCATCACGATAACCCAATCTTCGCGATCGAGACATCTCGCATCTTTAGCACCAATGGGAGGAGGACAGCGTGGATCTGAAGCGCTATCATGCATGGTCATCCCGCCGGGCTTCCCGTATCCAGCTGCCCGCTCGTGCATGTGGATGAGTTAGTCGAGATCGAATACGCCTCATGGTTATAGATCGGGGAGGGGTCGACCTAAGACTGAAAGCTGATACTGATGCTACCGTTACTGTGACTTTTCTGCTGAGGAAGCGAGTAGGAAGACCGTTCAGATGAGGGTGACGCTGTACAGCATGTCTATATAATTAAATGCTAAAAGACTAGAGCATTTTATCGCAAGTATGAGTCGAAATGAGCATATTATTTTGTTTCTGAGCTTCGAACAGCCCGCCGCTCATGATAGTTGTCCGTATCAATGGGTGAACCGAAAAGGGTAAAGATCCAACACAGGACGTGTGCGTGGCTGGCTGGCTTGAGGTCCATGATAACTGTAGCTGCGGCTGCAGCCGCACCCAATCACGGGATTTAGGCGATGCATGGAGGATTCAGGATGCATGAGCTTCTGAATTGTTCAGCTGCGCCTTTGAAGAAAAGCCATGATCGTGGCCTTTATATCATGGTTGACTTCGTAGTTCGAAGCACACCAGCCTGAGAACAGCGAAGCTCGAACAAATCGGACCATTTGAGAAAGTACACAGAACTTTTTCAATTCCCATATACAGACTGTACCCTTCAGCGTAACACCGCGCATATCCTGTCAATGTGTGCTTGCGTGGCCGATCTTCTTGCAAGATTGACTATTCCATAGGTAGGCAAGCCAACTGCACGATCGCTAATCCTCGCTCTTGATCAGATGTGACCATAGCTAATTGAGAAGCACTTATTTCGGGTGATGTTGATCTCCCACGACTATCATTCTTTGCAAGAAGCTTTGCTGGCCAAAAGATTGCAGAAGGTGGTAAGCCAAGATCCCAGGATAAGTCGACCTTAGGCTATGTAAGTCGATGACGACTACAGGATACTATTGAACAATTGGTAGCGGCCATGGTAATGGATGCCAAACGTATGTAACATGACCTCCATCGGATCGTGATGCATGATAAGGAATGCATGTATCTTCTCAAGCCCATCCTATACGAGTCTGATCCTTCGAAATAGGCTGGATTGTTTCGCTCCGAGGAGGGCATAAATTCAAATACTGGATGTACTAAATGGCTATACCAGAACTCCATCAATCAGTGTGATTTAATAGTAAGTAAATCGACGGCTCACTAATCTGCATACATCGTACTTGCAGTAGCGGCAGGTTTCCCTCAGTTTGTGGAGTTTGATCTAGTCACTTTGCTCTGCATTCACAGCAAGAAGCAGATCTCAGTGTCTGACCAATTCCACGAGCCAGGCTTCTTTTACGTCATTCCTTGCAACGCATGCTCTACCGGAACGGACAGTTGACCAGTGTACTGTTTACTACGGCTGCAGATTCCCGTAGCAGGACAGACATTCAATATTGAAGAATTCTTGGTTGAGAATTGCGAGCCCGGGTGCCGGAAAATTGAGTGAAAATGGAGATTCAGTTCTCATAATTCATTCTGTATCTGTAGCGTGAAGACGACACTAGACTACTCGGTCCAAGAGTTCGATGAAGGGATTCCGCCACCATCTTTGGCGTCCAGAAAGAATATGCCTTCGGTGCGTTCTTGTTGATCTCCAACAACAAATATGCCGTCGAAAAATACCGGGATTTCCATGCGGAGCTCGTCTGTGGAGATCAGGACATCGTTTAACTAAAAGCCCCTGAAAATACCGAAAAATTAAGGGGTTCCTCATCGTGTCTCTACACGTGTCGTTAAAGGCAGTTGAGAAAGCGGCCATAATTAGCTATGATAAGAATCAGACGAAAGAGTAAGAGTCGAGCTAATCCTTGGGGAAAGGATTTGCGCCTGCTAAAGGAGGTGGATATAGTAGCTTTGGACACGAGGTTGACAGAGTATCAACGATAGAAATGATCTTGTCGTAGTACTATCAACACAATCCAGCCTCTCGCAAAAAGAGTATTGTAACGGCCGGTATAACCATGATAGCTTACCCTATTCGATAAGCTCTGGTCCCACACGGCGCGGTCGACGAGTATCGTCGAACCCGCCGAAACAATGAGACGTGAGATATCTGATGAAACATGAAATTCAACAGAGAAAGGGGAAGAAGTAGTACTACCTTACCAGCCTGGCAGCCTCAGGCATAAACACGGTCTACCCCAGATAGGCTAGCCCCAAATCCGGCATACCCCACAAACCGGGCCATAGTTCAATTGCCGCTTCCCCGCATATTCGGCCGGATCGTGCGAACACCGCATCGAGATGACGAACACCGCACAAGCAAGCAGCCAGAACAAGTCGTTTGAAGCATCCTATTCCCAGTGATGATACTCTTCAATTAGACTACTCTGACGGAGTAAGACTTTGTGATATCATATCTCAATGAGAATAGATATGTAGACATGAGGCACTCACTCAATGATCGTCCAAAGTCCTGGCGGTATCTTACTCCTCACGAGACCCCTGTTGTACAGGAGGACTACTCCTACTGTTGACAGGTTCAGGGTTGCACTGCAGGCGGTGTTCGTGCCGGTGGAACAGCTTCAAATAGCGTGCCATGCCCGTTTGATATTTTCGAACCGACCTTTTTTTTGTGTTTGTGTTGACAACAGCCCACCCGGCCGCCCGCACACATCAAAATTGAGACCGTACCCAAAAAACCGTCCTGATTGTTGCAAAACATGGGCTTCAAGACGACGCTATTCTTGTTCTCTGCGTGCCTGGCGCTCTTCATGCAGCACAGTGCTGCGTATCTTGATCAGAATGGCAAAGTCGTGGTTCCTGCTGCGTCGTCGTATAATGGCCTCAGTTTGACGCCGCGTATGGGGTTTAATAATTGGAACGCTTGTATGTTTTTTTTGGTGTTGTAGTAGTTGTTCGATACTGACGCGCTTCATTCAGTTCACTGCGATGTCAACGAAACACTGCTCTTGAGCACGGCGAAAGCGATGGTCGACTATGGCCTGCGAGATCTTGGCTATGATCATATTATTCTTGATGATTGCTGGTCTGTTGGTCGTAATGAGACTGGATACCTTGTGTCCAACGGTGAGTTCCGTGGTTGTCCCCAATGTTGCACCTAAGCTCACATATCGCCACAGACAAGAAGTTCCCTAATGGCATGAAGTACGTCGTGGACACGATCCACAGCATGGGTATGAAATTCGGCATCTATTCCTCTGCAGGAACATTCACCTGCGGCAAATACCCCGGCTCTCTGGGCTACGAGCAGAAGGACGCAGACTACTGGGCCGAGATAGGCGTCGATTACCTCAAGTACGACAACTGCTTCAACCAAGGCCAGTCCGGCACGCCCAAACTATCATTCGACCGGTACAAAGTCATGTCCGACGCCCTGAACAAGACCGGCCGCCCGATCGTATACGCAATGTGCAACTGGGGCAACGACGACCCCTACGACTGGGCCTACGACATCGCAAACAGCGGCCGCATGTCCGGCGACATCTACGACTCCTTCAACCGCCCGGACGAGCGCTGCCCCTGCACCTCCGCCATCGGCTGCCGCTGGCCAGGCTTCCACTGCTCCGTCATGAACATCCTCAACAAAATGGCCGCCATCACCTCGCGCACCATGTCCGGCTACTTCAACGACATGGACATGCTCGAGGTCGGCAACGGCGGCCAGTCCGACGGCGAATACGTCATCCACTTCTCCATGTGGGCGCTACACTCCTCGCCCCTGCTCATCGGCACAAACGTCCTCACCCTCTCGCCCGCCAACCTTGCCATCTACGCCAACCCGGCCGTCATCGCGCTGAACCAGGACCCGTCCGCCGGCGCGGCCGTGCTGAAGTGGCGCTACGAGCTGCATCCGGACGCGTTCGGACAGGGCGAAATCGCCCTCTGGACCCGCGGCCTCAATAACTCCGACCAGGCCGTCGCGCTCATCAATGCCTCGGACGAGGATATGACGCTGAACATGACGCTGAGCGATATCCTGCTCGACTCGTGGACGGCGGGCGCGTATAAGCGGCCGGCGGAGCTCGATATGGTGTGGGATGTGTATGATCTCTGGGGGAATCGGATGAGCGAGAGTCAAGCTGGGAGTATCATCAATAGTACTGCGCTGAGCATGCCGGTTGGGGTGAATGGAACGTTGACGCGGTACAATGCGACGGCGACGAGTTATGCGGCCGGGATTATGAACCGTGATGTGGCGCTCATGGGGAAGCATGTTGGGACCATTGGACCGGATAGGACGCCCAAGGGCACGTTCACGGCTGATATACCGCGGCACTCGTTGGGGTTATATCGTTTGGTATTGAGGGAGGATGAGAGCTTGAGGAACACAGATGAGCTATGAACCGAGCTGGGAGCTACTTGTCCAGCTGCTAACCACTGTAGCTAGAAGCACTCAATATCTAAGTAACGGATAACTTTTGCTGCAGACTAGTTATGATGCATATGCATTTCGACGCGGTGTGTCGCTAACGCCGCATATGTGAGTGAATCCGCGACCAGGGCTCCTTTCCGAACAGGTGAAAATCAACAGTTAGCCAAGTCGTACACCAGACTTGATAAATGACTAGACTTGAATATGGGATAGATGAGGGAGAAATATATCAGCATTAAATCGAGAAGTCAGACGTCAGGAGCCAGAAGTCAACGCCAGCGAAAATAGAACAGCCAAATTGTGAAAACCTCTGCCAGTGCATAAAATGTGATCAGACGAAAGATCACAAATCAGTACGCACCACTGATCGACTTAATCCGAAAAACTTCATATCACATATAATACTCAGTACAATGGCCACGCCCACTGCGTCGCGCCAAGCTAACTAGACTACCTACTTGCCTTCTTCCATACCAATAACCTCCGCCCTCACGCGCCTCCCCCTTTACATCTCAACGATAGGCACCAGCACAGAAGCTCGAAATAGACGCTTCGGCATGGAACGCTGTGTTTTCAAATGACTTACTCCAGATCTTCAATGCAGTGTCAAAGGACTCCATCCGCCCATTCGCCGGCTAGGCTGCGACTAGCTGAAGATCCTTTGGAACATGCACACACACACTCCGAAAATGACAAACTCAGACGACGCAAGAAGTTGACTAAATGAAGGAAGATAGTGGTAGGTATATGGGAGGGTGTGTGAGGAAAATTTACAGATGGGGTGGGGAGTGGTATCAAGTTGGGAGAGTTTGGTGCCACTAATGGTGTTTGTGTTGAGAGGATCATCTATAGGATGTCTTCCCACATGCCTGGACCGGGCTGGCGGCTCATGAAGAGCGTTGCTTCGCTGGCACAAGTCCGCTTGCGACCTAGGTCCTTCTGTATTGGAACACGACGTTCATGCATAGACAATGATGAAGGTGATTGCGTTTGCTTGCTCTCAAAGTCAATTGCAGGGGTGGAATTGCGTTGGAGGGCAAAGCTCTTCGCGACAGTGCGGTCGGGAAGCACGGTGGTGACGGGAGTCGGAGTTGCGAGCTGCTCTCGTACATTCTGGTGCAAATCAAGAGATTCCCTAGCACGCTTCCGGCTGCTAGAACCAAGATCATAGGCTGACACAGACCTTGTAGGGGTCTTCAGTACCCAGTCATCATCCACATATCGAGTATCCGGGCAAGGTGACGGCATCTCGCTGATAGCATCCTGAGGACTCACACTTCGCCTAAGAACGGGAACTTGATAGGGCAGTCTGACGTTGCGGCAAGTCGCCATACGGGCCAAGTTGGCCTGATTCGGCGCCCAGCCAGCGGATGAGACAGACGAAATTGATGAGGCTCGAGACGATCGACTGGAATTGTCGGATACCATAGACTCTGGAGAGGAAGACAGTGAGCCTGAACATGTGATAGAAGGCCTTCGGAAAGTAGGAAACGGCCACTCCGTGATGGAGCGTGCATTTGACACACTCTGAGCTTGAGCCATTGCCGAGCACATTGATGGACGTCTTGATCCAAACGTCATCCCACTCGCTGCAGGAGCGGACGACGCTATAGATTGCGGGGTCATCAACGGTGTCGGTAGTAGGCCGGTGCGAAGTAGCGTTGGAGTCGGTGGCAGCATCTCAGGTTTGGGTTCCAGGAAGCGCGGAAGCTTGGTCTCGATAGGCGTTGACATTGCTTCCTGTGGGCTAAACCCGAGAGGTGATCGAGGCAGGGGTAACTTCTCCGACGTAGTTATGCGCTCGGATGTCCGAGGCGCAAAGCATACTTTGTCCAGGTCGGGGGTCAGTTGAGGCATGACAGCTCTCCAAGAGTTGAAGAGGGCACATCCTCCAGGGGAAGGGGGGTGTCCCGGAGTATGATCGAAGACAACTCGTTGCCATCGTTCGAAAACAGCATCGGTGATGTGGAGCTTCCACTTGACAGCTTCTAAGAAAGCCATTTCGTTCGTGTTGATTTCACAGACTTTGAGGCCAGATATTTTACTCCAAGCACGAGACGAGAAATTGCGATCTTGCAAGTACTTTGAGGCGAGTATCAAAGCAGCGAGAAACATGCGCCTACCACATTGCAAGGAACGCCAAGCGTGGTCGTCCGTACGTTGCTCCATTGTAAAATCGGTAGCAGGGACGTGAGGCTTGATCAAAATCAAGTAGTACAGAGCCACCTGGAGGGTGGAGTAGCTGGTACGCGACCTACGTAGGGTCTCTTGTATAAAGGTACGTAGCGGAAGAACGCCCTTACCAGTGCGCTCATCCAATGGACAAGCTGGCACAGAGAGGGGCCATATTACTTCCACAATTTGTGTTGCAGAGACTTTGAAGGGTGATATCTTAGCGAATGACAAGAAAAGAGAACTAAATATGCTCACCGACTAGGCTATCTACAAAGCTGACCTTACGCTCGCTTTGTCGTACGAGTGTAGGCGGCGGACGAGAACTGATAGATGATCTACGTGGGTGCTGGCGTTGCTCGACTGAGAGGGGGAGTCCAGATGTGATTAACGAAGGTAGATTGGTCGAGGTATTGCTGCGCCGGACAGAGGACGTCTGCGATTGTGGAAACGTGCTAACACGAGCAAGCGGCTGGTTCCACGCGTTTTTAGCCCAGGAGTCTGTGTAAGTCTGGCTGGACTGTGTAGAGCTGGCAGATGAATCCTGAGACCGCGCGTCGTCGGAGAAGACTGAGGAAGAGGAGGAAGAAGCTGAGGAAGCTAGTGAGGAGGCGTAGGGATAACTGGTGGGGTTTGCACACGACGATCGAAGATCGAGACTCATCATGGCGGGTATATGAGTATATGAGTATATGAAAAAGAAAGGCGCGTAAAATGATAAGATGGAAGGTATCAGGTCAAATATCGAGAGAACTGGAGGAGTATTGGGAGAGAAATATCGAGTGCTGATGGTTGAAGCTCGAGTTGACTGGGGTTGCTCCAGTCAAAAGCTCACCACAGTAATACCAATGAGAGCTAGCGAGAATAGACCGTAGACAAAACGTTCGTGACCGAGATCCAACAGTAGATGAGCTACTGTAATCCTAACTCGGTAGATGGAAGTCTTGTGAAGAAGATCTAAATCATAGAGGCTTCGTATTCGAAAGTCTTGGTCTCGGTAGCAATGGTATATACTGGGCGGCTGTTGACTGAAGGTTCGGAGTGTGGTGAATCAACCATCGTGACAGGGTCGGTGATCTGGAAAGAAGAAGATGCTTAGATGGTGACCGTAACAGAGTCTCCAAATGCACACGACTGCTTTCGCAGAAAGTCGGCGAGAGTTGAATGATGTAGTGGTATGAGAGTATTCGGAATTGTAGTATTGCGTTGAGAATGTTATGCAGGTACGGCAGGTAATATGTTGGGAGGGCGATATCGCGATCGAGTGAACGAGGCAAAAGTCGCAGAAGACTGGCGGTGGCGGATGGGTATGAGTGGGTAAGAGCCACAAGAGAGAGTGGCAAGTAATATAACAAGGTCGTATGAGTGAATGACTGCTGGTATGAGTCTTTGTGCAGGCTCCCACACAGCAGGCAGAGGCGTTTGGCAGCAAACAACGGTACGCGGACGTGAGACAAAGCTGGACTGTTGGCTAGTAGGTGGAATGTAGGTAGACCTGACGGAACGAGGACCGAACGAGAAGGATAAGCTGAGAGGAGATTGGTGAAGATAGACAAAGAAGTGAGAGGAGATGGACGACAACAAGCTCTGGCTGCTTCGATAGACGACTTTCGAGTGCTCGTGGTAATGGTATTGGTATTAGATGCCGTGAGGCTCGAAGGTTGACGTCGAAGGGGCCATCGTCGCTTGCTTGGAGACGAGAAGGTGTGTGTATGGGCGGCGGCCGCTGTGGTTTTGATGATGGCGCGAGGACACGGGCGATGACTCCGCTTCCTTCCCACACCAAACTCCAAAGGGGAAGCAAAGGGCACACACGCACATACACGCACACACACACTCGCACAAGCCCTCCTCCCTCTCTCACACTCCCCAGTGCTGCCCGGTCCGGTCAGGCTTTTTGCCCCTCGACAGCGCCCGCACCCACTCAATTCCCAGCATTTCGCATTACCCTCCACTCCTCCAACCAATCCTCCACCACTTACCACTCATCACTCGCCATTCATGCTGTCTAATTATTGCCTCCTTTCGAGTCACCCAGAGCAGAGTGGCCAGCATCATTTCGTGCTACGTCTTCCTCATCGTTTGGCCACCCGTATTAAAATTGCATCACGCTAACATCGTACTCATCAATGTAGCCAAACGTTCACCTCTGTCACTTAACCTCAAGTAGTCCACCTACGCCGTCCATCCTGCGAACGTGACACACCTCACACCATTCGCAAGGCCGCACAGCCTGGAGGCATAAAGTGACAGGTGGAAAGCGCAGGCATCCCTCCATGGGTCGTCTGTCGCATAGCTTCGTCGTGTCGCGTTCGCGCGTAAGTGATGAGTGATGAGCCCCCCCTAGCAAAGCCAGCCTCCGATCATCCCATCCCGCCAGCGCCAAACTTGTAACGAGGCAATGCTGCAACAAATGATTATGCACTTTGGGGCTGAGACAACTGTCGAGAACGCCTAATTACAACTGGATCAACGTTCCAAGCCTCGCCACAGCTGCCTGGCCGCAGTTCTTGCCATTGCTCTTCTTTTGCAGCGCGTCGTGAGCTCTTCAATTCTTGAGTAGTGAACGATATCTGAACGAGAGATTGCGGACATCCATGCTCGTATCGCCAATTCATGTATGCTTGCGATGCTGCAGCCTGTTGAGACACAGATGAGCTCTTGGGCCAATCACCAGCCCAGCAGTAAGCTGGCCTTTGCTGCTTTAGCCCCAAACTACAGCGGGCGCCCAGACTATTTAGCCAAGTATGGCTCTATAAATCGCTGAAATGTCCGTTAATTAGTCCTATTCAGGAAGCCTTCATCTCCTCCAAGGGGTATTATCGGCTAGTTGAGTCACCAGGGGGAGCGTCAACCGTGAACAAGGCCGACCTGCCTTTTCGCGGCCGTGTTCCTGCACTGGCGACATGGCTCGATTGCGCGCTTGCATGCTAATGAAACTAATAGTCACCAGGGAGAGCAAATTTCTCGTAAGAACATGCGACCACACCATATCGCGACAGCAACGAGGAGCAGTGGCGAGACGCTTCGCAAAGAACGTCTGGAAGAGCCGGAGACTCAGCAAGGTCAGCCCATCCTTCTGCCGATGACTCGCATGCTGGCGAGCCCCGCAGGATTGCCATATTCGAAGCCTTCAGCTGCTCATCATTCGCTCGGTAATGTGCTGCTAGTACTTGGTTGGTCAGAGGGGCGTTGTACGAAACCAAAAAGAGACAGTAATTATCATTTGCCTCCATGCTGACCCACATAAGCCTTCCGGACCACGATGGACATGGCCGCAGCTAGATGTTAGTACGGAAGATGGATGGCGATGAACGTCAACGTCGACATATCCACAAGCCACGGTCATCAGCTGGAGCCGTGCAGAGTCCCGTGACGCGCATACCAAGGGACTTTCCAGCTTGCCCTTCAGCTTGAGCTAAACTGTTGAACGAAGCTGAAGACGATGTTATCGTGAAGCGCCTTCACAGTTGCATCGTCAGATGTCGATGAGATTGGGCGGGTCCGGTATCGGTACAGTCATCAGCCAGCTGGACGGCGTCATCCAGCCCAAGCTAGACCGGACTCGGCGGGTAGTATGGATACCTACGTTGCGTTACTCAGACGCCCGCCTCGCCACACATCCATCTCACTCATCAAAGGCCCCCATACAACGACACTGTAGACATTTCAAAACCTGGAGCATTGAACAATCGTTGCGTCGCACTCAAACTAATAAACTTCAGAAAGAAGCTGTGACTGTGGCTTTACCTGCTCACGCCGGCCTTATCCGCCACTTTATTTCATCCTCACTGAACGGGTAAAGTCGGCTATGTTCCATATCACACCGCTTCAAGTCTCGGCGATGATTCACACTGGCTCAAGCTTAGTAGATGCCACCGCGAGAGAGGAGGCCTTGAGCCTTCCCAAATCGGAAACAAGTAAAACATTCATAACTGTTTTCATGCACACGTAACAAACAAGGCGGTGGCTCATCTTCACCTCAAATTTTGACGTCGTGGCCGTTAGTCCTTTGTTGATTCATATACAACAGCATATATGTGTCATAAAAATCATACAACTTTGGTTTTCCAGATAGTGTCCGGCAAAGAACACGGTTATGGAACTCTTCAAAGCGCCCGGTCACTCGTCGCCCCAAATCTTGCTCCGTGTCTCACGACGATGAGTCACACAAAATCGAACACAAGTTCCACCGCGAACAATGTGCGCCTATTCTTGATCCTAGGCTCGACACGCGTGATCGCGATGGTATGGGTTGCTAGAGGCAGCCAGCATAGTCTGTCAGATTGTGCCACCCACGCGGACACGCGACGCCACGTCTGTCTTCATAGCATGGTCAATGATCCCAGCAATACCCCGTGGCGACGGCAACATGCATCGAAAGATGACATCAGCGCGTGAAATGCGGTCCATGCCAGAAGATACATTCTCCTCCAACACTTGGGTGGCATCAGCGAGTCTTGGCCTGATCTTCGGGGAGTAGAAGCTTGGTGTAGAATTGGAGCCTGGGAAGCAAGCAGGACAGATCACTTACTCCGTGGCAGCCTCCACTGAAGGTGAGTCGCTGTAGTCATTTGTGGAAGGTTGGACCCGTTGTGTTCGCAATACTGCAGGCAAAACGACCTTCTTCCAGATTTTTTAGCAAGTTTGGTGTGAGTGACATTTCGTTCATATCCTTCATCCAATCGATGCTCTAAGTGGTCGTGGTATGAGCGCAGGCTCTACACGTACGCCACTCAAGTCAAAATTTGCAAGGTCTCCAGACTGGGGTTCCGATGTATCTAGACGATCCAACCACTGCGTCTTCATTCCCGAGAACGCAGTATCACTTGCGACTTTAGGTTCCATGTACCACTTCATCGTGGGTGGAAGATTTGGGTACAGTTTTCGTGCTGTCGCCTCGACATTGAGCCACTGTAGCTCTAACATATGTGCCTCCTCATTGAATCTAGCAGCTTCCTCTCGGTCCACAGTCAAACAAGAGATAATCTTGTCCACGGTCATCATGTTCAGGACAAAGATGCTGTTCAAGTTGGCCGGTAAAGACACTAGGCGATCCAGGAGCCTCACAGGCACTGTTACCCACGAGCTCGATATGCTTTTAGGATCGAGTTTGCCATATGCATCGAACCATTCAAGCAGCCCTTTTCGCTGTTTCTGGACGCGCTGAAGTATTCCGACAAATCGGTCTGGCGGTGCCCCGTCCTGTATAAAGTCTGCTATACCACGAAGCAGGTTGGGCATTTCAGCTCCGAATGTGAACAGGGAGAACCACGCTGCTTCGGAAGGCTCATCCTCCAGCTCAGCGCATTCGAGGAACAACTTTCGCCATCGTGAAGTACCAAAGAAGCAACTCTGACGTGGGTTCACCAGTGCTTCGATCGGCTATAGTTAATTTTAGCGAGGGTCAACGACTAGAACAGGATCGTCGATCACTTACCACTGACATCGCTTGCGCTCGCAGTATGGCTCGATCGAATGATGTGCTATAATGCTCCGGGCCCCTCGACTCAAGTAATCGTATAGTCCCGGTCCTATGTCGGTTCCAGCCATCCGAGATATACCTTTGACCAGGGGCAAGCAACTGCGATGCACATGATCAGCCAATGCTTCAAATGTCAGCTCTGGTCTAATCACCTCAAACATTGCCAGTAAGTGTGAAGCATATAGCACATTAGTATTCATCCAACCACCAGGTGACTCGATCGCGTTCTGCAAGCTCCGCAGTGCTTTTCCATACAATCTCCAGACAACAACCTCATTTACGGTCCCAGCAATACGTTGATTCAGTCGAGCAGAGACGCAACGGATAGCATCATCAAGATACTCACAATACCCATAGTGACTTGGAAGATGCCTCAGCCACGATTCTGAGTGTCCTTGACTCAATACCTCCGAGATTCGACCGGGTCTTTTGTTCAATGAATCGAACGCGAATAACCCGACATCAAGCTCTCCAAGCACGGCAAGACTGACAATGTCCACCCCAAACTCGTTCCTAAGAGCAGCGTAATCCGTCACGCTGAGAGTTAGAAGAGGATCCAGTGCCATTTCAAACTCTTGCTCCTGGTCTTCACGTAGGTGATGTACGAGAGGCTTTCTTTTTCGCTTGACTTGCTTTGACTTGAACGCTCCTTGCTCAGTTGCAAGCCATCGATGCGTTTCGCAGGCTTTTGTTAGTGATGGAACTTTCTTAGTAGCGACTTGTAGATTTGTCTTGTCTCGGCCGCGATAAGCTACGACCATGGCTTGTCGGCGCACGCGGAACATGGCGTCCGGGTCGAGTCGACGGACAGCAGCATCCTTTGGATTGACAGACACGAATTCGAATGTTGGCGTTGACTTCGGTGGCATCTTGCAATATGCGTCGACGCTCGTGGCTTAAATTCGGTGTGAGCTGCTAGATTGAAGGAGGTTCTTCTTCTGTCACTGTTTGTTTGTATTGCGAATACAGGGTTGACCACTCTGGCGCACAGCTTTGGCGCACAGCTTTGGCGCACAGCTTTGGCGCACAGCTTTGCATACCACCCTCACAATCAAGGGTGAGTAAAGATGTCGGAAGATCAGCAGCACAAACCGTGTGCGGCTTCAAGCGTTTTGTTCAAGTGCAGGCGCAAGCAGCTGTCCAGTCCAGCAGAAGACCCCACAGCACACACACACTATTACCCCTTGAGATCGTTCACGCTACTTTGTCAGCGTGCCCATCGATATCCTACTGTTAGCGCGTTCACGAATGAAAAGCTTGTGCTTCTTTTTATAAATTGAGGCTGAAAATGTGTGTATTGTATCTTCTATGCATTTTCTATTGGAAGGACTGCTGATCGGTTGATGCAGGTCCCTAGATCGACAGAGCAGCTGGGCGTTACCCAACAGGGTATTTCCGAAACTAGATCAAATGGATGAGACCAAACGGGGAATGACGCCAGGTCTTTGGCCCAGCCTCACCAAAACTCGGGTCACCGCCACGGAGTGTGTCCAGTCGCTCTCAGCTCCCTCACGAAGCCGCGGCCGCTAAACATAGGCCGGAGGTGAGTGTGAATGCTCATTCAGCTACCCATCATAGAAAGCGGTAGGAAGGTTCTTTGTGAGGCTTATATTGCTGCGCAGTGGCGACTTGCGGTGGTGCTGTTTCTCCATCTAGGTATCTATCTATCTATCTATGGACCAATCAATCCAATCTGATCTTTACCGGCATCGATCCCCATCGCTGCACATTCGCAAATAACTAATCAACGCATGCTGGCTCAACAACGTGGCTAATACACCAGCACCTTAAAGGTTACACGGAACTATCGAAGACTCCGCCATCTACATACACTAAATAGCTTGTATGTAAAGCTTAAACAACGTTGGGCCTGACACGGGCAGGGCTGAGCTCACTTCCTCTGCTATACACCCGGATAAGCAGCTTTGACAATGCCATGACTCCTCATAACGCTGAGTTCACCGGGCGGATGACTATCTTCAAGACGTTTTGACCGCTACCAGTTGGGGGCTACTCTAGCCCAGTATCTACTTACCTACCATCATTATTCCGACTAATTAATTTGTACTAGGTACCTATCTATCTATGTAAGTGCAAGTGTAACCCCCCGGAATAGCCCCCGGGTTACTCGATTAGGCTAGTGCTCGAGAGCATCTGATAGGTCGCATGCTCACTCACATTAATTAAATAAGTGCTCTTTTTGCTTAGCAGACACACAGACATTTGTGTGGATAGATGGATGCAGTTGTTCTAGGCTCATGGCTGTTGCTGAGCTCTAGGAGGAGATTAAACTACTTTGTTGTAATTAGCGTCATTGTCACATGTGATTGTTGTTGTTGTTGGTGCTCCCAGTCTCGGCGAGGAGGAGGTATGGGATGTCGAATCCCGGGGAGAACTTGGTATCATTATCTTCCCTATTCACAACTGCCATGGCTGTTATCTTATCTTATAAGGCAAGAGATTCGTCGTCATCATATTTTCGTGCGTACGTTCTCCCCCATGGTTGCTTCTGGTGGTTGTCACCAGGAAACAGATAAGCTTTCTTGCAGGTAGAGGTGTATGCGTTACGATGTGTTTTGGTAGTCTACAGAAGAAGAACGGCACAGTTCGCTATCCATGTCTATCCAGGACCCCCTGTTTTTCCAAACCCCGTTCTCCACACTCTGTGCTCTTCTTTCGCCGTACTTCTTTCTCTGAGCACGTAGCGGCCGGTTATTGTGAGAATCGCTCTAGCGCGTCAAGATCCACATGAAGAAAAGCTGCGCGACATAGCTGTGGGCGAAGAGGAACTTCGTCCTGCGTCCCTTCTGCGCTCTCGCGGCATGTACACCCACGCCCGGCTGCGGCGCGCCCCACTCCATACCACCAGCCGCCGAGTCCGGGAGCAGCATCCAGCGCAGACTGCGGACGTAGAAGAGGCCGTTCGCGAGGAAGCAGTACAGGAAGATGCTCCAGCTGAGCCAGCCCCAGTGCGCATTCGTGCTGCCGCCCAGGATGCTCGTGATCAGGAGCGTGAAGATGATCCCAATGAACTTGTACCCGGAGTACGCAATCAGCTCGAGCCACTGGCTGTTCGCGCCCGAGGGCGATGTCGGACCGCGGATGCTGAGGAAGTAGCATGCGCCCTTGAGGAAGAGGAATTCGATGAGCAGGACCGAGGCCGTGGTGCCGAAGTTCATGCTGAGCAGGCGCGGGTGATATGTGCCCTTGACGCCGGCAAGCACGGCGTTGAGCAGGATATAGGTTACGAAGGTCATGGTTGGGATGTAGAGGTCGGGCGAGTTGATGTCTTCGCGCGGAGGGAGGTATTCACCGCCGGAGGAGGGGTCGGCGTGCGAATGTGACATGCGCTGTTGGCGCGACCATGGGCGGTGGCGCCATGGGAAGAGGATTACGTAGGTTTTTGTGAGGACGTAGGAGTTGGAGACGTTGAATAGATGTTTGAGGGCGGGGATGTCGATATAGCGATTGACCTGGAGAGGGATCAGTACGTGAGGGATTGTAGAAGACGCATAGCTCGTCCAGCGCTCGGTTGTATCAAAACGAAGACAGCCTCAAGTATACTATGCAGTAAGACTTGGTAGGAAAATTTACTTACTGCTGCGCCTGCCCATCCTTGACCTGCCGCGAGAGCATGTTTGGTAGCTTGAATGCCTAGCTGTGCGGTAGGGTCACTGGCGAAGTCGGTAAATGCATTTGGGTAACCAAAGGGAACACCTTGATGCTGCTGCTGGCCTTGCTGCGGTGTATAGCCTCCCTGCTGTGATTGAGGTGTAGGTGGCGGCGGAGAACGTAATTGAGGAACGGTCGAGACGTGCTGTGGAACCGGGTGATGTAGAGGTGGTGAGTGTGCCGGTGGTGGGTTGTACTGTCCACGATGCATTGTGACGAAGAGAGCGTGAGACAGTCCTAAGGACAGTGAATATCGTCAGCTCTGGGGGACGGATGGCCGATCGCGAAATTGTTTCTGAAGCGAGGGTGTGGTGTTGTATGTTGGATGTCGTTGCTGTTACAGTGTTACCTAGAAGAGAGTCAAACTTCTGGCGATCCCACAAACTGGCCTTCCGCTCCGCACTCTTGGCTTACTGCCGTTCGCCGCAATCGCAAAATCCACCACCCACCACGTTCACTGTCGCGATATTAGTTGTCTATGCGCCAGGATGCTCGACAGTTTTGAAATCGTCTCGACCTCTGGAGTTGTGCTGTGGTCTAAGCAATATGTGCCCGTCGGCGCAAATATCGTGAACAGCTTGATCCGGGATATATTCATTGAAGACATACGGACCAGCGGAGACCCAGGACAGAAACCCACCTACAAGAAGGAAGGCTACACTCTAAAATGGACCGTTGCGAAGGATTTGGGCCTCATCTTCGTGGTTTGTACGCCCCTGCGCAGGTCATCCATCATCCGAAAGCACAATCGCTAAATGACGTCGTTTTAGGCCGTATATCAGTCGCTGGTGCATATGACATGGATCGATAAATTGCTGGATAACGTACGCACACTGTTCACGGGCTTATATAGCGAACAACTCAAGAGCAAGAAATATAGCAGCACAGAGTATCCCTTCGACGATTATTTCGATCGACAAGTTCAAGAGTTAGAGTCCAAGAATGACGGACAGCCTGCCACTCCCGCCAGAAGGATACCAACGACCGACACAACTCCACCGTCGAGCTCCGAGGGTGAAAGCGCTCCGGCAAAGCCTTCTGTACAAGGCCTCAAAGGTACGTCAGCCAAATTAAAGTGCATTGCGAGGCATGTTGACCAACTGCGATAGTACCCAACCGCTCCATACACGCCGACAGCTCCGCCGATGCGACGCCGGTTCCAACACCAGATGCCTCAAGACCTGCGTCACCCGCAGCTCATATCTTACAAGCGAAGGGTCTACGGCCGGGCGGTAAACTATCCCGGCGCGACCGTCAACGAGCGAAGACTGCCAGTCCCGCGCCATCGTCTGGAGATGAAGGTCGGCCAACAAGCAAGGGTGGAAAGAAGAGTAACACGAAGAAGAATAGAGTGTGGGACGAATTCGGACTTGCCGATCATGCGGATGACAATACACAACTAGATTACTCCGCACCTGCTGACCTGGACGAAGCAACCTCGCAAGCAGTCGAGCACGTGGAAGAAAGCACATGGGGTAAGAGGACAGGAAAGGGAGAGTTTGTGCTCAAAGATTTGGAGGATGAGATGGACGAGATACTGTCGAAAGTCAGTGCAGGAAAAGAAAGCAGCAGCAATAGTACGAATGGTTTTGTAGGGTCGAGTTTGGGCGCTATTGGTGGTCTCTTTAGGAATGTCGTTGGAGGCAAGACCTTGACTGAGGCGGATCTCGAGAAGCCTCTGAAGGGTATGGAAGATCACCTCCTGAAGAAGAATGTTGCACGCGAGGCCGCTGTCCGGTTATGCGAGAGTGTCAAGGTCGATTTAATCGGTGCGAAAACTAATAGCTTCACCAGTACGAACCTGTTCTCTTAATTTCCGTCATCATCATGCTGACAGACAACAGCTATCGAAACTACCCTCCGCAGTGCAATGGAGCGTGCCCTTACCAAGATCCTCACTCCAACCACCTCACTCGACCTTCTCCGCTCAATCCAAGCCACCAATCGTACAGGCCGACCGTACATCCTCTCCATAGTTGGCGTCAACGGCGTCGGCAAATCAACCAATCTCTCCAAAATCGCCTTCTTCCTCCTGCAAAACAACTTTCGCATCCTCGTCGTTGCCGCGGATACCTTCCGTTCCGGTGCCGTCGAACAGCTAGGCGTCCATGTTCGCAACCTCCAAGAGCTCTCGGCTCGTGAGGGCGGCCATATTGATTTGTTCCAGCGCGGCTACGGCAAGGATGCAGCCAACATTGCTCGCGAGGCCGTACAACACGCGACCTCTGCAGACCCAAAATATGACGTCGTGCTCATCGATACGGCTGGTCGCCGGCACAACGATACGCGGCTGATGTCGTCGCTGGAGAAATTCGGGCAATTGGCGAAGCCAGATAAGATTTTCATGGTCGGCGAGGCGCTTGTGGGCTCCGACTCTGTAGCGCAAGCGCGGAACTTCAATGCGTCGTTTGGGTCAGGGAGAGGTTTGGATGGGTTTATCATTAGCAAGTGTGACACTGTCGGGGATATGGTGGGCACATTGGTCAGCATGGTGCATGCAACCGGGATTCCGGTCGTGTTTCTAGGAACAGGTCAGCATTATGCGGACTTAAGGACCTTGAATGTAAGCTGGGCGACTACGTTGCTCATGAAATAGGGCTCACGACAGATATTTTGTCATATCTATATACATATGTTCATGATTAAGCTCATGACTGTTGCCTCGCTGCTATGTGCCAACCCCCTCTTGTATACACTAATATGAAGTTATACCTCTCGTCATCACGTACTGACGGTACTTTATCGATCACAGCAGTTCACCCGTCAGCCTCAACAATCCAATTCCACACCATGTCCCCTCTCCCCTCATCCTCTCCACCTCTGCACACCACTCCGCCTCCCTCACAGCCCCCCGCCAGCCAAAATAATGCCGCAGCACCCACTGCGAATACACCATCGTCTGCGGCCCAAACGTCCCCATCTCGACTCTGTGGCAGTACTCGATCGATTGGCACAAAAGACGCGCAAGTTTATCCGCTTCGTCGCATACGCTGTGCAAGGGCAAAAACGGAGACGAGAGCGGATCCGTTGATCCTGACGGTCCAGCAGGAGGAACAGAAGAGTGAAACGAGCTTGAAAGCCGAGAGATGATCAGGAGGGTATGCAGCTGGAAGCCCCATGAGCATACGTGTAATGTCGCGATCTGTATGGAGCGGAACTCGAGCGCGAACGGGAAGAGCGGGGTGCCATGTCTTGTATCGGATGGATTTGTGAGGCGCGAGGGTACGGCGGTGTATGGTGGGGTGGGGGAGGAGCTGCGGATTGTGTCCTGCCAGGTGTAGATATCGCGGAGGGTGCTCCAGAGGGATGTTGTTACGGCGAAGATGTCTTCTTTGGGGGGCTGGCTTGGGACAAGGGGTTTGGATTGAGAGAATAGGTGAGAGGCCGATGCAAGAGTGCGTGGGAGGCGGGAGGCGATGTCGAAGAGAGTGTCCAGGGGATCGAGGGCGGTGTCGCCGGCCATGAGCGACGCCCAGCGGGACGGACTGACTGGGCCAGGTTGGTGGCAGGTGAGTTGTTGGAGGACCTGTGGTTCTTGTGAGTACAGGTTGTATCTTTGTGGTACTAACAATGTCTTGACGAGTGGTGAGGATGCCAGTTATATTCCGCTGTACTATTGAATCAGATATCGGTGGGGTGAGTGAGGTCCCGGCTGGTGCAATATCCTCCCATCCACGATATGTATACTATCTCGAGATAGCCGCTTCAAAGTTAGGGATGAAACTGGAACGTCGGACTCTGCATTTGCTTGGTATGAGGATGACGATAACTTACACTAATAATGCGGAGCCTAGAGAACAATCGAGCCCTTATCTCAGGAGATACATGCGAACAGCCCTTCCTCAGACGGAGGAGATCTGCGATTCCCTGTACATGGACTCGCATTCCATCATCTGTGGGACATAGGAATAGCTCATTGGTCGAGAGAACTAGAATAGACGCGAGAATATGGACGTAGCGACTCGGATCGTTATCGTTCAGCGCGGCCGACAGATATCCCAGAGTTTCGTGATATCTTTCCCAAGCTTGCTCACGTGTCACATTGCCAGTATTCGTGACAAGTACTTGGACCGTACAGAAAGAGACGAGTGCGTGATTGAGTGTCAAGCAGGGCTTCTCGAGCTCGCACACAGCTCTGAACCAAGTGAATGGGGCGCAATGGTCGGAGGTATCGCTTTCGACTTCGGGCTGTGGGAGGTACAATTTCTGCAAGAGTTTGAAAACACCTGCTCTGAAGCGGACCGACGACTCTGGTGTTTGTGATAGGCTCACCAGCTCATCAAGCTCTTCTTGAATAGATTGGATCTTGGACCTAGCTAACACAGAGGGCGCTGATACGGTAGGATTATCGATACTCCTGTTCACGAAGACCACTTCCTGCGCATAGCCAGAGCACTCAATGCCTGCTTTGGCGCATCGTCGGCATGCTGGACGCTCAAAATCGCATTTCACACGTCTCCTCTTACAGTCGTGGCAAGCCTTGCTTTTTCCAGCGACTCCCACCATTCTAGCATGTTGTTGAAGGCCAAGCTTTGGACCGGATTAGCTCCATACATGTGTAGTCTTACATGAGGCTGATATATGCTCGAGAAATGGCGGCAAGATGGGAAAGGCCGCACGGATGATTACCAAGAGTCAGATATGCGATCGGAGAATGCACTACTTAGTCTACTGCACTACATGGGATCCACTAGTTGTAACACTAGTCCCAATAAGGCTCTAAGATTCGAGTTGGAGCAGGGATCATAATGGCATCTGGCGTATCTGATCAACAAAGCCAAAATAGTCTGATCCATCAACAGCCGAAGCCGACGCCGACGGCGTTAAAAACAAAGCATATGACGACGGTCTTAACCTCTTCTCTTCTCCTCGCAGCCTCAGTCAAATGTCGAAACATGATACCGTATTAGGCATCATCTTTCGATCAGCAGGTGACTCAGGTCATCCCCTGCTCAATCTCTAAAAGTTCCAATGTAGAGTATATAACTATCGCAAAAGTTTCGGCAAGAAGAAAAGTCAGCTGCTCTCAACTCTAATCCCATCCTTCTTTATCGAGGCAGACAATACAATCTGCCACAATGGGATCCGACCTCGAGGAAAGAAAGAGACATTCTGCAGACAGCACACCCCAGCCCTCTGTCGATAACGAGCCGATACAACTACCGATTGCAGCTATGGCAGCTCCAGCTGCTGACACGGAAAAGCGCGCTCCAACTCTATCTGCACCTAGCAATGGGGACTTTCCAGATGGCGGTTTGCAGGCATGGCTCGTCGTAGTAGGGGGTTTCTGTACTATTTTTGCAAGCTTTGGCTGGATCAACTGTCAGTTCCTTCGCCTTCTACTGCTCAACACCTTTACTGACATGCGCTGTAGGCATAGGAATCTTCCAAAACTACTATCAAGCGAATCTCCTCTCGCATTACTCGTCGAGCGCTGTTGCGTGGATCCCCTCCACAGAGTCATTCATGATGTTCTTCTGGGGCCCAGTAGTGGGCAAAATTACCGATCATTATGGACCGCGGGTGCCCATTCTCATCGGGTCATTCCTCCATGTCTTTGGATTGATGATGACGTCGATTTCGAGGGAGTATTATCAGATCTTCCTGGCTCAGTCGGTGTGTAGTGCCATTGGCTGTAGCTTTGTATTCTATCCGGGTAAGTCATGTGGAATTACAAAATTTCCATCAGAGGGATTTACAGTATCTTAGCCATGACTGCATGCTCAACTTGGTTTCTACGACACCGCGCCCTGGCCATTGGTATTATGGCGTCCGGCTCCAGCATCGGTGGTGTCGTGCTTCCCATCATGGTCAATAGACTTGTAGTCCAGATTGGTTTTGGCTGGACGATGCGTGCGCTCGCGTTTTTGCTTCTCGGGATGGTCAGCGTTGGCATATTGACGGTCAAGTCGCGGCTTCCTCCTCTGAAGCAACCTTTGGCGCTCATGGACTTCATAGTACCTTGGAAAGAGATGCCATTCTTGCTATTGGGTATAGGCTCGTGGTTCCTCTATATCGGTGGTTTCATCCCGTTTACCTTCATCATCGTGCAAGCAAGAGCCCAAGGAATGTCGACTGGCCTGGCAGGTTATTTGGTATCCATCCTCAATGGAGCCTCTACATTCGGACGAATTATACCAGCGCACTTCGGAGACATTATTGGGGTATTCAATATCATGATTGCACTCACCAGCCTAGGCGCAGTATCATGCATTGCATTGTGGCTGCCGAGCACGGTCATGGAATCAGGCCAAACAAATGCATTGATCATTATTTTTACCATCTTCTATGGTTTTGCGTCGGGATGTGTATTCTCAATCATACCAGCCATGATTGCGAAGATATCTCCTGATGTACGGAAATTGGGCGTGCGAACGGGAAGTTTGTATGCTGTGTCCGCGACTGGTGTTCTAATAGGGAGTCCTATTGCAGGTGCAATCGCTTCTTCGAGTGGTAATGGGTTTCTCGGCTTGACGTTGTTCTCGGGTCTGCTGTTGGTTGTTGGCGCGGTCTTTGTGGTTGCTGCAAGGTTGAAGTTGACCGGGCTGAAGCTCATGGCTAAGGCGTAGGATCGGAAGACTGACCCACCTGTATTTCTTACACAGTGTACCGCTGTATATATCTAGATTGTACTCTCATATGGCAGCATTGATTGGGGTGGGAATGCATATGTAGGCCAACCGATTTCAGCGCTGTCCCCTCCGACAAAAGTTGTAAGAGCCACATAGAGTGAACGGTACTGTTAATACCCTTGACGAAATCGAAAGTACCTCCAGCTGGCAGGCCAGTTATGTCGAAGGGCAGCATATCCAAGTGACGAGTACCCGACAAGGAAAGACGGGCGGTCTGTGGAGCAAGTCAGGGTCCAGGTTCATGCATCTTTAGCCAGATGATTGCATGTCTCCGTAAATGTACAGATATCTCGACGTAATTTTGCTGGCTTAAATTGAGGAACGTGAGCTGTGACTCGCTGAGATCCTTGTTTCCGTAGAGGATGAATGGCCTGAAAGAATAAGGAGAAGTCTGAACAGATACTCCAGCAAGTTCTGGGTATATAAGTCCACAGATTATATCGCGGAGTTCTCGAGGCAACTTATAAAATCCAGATCTTGAAGGTTGGCTGGTAGTAATATCGAAAAATCAAAGCCACAATTTTTCATTCATCGAAGTCTTCATTCATAAAGTACCTCATAACGACCATATGGAGTTGAGAAGAGGTGGTCTATCCACTTCCTACCTCACGTCACTTCGTCGAACGATGCCAAGTTACAGATGTAGATACCGTCCTTAACTATGTCACAGGAGGTCATTCCACAATGTTTAAGTCGTCTAAGTGGGTGGAGATACTCGTTCGTACCTAGACTTGATCCTTGAGTAAGCGGAAAGCGCTGTTTAGAAGAGGGAATTTAAGTATCTTGATGTCCATGAGGATCAAATGATGGGCATCTGGCTTGGAGGTCATACTTCAGAGCTCTTCTCAAAACACATGTCATCTTTTGGTGTGTCCATGACTTCCTGACTTTGCATAAACAAGACTCGACGGTCAAACTTTCCAATTCCAAAGATTACTAGAGTACCGAAATGGCAAGCTGCTATTGTAATGGCCACTTGAGTTCAATTTGATTGGAGCACACTATGACTGGAAACATCTGAGAGACAGTGTTGAACGCTTGGCGTCAACTAGAAGTTGACCAGCCAGGAGTGCATCGGTCAATAGAACGATCAACCACTCTTTCGACGTCCTTGACTGACTGATTGAGACTGATACAAACCGGTTCTAGTCTCTCACCCTCTGGTACATTTAGCATAAGGCACTGTAAGCCATGCATTCGAGATATCTGACAATGCCACTTATTTTCTTATGCGTCTTGAAGTTCTAACAGAATGAAAGCGTCGTTTACCGCCCTTATATCTCCAACTCAATATGAGAGTAAAAATTCCGGGTCAACGATACGTCGATTCGGTGTACCTATAGAAACATCTTTCGGAGAAGGGAGATCTCGATATCGAATAAATTTGTGAGGTAAGAGGAGCGCTTTAGCTTGATTGTGCTTAGTTGCTCTATCCGAGATGGGCTTGAGCTCTAAGCTGAAACAGATTAATAGCTCATTATTTTCATGTACTTCAGTTTATGTTTCCAAGGTTGCTAAGCCTACAACTCAATATTCAAGACCGAGTAATGCTTGTGACTATAGATATATAGACATAGACCACGGTAAGTGACGAGTATATGGCTGTTAATCTTTCGACTCGAAAGTGTTCATAGGTTTGAACAATGCCCGAGAATTCATGACTAACCCGAACAGGACTAGCAGACTGTCACCACGCGTTTCAGATCTGGGGATCGAAGCTTGGACATGGATCATCATGAAAGGAGTTCGTTCTCCTCTATCACTGCCCATTCCACCTGTTCACTGCAACGTTTGCTCTCCCTTGTTCTGTCGCCTTCGACAACCACATCGACTCTACGTCGCCAGTCTCTCGTTTACTCTGCACAGCATTGTGTGCCTAATGAACCACCGCCCCTGCAACAATACTCTTCTATACCACATCGTCTTCGCCTCCATCGCCAGTCACATCTGCCAAACGCTTCACAGGCTATACAACTTGTTTGTTGAAACTACTCGTGCGACGTACATCAGGCATTGTTCTTGTCTATTCCTCTAGAGATTGTGCTGGTCATAGTCGCTGCAACCCAATAAACTTTACGACGTATATAGGTTGTGACCGTCGGTATGTCGCAACAGGACCTTGTAAACGGAATAAAAGATGCCCCCCAGACTTTCTCGTCCTGGGACAAGTGCATGGCAAAGACATACTGCAAGTACGATCAGGACTGTATGTGCTAGCTGGAGCTATTGCTAACACAGTCCCTGCCAGGTGGCCAGTTATTGTCATTATCATCGTCGGTGCCCTGATCGCCATCTCTATCATATGGTGTGTTGCACGATGCCTATGTTGTGGTGCCGAATGCGCTTGCTGTTGTTTTAAGTGCTGTGCTGGCTGTTGCGGCTCCGGTCGACGGAAAGACCCCGATCGTACCGCCGGTGTCCTCCCAAACTCCTATAATACTCCATACCAATCGCACCCTGCGCCTTCATATACACCTGGTGGCGGCCTCCGCTCGAACAACGATGCATACGAACCGCCGCAGTATGCGCGTTTTGACACCCCGAGTAGCAAGCCTGTGAATGAAGATGCTCTCCCACCAATGCCGTCATGGAGCGATGCAAAGAGCCATAGAATCGAGGATGATTCCCATGAAGATGTAGAAATGAAACCCCTTGCTCCGAATGGAGAATACGTAGCAGCAGCCGCGCCTATTGCCTCGCCAGCAGGTCGTTCGCCTGTGCAGTCACCCTCGGAGAATGGGTATTTTACTGGACAACAACCACACCAAAACCCGTATGGTGGAGGCTATCATGCCGGCCCATATAGACCTCAGAACAGCCGCCAGAACACGAATCAAAGCGGCTACGGTAGCGGTCATGGCTTTAGGCAAGACGCTAGTTACCAGAATAATAATGCATATGGACAAGAGTCTGGTGTATACCACAACCAACAACAGTACGGAGGCGACTATAGCAACCAGAATCAGGGCTACGAAAGTGGTCAGTACGCTCGCCAAGCATCGCCATATCAGCCGCCCCGATCACCTTATCATGGAAACGATGATGCTGGATATGGATACCAGCAGTCGCCGGTGCAGCCTGTTCAGCAGAGCGGATGGCACACAAGACAGCCAATGAACAACGGATGGCGAGAGGTATAATCCATTTTAGGGAGGCGAACCGGCCGTGTCGCCCTTCATACCTACTGTAACACGACATTTCACCAAATTTTTGATTATCTTTTGAGACATAGCGACGGCGCAACTGGCGTTTCGCGAGTATATCTGTCTTTCTCCGGCACGATACCACTTTTGTTTGCATTATGTTACATGTTTAGTGTAACAATCTGTTTTGACAATATAGATGCCCATTTCATGAAAACTCTACTTAAGTCAATATCACGTGTCTCAACATCACTCCCTAACTCTAATCAATGCCCCAATTGTGCGACTGGCACATACTGTACCGCTACATGCCCTTGTACTGGTGAAGAATATGGCGTCGGAAGGCCAGAGTATAGCGAGCTGTCCGAATTCATATGCATCGCCGGCATAGGATTGTAACCCGTATACGAACTACTATACGATGCGTCTGTACCCTGCAGCGGCATCACACTGGGCCGCACCACTTCTTTGCCGTCGTGTCCATGATTTTCGACATGCTCACGCTGCTCTCCATGCCCATGATGACCCTCATCCTTGTCCTCATCGAACGGCTGACCCGATTTCTTCAGCCGCCAATTCGCCGCAACGCGCGCAAAGTGGTCGCATAGCAGGATGATCAGCAGCAGCGCGACGACAGAGGGCAGAATCGCAGGCGTCTTGATAAGATTGATCAGAACGTCGTCCTTGGCGAGCGCGCCCAGGAACCCGACGCACACCATCATGCCCACAGCGCGAATGCCAATGGATGCATAGTCGAACATGTCGATCTTGTTCCGTCGGATCAGAACGAGGAAGATGAGCGATTTGAAGAGCAGGAAGAGCAGCGCGGTCCAGAAATATATGTACACGGCCCGCCAGCTCGACAGTGCGAGATCGAAGCCTGTCTGGTCTAACGGCAACTTCATGCCCAGCGATGCGTACAACGCGCCGATTGTGTCATATGCCAGCTGCCAGAACTCGACCGGATAGGGCGGTGCAGTGACTTCTGCGAGATTCAGGGGGTCGCAGATTCCGGTGCTGTTGCCGATGGCCCAGAGGTCATTGTTGATTAGACTGATATACCGATCGCTTTCGACCTTGGTGTCGAACTGGAAATACTCCAGCCCGGTCACAAGATAACTTACCAGCTCCTCACCGTCCAAGTTCGCCACGCCGCACGCATCCCACAGCAACTTATCCACTTTCTCCGTGTTCAAGAGCGTGTGATGCGCCAGCGCCATCTGCCGACTACCCTCGACAACACCCACAATACACAAATGATGAACAAAGTGCAGCGTCGACCAGATCTGCTGCCTAATCGTGCCGAAATGCCGATGCGGATGCGTATCAAAGTACAGCATCCAGACCAGTACCAAAACCAGGATATAGCACAGCGTCTGCCCACTCCCATCCGGCTCCAGTCCATACTTGCCCATCATGCTCGCAATCGTCTTCGTTACGCCGATAGCGCCCTCACCAATCACAATCAGCGTCAGCAGTCCCATCCGCTCAACGAGATGCGTCTTCTTGAAGCTGAGCATGCGCCACCGCGAGGAGATGGCAATGGTCAGCGCGCCTTCGGCCGCCATGACGGCCCACCACAGCGCGTAGATGCCGCGGTGTGTCTGCGCGGACTCGGCGAAGGCGGGCGTCATGGCGCCGAAGATGGCGGCGGCGACGAGGTATACGAGCGTGTTGAGCGCGAGGGGGAGGTAGAGCTTGCTGTAGCCTTTGCGAGCGTACGTGCAGGCGAGGACGACGAGGTATTGCAGGACGAGCAGGGCGCGGGAGACGACGAGGGTGTAGCAGAGGATGCGGAAGTTCTGTTTCAAAGGTGGATTTGTATTAGCGACCGTCCTTTGCATTCTGAAGAACCAGCTTTCGTTCCAAACAGCGGATAGAAACACTCACCGTATTGCTCTTCGCGTCTCGACTCGGACTAAATTTACTCCCGACCAACGCAAAGCCGACAAAGCACACCATCTGTACCGTCTTGCACGCGCGCTCGTACACACTATCCCGTGCAAACCGCACGTCGTGCAGGGTGATCTGGAACCACGTCGCCCATAAGATGGCGAAGAAGCCAATATATGGCCACACGCCCTTTGCGTCCGTGACAGAGTGATACGCCGTAAACGTCGCGAGATTGGCAGCGAAGAAGAGGCTGTTTTGGGGTTGTTCAGAAGACACAACCTGGATATATAGGAAAGGGGGGAAGGGGGAAGGGGCAAAAAGAGGGAGGGGGACGTACTCAAAGAACAACTCAATTGTATTTGCTTCATGCCGCTGTGCGAATACCAGCTCCTCGACGTCGGCGCCGACGAGTGGGGATTCAAGCCATGGCACGATGGTGTGTTTACGTCGTTTCTGGAGGTCGCTTCTGTGTGTATATATACCCCCATCAGCGCTTATCACGGAAATACAGCCAGAGAGATGTATCGGATGCTAGAAGACGACTTACGCTCGTTTGAGCGATGCGCGCTTTCGCCAGTTTGCCATATTTTACGAGGACTAGGTCGCAAATACTCAGGATAATAAAGGCAAGTCAAAAGGAAATCACTACGCAGACAACGTGATGCTATCCATCCATCCGTTCGCGTATCACCGAGTGTACCCAATGTCCTTTTATATCCTATCTATCTACCACCTCCACTCCACCACGCCAGCTGGATCTGAATACGAGCACAGGTTTCATTAGTGAGTAGTAGTATTGAATAGCAGCAATGACACCGAATCTTCTATTTTGGCACATCACCAAGGCAAGGAGGTCCCTGTCGGATGAAGTCCAGAACATGACGACCATAGCCACAGAGCCACAGAGACACAGACAGACACACAACGTGTAGCCAGAGATGTGCGCACGGCGCTCCGGTAAGGAAGGTTATCGCAGGCGTATGCCCCGCCTATACGAGAAGAGGCGGGGCAGATGGATGCAGGAGAGCGAGGGTAGAGCGAGGGAGTGAGTCTAGTCTGATGATAGAGACAAATCTTGGGAGTGTTCTGGTGGGCTGTGACAGGATAAGTAAACGATGAACCGGCGAAGCGGGCTGTATAGAGCTGTTCTTGTTGTTTTAGGAATGTTTGTAGTTACATAGATGAATGGTGTTGGTGGTGATACTTGTGCCTGGAAGATCTGGACTCGGGTGCGGCCGAGGATGTGGGGCGATCGACCAGCTGAGAGGGTTTTGGTTTGTGACACTTTGTGAGACGTGAGCTGAGCTGTGGGGACGATATTACGAAAATAGATAGTACAGCGAGCGCTGGATCGTGTTAGTGTGGCTGCATGCATGAGAGAAATGGTGCGGCGTGGGTTGGGCTGGCTATTGAGAAATGCGATGTCTGTGAATGGATGCATGCGCATGTGATGATAATGAGCTCGTGCAGTTTTGAATTGAACTCTGTACACATGCTTTCTGACATTCCGGTTCCAGTACCTCGTTTGGTGTACGATTGTTCCGGAATCATTTTGCGGAGACGACAGCCTTCACAACATCCTCAACATCCACAGCTGGTAGTCCAAGTCTCTCATTCCACGACTCACTTCCAAGCGTTCTCAGATCACCCCAAGCTTCCTTCCTGAACGCAGAAGCTAGGATCAGAGGACCAATGGCGCTGAAGTCGCCCTGTTGTAACTTCTGCAAGTTCGTCTTTGTCACCTCTTCGGTGCTCTCGTGGGTAACGCTGAATTTAGAGCCAGTAGTCTTTTCGTATACAGCCACAAGCTCGTTCAGAGTCGTAGTCAAAGATGACACGAAGACATATTTATTCTTCGTCTCACTTTCCTTCTCGAGGACCCTTGCGGTCGCGAGACCAACATTTTCTGAGGTGGTGCCCGAGAAAGGTACGTCACCACCGTCAGATATGACAGCTGTCTTGTTGCCAGCGTCAATGGGAATTAATTTATAGGCAAGGCACTGCGAGTGTGAGACTTCGTATACGTGGGTCCTGAAGGTGACTTACAAAGTCAATGAAGAAGCCAGTCACGATGGCGGTCCACGATATCTGGTCCTCCTTGCTCTCGAGGTACTGGACGACCTGGCGCTTGTGATGGAAAATGGGTACGGCCTCCACAGCTTTCGGATTCGTGGTGTCTGAGCCGAAATCGCTGGGGATGAATCTTTTAACACCGGCGGCGATGGCTGCATCAACAATTTTCACTTGGTCGGCGAAACCGTCGCCACTAACCAAACTGACGACTGCATCTTGGCCTACGAAAGCTTTCTCTAGCTCGGATGGAGTGTATTCAGTCTTTACAACGTGAATATGTGACGGGAATGTGGAGGTTGAAGTGGGTCTGGAGACAACGGTAACATCGAAAGACTGCTTCACGAGAGCTGCAAGCACATGCTTGCCTATGTTACCACCTGCCTAAGTGGACAATCAGTTGAAGAGTTAGAGATATGCAGCCTCGGTGGTAAACTTACCCCAAGTATGGCGACTTTCTTGATTGATGAGGCCATACTGTTTGTCACGTCTCACGAGTGTCGAGGGGTGAACTGAACTGAGCTGTCGTAGCGAGGAAGAGATTATGATTGGAAGATATGTCAATAGGATAGAGTTGAAGACGTAATAAGAAACCAAGACTGGGGCTTGCTTTCGACTTCATGGGCGACGGGGTGATATGCGCCTTTATACATTTCACGCACGCAGCCTAGAAGGCCTTATACGGAAGTATACCGTGATGATTGTGAGTATTAGCAATCATCTAGGCCTGGCGATAATGGTGCCACAAACACTCTTCATGTCTGATGATAGATGGATCCATGGTTTGTCAGCCAGCGCCACCAACAGCATCCCAACTTCGAAGCTTCGAAGCTTCATCAGCGACGTCCCAACGTCGTGCTTTTGTGAATTGTGATCACAGTCGTTCTGCGACGTCGCGATATCGTGCTTTTGTGGATTGTGATCACATTCGTCCTATGTGTCGAAATTAGATCGTTCTCGCGACAACATGCTCATCTCGTCGGTGATGGCTGGGCTATATCTGATTCTTGCGGATCTAGACACTGTATGCTGCATGAGCGGCTTCAGTGTGCAGCCAATGCTCTGGCGTTATAGTTTTCTGTGCTCTGTTGCTCTCAACATAACCAAGCCAGCGACGGTGTTTCGGGGCGATCTGTCCTTCCTCCGACACGGGTTTTTGGTCGAAGATAGTTGACAAGTGAGAGAAATGTTCCACGAAGAGCGGCCGTAGAACTGTCTGTACTGCCTCGAAGCTGAATAAGTTGACACTCATGATCGAAGTTCCATCTAATCCTGAATGCAACGACGGATAGACGAGTGGAAGCTTGTTGTTACCGAGGATATCGACGGCCTCCATATACGTCCTTGTATGGACGGCTAGTACCGGTCCACACAGGACCTAAACGCCTCGGAACCGGAGTCTGCTGCTGCGATATGTGAAGCCTCGAATAGGCTCGAATACGTCTCATATTGAACCGATAGCTACAGCGTTATTGTGGTAACATTTGGTCCACGGCCCATTACTCGAACTGGATATGCAAATGAATTGCTCTGATTCGCTGAAGGAGATGACCTTGCCCTGGCTTGGTGGAGACCGTGGAGTGTTGTGTCAGGATAGACCTGCCTCTGACACGCATCCATCTGACCGATTGCAAGTTCGCATAGGCTTGCTGCATACAACAAAGAGACATTGGACACAGAGTGTTGGACAGAATCCCATGATGGGCGCCCAGGTCGTACGCATGGCTGTAATCAAGCCGTCTTCGCTCGAATGGAAGTGAAGGACTTAGAACAAGCAGCCCACAGGGCTATGAAAGCGACATTGGAGGTTACTCGGGCACTGAGTACTGCGAAACAGATACCATAGATGAACGACAAGTCATTGGCGGCATGTTGAAGCAATTGATGCAAGTCGTGGTATTGGCAGACGAAGGCCTATCGATCCAAAGATGGCGAAGTGAAGGATTTGTGGATGCAGCGTCCGACCGATACCGCACTGACAAGAATAATGCCGCGATAGACAACGGATGCCAAGCAATGTATCACGACCTCAAACAATCAACAATGTCTTGCCGAGAAGAGATGAAGATTGCAGCATGTCACCTCTTACACCATCAGTCCGTAGCCGTACGAGAGATTTAACGGATCGGTGGATACCGGGTGTGAATGTCTGAATCTGATTCATGGGACCGCGCGCGTCAGGGAACTTGGCTGACTTGGCTGCCCCTCCCGCCCATTCACGCTATGCGTTCATCGCTAAGGTGGGGGGTTGTATCTTGAGCCCCGACTATACGTAAAACCTTTCACTCCGCGCACCGCTCTTCTTCCTCTTCCTCTGTCTTCCACATCACCAATTCCTCTCAATACAACCATATAAAAACACCAATCAGTCTACAGCGCAATGGGTATCCTTTCAGACCTCAACATAAAGCCCGGCGTACGTATCTCTTGCTCGAACAGTAGATCTGCAAAGAACCTCGGGTTACTGACTTCTGCGCTCTAGGTCATCTACGGCGATGATGTCCTCAAGGTACGACCGATGCTTCTTCCATACTCTTTACAGCCTGTGTAGGATGACATGGAGTTCAAAATTCATAGTCACTTGGATGCGGGACCTCAAGATACTCGAGAGATAGGGAGGGGCTGACAGCTATGCGCAGGTCTTCCAATACGCTCAGGAGAAGCAATTCGCTATTCCCGCCATTAACGTAACATCTTCCAGCACCGTTGGTATGTACCAGTCACTCTATACACCCTAACGCTTTGTTAACGTGGTCACGCAGTTGCCGCTCTCGAGGCTGCCAAGGACAAGAAGTCCCCAATCGTCCTTCAGTGCTCCCAAGGCGGAGCTGCGTACGTTTATACGGGGATCTGTCAGGAACATGGCGCTGACTAGAATACAAGTTACTTTGCTGGCAAGGGTCTCCCCGACAGCTCTGAGAAGCGTGAGGCCTCCGTAGCCGGTGCCGTCGCTGCCGCGCATTATATTCGCGCAGTTGCGCCTCATTATGGAATCCCAGGTGAGTTGATTGGCATTCGAATATGAAACTCTAGTGTGAAAGACTAACAACTTGTAGTAATCCTCCACACCGATCACTGCGCAAAGAAGCTCCTGCCATGGCTGGACGGCATGGTCAGTACACAATCACTCTCAACCGCATCAATGGCTAGGCTAAATTTTGATAGTTCGAAGCCGATGAGGCCGAGTTCAAGCTGACCGGTACTCCTCTATACTCCTCGCACATGATCGATCTCTCTGAGGAGGAGGTCAAATTCAACATTGAGACCACTGCCAAGTACCTAAAGCGCGCTGCACCGATGAAGCAGTGGCTCGAGATGGAGATTGGTATTACCGGTGGTGAGGAAGACGGTGTCAACAACGAAGATGTCGACAACAACTCCCTCTACACGCAGCCCGAGGACATTCTCGAGATCTACAACACTCTCGCACCCATCTCGCCTTACTTCTCCATTGCCGCCGGTTTCGGCAACGTGCACGGTGTGTACAAGCCAGGAAACGTCAAGCTCCACCCCGAACTCCTCGGTAAGCACCAGAAATTCGTCCAAGAGAAGATCTCCGCGAAGAGCTCCAAGCCAGTCTTCTTCGTCTTCCACGGTGGCTCGGGATCAACCAAGGAGGAGTTCAAGCAAGCCATCAGCTTCGGCGTGGTCAAGGTCAATCTCGACACCGATATGCAATGGGGCTACCTCATCGGTGTTCGCGACTACGTTACCAAGAACATTGAATACCTGAAGACCCAAGTGTAAGTCAACTCTTTCAGGGTGGCAGTACTGCAAGTTGCGATTCTGACATGATGGCAGTGGTAACCCCGAGGGCGCCGACAAGCCCAACAAGAAGAAGTACGACCCCCGTGTGTGGGTCCGTGAGGGTGAGAAGACGATGAAGGCGCGTGTCGAGGAGGCGCTCGATGACTTTGCGGCTGCTGGGCAGGCATAATCGGAAGAAGAAAAAAGCATAAACTCCCAACATTGAGCGGCGAAGGCGGTGTTTACGAGATTTCATGTGATGATGATGATGATGTTGTTGTTGATAGCCAGGAGGATATCATGGAGTGGTGGCATGGGGCAGGGGAGGGGGTCGAAGTTCAGCAGCAGTAGTCCTTTTTTTCTAAATCGTAGACGATACATCACAACACACGACTCCCCACTAGCTGTTATACTGTGCCTACTAGCACCACTATCATCATCATATATTTCCTGTGAACCATTTTCGTTATAAAAAACACTTCTACATAGCTCAAAACTTCACCCCTTCAAAATCCCCCACAAATGCACCAAACTCCCCAGCACAACCCGGTCCCATGCCCACCACCCCTGATCTCCTCCTCCTCCTCCTCCTCCTCCGAACAACCCCAGTCCACGCAGCCCAACCCACACCATCCCCACCCTCAGCACCAAATCCACAAAATCCACAACCCACATTCCTGCCGCTTCAAAACCAGCAGCAAGCCTACTAGCTAGAATGACCCTCGCAGCAGCGCGCCGATAGCGCGCCGCGTGCTCGGCCGGGAAGCGTGCGCGGACGTATGTGTCTGTTTCGGTGATGGTGGTGCTGGTGGTGGTGCTTGTGCTGGTGCCGGGTTTCGGGCGGAAGATATGCCGGAAGATATCCCGGAAGGGTGTTCTGAGAAGAGCGAGGACGCGCCAGCGGAATGCTTCGAGGGGGAGTGTTATTTTCCATAGAATTGCACGTGACTCAGACTCAGACTCAGACTCAGATTCTCGATGCTTTTGAGTATCACTAGCACCAGCACCAGCACCACCACCACCAAGCAAAACCTCCCGAACCGCGCACGGCGGCGGATGTGCAAAGGCGCGCAGGAGGAGCGGGGAGTTTGTGTAAGCGGTGCGGGAGGAGGGGTCTTTGTGGAGGGCGGCGGCGGAGAGGGCGGAGAGGAGGGTTGGGTGGGAGGTGAGGGAGGAGTAGAATGCTGGGGAGAGGATGGTGAGGGTGAGGTGTGGGGTTGAGTTGGGGGGTGGGGTTGGGGTTGGGGGGGAGGTGAGGGTTGTTGTTGTTGTTGTTGTGCTTTGTGTTGTGGGTGTTGTGCTTTGTGGTGTTGTTGTTGTGGAGAAAGGGATGGGGGAGGAGAGGGTTAGGGATAGGGGTGTTGGGGTGTGTGTGAGGAGGGCTTGGATGTGGGATGTTATGAAGGGGGCGAGGGTGCTGGGAGGTGGTTGTGGTGTTAGTTTTGTACGATAGGGGAGTAGTAGGCTGGAGGAGGAGAAAGGCACGTACGATTCTTCTGCTGTTGGGGTGCGGCCGATGCTTTGGCGGTCGACTTCTGGTCTATACCAGACGTGCAGCTTGCGTCTGAAGAAGAGCTTGCCTGCCTCTCGGACGATTCGCGGGAAGGTGACGAGGCCGACCCACCACCAGGCCGTGATGAAGCGTGTTGTTTGCCGTAGATTGAGGGTGCGAGGGTCAAGGGGGGCGGAGGTGGAGAAGACGCGGGCGACGAGTTTGGGGTGGTGTTTTGATGACTTGAGCGTGATGGTGTTGTCGATTTGGATGTCAGGGGACTGAGCAAGCGGGTTGAGTGCTGAGAGGGAGTATGTGCCCTTGCGAGAATTGAAGGGGGATACGTGGAAGTCTTTTGTCCAGACGTTTGTGAAGCGCTTGGGAGGCTTGGGGTTTGGCGTACTGCTGGTTGTGGTACCGTTTCCTGCGTCATCGCCTGCTTTGAGGAGGTAGATACGGCGCTCGTCGAAGGTGTTGTTCACTTCCAGGATCATGTATTTGAGGGTCAAGTCGTCCGAGTAGATGTACCAGAAGGAGACCGGATTGAAGGAGTAGCCCAGAAACTTGGGCGCGGTCACCAGGTACGCATGAGTCCATTCTTCGCTCTTCACGCCCTGGAAAGAGGTCAGTCATGGCTCCTTTAGCTTGAGCTGTTACTCACCTGTGACTCCAGATATGCATGAAGCTTTCCTTTCAGATCGAGTTCCTCACTGCCACGCTCCAGGTAGTCTCCTGCTTGGACATGAAACCAGCCCTTATCTTCGTTTCCATCAAAGCAGCAGTGGGTGTCGACGGATAGCAGAGACCCGACCTTCCCATGCCAACCAACAGGAACGCCCACGAACAGGTAGGAATATCCGAATGAATGTTTCTTGGGAAAGACACGTGCATGCGTTGTTTTACAGGGCAGAAGCAGTGGCCTGAACGGGCTATTGGCGAGCTTGGAAGAAGTGCTCGTCCCAGTCCCCGATGGCCTTATCCATCCTATAGGGATGAGTAGAATGACTGTCGATACAAACGCGGCAACCAGATGGCTTGATACATGATCGATAAAGCGAGAGAGCAATTGTGAAACGCCTGCTCGATCTACGAGTCCGGCCTGGGTGGCTCCAAGAACGATATACAAGACCAAGTCTGTCGCGAGGCTGCTTCCAGTGTCGTATAGATAGGTATCGACAGTCCTCTGAATGATTAAAATCAGCTGGACCGTCACGGTCCAAACCAAGCTCTTATCTCCATTCTGCAGGTGATATATTTGCGCCACATGTATTATGGAAAGTAAGCCAATGGTCCATGGTATTTTCAATGTAGGATGTGTTCCATTGTGCATTGTACGCGTACTTGGCTTTGCTGCGAACATGGAGTTGGAGGAATATAATTCATTCGTGAACGGAGTCTGATTACCTACAGTGTTGAGTAGACGCTACCCGCTTTGGGCATAGGCTGATCGGTTCAAAACGTCACCATTCCGATCGATATTTTGACACATGGTTGAAATATCCAGCGAGGTTGTTGCAAACAGCATGAATGATATGCCATGTATTCTGTCCATTCCTGATCAAGTCTAGGATAATAAATTCATAGAATTGAGAGACTGTTATCATGACATCCGGACAGCTCAACTGCTGCTGGATGGTTCCAAGTACCTGCGCTAAGGTAGCCTCACAAGGCCCGCTGCCCAATGCCGACACCGCAGGTAAACCCACAGCTGTTCGGAAATCTACACCGACGGCAAAGTGACATGATAAACAAGACCGATGGTCTGCCCATCGCATGGCATCTCTAGATACCCAGCGCATCTCCAATCATGGCACCAATCGTAGTAGTACCATACGACCCAGCCTGGCCATCGCAATTCGAAGAGATCAAGGCATCCCTCGAGCAGATCCTCGCAGCAGGATCCTACCTCTCGATCGAGCACGTCGGCAGCACGTCCGTCCCCCTCCTACCCGCCAAGGCGATCATAGACGTGGACATAGTGGTGAAGCGCGAGGCGCTGGACAGCGTCTTTGCCGCCCTGCTCGAAAAAGGAGGCTACGTCTACAGAGGCGATTTTGGGGTGCAGGACCGCCACGCGTTCCGACACCCCGAGTTGTTGCCCACGCGCAACGTGTATGTTTGCGTCGAGGGGTGTCTGGGACTGCTGAATCACCTTGCGCTCAGAGATGTGCTGAGGCGGGACGAGGCGCTGAGGAAGGAGTATGGGGATGTCAAGATGGAGCTTGCACGGCAGCAGCTTGAACTGAATCCGTACTGCGATGCGAAGACTGAGATTGTGCTCAAGATCTTGGCCAAGGCTGGCTTCTCCGAGGAGAGCATGGCTCAGATCGTGGTGATGAATGGGGGTCCGGCGCCGAATGTGATGGACAGCTCGGCTGGTGCGCCGGCCGGTGAGACTGTTACGACATGTTCGTCCAGTGCGTGATTAAGGGTGCAAGGCGGCTTGCTGTTTTGGACACGGACGCTTGCTGGTTCTTCAGGCATCAATGGGTTTGCGTGCGCAAACAGTGTATGTAGCAGTTGGTAGTTGGTAGGGCATAGAGTGCAAGATATGTGGAGAAAGTTGTGTGTGTCAGTCAGACTGCCATCTGCGTCGTCATTGCTGCACTCCATAGTAGACGGAAATATACACGGCCCCGCATTCTTGCAGGGGGCTGGAACGGAGGCGTGTGTGGACACGGGCACAGTCTGTTGAGCAATGACATTTATGACATCTTATCACGCAAAAGGAGAATGTTGATCAATTGACGAGTGTTTGAGAGCTTAACGGCCATGGCTGATAGGCTCGAAATCTTGCGGGTTGTTAGAGCATGGTGTTGTAGATAGCTATGAGCCAGATAAGAAGAATCTGGAAACAGCAGTCAGTCAGTCAGCGTGTCAAGGTCGAACAGCCACATCAGCAATACTATAATGAATGAGATACCTAAGACTGTATCATGGTCAGCACAGCACAAAGACAGTGTGTCTGTCGCATGTAGGCTGCGGCTCGGAGGGCGGCCGGGCTAGGCTGGGCTGGGGGCATTATTAGGGTTGGCTGATCAAACGCAGACTGCCCCAGACCTTTTTTACTTTTGCTCCCTGCGTACGTACAGTATTAGCAGCTATCAGCTCATGTCGTAACCGGTAGCGGGTCCGGGCCTTTCGTGCACGAGGAGTGTTGCACAGCAGCATTCTCCAACGTCGCAGCGGTAGGGAGATAGTCGTTAGTGCTAGCAATAGGTGAGGGTGGAAGAGTAGTGATTAAGTGGCAGGCCGTGATACTAATGGCACGCGCGTCTACAATCGTATCGTTACGGATCTTGCTGGAGAGGGAGAGGTGAAGTGGTAATATCGATATTGATATGTAAGTGTGCACGGTGGTGGCTGTGCAGTGTCAGGCCTTGCAGACGTACCTGAATACGACACTGGTATCTACATACAGACCTGAGGGTTGTAGGTATCTACTGTACCTACATACCTGGCTGGGTACGGCACCGTTCTCGGCCCCACTAATTACAGCTGACACTGATGATGCTGATGGATGGCGTGAGAAGCGGCGAATATATGATTATTGTATTGCCTGGGTATGTTTATTGAATAGTTACTATCCTTGGAAGTCATGAATGGTCTGTAAGATTTAATTAATTGACTACTACCAGATACATATACATGGCTGGGAGGGCATAAGGGTCTGACCTACTCACCACAGCCATCGATCGTTGCCATCTTGTCAACATGTGGTCGGTCGCCGCGCGTCACCAGTGTGGACTAGCAAGACAAGTGAAACGGCAGCCAAACCCAGAGCGTCGAGAGTAATGAATGGTGAGCTGTGAGTGGTATGTAGAGCGATGTGGGACTACTTACTAGGTAATAGCTGTCTCCAGGTCTAATGCCCCCTTTTCCCACACAAAGTTGACAAGCAAGGCTAGCCCAAATTGCGACTGCCCGCCAAGACCAGTAGACGGACCCACCTACTTTCATTTTCCCTCGCCCCAGTAATTTAGTGTGATGGTGGTGGTGGTGGTGGGCAGTTTAAGCTACTCGACCTACTGCAATTAGTGACGGAACCCCCCCAAAACACGAGTAACACGCAGCCAGTAAGTGCAGTGAACAGCCGCCAGCCAGCCAGCAGCCACCCACCACTTTACGCCCGCCCAGCCCACACAGCACAGCCCAGCGCAGGGAGAGAGAGAGAGGAGAGAGGTGGTGTTGTGCTCATTTGTGTGCCCCATTCCTGCTATGCACCCACTGTCTTGTCTTGCACTCACTGTCTTGCACAGCACAGTATTACCCTTCAATCCTACGCTTTGCCCTCGTCCCCGTCCCCGTCCCCGTCCACGTCCACGCGTTTCGTCTGCACACGGTCCACACTGCCCGCTCTTGCTGCATCCTGCTACATTCCCCCAATTCTCTCACTTCTCACACTCTCACTCTCACTCTGCAACAACACCATCACCCTTTTCGCCAACTGTCCTGGTCTCGCTCGTTACCTTACCTTGTCCACACTCGTTTTGCCCAGCCCTGCGAGCGAGCTAGTCTGCCTCTAGCTCCGGATCCGGAAGAGAAGGGAAAGGGAAGAAAGAAGCGTGAAGCGTGAAGCGTGAAGCGTGAAGCGTGAAGCCTGACGCCTGCACTTGGTCGCCAGCACCCGACTCGACTACCACCCACTCGCCCGCTCCCTCCAACCTACTACTTACTACTCCTACTACCTCTTCCATTTGTCGTCGCAGCAACACCTCCGCCTCTCCAACCTCCTCCCATCATCACTGTCTGCTCGCTCGCTACAACACCAGCTCTCTCGTTACTACAACAAGCACTCATCCGTGCCTCTCCCATCCCTCGCTGTGGGTTCACAACAACACATACTATTACTCTGCGACACTCGTTTTTCGCTCTGCCTACCTCCACTTCTCCACTGGTCTGGGGCTTCCATCTCGTACTCCAAAACGGCTATCCAGCCTACCTAATACATCCTCCATCGTCTCGCTTCCCTTGTACACGACTTTCATTGCGTCCACAATGCGTCGCTCTCTGGCCTCATCGCCTATACCCTGGCTCCTCGCTCTCCTCTCCCTCTTCCCGTTCGCCACTCTCGCTGAACGACTCATTCAGTCCAGTTCCTTGAACCTGTGCCAGGAAAACTCGCAGTTCTCGGCAACCCTCTTCAACGTCGCTTTTACTCCCGACAACAAGACCGTCACTGTCGACATCGAGGGTGTCTCTTCCATCTCGGGCAACGTCACGCTGAAGTTGGATCTGATCGTGTACGGTTACAATGCGCTTCAAGAGACGATTGACCCTTGCACCGATGCCGATGGCCAATTGATGGGTCTCTGTCCCATGAACACTGGAACTCCCAACTTCCCCTTCAATCTGCCATTGTCTGATGATGTGATTAGCAAGATTCCTGGTAAGATCTGATGCTCATTGACGGTTTCTCAACCTACTGACACTCCACTTCAGGCATCGCCTTTACCATTCCTGATCTAGATGCCGTTGCGCGCGTACTGATTCTCTCCAAGAACACCGGTGAACAGCTTGCCTGCGTCGAGGCCCCTCTCTCAAACGGACAATCTGTCTACCAAAAGGCTGTCGGTTGGGTAACTGCCGTCATCGCTGGCTTGGGTCTACTTGCCTCAGCCATCACGAACGGGCTCGGTCACTCCAACACTGCCGCCCACGTTGCTGCCAACGCCATGTCACTCTTCGGCTACTTCCAAGCGCAGGCTTTGATCGGAATGACGGCCGTTACCTTGCCTCCAATTGTGCAATCCTGGACCCAGAACTTCCAGTGGTCGATGGGCATCATTCGCATCGGCTTTCTCCAGAACATGGCTACTTGGTACCAACGTGCAACTGGTGGAACTCCCAGCACCATTCTGTCCAACCTGGCCAACGCTTCGGTCCAGATCCAGAAGCGTTCTCTCGACGTCGTCTCCGGTCTTCTCACAAAGCGAGGTGTATTCCCACGTACCAATGCTGGAGCCACAAATGCGCAGACCACCACCAACGTCATCGTCTACGGTATCAAGCGTGTCGGATTCCGCTCAAAGATTGAACCTACAAACATCTTCCTGACCGGCTACGCCTTCTTCGTCATCTTTGTGTTGCTAGTTATTGCCTGCGTCGTTGCCTTCAAGTACATTACCGAGGCACTCGTAAAGGCTGGCAAGATGAAGAGCGACAAGTTCCAGGAGTTCCGCAACGGATGGCTGACAGTTCTCAAGGGAATCATGTTCCGCATCATCTTGATTGGTTTCCCTCAAATGGTTGTGCTCTGCTTCTGGGAGCTGACGGTTCGCGATTCTGCCGCCGAAGTCGTTCTTGCCATCTTCACAATCGTCACCATGATTGCCATCCTGGGCTGGGCTGCCTTCAAGGTCATCCGCATCGCTCAACGCTCGATTCAGATGCACAAGAACCCTGCCTACATTCTCTACTCTGATCCTGTTTCGTTGAACAAGTGGGGCTTCCTCTACGTCCAATTCAAGGCAACTGCCTACTACTTCATCGTACCCGTTCTAGGCTATCTCCTCGTCAAGGGAATGTTTGTCGCCCTCGGTCAAGGAAGTGGAGCAGTCCAGGCTGTTGCCTTTATTCTGATCGAAGCCATTCTGCTAGTCGGCGTTTGTATCCTACGCCCGTACATGGACAAGAAGACCAACAGCTTCAACATTGCAATTGCCGCCATCCAATTCCTGTCCTCGGTCTTTCTCCTCATCTTCTCCGACGTATTCAACCAACCAGTAAGTAGAGAGACGATGATCGGTTGACATGATGGAATACTAACAGTCTGCAGGGAATAGTCACTGGTGTCGTTGGTGTCATTTTCTTCGTCGTGAACGTCATCTTCGCCTTTGTTCTCCTCATCATGGTCCTGGTCTCGTCCTGCTACGCTCTGTTCTCCAAGAACCCCGACACCCGCTACCAACCAATGCGCGACGACCGTGGATCCTTCATCAAGTCGCAAACCCAGCTCAACACGGAACTTGATGCCTTGGGTGCTACTGCTCGTGGTGAAGGCAAAGGTGCTTATGGGAAGCCTCGTGCTGGTATCGACGATGACGATGACTCATACTCATCATCATCCGCCGGTATGCGCCAGAAGGAGGCTAACTCGGATGTGTACAGCGCACCCGTGCAGCAGTCAGATTCATACTACCAAACTACTCACACAAATACGAGTAGCCCCGCGCCATATCACAACGCCCCCTACGGACAAAATCGAACGGGTAGCATAAGGAGTGAACAGAGCCGAGGGCCAACGGCGAGCCCGTGGCAGCGCGGTGCAGGTTATGATCATTGATAGAAAGAAAGAACTAACGGCGATACAGGACTGCGCGCGAGTCACCGTGCGAGTCACGATCGCGTTTGGGGTGTAATAAAATCACGATGCAGCAAAGGAGGGGAGGGGAGGACTTGTACATGAAACGACCCAAAGCGCTCTATGCGCAAAAGTGACGCAGCACATAATCTTAGTCCTTATCATCTTTACATTTTGACAAATATACCGCCCGCTATTGGGCGCTTTTGTCTTTGGGGGAGGGGCGCTACGAGGGCTGCTGGTTTAGGGAATTTGGGGGAGGAGATTCGAAATAAGGTTGTGGTCGCACCTCGCTTGGGTCTCGCAATAACATAAAATGCGAAGACGGCAGGTGGTCAGGCATTGTCATTTGCGCGCGCCATTGGGGGGAAAGGGAAAGGGGGAGTTGAAGATTACCACTTTGAACATTTTTTTTCCATGACGGCTTTTCCGTTTTTTGTGTGTGTGTGTTTTTCTGGCTTGACTCTTTTTTTTCTCTCCTCGACCCCTGGTTCTGGTTCTGTTCGTTTCTTGGATGGATGGATCATACGCATACGCATACATCACATGCTGCGGTGTTTTTTTGTTCTTGGAGATATGTAGGCTTTTGGTTGCTTATTTGGTGCTTGTGCCGTGGGGAGGGATCGGCCTATGTCTGTCTGTCGTGTAGACACGTGACGGTCGATGGAGGACGATGGAGGACGCAGGACGCATGCGCGGTCGTCGGGATAAGGACTCGACCAGACCAGACCAGACCAGACAGAGAGAGAGAGAGAAGACTACTACGTTCTTATAAACCAGACCTTTGGAGAGAGAGTGTGTGTGTGTGGTGTGTGTGTGCACACGTGTGTGTGCATTGGCAATGACTTGTTCCTTATTCCGTGTCGGTGGTGAGTTAATATGTATATGTATGTATATGTATGTATGTATGTGTGTGTGTATAAATTACTCTTCATACCAGCTTTCTCTGGTATATATACTACTCTGGACCACCACTGTCCAAGTCGGTCGCTTAGCTCAGTTGGTTAGAGCGTGGTGCTAATAACGCCAAGGTCGCGAGTTCGACCCTCGTAGTGACCATTCTTCTTTTTTCTTTTGTCTTTTCTTTTGCGTCTTTTTAGGTCGTTGTCTATCGTAGGAGAGGGGTTCGTGTATTTGTATTTTGCATGTGTATGTATGTAAGTAATGTAGGTGGGTGGTAGTTAGTAGGTTGATAGAGAGAGAGAGGTCATGATCAAGTAGTAGAACAACATGTAGGATTGATTATAAGAACATATATGATCAATCAATCATATATATATATATCCAATCCACTCCCCTGAAAGACCCCAACGTAGTAAGACTATACATGCTATCCATCCTACAATTTTCTTGCTTTCATTCTTCCCTTTTCTTCCCTTTTCTTCCCTTTTCTTCCCTCTCCTTCCCTTTTCTTCTTTTCATCTTCGTGTTCCACTCCAACTTCACCCACTCACCCACACCCACTCGCCCACTTCACTCCCTGTTCATCAAAAACGGACACTCGGCAGGCGTCACGCGCGACATCTCCTCGTGCGTCTGCTGCGTCTCTGCGCTGGCGGGGTGTGCGGCAACGGCCTCGCCGGCGACGGGCTGGACGGCGTCTTCCATTTCGTGTGGATGGATGTGTTCCTGTTCCTGTTCTTGTGCATCTGCTTGTTCCTCTGCCTGTTCTTGTGTCTGTGCATCTACAGAAGACTCCGACAACGACGACGACGACACACGCACGCCGCCCTCAGCGCCAATATCCGCACCATCATGCGACTGCGACGGCGACTCCGTGTCCGCTGACGCGCCTGCGCCATCATCGGCTCGGAGCGGCACGACCTCCCTGTTGACGATCCCTTTGGGCGCAATCTGGCGGAACATGTCGAGCGGGTCGAACCAGGTCTCGACCTTGCGCAGACGGAGCAGTTCGTCGACGGTGGCGACGGTGACGCCTTCGATGTCGATGGTGCCGCCGTGGGCTTTGGCTGTGACTTTTTGGCCTTTGCTGTGTATGCTCAGTGACTGTTTCCATATACATTTATATATGTGCGCCGCGTTGAAAGGCAAGGGGGGAAGGGACGTACTCGTTGAACCCGACATAGTCATTCCTCATCACGCCCCAGTGCCGCCAGCGAAACGCAACCTGCGGCGGCCCGGCATACACCTCGACGACCTCCCAGGCAAACGTGGGCATCATGCGCTTGAACGTCTTGTGGCTGCTCGCAAAGTCCGAGGCCGCGGGCGAGTAGAACTCGTTGGGCGCGATGATGGCGTTGTACGTGCCGACGGCCAGCATGTGCTCGCCGCTCTGCGGCGGGCCGCCGTTGATGGCGAAGCTGTAGTTGGGCCGGTCGATGGTGCGCCAGTCGGCGAGCGAGGTCTTGAACGAGGCTTCGATCTCCCAGTTCTTGACGAGGGCTTCGATGAGCGCGGGCAGGCTGCCGGCGGTGTGGTTCATTTTCTTGGCTGGGGGGTAACGGGGACGTTAGCTACCGCGGGGGACGTATTGCTCCGTCGTGGGCTCACTTTCGGTAAAGACCTTTCGCGTCTTCGTGTAGTCGGGGGCTCTCCCATATCTCCATCTTGCGTCTGCGTCTTTGAGGACGGCGTTGGGGTCGGTGACATAGTCTGGAAGACTGGGGGCTGGTGTGGTGTCGACAGCAGCCATATCAGAATATAGTCTAGACACTGGTTGGGTCGGAAATGAATGGAGCAATTGCTATCGAGATGGAATAGCAAGGACTACGGGTATGTCGTGGATATCTAGCACAAACGAGGGGACGCCTTGCCTCTTATGAGGTAGAGTATCCAATTGCCGACCAAAAAAAATAATATGTATACTTGCGAGAGTAGGAGAAAGATGGACATGTTCGTATCCGGGTATGTATATGCTGCTTCACCGATCCATTAACATCCTGGAAGCCACGAAGGAGGACCAAAGACGATCCCAATTTGGAAGTCGTGCCGGTCAAGGTAGCTTCTGACAGGACATGGGTGACGGGAAGGTAGCCATTGGAACTTGCGAAGATGGGGATAGATCACAGCCAAGGTGGTAGTCTAAAGCACCAGAAGTCTGCTAGGGGAGCTCTAATTCATAGGGCTAGCAACCCAGTGTTGGACAAAGTACACTTGCCAAAGCGCCAGGACGAATCGTGACTTCGAGATTAAGCTGCAAGGAGAAATCAGAACTAAAGACTAAGTGTCAGCGAGAACAAGAGTATCGTGTATTGTAGCATAACCAGGGTTTGAGGGATCCAATGGCAACAGGCCCTTTAACCCTGGACATCCATGAATACCTTCTACGGGTCGCTCGGATTGGCTCAAGAGTTCGTATTTGACGAGTCCACACGAACAATGCTGGTGGCAATGCGTCATGCTGCTTGAGCTAGACCGACAACATACGCGGCCTGGAACAAATAGGCCAGCTCCAGTCAAGCATGGTAAGAACACCGATGAGATTGGATATGGCGCCGATACGATAGGCAGATCAACGATCACGTCGCGAACGGAACCCTTTGAGTTTTGACCCTAGTAATTCACGGTTTGATGTAAGCACGCAGGCGGCGAGATGCATGCGGGCAGGATGTGATGGCTCGGTTATATGCATGTCTACATGACAAGCGACTCAAAGCCTGCAGGTTTTCTAGGTTGATGATTCTATGCATCTGCCTGGTTTGTTTAGAGGGGTCCTATTCGAACGTTCGGCTGGTGCTTGCTATTACTTTGACAAGATGCGTAGCGATCTGTCACTCTGTTACACTAGTGTGGCACTTCTTGAAGGTGTGCTCACCCTGGGTCATACGTATCTTGCACAATAGGTATTGCGGCCAACCATATTCGAGCCTAATAATGTACTACATTGTCTGATCGGGGAGCCTCTAATATGCTTCACGGGCTCGTGGGTCAGATCACACACAATGAGCATTGTGGAAGATCATGTTACATGCTGTCCGGTCGCATCAGAGGACTGATATTGTACCCGCTACCTTGTGGAACCTGTGGCTATCGACGTAAATTGCTCATCTTGTTCTTACTCTGCTAGTCGATCGCAGCTGCTATGGCAGAATCATGGTAGTCTCAATCGATGAAGGCTTTCTTAGTCCGGACACCAGAATTTAAATGCAAACCAGTCAAATCTATCGTTGAATTTGTGAACTCATAGCTTCGAGCTACTAATTACCGAACCGCCGTCCAAAGTAATCGTCGCTCCGTTAACATACGCACCGGCTCGGCTGCTGAGAAAGAGGCAAGTTCCCGAAACATCTTCCGGTGTCCCAATCCGTCCGAGGGGGATACCGGACTCAATCATGTCCTGGAATTTCTCGAGAGTAGCTTTCATCATCTTGCTCTGGAATGGCCCACAGGCGATGGTGTTGCTTGTGATGTTCCTAGCACCCAAATGGCTTGCTAGTACTCTGCTCAAATGGTGTAGACCAGCCTTACTGGCTGAATATGCAAATGTCTCGAGGGACGGCACGCGGAGACCATCAACGCTACCGATATTGATAATACGCGAGGGGTCGGTGGACGAGCCAGCGGCTTCAAGAAGAGGGGTGACGAGCTGAGTGATTGTAAAGACACGTTGCAGGTTAAGCGTGAGTACGCGCACCCAGGCGCTGTCTGGATATGTGTCGTATGGCTCTCCCCAGTTCGAGCCAGAATTGTTAACGAGGACGTGGAGTTCTGGAAGCAAGTGTTTCAGTCTTCACATCGCGACTCTGCAGCAGGCATGGAAGTGAACTCACTGTTCGTTCTCTTCGCAAGTTCCTCTGCAAGCTTCTTGCAATCCGACTCTTTATAGAAGTCGGCAGCGATCCAGTCCGCCTTGCCTTTGCCGAGAGCGTTTAATTCTTTCGTGGCCTGCTCGCATGCCTTTGCGTCACGCGACGAGATAAAAACTGTAGCACCATTCTCTACAAATCCCTGTGAGATCATGCGCCCAATACCTTTCGCGCCGCCGGTGACTAGAACAACCTTGTCCTTGGTATGATGTTAGTTACGGTCTTGAAGTTCGGTGAGGCAATTCACCTTGACATTGAAGAGCGTCGAGATATCCATATTGGTATATATACACTAAGAATTCGAAAACATGTACAGAATGTAAAGGGTGAAGAGGGGTGAGATGTTGCAGACGCAGACTTCATTGCGGGAGCTTCCCCAGAGATGTGTCTATCGATACCGAGCTGCCTCGGCTGAGCGATCCTTCACTGTTTGGGACTAGCGTGGGCGCAACTAGCTTATGGCTTGTACTAAATTTTGATAATTACTGCAAACACTGAATACAGTACATCCCGTGATATCCAAGCACTGTCATTCTGCCCTTCCAGGTGGTTGCGATGGATGAACTACGTGCTAGGCATCGCAAAGAGCAGAAAGATCTTCAAGGTAAAATCACACAGAAGAAAAAAGCGGCGACCAAAAAGACCCGCAAAGGCGTCAATGATGAATGCGACGTACTGGAACGAGAACTGAAAGAACGTCAGCAAGAACAAATCTTGGCTCTTTCTGGTGAAACACAACATCTAAGTGAAGATGCTACCACCGAGTCTGACCCTGACGTTGAACCAACTGGATCCTCCCGTGAGGGGCAGCTGGAAGCCAGCATGAAAAATGTCGCATTGTCTTCAGAAAGCCAGCCCGCAGAACAGGACGAGACTCCACATAAGAAGCCCAACCGTCAAAAGGCACGACTAGCCCGCCGTGCAGCAGAACAAGCAGCAGCAGCAGAGCAGGCAGCTAGTGAAGCAGCATCTCTTCCGGATCTTCGTGAGCAGGAACAGAACCAGATGGCTCAGCATTTCTCAGAACATGGACTAGCTGTCAAGGAGATTCGTGCCGATGGACACTGCTTATATTCTGCTGTAGCAGATCAGATGACGCAGCTCGGGCTTGGACTGAAGCCACGAATCACACCCAAGCTGTACACAAATGCTAGCGAGGGCACTACACCCGAGTACAAGATCGTCAGGGAAGTGGCAGCAGACTTTATTGAGGGGAATAAGGACGATTTTGAGCCATTTTTGGAGGAGCCCCTATCGGACTATATCCAAAAGATCCGTGACACTGGAGAATGGGGTGGTCATATGGAGCTCATGGCTTTAGCGAAAAGCTACGGTGTGAAAATTAAGATTCTGCACGGTGATGGTAGGGTGGATGAGATTGAGCCAAACATTAATGTGAAAGACCCGGAAGAGATCTGGCTCGGATACTACCGACACGGTTTTGGGTTGGGAGAGCATTACAACTCACTCCGGAAAGCACCTTGAACTTTCAGTCTACACAGTCAGGTGGTTCTGACTGATGTTGTGATCTCTTTGGACAATATCTGATCAAATGATTGAGGGCTCGTCAACTATGATGACTCCAGATCGACATCCAATCTGTCCCCTCACCAATCTTATGCGTTCTATCGGGCTTCCAGCGCAACAACTTCTTCAGCGCGTGCTCATTTGGCTTCGCGGACGGTTCCTGGATGATAAAACCGTCCTCATTGTAGGGAATCCTAACTCCTGGGCGTTTGAGGTGCTCAATATATACCTCTTCTCTGACAGCGAATGGTGGACCTCCAGTCGAAGGCTCTTTGTAGGAAGGAAACTCAAGACATAACAGGTGGCCCTTCGGTGACAGTAATTGAGACATTCTGAATGACCAGGCAGGCCGATGATCAGGATGCATGGCACATAGAAACTATGGTAGCAGTGTTAGCGAACCAGCTTCTACTCTACGGCATGCCATACACACCGTGTAGTCATAGATCAGGTCGACTGTTCCTCCAATTTTCTCAACCCAATCACTCTTGTAAAAGTCTCCCTCCATGAAATGTATACTCCCTCTTCCAATTTCCCCGTCTACAGCCTTATATTCGCCGCTCTCCTCTATACCTTGCTTAAAATCCGCGCACGCCTTCACGGCCAACGGACTGACCTCTAGCCCCCAAGCGTCATAGCCATAGCTTGCCAAAAGCGCAACATCGTACCCTTTCCCGCAACCCGGCACTAATGCCGTCTTCCGCTTCCCATCTCTTGTGATTGGCGATCCGAGGATGTCTTTCTTTTGCGCAAGTGCATCGACCAGTGCAGGGCTGGGAAAGCCTTTGTCCCATGGCAGGAAGCCTTCCTTGTACAATTCATCCCATTTGCTGCTGTCTTTCGTGCGATCATCGCTATGGAAGTGGCTGCGGAGGCGCGCGCGTTCAGGCGTGTCGGCTGCGAGATTGGGCGTTACGCCGGACATGTTAGGATAGTGCTGTGGAGCTTATCACTTTCAGTCGATGTCTGGATAGAGTCTGAGGTTTAAGTTCTGGAAATGAGAAGACACAATGTTTTGGATGAGGGTCTGGAACTTGAGTGAAGCTCAAGTGGAGAGTTGGAGTCTGGACAGGGTTCAAATTCTTGCACGAATCAAGCTCCAATCGTATAGCGTTTGGGATTTAAATGCGATTCTAGTTCCATCTGGCCCTTTGGCACAGGGTTGCCCGATCGTCATTGTCGTCATTCGTCATCGTCGGATCACTCCATCCATATGTCCGAGGCAGGAACGGAATGGATGGGGAAATGCTTGCAGCCGCACGGAAGTAACTCCGCACCGGCGCTAGTACTAAGTAAGCTACATTATTCTAAACGTCCAGCTTTCAATTCTGACTTATATGGCCAAGCTCATCCTCGTATCTTTCAAGTGTGCCTCGAAAGATGAGACAGACACCATTAGGCCTTACATTTGATCTACAGGATGAAGAGAACTATCAAGAATGAAACGCTATATTCGTGGATCTGCGGATGCACATTATACAATGTATTGAACGAGTCAAGATACCTGTATTAAATTGATGCTCTAAGCTGTAGGCGTCCTTCCTCGGAAAATCTCTCTTGCCTTTTTAGAATCAAGCAGAGAGAAGCAAACATTCTGCAATGGTCTGCAATGAGGTGCTTACAGGAGAAAGCGTGATGGGCACATATCTTCAAATACGCTTGTTATGTTGGGTTTTCTGTGTGATTGATAAACCATTGGTACGTACTCCCCCTTGCCTGCATATCTGGACAGTCCCGTCGAAGCAGAAAAGCAGATAACATCTAGTGGTTGTCTAGCACCGTCGAATCCCACCAGATTGGGAGGCAGGACTTCCACGGTTCTTCTCACAATCTTCGTATATGAGTTCAGATAAAGCAGCTACCCATCCTCTGTTGACTTCGCTCCTTGCTCACCCAAATACTCTAGTTGCACTAACGCGACACCTTCAGCCTGAGGCCGTGGCAGATCGATCGGAAACATTGATGTCTAAAGCGAAGGTGCTGATGAGGAAGTCGCCATCGGAAATGCCGTCCGTAAGTGTCTTGCTGAATACATTTGGGCATTACAGTGGTTGTTGCGCGCCGCCGCCAGGATTTTATACCGATGCTGAGATCGTCACTGGCCACTGCTGAAGCACTTCGAATGTGAACACTGAACCCTTTTGCAACAGTCGCTTGATGATGAAGTGGCTTTACGCCCTTGTAGCGATACCGAAATTTGGCTCACTTCATATTACAGAAAGCTTGTTTTACCGGCTGGAAGATGATGGAACTGGGATCGAAACTTCCTCCCAGACTTTACTTCGAGCTGTCGATACATTGAACTGGCATGCCTGAACTATGGCCTCGATCGGCCGTGAAATCTTCTAAAGTCACAATACAGAATGGTCGACGAGATCAGATGTCTGTAGGCAGGAGGCTATGGAGGTGTTGGGAATGGTGTCACTGCCTCTCTTGCCTTTTGCTCGCTAGCGTTCTTCGCAGCCATCTCCATTACTTGTTTGAATGCCATTGACATTCCACCAAATAGAGCAGACATAGGGTTCCAGCCACCTAGAGGATCGTTTGGGTCTTCCTGTGCCAATATGTAATCGCCTCTTTTCGGTGCACCTGTATATTCGCTGAACAGCGCCGTGGCTTTCTCTAATGGCACAAAGACACCAAGAGTCGAAGCTCCGAAGGTCAGCAAGAAAACGACACTGTGGACTAGTGCTGTGAAGTCTCCGAGTGACAGAGGCTTCACGAGATTATCCTCGATCCAGCTGTCGGCCTCATTGATATAATAGAGGAACGTACCCTTGGCATCATACAGTTCATTGACAGCCTCTTGGTGTCGCTTCATTTCTTGCATGAATAAATTATGTTCGTCGAATTGCTCAACAAGTTCGGACTTTTTCATGATTGAGAGTAGTTGTTCGTTGTAGCCAGGGAACACGCTTGGTGGCAATTCAAGATATGCGTTTTCCAGCGGAAATTCGATCACCCGAGCGGTAACTGGGTGTAGATGTGTATAATCCCCTCTGTAGCTAAGCCCGGCTGGAATATCATCATGATCAATCTTTTCGTCTTCAACCTTAAAATGCAAGAGCGCAGGCGCTTTTATCTGCCATACACCACAGAGAAAATCAGCAGTGCCAGAGCATTCGGCAAGAAAGATATGGCTTTCGTTTAGTTTCGAAGGCGCGTAGGCGTGCTGCCGAGCCTTGTCAAACGCTTGGCCCCACTCAGTGTATTTGTCGAAGATTCTGTACCGGGCCAGATAGATCCACTGCTCCTTTGGTGGTGCGTTTGGACAAACCATATCAGCCACAAGCTGTTCAAGATCTGCGTATTGATTTATGGGTGCATCGACATTGTCCCAATCAGTGTATTCCGTCGGCAATATGAGGTTCAATTTCTTCAGCCAATCATTACTGTTGATACGCATTATGTGGTAATCATTTTTTGTATCTTGAAAGTCGCGAAAGGTGAACCCCGGGACGCCCCAATCGTTTGCGACCGATTTGACAGAATAGAGAAACTTATCCGTATTTTCGCGTATCATGCGGTCATGATAGATACCGAAATGGACTCCATTAATGATGCCAATGACTATAGGGAAGAACGTCAAAGGCAGGGTCGGCAGGAAGACATATTTGAACCCTTTCCAAGAGATGTTGCGGATGGTTTTAAACATAGTGAACTTGCCTGGATGCGGCTAGCATAATAGAGAATAAACAAAACGGTGTATCAGGCTTGGGACTCTGCTGTGAGGGGGGCTGTTCCACGGCAAGTACAGCGTAAAATCTGGTAAACGAAGTAACATAAAATCGCAGGCTTCAGAGGGCATAAGACCGGATTTTCAGGAGAAAACTAGATTCATGAATCTATCTAAAGAAACGGGTAGGGGGCGACGCTAAGCCTATCCGGATCCCGGCGACGGGCCAGAAGCAGTCTTTTTCCAACAACGCCTCCAACCATATCTCTCTCCTATTTGTACTTTCATTCCAGGCTAGAGATATACTCTTCTACCTTCTTCCACTCGTTATTTTTAATCCAAGGAATAATCCAGTAGTTCCCCAGCACGTCTCGCCCCACCACCGCTGCCGAACCTCTCCGCTTGAAATCGTTCGAGATGCCAGAAACATTAATATAACTCGGTTTGCCGCTGACCGTATCCCCACTACGGGGCCCTACATTATTACCCACGATAGCAGCGGAAAAGTCCGTCTCATAGAACTTAGCTCCTGTCCAATTCGTCACATTGACCATTTTCATGTTTCCGTCACCGAACAAGACCGGCATACCTTTAGCCTCTTGGACGAAAAACATAAAAGTCTCGACTTGTGCGCGTGTGCGTTGTGTTCTGATGGCATTTCGGACTTTCAGCGCCGTAGCACCAAGCGCTTGAGTAAAGACATCCTTCACCGTTGTCAAAGCAACAGCCCCAATGACAGCGTTAGAGATATATGCCTTGCCAGGAAGCAATAAATCTTCGGCTAGAGGCCTACGCAACTCGACCACATTGACGATGGACAGTGTACGATTGTTATGTGGCAGGTTGACGCACATAAGGCGAGCTATCAGAGCTGACAGCACATCGCCGTCAGTCAGTTTGACGTTGTGCATAGAATGAGCCGCCGAAATATATGTCGCGCACTCCTCCTTGATCCGCTGGAATACAGATGGAGGAATGCAGATGGCTCGTCCAGACTCTTTTGGGTACCAAATAATGTCTAGTATATAATTGATGATGAACAAGAAGATTTGAAAACCTTTCACTCGCCATTTAGACATTACGTGTTCCTCTATTGGCTTCGAGCCAAGCGTTTCAAGCGGATCCGTGTCAAAACCTGCAATAGCTGGTACTCGCTCAACATGACCGCTCAGAATGTCCGACCAGGCTTTGAGTAAATACGCTAGACCAGCCGCGTCGATCAAGGTATGAGGCCATGAGACAGTGACAAGTGTCGCATCTTCGAATGAGACGATAGCCAACGTAAGCTGGGGCTCGTCAGTATACAGCCAATCCTCGAGCCTAGTCGGTGCGTCTTTCCGCAGCCTAACAAGAGGTTCAAAACTGTCTGTATCTGCCATTACAGTTGGCCGTATCGACGCCTTGGGTAGCTGAGATGCCAACGCATGTTCTTCGATCCTGCATTCAAACCGCTCACGAACGTAAATGAATGCCGGTCTTTCAGCACTGAAACTTGCAGGAATATGATATTCGAGCTTCTTAGTGGTATCCTTTAATTCACCTCAGCATTAACTTATGGCTTCACACTTGGGATCAAACTGACATTGAGGCGGAGACGTGCTCCAAGTTTCCTCCAATCTCCCGTCTCCAACAATGTCTCCAGAGCACCTCGAAGTTTCTCGGGGTCAAGGACAGCATCAAAACGCATGGTTGAGTAGAAGGCCATTGAGCGGAAAATCGGAGTATCATCCATCTTATGAAGAGGTATAATTTTGTCCGTAGGGACCGTTGCTGGCGCTGTGGGTTTTTTACTCCAGAAGGGCCACATTCTGAAGGTTTCGCAGAGCTTTATGATATTGACACTGTGTTCGGTTTTGAGCGTTTTCATCGACGTTACACAGCCTGACTTTAGTTGCACGTTGTGTAAACAAAATCAAATTATGCTAGTCGTAAACTTGACAGAGCCAGGAGCCAAATCAGGACTTGGAAAAGCCAATAGTCACCTGTTGACCGTGACATCAAACGGCACCTCATCGTTCTTATAGTTGATTTTAAGCTATAGATTTTGGCCCCCATATGAGGCCTCGTTCAACGCTGATCGACGCACGTGACGCTAGAGATCCTTCGACTTAGGATGATCATAATGATTCTGGAACTGGAATTCGAATACCGTTAAATCTGTTTCTTCATGGAGATCGACAAGATTTGGTCTAAGGATGCAAAATGTGAAATGGCTGTATCTTTCGCTTAGCTACTCTGTATACAGTACGCACTTCCCCTATTCAAGATGTAGATATATACTGCCAAGTTGATGTGTTTAGCCAAAGCATATCATGTTCTTGACAAGACAAAAGCGAAATCTTGAATAGCACACTTAGGGTTGTCCCCAACCTTGATATTCTCGAACGAATATACGAGCCTAATCGATGCTCGATTCTTCTCGTCCACGATTTGCTCGAGCTTATTCATGAACGCCCCCGGCATGTCCATCAATTTATCGGCCTCGTCGACCGATTTTCTCCCAATGATCATCTTACTAGCCTCCAGGAATCTACTCTTGAATACCTTCCACAACATGCGATCACTCTTGTGCTTTTGGCCCGGTCGCGGGAAGTAAGGATTATTATCAAGGAAGGCTATCGCAGCCCTCTCCAGTCCTTCCCGCCCCCATACCACGTTCTTCACCTCGTCGAAGTCCAATAACCACAAAGTATGCGTTCCCAACGCCTCCGAAATCCACGGTGAATCCGGGCCACCCAAGCCCATCTCCTGGAATTTACCGACGTTTCGTTCACGTGGTTTCGCCCGTGGCGGCGCAATCACAAACTCAATCCCTGCTGCATCCATGCCTACATCAAAGTACATTATTGCCAACACCTCCGCCATACTTCGCGCATACTCTTCCATCGGCAACTCCAACGCCTCCATCTGATCCACACACAGCGCATAATCGCCCAGTTCAGACTTGCCCGGGCTGGTTCCCCCACTCAGTCTTTTAGTGCGTCCCAGATACACCCTGAGCAACACACTCTCCTCCTCCTCTCCCTGGATCGCCTGTCGACACAGCCCATCAAGCCACAGCTTATCGTCCACAGCATCGATCTCCTTGCCGCCGAAGCCCCGGATACGCTCTGATATGGCGATGCACCCACGCTCTTTCTCGGATGACGGAAAGCGCGCTTCGCGCGTTGCCCACCAATTGTCAAAGCGTGGACCTGCGAGCACGAGGTCGTGGCACGCAGGCACCGAGATTGTGGGTGCGAGCGTGGGCTTGCACTCCGCTAAGCTCTGTAGCACGCGGGCGTGCATGACGTATTCGTTCCAGATAGCCAGGTCACTTTCGAGGGTGTTGAGTGAGCGCTTGAGGACGCAGCGGGCGGGACTGCTCGATGACAGGTGCGGATTGTGACGATTTCTTCGGGCATAGACGATGCTACTTGCACCGGCGCCAATTGCGATGAACGGCGGGTCGCGAGGCTTGAGGGATCGGGGGGAGTTTGGAGTGCGCGAGAGATAGGGTGGGTCGGTACAGTGGCATGGATGGATGCAGGATATACATGGCAGTGGTGCTGCTGGTATGGCCATTGTGGTTATAGGTTCAATAAAAGGGGTAAAGAGATAAAATTGCTTGCCGACCGTGGTTATGTCAAGTCGTGTATGTGTGTGCGATATTTCAAAAGTAACATGAGGAAAATGGAGAAGGGTGGATAAGTGCCGCGTATTATGCGTACTGTTTTTCTTTTGTTTTTGTGCGCGGATACAAAGTGTGGTTGAGGTGAGGTGTTAGGTACCATACAACCTCATACGAGGCCTTAAAAGTGCTATGGCAACTCTAGGCTATAGCATGGGTTGGCTACATATATACTGTGCGCATTGATCAGACATATATTGCCATGTATCTTGAGGGATTGGTCCTGTTATCGTCCTCGATCACATTCCACAGATTCCACTCCCCTTTGTTTGCAAGAGAGGATAAAACACCTTCGGGACCCCATCTACGATTGTTGTTTGGATATATCCGTTCCCATCCACTGTGACCATTGCACATCCCAATACATCCAACAGTTGTGTGCCGGCCGCAAACCCATGATTTGGCACACTGATGCCCACGCTCCCTGAGCCGGCGCCCCTATTACTCAACACTGCCACGATTTGATTTCCATCAAATCCTTTTCGCATCGCAATCGTGTTCGCATCATTCCATATCGGATAGTTTTTATATGCCAAATAGCTATCCGCCACATAGATAGCCCGATTGCGGACCTGGTTTAGAGCCTGAACAAGCTTATAAAGCTCTCCATCGGTCTTGTACCCGCTCAACCACGTGGCCTCGCGATTATACGGGTCTTTTCCACCAGCGTAGTGCTGTTCTTGACCAGCATATATAAAGGGGATGCCGTCAGCCAGGATCGTATATGCGATGATGCTCTTAGCTTGGCTGATATCCTGCGTTTTACTGGCGAAACGTGGCATGTCGTGATTTTCTGTAAACGATCCCAACAGAGTCGTGTCCTTGCAAGTGTTCTTGATGGCGTCGATGGAGTTTGCGAGGTTAGCGATGGAGCCAGACGAGTTAGTAAAGGCGGCGATGGCTTGATAGTAGCTTGAATATATCAGTAAGAAAAGGGGTAAAGTATATAAGGACGTACGCAGGGTAGTTGAAGACACTGGGAAGGTAGTTCTGGTAGTCGCAGAGATAACCAGGGTCGCCGTCGAGAACCTCGCCGGTAGCGAAGACGCCCGATGAGGAGACGAAGTCAGGGAAAAAAAGTTTATCGATGTGCTTAACAGTATCTATGCGAAGACCATCAACTATGGCAGTTTTAGCTCATGATTACAACTCTATTACTAGGTTTCCGAACTTACTAGAGTAGTTTGACACAATACTACGCACCCAGTCATTCAATGTGCTGGCAATCCTTGGATCTTGTGTATTTAAATCAGGAAGCAATACTTTATCGTCACCAAGCCAGCAGTTCTCGACTTGACTTTGATTATCATAGTCAGATATGAGGCAGTACGAGTGATAGTCGGATGCTTGATTGAAAGGAGTGAATTTGCTGTAGGTGATGGTATTGAAGGCACCCGGCCAGGCGAAATGATTAACGACAATATCAACCATTAGGTACTAGTAGCCATCATTAGTTCTGGTCGGATTTCTGGAACAAGAACGCACCATTCCCCGATCGTGTAAAGCTTGTGCAAGATCTCTTAGGTCTTGAGCACTTCCGAAGTTGCTGTTGAGTTCGTAGATATTCTGTTGCCAGAAACCATGATAGCCATAGCCATAGCCAGTGTCGCCTTCGATATTAAAGGTAATTGGGGAAATGTAGATCTACAAGCATCAGTATCGTTCTTCTCTAATATGATGCAAGACCATTACTGACAGCAGTGAATCCCATATTCTGAATATAGTCTAACTTATTAATCACGCCTCGCCATGTGCCGCCACAATATAGTCCTTCTTCGGTGTTGCATCGTGATGTGGTGCTTGTATCAGTTCGAGCAAATCTATTTTTATCAGCTTGATCTGCATCAGCCCCATCGGATGCTTACCTGTCCGTCAATAATTGATATACCGATCTTGAGCGCCATTGATCGGGTGTGGCAGCATGGACAGTGCTTCCCAAAACAGCAAAAATGCCAATCAACAATACAGACGGCAGCTTCATCGTCCCCTCAATGATAGATGTCGATTCAAGTGAAATACACAGAAAGAAGATTCTCTTCACTTCATATATAATAGTAGGACTAGAACGGATCTCAACCCCTTTCGTCCCCTTCTTCCTTGAATAGCGATGAACAAGCAGTAGGGGTCGCAAAGACCCTGGTCAGTTTGTGTAGCGAACACAGCTTTCCAGACGAATGTAGTGTGGGGCTACAGGGATAAGGCAAAGCTTTTGTTGAATGCCCCTGCTAAGTCAGGCCTCATCCTTTATAAAAATAAACGTATCGCTTTGTGAGTTTGTTGGGTTCTAACTTGAACCCAACAGCTTGCCGGAGGAGTGCCTAGAGCTGGCAGTTCAATAGTCTTAGTGTAGTATGCCCAAATGTTCCACCTGTAAGCGCATCATCACACTGGCGGTCATCGCGGGCCATCACTGTTGCGGTTGACGCCGCACGATCTTGTGATGTAGAGATGTGCCCTTGATAGGTTGTAGAGACATTGCGATCCGAATCTAATGTAAGTGCAGGAAAGCCAATGCGGAGTATCAGGCAGGGTATATAAGGTGCACGCGATCAGCTGGCTTCTTTTAGACTCTTTCGTAGTTTCGGCGTTGGGCCCTCCACCGCGAACCAATAACAAACCTGGACATGGATCATCGAAGGCAACAAATGCGAAACCATCATAGCATGTGCCGCCTTGATCTGTGTAAACACCTCTATAGAATGAAACATGGCTAGTCTATGAGGTACGTAAGGTTTGATGTTGGTCTTCAGGTTCATATGCCAGGATTGCCTCATCCACAGTCCTCTATGCAAAGATACATACAGAAATTATGAAGTGCAGAGCTGGTAGTTGATTGTCTATTCGTGCTACGTGCTCATGTCATGCATCACGAATTGGTTTCATATCGTTCGGACCTGCCATGCGCCGCTCGAGGCGCAATGCTAACCAAGAACGCCTGTCAATGCCATGCGATCTCAAAAATAAAATAGGACAGGTCAAGTCCTCGTTGCGAGCCTTTTTGTCATTTCGACCAAGCAAGAAGTGTAACGTCTATGCCTTCTCAAGTTCGAAGAGTGACTCTACGTGGTCACAGCTGCCCTAGTAGACAAGCAGGGCTTCAAGGGATGTAACGCATGTAACCTATACATCAGGCACCATTGTCAACATGCTCAGCAAATAGATTCTCATCTTAAGGCTTCCGCTCGATCTAAGATGTCGGCTTCCTGGGAACCTGTGGGAGCGGTCCAGCCGGTGGAGGCGCAGGTCGTATGGGTAGGGACATAGTGGAAGTTTCCCTTGGGACCTGTGATGCGCTAGATGTACGAAGAGGCAGACTTGGTCTCATAGACGCAGGAATTTTTCCGTTCGTCTCCGCTGTAGGTGTCTTTTCTGGAGCCGGAGTTGCTGACGGGGAAGCGGTACCTTCGCGAAGAAGTGCACGTGTTGAAGGAGAAGGAATAGGGCCAAGATGGGACCTCCGGTTTTGTCGTTCCATCATGCTCACCGCCCAAGCTTCGAGATCGACAGGAGTTCGTTTTGCTGCTAGGAGGAAAGCATCGTGCTCCTAATACATAAGATTAGTAAATGCTGTGGTAGTTTCTGCTCCTACGAAACTCACATAAAGTTCTTGCGGCGAGGGCCTTTGGTTAGGATCCTTCATCATACACTTCGCTATCATGTCTTCTAAGATCGATGGGAAGGCATCACTTTTCGGGAGCTTCGGTGCGGGTTCGAGAACGATCTGCTGTAATAGATCTAGGATACCTTGGGGACCTCCTGGCTCGTCTCCATCGTTGTCGCTGCCGAATGGAAATTTGCCGATCGCCAGTTCCATTAGCGATAATCCAACACTCCAAACATCTGACTTCACTGTGTACGGTGATCCCTGTATCCGTTCTGGGGCCATGTAGGTACCAGTCCCTACGAATGTTTCTGCTATAGAGCCCTCCAACTCGCTCGAGACACCAAAGTCGCAAAGCTTGATATGACCCCTTGAGTTGACGAGAATATTCGAAGGTTTCAAGTCGCGGTGCATGATGCGGTGAGCGGTCCACAGGTAAGTCAAACCGCCTAACACAGCTTCCGCAATCTTTCCGAGTACGTCGACCCTGACGGGTCCAAATGTCTTCGATATATAGTCGAGAGAGCTAATGTCGAGTGCATGTTAGCCTAAAGTAGATTCTAAGTCACGAGCAATGCTTACCCGGTGTTCATGTATTCCATACACATCACCACATCTCCAGATTCATTTTGAAAGGCTCCATAGAAATCCACAATATATTCGGAATTGCAATCATGCATAATTCGGAGCTCGCGCACGATCCTCTTTCGGATCTCGTTCTTGGCTTCGACATGGATGACCTGTAGGGATATCAGGATATTAAAGTATAGCTCGCGGGGATATCAGACCTTCCGCGCCATTACGACTTTTGTTGCAGCGTGCTGGACTTTGCTAACTGTTCCGCCATTTCCAGAACCCAATTCTTTCAATGGAAGGAGATCCTCTGCTTTAAGGTCCAATCTGAATTCGACACCAATCTCCAGTGTGTCAGTCCGCCCTTCATCATTGCCTATAGCACCTGGTATTTGAGCGTCGCCGGCGGATGGGGCTAACGCCTTTGGCTGTGGTGCGCTCAAGGCCAGGCCCTTGACGTTCTTCCGCTTCATTGTCCGGGTTTTGAACGCGTCGGCCATGATGAAGAATGCCCAAAATGCTAGTGGGAGGGGAGCTTCGGATCGGCGAGGTATCGAGAGGAGTATGAAAGTCTATAGGCAGGAAGCCGTAGGGCAAAATGGTCGAGATAGATTTGCTGCGATCAGTAACCTTGTCGGTCGGTAGCGGTTTGCGGAAGATCTCTACGGTGCTTCCGTGCAGAAGACCGCCAGGAGGTCGATAGATCAAATAGCAGCGTGGAAGAACAAGACGGCGCGTATCGCCCTTCCCAATCGTGAGCTTTAATTAGCAGCTATGGTGGTGCTACGGGCCAAAATCTCGAATCGAGGAGATGAGTAACTAGCGGGGCTCAGAGCTGGGTGGGGATATGTATCCATGTGGAGGATAGATGTAGGTAATTATAGCACTGCCCCTTACTTAGCGCTGTGTTGCTGCCGACAGAAAGCATGGGCGGCGGAATTTCTAGTCATGAGGAGAGACTATATTGACTGCTGACCACATGGCGCTATAAATCATAAGAGTGAATAATTTGGGACATATACACAGTGGAGAGGGTTTTTGCTATTATCAACATCCTACAAAGTTTTGGACTATTAACCGGCCGGCAGCATCAGGCTCCTCGAGTTACTGAGAGCTTCTCTCCACGCGGAGCGGACGTCAAGAACAATATGATTCAAGCTTTTGCTTCAACTTTGTAAACAAAGCAGCCGCACTGACTTTACACCTATTTCAGTACCCTGTTTGTCGCATTTTACGTGGATGTAGATGGCATGGTCAACACGAGGCGGAAATGGAACCTTGGAGCCGTATTCGTATGATTACCTAATCTGTGAAATTCCACCCATCGCCGCGACCCGCGGCCAAGCATCCTGTTGACGCGTATCTTTTTCTACCCAACAGCCTGTCTCTGACCATATGCGCATCTCGACGTAATTCAGTGCCGAGACTAAGCATATTGTATGCTAATCTTTCATTCAAATTGATAGGAAGCCTTCGAAAGCGCTCGCCCTTGTCTTTCTTCTCAAGTCTCCTCGAATAGACCCTTAAAGACCCAGCTTGGGCACCCCCCAACGGCATCTCTACATTACATCATAAACACTTCGCGCAATGTCCAGAAACCTACTTGATGTAGCTGCCGAGCTTGGTAGCGAGGAAGAGGATGAGGACTTTGATGAGGAGGGAAATGAAGGTGAGGGCCCAAGGAGGAAAACGAATGGCATGAACAGTGGCATGGATGATTCTAGCGAAGAGGAGGACGATGATGATGATGAAGAGGAGGCCGCGAAGGTAGGACGATCACTCTGCACGGTTACAAATTGGAAGCTCTAGCAATATTAACGTGCTTCAGATTCGCGAAGGTTTCATTGTCGATGAGGACGAATATGATGATGACAGGGCGGCGCGGCGACGTGAAAAACGGAAGCGCAGAAGGGCTGAGCGTGAAGAGGAAGAAGCTGCTCTCGACGAAGAGGACCTGGATCTCATCGGTGAAGCAAATCCTGAACTCGAACAGAGAAAACAAGCAAAGGTGAGTATATATTTTCATGTACTTCTTACAGCAACTCAAGCCTATCTAGTCGAAATTCAAGCGACTTAAGCGCGGTCACCGAGATGAAGAGGCCCCCGCCGGTCCGCGTGGTGTAGACGAGATATTCTCTGATGACGACGACGAAGCTGGAGACGACGATCGTCGCCCATTGCATGATGGTCGGGGTATCCAAGATGAGTTCGCAGATTTCATCGAAGAAGACGAATTTGAGGATGATGTCGCCCGTGCCCTTGAAGAAGAACGTGAGGTGGCTCGGCCTGGCACCAAAGGCTACTCTGGTCTCGCTGGTATCGAAGAGTCCGGACTCGACGAAGCTTCTTTGGAAGATATGCGTGCAGCCTTTGGGACCGGACACGAGTACGACTGGGCATTGGATATACAAGACGAGGAAGACTTTCGTGAGGAAGGTGGTGAAAAGCAGCTCGAGCTTAAACATGTCTTCGAACCATCCGAGCTTATTGATCGTATGCTTACGGACGAAGACAATGAAATCAGGCGCAAAGACGTACCAGAACGATTCCAAGTTGCTCGAAAGCCTTTCAAAGAGCGCGACTACACCAATGAGGCGGGATTACAGCTGCTACAGGAGGAGGCTCAATGGATTTCCAATCTTCTACTTCCCAAGAAACGTCTCGCAAGTGGATACGTTGATCCGTTCAAACAGTCGGTACGAAAGGTCCTCGACTTCATGGTCGTGGAAGACTACGAGGTACCGTTCATCTTTCAGCACCGCAAAGACTTCCTTATCCATTCCGCCGCCGAAGATGGCGAGGATGATCGGCCTGAACGACTTCTATCCCAGGATGATCTTTGGGAAATTTTCGAACTTGATCTGAAGTTTAGAGGTCTGGTAGAAAAACGCGAAGCATTGCAAGCAACGTATGAAGGGTTGAAGAGCATCACTGGAAGCACCGACGTTGTCTTCGAAGACATGATAATTGAAGCAGTCACCATGGAAGAGATTCAGGACATTCAAGAATATCTGCACTTTCGCTACGCTGGCGCCACCAAAGACCTATCCCTGATCCAATCCGAGACTAATGGGTCACAAAAACGCGCACAGTCAGCCAAGTCCATGTTTGAGAGGATACGCTCTAGCAACGTATATAATTTTGTTCGAGCAATCGGCATTACGTCAGAGGGTTTCTCAACCAATATGTCGTCTCCAGCGAAACCTCACTCTTATACCGAAGATGTCACGGATCATCCCGAAGACCTGGCCGATGCTTCACTTGAACTCCCAGAATTTTCCACTGGCCAACAAGTCCTTCGAGCTGGGAAAGCCATGTTCGTTGAGGAAGTCATACTAAACCCCAGAATTCGAAAATATGTGCGAATTAATTTCTACGAACAGGGTCTCATTGACTGTGTCCGCACGGAGAAAGGACTGCGGCACATCACTGAAGACCATCCGTACTACGCATTCAAGTATCTTCGAGCTCAAGATATCGCCGCCATGGTTCGCAGCCCAGAACTATACTTGCGTATGCTCAAGGCAGAACGAGAGGGTTACGTGGAAGTCAAGTTTCGCCTTGCCAATGCCAAGTCCATGAAGGAGAGGATGTACCAAAATATTGAATCCGACAACGTTAGTGAGGTTGCTGATGCATGGAATGCTCTACGACGTGAGGTGGTCGGCACGGCGCTAACAAAATTGGAGAAAATTGTTGCAAAAGGTGTTAAAGAGACACTCAAGGCCGAGTGTGAGAGCCACCTTGCCAGAGCGTGTCGTGAGCGATACGGCGAGAAGCTCGACCAGGCACCGTATAAACCCAAGGGGATGATGCTCGGAACCACTCCACGTGTACTGGCCTTGTCGAACGGGAGGGGTGTTCCTGGGCGCGATGCTATCTGTTGGGCATGGGTTGAAGATAATGGACGTGTTCAGGAAAACGGCAAGTTCGTTGACTTGAGACTTGGCAACCCGGACAAGTATATTCCTGACGGTAAAGACGTGGCGAACTTGATAGAGCTCGTGAAGCGTCGCAAACCCGATGTCCTGGCCGTGTCCGGATTTTCAGTCGAGACGAAGAAACTCTTCAAAGAGCTTCAGGACATTATTGACAAATTCGATATCCAAGGTCCTGAGTATGAGAATGAGGATGGGCACGACGTGACCGACAAGCTTGAGGTCATTATTGTAAACGACGAGGTTGCACGGCTATATCATAACTCCAAGCGATCGGAATTGGAATATCCAGGTCTGCCGCCAACGACAAGGTACTGTATTGCCATTGCGAAATATCTTCAGAGTCCAGTCAAAGAGTACGCTTCGCTTGGTGTAGACATTACTACGATACCTTTCGATCCTAATCAAGATCTGGTTCCCCCGGAACGACTCCTGAAGATTTTGGAATCTGCTATGGTTGATATTGTTAATCTAGTGGGTGTCAATATCGATGAAGCGATAAATGATCCGTATACAGCGAATCTGCTGCCGTACGTCTGCGGTCTCGGGCCACGTAAGACTATACAGCTCACAAAAGCGATCAATGCCAACGGTGGTGTCGTGATATCCAGATATGAATTGCTAGGAGTTGATGACAGTAGCGAGAAGAGTTTGTTACCGGCTGTGGGTGCTAAGGTGTTTGCCAACTGCGCCAGCTTTCTATACCTCGACTACGACCCCACAGAAGCAGAATCTGACTATCTAGATAACACACGTGTCCATCCCGAAGATTACGACATCGGACGGAAAATGGCTGCTGACGCACTAGAGCTGGACGAGGAGGACATAAAGCAGGAGGTCGATGACGGAGGTGCAAGTGCAGTTATACGCCGCATGGTCCGTGAGAAGGAGGAGGAGAAGGTCAATGAACTTGTCCTCGAGGAGTACGCTGTGCAGCTCGAGTCAAAGTTCCATCAACGAAAGCGAGCCACCTTGGAAACGATCCGGGCAGAATTACAGTCGCCTTACGAAGAACTACGCCGCAACTTCGCTCTCCTCAATTCCGATGACATATTCACTATGCTCACAGGAGATACCAAGGACTCTCTTACCGAAGGCATGGTTGTCCCTGTGGTGATTAGGAGAGCTTTTGCGGATCACATTGAAGTCAAGCTCGATAATGGCATTGAAGGGGCTGTGTCTGAGAGTGAATTTCCTGAAGGGGTAGGACTTGACCGTGGTGGCGCCGATGTACGCTCCGTTTTCCAGACCAACCAGACCGTGCAAGCGAAGATCGTGTTCATCAACCGGAAGCAATTTACTGTGCAGTTATCCCTCCGAGAGGAGGCCTTACGTCGACCATACAAGAAAGATCTTGAACGTCCGCCATCAGAGTGGGATGAGGCACAGGAAGCTCAAGATAAGAAAAACGCGCAAAAGGCTAAGGAAGAAGTCTCTGGACGAGCACAGCGCGTTGTCAACCACCCTCTCTTCTTCAGCTATAATGCTGCTCAAGCTGAAGAGTATCTTGGATCAAAGGAAGCAGGCGAAGTGGTCATAAGGCCATCGTCAAAAGGTCTTGACCATTTGGCGGTGACTTGGAAAGTGGCAGATAATGTTTATCAGCACATAGATGTCCTCGAGTTAGACAAGGAGAATGAATTCTCCCTGGGAAGAACGCTGAAGGTTGGTGGCAAATATACTTACTCTGATCTGGACGAACTCATCGTCAACCATGTCGAATCGATGGCCAAAAAGGTTACGGAGATGACCAAGGATGAGCGCTTCCAAAAAGGAAGTCGAGCCCAGACAGGTACGTGTGATGTATGGGACTGGAGAACGCGAGAAGTGCTGACGTTGCTTGACAGAACAATGGCTAAAGACTTATACTGAGGCGAATCCAAAGCGGTCCATGTATGCTTTCTGCATCATGCCTAAGTTCCCGGGCTACTTCCAGATATGCTTCAAAGCTGGCCAATACGCAGACCTGGGGTCGTGGCCTATCAAAGTCATCCCTAACGCATTTGAGCTCAAACATGTCCAATACCCCGACATGCGGGCACTCAAAAATGGATTCAAATTGCTCTTCTCGGCGGAGTCGGCCCCTCGCCGTTGAGAATATGCGCGCATGTATTATATACGAACTATCTAGACGGCTTCTGGTTTTAACGCTCGGCATTTCAACGTGTAGCATGCTTTCACGGCGTTTGAATGGTACCATAGGCTTGGCAGTTGGAAAAGCTAGGATTAACTTACTTAGTGCTACGACATGGCAAAGATCGCAATTCATCAGAAAGTATTCTTAATTATTCAAAGTGACCGGTTTGAATTGACCAGTCGCCAACGAGCACACTTAAGCGCGCCCGTGCTCTTTCGATCTAATTAGAATAGATACTTTTGGTCACAATTACATGTCTCTTTTTTCCATACAGAAGCAGTGTAGTCTTCGAGAGAATTCGGCTGTCCATGCTAGACTTGCATATAACACCAGTACAGAAGAGAAGGCCCGGAGGCCCGAGCTCTAGACTGGCCCTTAAATTTTACCCCACAACCCACCAAGACTTGTTGGAAGTTGCCCGGAGACCCCCTCGCAGTCCTAGGACTGACTATTTAACATTATGACTTAATTACTATTACTCAAGGCCAAATGCTTAACTAACGGTCACCAATCCAATCACCTCGTCCGACCTCACTCCTCTTTCTTTTCTGTTTCTGTGTACGTCGCATATGTGTTTGCTCTGCATATAACACAACCACCTCAAATCTTCTCTCGCCCTGCTAGGACTCGCATAAGTTGACCTCGCGCGACTTTCGATTGCTACCACCTTGACCTGCAGCATCATTAAGTAGATACACTCGCTCGTAAAGGATTCGTACGACTACGATCCCGGCAACAGCTTCTATATCAAACTGGTTATAAGATCTGGGTACACTTGGACAAGCCCAAAGGGCCATACAACAGCCACCGCAAGAGTTCTACCCTTCGAGGCCGAGGGGTATCTTGATGCGCTTCTAAGATCTTTGCGGAGCTCAACCGGGTCCCAAAGGTGTAAGTCAGCCAGCCATACGTCAATTGTTGCGCCTTCGTAGCACTAGTCAAGTCTGTACCAATTCGGCTGCTGACCCTCTCCAGTCCTGCGTGCCCTGTTCACTTTCGTCAGTCACTTTCATCACTTTCGCCTCAACGGGCCAGGTTCCCACCGTACGGACCTATACTCACGATCTTGACCGTCTACCTCCCTCACTCCCGCTCTACCTCAGGTTCTAAAGTCTCTACCCAGCATGTCGGCAGCTCTTGATGACGAAGATCTATCAATTTCCATCTCCACTTCTTCTACAAGGAGAGGCTCGAATAGGCCTGTAGAAGTACCCGAAGCACGGCCTTCTCACAAGAGACCATCGGCGCAACAACGTAGCCAGCATGGGGGTAAAGACAAGGCTACCCAGCGCCTTGGGCAATACTCAATCGTCAAGACTCTGGGCGAAGGTTCATTCGGCAAAGTCAAGCTAGCGGTTCACCAGGTTAGCGGGCAACACGTTGCTCTTAAGATCATTTCGCGTAGGAAACTAGTTACAAGAGATATGGCGGGCAGAATTGAACGCGAGATCCAATACCTTCAGCTACTTAGGCACCCCCATATCATCAAGCTGTAGGCATTCATTCCTACAAAAGTTCGATGCTCATGAAGTTTTAGGTACACCGTCATCACAACTGCAACCGAGATTATCATGGTCCTTGAATACGCCGGTGGAGAACTGTTTGACTACATTGTGCAAAATGGTCGGATGTCTGAGGGCAAAGCACGCAATTTCTTTCAGCAGATCGTTTGCGCGGTCGAATACTGCCACCGGCACAAGATTGTACACCGAGATCTGAAGCCAGAGAATCTCCTCCTGGACGAAAATTTGAACGTCAAGATCGCAGACTTTGGTCTCAGCAATATTATGACTGATGGCAACTTCTTGAAAACAAGCTGCGGAAGTCCAAATTATGCTGCACCGGAGGTCATCTCAGGTAAGTTGTACGCTGGGCCAGAAGTTGACGTTTGGAGCTGTGGAGTAATTCTCTACGTGCTACTCGTCGGCCGACTTCCATTTGACGATGAGTATATTCCGACACTCTTCAAGAAGATTGCTTCGGGAAACTACCATGTTCCAAATTATGTGCCACACGACGCGAAGGTCCTTATTGCGAAGATGCTCGAAGTCAGTCCAGTACGTCGTATCACAGTGCAAGAGATACGCATGGATCCCTGGTTCAACAAAGATCTAGCACCGTATCTACAGCTTCCGGCGGAGGACTTTCTCGATACGGGCAACGATCCCAATAAAGCTATCGATCCAAATGAACTGACACGCTCCAAACCTCCGGCAGTGGTACAAAAATTACACGAGACAGTCGTAGGCAAGCTTGGGATGACAATGGGCTATGCGCAATCCGATGTGCACGAAGCTTTGTCGAAAGATGAGCCAAGCGCGATCAAGGATGCGTACCTGATCGTTCGTGAAAACCAGATTATGAAGGAGAACCGTGAGTCACTGTTCCATACACATCTTTACCTCCAGAACGACTCTCTAACGTGAATGATAGCACTCTTGGCCAAGGAGCAACCTTCTTTTGCTCAGTCTCCGCCAAACTTTGATTCAAATATGATGTCGTCGCCAATTGCAGCAGCGATACAAGCAACCGCTCCACCAAAGATGCTAACTCCCCAAGATCATCACGCGAGGCAGGGCTCGGCATCAAGCTCCCAAGTCGCCAATGATGTCAGAAGCCCTGTAAATACAATTGGTGTCTTGCCAAGCAGTCTGCCAGGATATCACCTCGCTTACATGAAAGGTGGACCCAGAGATGATGGGCCATCGACCCAAACTGACACTCCTGGTCAACACGAGCAGACTCAGGCGGAAAAAGATGCAACTGCGAGGAGCCTGAAGCCTCATAATCGCTCTCAGGTCAACCTTGACAAGCAGAAGAAGCCGGATTCGATGACACCGATTCCGGCTAAGAAGCCCCGTGCCACAAAGTGGCAGTTTGGTATCCGCAGCCGCAACGCCCCAGCCGAAGCTATGCTCGCAATATACAAATCACTCCGGATCCTAGGCGCAGACTGGGAATACCCTCGCATCCGCAGGCCCGGTGGAAGCCGAAGCAGATCAGGCTCTACTAGATCCCGCAGTCGATCATGCTCACGATCACGATCCTATTCACCTAAATCTCGTGGCTCGTCTAGGGACGCATCTCCTGGTGTCACTCGTGCCGACTCTCCTACTCGGGGGCGTGGCCGAGGACGTGGCCAGCATGGCAAGCATGATGACTGGGGTTACGGAGTTCCTGAAGATCCTTGGGTCATTAACGCGCGATTCAAAAAAAGCGACATGTTTCCACCTGGTGTATTGCATCCGTCGTCAGCCCACTCATCAAGGGTTGATCTATCATCTGGTGCTGTAAACCGCCGTCGAAGCTCTGCTCTCGCCACTGGGAATAATGCTGAGCTTGGTGGGTATGAGGCTCCAAGCTATGCCGGTCCCAGTAGTAGTGCACGCAACAGCGTAGCAGGAAGTTCTTCGGGCGAAGCGGATAGCGGACGTGTTTCAAAAGCCGATGGCACGTACCCTGATGCTGACGAGAGCGTGTATGTGTACATCACTATTCAACTATATTCGATCGAACGCGAGTTTTACGTCGTCGACTTCAAGTGCGCTGGCTACGAGCGTCTTGAGGTCAAGGTTCTCCGTGAGCTAAAAGATGAAGCTCAGAGTGAGCGCTCTAAGGACGATGGCGAGCATAGCTGGCGAGTAATCAGTAGTACTGAGGACATCCCTGACCAGTTCGAATTCCGCGAGAGAGAGGTTGAAGAAGGGGCAGGACGTGCTAGTGGAGAGAAGCGTGCGACAAGCCCGTTTCCGTTCTTGGACGTAGCCAGCCGCCTGATCATTCAGCTTGCGGAGGGCGAGTAGATGGGTGTTCGAAGATGAATTTCGTTTCAGTTTTCTTGCTTTGTCTATGGCCATGGTTTTTAGTGAGTTCAGATTCGCATCAACTATCATGTCCACCGCTAGTAGGGTCGAGACATGTGATAGGTGGTGTCATGCACGACCGCTATCACTTCTTGGAGTATGGGTCGAATGAGGGAAGGCACGAGGCGACTCTAACACGTTGAGCAGCAATGAATGGGTGTATTAAGATATCACAGTCACGTTACGGTCACAAGGTCATCATGGATGTTTACTTTTGGTGTACATATAAAGAATGACAAGAATTCCAATAAGAGAAGAGTGTTGAGTGAGGGTGATGGACATTGCACACAGGAACAGTATCAGTATTGGGCAGATCAGTTGAGATCAGATGAGATGATGGGCTTGCAGAGGGTATAAAGGGTGAAACAAGAGGGAGAGAAGGAAGCCGGGCTGTTGTTGAAGTTCTCGCCTTGGCAGCGCTAGACCATTGTTGGCCTGAGGCTGTGCTGTGTGTGCTGTGCGCCCAAACCTCATCCTCAACCTCATTTCCACCAAGCTCTTCGTACTTACACCATCTCCCGCCAAAAGGAACTGCTACTAACACCATCAATACTGCGCTCACACAATATCATCATCCGTCATCGTCTCCCATGGGCGACAAATTCCCCAATGTCTTCCGCCGCCTCTTCTGCATCCCGCCACCCGTCACTCGGCCCTACTCGCCTGGCATACCACCCAGCATGGCTTCCGGCGGCTCCGATTCCAACCTAGCCGACATGACCAAACGGCACTCAGCCATCAAGAAAGACGACTCATTCTACACGCCCAAAACTCAGAACCACTTCGTCTACCACGCCAACAAATGGATGCCCTTTCGCGAGTACCCGCATCGCAACAAATCCATCGGTGGCGCGTCTGCCGGCCGCGTCGAAAACTTCTGGCTGATCACGTGGAACATCGATTTCCTGATTCCAGATAAGGAACCCCGTATGCGCGCTGCCCTTGCGCATCTCGAGGAGCAAGTACGTGGCATCCCAGCGGGCGAGCCGGTGGTGATATGTCTGCAGGAAATGGTTGAGAGCGATATCGCGGCCATCTGTGCGAGCGAGTGGGTGCGCGAGCGCTTTTACACCACCGATATCGACAACAAATCTTGGCTGACCAAGATGTACGGCACGACAACGCTGGTCGACCGTAACCTGGGCGTACGCAGCGTGTTCCGTGTGCCGTTCGTGTCCAAGTTTGACCGTGATGGCTTGTTTGTCGATCTGGACACGGGCGCGGGCTCGTCTAGGGTGATTCGCGTGTGTAATGTGCATCTGGAGAGTCTGGCTGCCGATCCACCGGTGCGGCCGACACAGGTCAAGGCTGCGAGTAAGGTACTGCACACGGCGCAGGTCCACGCGGGCTTGATGTGTGGCGACTTCAACGCGATCCAGCCCTTTGATCGGACATTACATGCTGAGAACATGCTGGACGATGTGTATCTGCTGCTGGGTGGGAAGGAGGATAGCGACGAAGGTTTTACGTGGGGGTATCAGAGTCCGGCGGATAGCAAGAAGTTTGGGTTCTGTCGTATGGACAAGGTGCTGAGTTGTGGAGCAATCGAACCAGAGAAGCTGGAGCGAATAGGTGTGGATGTCAGGACCCCGGATGGGAAGTGGGTGACGGACCACTATGGGCTTATGGCGAAGCTGCATGTCTTGCCGGTCAATCGTGCCATGAGTTTGGCGCAGCAGCTCGGCCTGCCCTGATTTTTCTCTTCTTCTTTTGGGTCGGCTCTGTCTCTTTTGGGTCGGCTCTCTCTTATCAGAGATATCAGAACGGGGACTTACGAAGACATGTTTGTATAAATATCCGCAACACGAATAGCACTGTATAATAGCGACCAACACTGTACGATAGCGAGAAAGGGCAAGTGATGAGCGGGAGTCATCCAAGGGGTTTCTGTCACAGTCTTTGGCGCAGCAAATGCCGCTAGTATTGTTAAATCTCAAATACATCTCTACCCGTGGCTGGAGGGTTCCGTCTATGCACAAAGATCCTGTGGAACAATGACATTTGATTACTGGATGACTCGCAGACATACTATTTACCAGCTGTTCATGAAGGTCTGCAGCTTCTTTACTCCTTGCCCCTAATTGAGTGGTCCATATCTACCGAACACTATTCTTTCACATCGGTATTATCGATACAAGCGCATCTATCAGACAAGCATGGGTTTTTTATCGCTGCGTCAGTGTTACTCAAACAATGCAGAGAATGACCCGAGAGTGAGAACACAGTTTGTTCCTGGTGTGGAAGCTGAAAGTATGGGTTCAAACAGCGGTACAACTTCTTTATCTACAGCTTTTCGACTTGATTACTTTATAGAACAATTGCGCAAAGCTTATCCATGCTGGAACGTACTACCATAATTTTAAGTATATCCATTAGCCAGAACTGCTATACTTGAAAAAGGCGTAGTAAGATGTCGTACTGTATGCCGGATATTAACATCATTAGTCGCTGTACGATACGGTGTTCTCGTCTAGCCTATTGATGGCAAATCCGAACATCCGAAGGTACCTTTGTGGATGATACATTGTATACATGAACAAAGCACGAGAATCTCTGCATGCATACCATATTATCGACCATGCAAACTGACGAAATTCACAGTATTAGGAGATGTTCATTCCAAGCAACACACTTCACCATGGCACGATTCACATTTTCCTCATCAGACACGATAATTCTCATTGATTCCAACTGCTAAATGTAGCCCCTTCCTCTCCCGCCTCCACAAAATCTCACTTCCCCCCTCCTCTCCATCTCCCCTATCCCCTCCCTGCCAACAACAACGCCACCGCCTCCACCAAAAGGCGGTTCTCCTCCCTCAACACCGCAAGCTCCTCCTCGGCATCTCTGCCGACCCGCGTCTGCATAGCCAGAGCCTCCTCCACCTCGCGCCTACAACGCCGGACCTCGCCGCGCAAGGCGTCGTTCAACGCGTTGAGCCGCATCACCTGCTCATTGCGCCTCAGCAACGCCTCACACAGTTCATTGATCCGCGTCGTGACGCGCGGCGAGTAGCTACCTGACCGCACAACACCAGGTGCCGCCGGCTCATCGTCGTCGTCGTCGTCGGGATCCTTCGAGGGAGAGTCGGAAACAGGCCGCACCGGCGAGGCAGATCCACCAGATGTGCTCCTGGGAGCGGCAGGACTCGGGACCTCCGACGAGCAAGTCGGGCTGAGAAGCTTCATGATATCGGCTGCGTGCGCGGACGAGGACTGCTCTTTTGCCGGGGTGGCGGGACCCAAGTCTACATCTGGCGTGCCGGGCATGGCAGCACTGGGTTTGCGGACGTTGAGAGGGCGCGGCCGCTCGAACTCCGTGAAGTGGAGTGGTCCTTCTTGCTCCATGAGCTGCGCGAGGTGGCGTTGCAGCCGGGTCGGGTTGGTGTTTGGCATTTCTGCCTCGTCGGATGATGACAACTGGCGGCGCGCTTCTTTGTTGAGGGCTCTGCCCTTCTCGGAGGTTGCTGGGGGTAAGGGTAACATGGACATGTCTATGGGCTCCTGGCTATACGTGGAGGCGGGTGATGGTGGTGCGTCACCCTCGAAAAGTCGGGCATGTGAGGCGATTGGTAGAGACACCTCACGGCGAGTCCGCGAGAAGGGCGGCGAGGGGATCAGAGGCGAGTTGGGTTCTGTGCTACTGGAGTGCTCCTCTTGAGATTTGTATCTCTTTGTATTTGCCAGACCCCGAGCTGGACTTTTAAGGGAGCTGTTGGCTGAGCTTGCGAGCGCGTTGACGTCGAAGTCAATCAGCTGTGATTGCTTCGTAGAATGGCTGCGGCTTCGTGGTAGTTTTATCGTATCTGACTCCTCGAAGCCTTCCTGCTGCTGCCTCGCCGTCTCTCTTTGTACCCAATCCTCGAGTCTAGGACTGGTATACTCAAAGGCTGATCCACCTCGTACCTGATGATGGTAACTGCCGCTCCTGTAATTTGTCAGTGACGATTCTCATACTACTGTTTTACGGTTATCTTGTGAGACCCACGTTCTTTGTGATTGTGAAGCAGTCGATGGCACTCTAACGTCAGGCGACATGGTGTCATAGGCTTCTGGCGGTCCGATTTCTGGGCAGAGCGCAATGTATTTGTGACCTGATGCAGTCCTCTTTTCGGCCACGGAAGGCGGCAGGGGCACTTTCCTATGAATACAGGTATATTAGCGTAGTTTAGATTACAGTGAAGAAGACTCTAGGAGCAAGAACATACACATCTGAGTTTGAACGGTCCCGTAACTTTGTCCCTCCTGTTACCTTTTTCACAAAATCCCGTAAACTATTCTTCTTCAGGGGTAAAGGTATGCCAGACTGTGGGGGTGGAGGTGCGCTGCGCAAGAAGAAGGCCAGGTCGGACGTATCAGTACCGGTAGCAGAACCATCGTAACGAGCTGCATGTGGATTTATAGTCGATCTAGTAGAAGCAGAATTCCGCACTGATCTCGAGACGAATGGATCGCTTTCAGGGCGGGTGTTGAACATCTTGCCAGAGAAGAGAGGACTTGAGGGGGTGCCTGCTCCGGCCCCTGAAACTTCAGACATGCGGTTAGCCACTGGGCTCGACATCGAAGAGGTTGGACGAAACCCTAGGACGACTTCCTTTCCACGAGAGCGTAACGACTCTTCGAATTCATAGAAGCTAGCATATAGATCTATATGCCAATTGCTTCTTTGAACGGAGACGGAAGTCTTATACGAAGATGTGGAAAGAGGGCGCGACCTGGAGAGCTCTTTTGCAGTTTGTAGACACAGCTCACCTTGGCTGTCTTGAGACCAATCTTCTCGCAACTCGGGCATCGTTCTCGGTGGCCTGGGCGGAACACGCGCAGGTGCAGTAGCAGAGGGCACGATGTTTGCATTGCTGGCTACATGGGAAAGGCCTATCCCTTTCACCGGCGGTTGGTAACGAATTATGGGCATGGATCTCTCATGACGAAGACCTCTCGTGCCGCCAACAGCGGGAGTGGGGTTTCGCACAGTCCTGGAACTCATCAGCACGACTACCAAAGCCTTAAAACACCGCTCGTGTTATGATGAACAGAGTAGGACATACCTTCGCTCGGGAGTTGCCAGATCCAGATTGGCAGTTATATCGTCCATCTTAGTCTGAGTCGTTGTCAAGTACACCAATGGGACGAATGAAGATTATGATTGAAAAGTGAGTATAGTTGTCAGATCGAAAGGATGAAGTCGCAGGTAGCTAAATGAACCAGGTACAGGTGGACGAGCGAGTTCACTGGAACGGAGCACAGCCTTTAGCGTGGACAACGCATACCCGGTTGTTCCTATTCACTTTCGCACCTCTCAGAGATTCCGCTTCAGTAGTTCACTTATTGAAGCGACAGACCGCTCCTACAGAAGCTACCTTACCGGCTCATGCCATATAACGTGACTATCCTGACTCATGGGAGGGTATTGATGCACGGTAGAACAGATTCGACTTCGATGGGTAGGTCATGCTTGAGTGAAGAGGTGGCCAGAGTGAAGAAATCGCTAGAGCAAGCGAAACGGAGCAAGTCATGCGAAATATTCGCCTGATTGAGTAGAACACGAGGAAAGGAAGAATCAAGAGAGGCCAGTTTGAAGAACTGCCACGACGAGTACATCAGACCTCAAATATTTTCCTCTACGGATTCAGGGGCTAGTGGAAAGCAGTTTTGGCTGTCAATGACCATCGAGAAAGAGGCAACTTGAGTATATAGACCGACAAGATGTACTCTATACGAACAAACTTCACTCGGAAAGGTGAAGGTATCTATATGTCAGGGAAACTTGAGTGGTTGGCGCTTTTGCAGTGATGCTCGCGACAGAGCAACACAACGGTGACGCATTATACCGGCGTGTGATAAGCCCCTTCTGACTATGGACTCTAGCTACACTATCGTTGCAAGGGGTATGGTAGAGTCCTAAATGAGCTAATTCTAGCTTATTATGGCCAATGGGAATTTACGATGCAGCCTGAATGACATCTCGATCTGTAAGTACTGTACGCAGTCGTGACCTAATGACACCAATATCAAGTCCAGAACGCCTCAAGATGCTGCCAAGTTATTCCACTAATGCTTTTGACATGTCACTGTTGACCACAATAAATCTATTATCAAGTGGGCCTTGGCTTCTTGTTTTGCTTCGGCATGAAAGGATCAACGTCCTTCCGCTTTTTAATTAGTACCCGTGGTCGGGTGAGTTGATTTTGATTTTGCTCAGTCTTGATTTTCGGCTCGGGAACATCCTGCTTCACTCCTGCTTCACTAGCACCTCCAGCGAGATGCGAGTTAAGATCACTCAAGATGTCGATATCCATGGGTGATTCGGATCTAGCCTCGGTTTTGATTCTTGCAGGCTTGTTGTCATGGTCGCCCAGGGAAGGCTCTCTTTTCTCGACATTCTTGTTTTCCTTCTTGATTTTGGCAGACTGCATACTAGTCTCACTGGAACGATGAGATAAACTATCACTTTTTGGTAGAGTAGACTTGTAGAGTGCTCTAGCCTGACCATCGCCTGATGCATTCGGGAGCGTTTCTTGCGAATGATTTCCTTTTGCCGACTTTGACTCAGCTGACTTGATAGCCTGGGCCAGGTTGCCGTCCGTATAGCGATCTCGTTTTTTGGCATCATGCAGGAGTTTATTCCAGTACTCGCCTCGTGAAAGTGACTGTGAATTTCCCAGTACCCACAGAGATGATTTCGCACGTGTTAAACCAACGTTCATGCGGCGGATGTCCTGCAAGAAACCAACACCTCCAGAAGGAGATGCTCGCACACATGAGAATATAATAATCTCGCTCTCCCTACCTTGGAATGCATCGGTGGTGTTGAACTCCACATTCTCCAAGATCTCTTCCCCATAGCGCCGGGAGAATCGAGACTTGAGCTCACGCAATTGGCTTTTGTAAGGCGTAATAATGCCGACCTTTCCCCTGATATCAAAGCCTCCGCGGTAGGTGGTGTTGAGCATATCGTATAGTTGAAGCGCAAAATTAATCTCCTCGATGTTGATGAGCGAGTGACCTTTTGGTGCTGCCGAGTGCTGCCCTTTGACGTCGAAAAATCTGTAAGGACCGAGGATAGGGTTATCATGCCAAGGTCGTTTACGAAGAGATGCCATATCTGCGCCATCCAGAAGCCTCCCGTCATAGAAACTAGCGCTAGGAAATGCGCTGATCTCCGGATGCATACGATACTGAGTATCTAGAAGGTGGACGGCGTCGGGGTGATTACCCTGCATTCTGACAAAGAGACTTCGTTCGTACTGGAAACGTGATGCTTGCTTCGAAAACACGGTGGGAGGAAGTTGTTTGGGATCGCCCACCAATATACATTTAGAGCACCCGTACTTGAGAGGAATGATGGCACTCATCTCTACGCATTGGGCGGCTTCGTCCACGACGACAGTCTCAAATTCAATACTGAGACTCTGGAACATGTCGTGTCCACTTCCGCTAAGCGTGGCGCAGATTATGTGTGCTTCGTCTAGTACCTGCTGTTGCGCACGTTTTCGATTCAGTTCAGCCTCGCGACCAAGATTTTTTTCAGCGTCTTTGAAGCTCTCAATCTGATTTGAAAGCTGAGCTTTCCTGCGCCGCAGATTATCAAAATTGTCCTTGGCCTTCTTGGCCTCATCTCCTTTGATTTCTCCGGTGTCTACCTTGTCCAAATCCAAACGTGCTTCACGCAGTTTCGCAGAGATCTCCGAGTGTTCCTTGAAGACTTTCTGTCCGTCTTCCCGACCCTTAGTATTAGCTGTGACCCCAAGTTTTGCGCTGACAAGCTCATCTAGAGTCACATCCTTGATGCTCGCGTTTATAGCGTCGGAGCGACCCAATCGCACAACATTCACTTTACGATGCTGACCCGACATGCTCCTGATACCATCTTTAAATCGGATTACTAATTCATCCACTGCAGCATTACTGGGTGCACAGACGAGTAGCTTTTTCGCAACCGTGTTGAGACTTCGCTGTGGTAAACTACCATTCGTCGCCGACGCTGTAATGGTCTTTGGTCGCGCGGAACCGTTCTCACTAAGAAGTGCACCAACAATCGCTACAATTGTTTTGGTCTTCCCAGATCCGGGAGGCCTGCATCAAAGTCAGTCTATATGAATACTGGTAAGGTAGTATCGAGGAATTTACCCTTGTATGAGTGTAAAAGCGTCGTTGTCGATCGCTGATTGTACTGCTTTAGCTTGCGCTGTGTTTACCGTATAGTTGCTCATAATGGGCCGAAGAATCTTGTCACTATAAGACAGTAGCGGGGAAGGCTTCGCCTGGATAATCTCGTCGCATAGGTCGTAAAACTGTAGACCCGATAGAGCGCCGAACTCACGCTCAAGTGGAGTGATCGACTGGACTTTGACGGCCCATATAAGACTCCCTGGATTGAGGCTGGACTGGAGTTTATTTCCAGGTAAGACCCTGTATGACACTTCCAACATACCCTTTTGACGCTTCATTCGATACACCCGTGCAAGGCAATGTGCTGCATGAGCCGCCTCAGAAGGATTACTATCTTTCGAGCACAATACAACGTCTCCTTCAGACAGACCAACATCCTTGTGGACATTTTGACTCATGGTCGTACTGAACTCTTGGAAAGCGTCTACACTAGATCGAGTGACGACCTTGATCTCATACGCCTTGAAACCTCCCTCTTCCCGTGCTTTGACAAATCCTTGCCAGGCCTCTAATAGGAGTAATGGTCGGAATGCATTCGTATAAGCAGATGGCTCATCGAAGGAATCAGACACTTGCTGATAAAGGTCGGATTCGGACTTGGGAGGAAAGTCGCCGTCATGAAAATAGTCCCAGCCGAGGATCTCTTTGTGTAGAGGTGACAAATCGGGTGCCAACCGTGCACGCATGTCTTTCGCTGAGCGCACACGTTTCTGCACCTTAATCGGCCCCTGCGGAAGCCCGGCCATGGTATCCCGAAGTTTGTTGTCAGGTGTGATCCTCTCCTTCTTGGGCTTTTTCGAGATACCAAAAAGTGCTGCATCAAGTTCATCATCTCCTTCGCTCTCAGACGAAACATATATTCCAGTACCCTTTTCAACCGACTTTGTGCTGCTCTGACGAGCTTTTGCAATGGCCGCAGCCCTCTGCCTCTCCTGTGCCTGTTTCTCAGCTTGTCGTTTTTTCATGAACTCTGATTGTGTAGTCTCTTTCAATTTTGAAGGCCGAGTCGGAAGCGCGGCACTTTTCTTCCTCTGGGCCTCCTTCGCCCGGTAGGCCGCAATACCACTGAAATCTTCATTGTCAGATGAGACTGTAGAAGCAGCCCTGCTTTCACTAAATCTCGGCTCTGACTTGAAGAAGGAGCCAATGGTTTTTTGTTTATGATTCCTCGCTATCTCATCCTGGGGGGCTTGGAACGGCTTCCCATAGTAGGCCTCTAGAGCTGTTTGGATCTCAACTTTCTGTATGGCACTTAGGTTTGACTTGATAACTCCAGTGATGACTTCTCCGACGTATATGAGAGGGCGATCGTCAACTTCGACTGAGCCACCCTTTAATCTTCTGAGCAATTTGCTGGTCAAACTGACAGACTTCGTAATGAGAAACTCATCGCGAAGACGGAGCCATTTCACCATGGCTTTGTACGTTCTGGTAGGCCCAAATATGAGGCGACGGTGGACATCCTTTTTCTCGGAGCTTGTGGCAGCGGCAATTGCAGAAACAAATATGCTGTACTGGTCAAAGACGTCCTCCGCCAGCTGCATGGTATCGCGGCAATATTCGATCATCATGTTCTTATCATAACCGAGCTGACTCCATTGCTCTGTTCGTTCAAATATCATCAGCAAGGAACTCCAGAGTGACCTCCAGAACGTTTCCGTGGCAGTAGCCTCCTCGCGAGAAAGTGGCTGTGATCGGAGAAGACCATTTTGGGAGTTGCAAAGGTTTTCTACCATATCGGCGCATATCTTAAGGAGTGTTGGAGTTGGGGCGAAAACCTGGCTGTCAATAATGCGCTTCAAGTTCCCCGAGATACAAGAGACTGTGTTCGAATAAAAGGCCTGGAGAAAATGATTCAAGGCTTCGCTGCGCGTGTCTTTACCGCTAACAACTTTCATCAACTCTACAACTCCTTGGTAAGGCTCTGTACCAGAAGAAAAGAGATGAGACAGTACGCCAGATGCAAGCTCTGAATCCTCGAAAAGATGATCAAGATGAGATGGCGAAAACTCGCTGAGCTTGTATAAGACATCACAGATGTGCTGAGAGAGTGTGTCAAACTTATCGTTAAATTGTCTCATCTCTTTAGTCATTTCAGACGGGTTCTTCTTTTTGAATGGTTCCAATCCGACAAGGATAGATGAGCCGAGAAGAGTTCTTCCCGGCAGTCCAATCTGAGGCTCCTTGATGGCAGCTACCACTGGCTTCCAGACAAGAGTGTCATTCTTGTCAATTACAGCATCGGTAGGCTTTCCTTGTTCTAGTTGCCGACCTGTTGCCTTCAACGATAAACAGTCCAAACGTATAGCTTCTTCTACGACATTTAGGCCAAAACTCAGCATATCACCTCGCACATTGTTCCCGCTGATAGTCTCGAGTATGACATGTGCATGAGAATCCACGATTCTGAGGGCATGTGCTACACTTGCGTTTCCAAGAACCCCGGGTGTGCTTGAAATTGGTGGGAATGTCTTATTCATAGCCTCCAAGCACAAGAGGAGGACGGTCATACCTTCAAGTTGGCAATGAGACCTGCAGCTGTGCGCAAATTCGTCAGACTGAAAGCGTCCAAGGAATTGCGAGGCCAGTGTGTCGCAAAGAGGTCCTAGGTTTGTAGGTTTGATCGACTCTATGACGGGCTGAACCCATCCAAAATACTCCCCGAGCTTCCGCGAGTCGAGAGTCCCTAAGAGCTGTCGATTAAGGTATTTATTCTTAAAGATTTGTTCTGCAAACGTGCTCGTTGACACAGCTCCCATAGCCTCCCAAAAGTCCTTCGGTGACTTCACAAGCAGGACTTTGATCGCTCCAATCAGCTCAGGAAAACAATCTGAATCGACAGAGAGATGCTCGAGTGCAAGTCTGTATATGTCGATATCAAGTGCACGCAAGGAATGAGTTATGAGGTCCTTTTTCAAGCGCTCTATTATGAGGCGAGCGCCCTGCCAGAACGCAGGCAAGAATGGAACCTCAAGGCAATACATTTGGACGTGCAACATAGCCTTGTGCAGTGGAGTTCGGATTGCCCAGTCAAATTCGAGTTTAGTGGGTGACCGCTTCATTTTTGTCCAGGTGAATATCGCCCATTCCGCCCGGGCATCGTTTGAACTAAACAAAAAAGTTGTCATAGCTGGGACAAAGACATTGAGCTTTAAACGTCTCTTTGTCTGTACCTGTTTGAAGACATCGTCAAAGTGTTCAGACATGGCTTTCTCGTCTGTGAGAAACTCAGGGGAACTGAGGGCTTCAAAGACTGAGAATAATGCTTGCTGGCTGAGATAATTGATGTGATGTTTCTCGGGTGGTAAGTTGCTTATTTCTCGTGCAGCAAGCCCCAGACCTTCTGTGATGCGGTGTATACTGATATCGTCAAATACTTCTAGAAAGCGTGTCACTTCATCTTCACCGTAGTCAGCCCCAAGTTGAGATTTCAAGGTCTGCCGCCCCTGGTGATACACCCGAATGCAAACTTCACAAGACATCAACTGCTTGGTCAGCCGATCTTTTAGCTTTTGGCCGTACGTAGCTGCATCATCCCCGTCATATGCCCAGATAAGAGTGCATCCTAGAGCAATGTCTCGTCTCTCCTCTGCGGCAGTGATGGCTTTCTTTCTCTTATTTCGCGCCTCTTCAGTTTCCGTGTCCACTTTATCACCGAGATCCTCATCATAGAAGAATTGTTCTTCCCCCTCGTCAGATCTAGGGCAGAAGAGATGTAGATTTCGAGGCAAGGATTCGAGTATACTGGTGTAATTAGCGTAATATCAGAGGCTTCTATGCAGGGTCACAGACTTCAATTTTTGAACTACATCTGCCATGTTGCGCTGCAAGATTGTAGATACAAAGTACCCGTCAGCTCTGCCGTATCCAGTCACCAGTACGAGTTGCAGGTCACTGCCATATTCTTCCGGGCGGAGATGAGTGTGCGATGGGTATTTAGTGCGCTATGAGAAGGCTTATAAGGATGCGTATGATATTTGAGCGGTCCGGAAAGCCCTATAGGTGAGCTAGAGGCCTTTGTTGAGGAATAGCAACTGAGATCGAGAAAGAACTAGACGAAGTTCATTAGGGCTCAAGCGTCCAGTCCAGAGGAAGTCAAGCGTTAGACTCTCACGGCTTCAAAGGGGTCAAAGGAGTAGTGGTGATCACAATCAAAGTCTCATACAAGTAAGTGAGGTTCAAGACTCATGTTGGATCACTTGTCAACTTTCCTAGGCGAATTTCTGAGCATCCCGCGTAGCTCATTAGCAGTCGCGTCTGGGCGATCCGAGAGTCTGGGCTTAGCGTGTTTTTTAGTAATTAGTCGCGTGCGTCATGGTCTCGTTCTATTTTTGCTTTCAACATCACTCAAGTCTTCGTAGCAAGAGGCATTCATTTCATATCCACCACTGAAAACCCAATATATTAATGCCACACGAATTCGGCGCGTAGTTCATCAGTATATTCGGGATTGAGCGCCCAATCTACATCGACCTTCTTTACAAATAAGTCTTCCGCTTCCAAAAGTTACATTTGTTAGAAATGTGAGTTGCCTAACTAAGTTGGCTTGTACAAAACAATTGCGGGCTAGAATCACTCGGTGCAGCACCTTGAAACTGCTCGCCATGAGTCCAAAAGATATGACCGAGCCTGACATGAACAAAAGAACGCCTTCCTGTAGTGTAAACGCCGTCTGACGATGTGGTGGTATGAGGCAATGATTTGAGGACAAATGAGAATTCCGACCCTGGTTATGCGGCGATGTGGGTGGTGGTAGGTACATACAGTCGTGGTGAAAGGTCAATTATACTAAGGTGCCCGTTAAGGAGAGGCCGTCTCAAAGAAAATGTAGGAAATGTTTCCAAGGGCATTTCTACGTTGCGGATCGTTTCGATGCGGTGCTCAGAGCATGTCGTAGCCTGCTGACTTTGCCGCCCAGACCGCGAATTGGGACATTACCGGAATTGCTAGATTCCATACGAGTCAGCATGGCAGCAGATGTGAAGTCACGGTTGGCTTCAAAACTTGGTCTGACGCGATCCATGCTCATTCTTGCCCTATCGTAACTCGGCCGTGGTCGATCCATGGATGATCGAATTCTCGCTAACCGCTCGTCGACGATCATAGAATTCGGTCGATGTTGCTGACTGAAGTCGATCGACTGCCTTTGAGCAGGTAAGCTATAGTTGGTAGAGTCACTTCCATTTTGACTACGAGCGTTGTGCGTCGTGGCGGTAGGGGCAACGGAAGGTGGATATATTGGTCGCTGATCTTCATCCACGGCACTCTGAGGAGGGTTGGCCGACTTGGTAACATTGCTCGAGGAATGAGAGTGTACCTTGTCCGGCGGGGGTGGTATATACCCTTCGACATCTTTGAGGTAGTCAAATTTCCCTTGGCGAACCTGCTCCCGTACAATGTCGATGTCGTAAGGGAAGTAGATTTTTTGAATGGACTTGATAAGAAATCGAGGCAACAAAGCCATGATAATGATCAGAAGCCAGACAGCCCAGAAGCTGAGACTCCCATATACCTGTGAAGCGTGGTAGAATTGGAATGCATATGTGCTCGTGGTATATGCGCCTGTCCAAAGCCAAATGAGCAGACAGCTGATTGAGACAATCAGGAGCATGAGCCAGTCCCAGCGATATGTGTTCATGAGAACGTAGAGGTTTACACAGACTGCAGCACTGGACACGATGTAAACGCCCAGGCGCCTGAGGTCGTCCAAGCCGAGGCCATTCTCGGTGTTGAAGGTAGCAGGTGCAAACAGTAGGTAGACCATATAGAAACAGATCACAGACTGATAAAGTCCGTCTAGCATATACGCCCTATTTCATGTTAGAGCGACCCATACGAACAAATTTGTATCACGTACCAAAACTTCGGTTGCGTCCATTCTAGACGTTCAATGCCCCTACGATAGAGTTGAGGCACAGCAAGCGATACTTTGTCATCGACGTCTTGGTCAAGTACTCCCATAAGGATCACAGGTAGTGAAGTAAACGCCAAGTTGTACATAATAATGTACGTGTAATCGTACACATACGAACAATCGAATTGTGCGTAGATCTGGTACCAGAACAAAGCAAAGACCCAAACGATGTTCTATTATATTCATCAGCGATTCGTTCCACCGAGCATGAAATCTGACGCACCTTGTAGAAGAAGTTGGCAATCGTCTCGGCCAAACGTCTATATGACCAACGACCGTGCACAAGGACCAGCCGAGTCAAGAACCGAAATTGCCCGATAGCATAGTCGGAAGACATCACGGCCTGTCTGCCCTCTTCACCTGCAATACCGACACCGACGTGGGCCTCTTGGATCATTGCAACATCATTAGCACCATCGCCAATGGCGAGCGTTAGACAGTCGAGACCGTGCTTGACCATACGCACTACGGCAGCTTTCTGGGCAGGACTGACTCTGCAGCAAAGCACTGCCTTGCATTGTTTGCAGAGCAAAAGGAATTTCTGCCTGAGACTATCATCAAGAACAAGTTTCAAGGAGTCCCCGTCGATTACAATGCCGTGGCGAGGATCAGGTGGCTCGTGGTTGGTCTGAGCCGCTGCAAGCTCCTCATCTGAGCCAGTCATATTGAATTTCTGAAGATGCATGTCAAGCTCAGCCTCTGCAGTCTGTAGTGTTCCATCTTCAATGTTCAAAGTGATCAAATCCATGTCGTTGTCTAACAGGTTGCAAGAGAATCCGATGTTGATGGCAGTCTCAACTTTGTCTCCAGTCAATACCCAGAGCTTGATACCGGCCTTGCCGAGCAAAGCGATGGAATCTGGAACACCGTCTTGCAGTCGATCCTCAATAGCGGTACCTCCTAACAGTGTCATCTCCTGCTCGATAGCAGAAGCGACCGTCTCCAATTTCTCCTCTCGGTTTTCAACTGCTGATGCTGCACGGTCGTGCTCCTTGTTCCACTCTTGGTACGTGTCTTCATCAAGCTCTCGCATTGCAATGCAAAGAGTACGTAAACCCTCACGAGCAAACATTTCGAGATGCTCTGCGGTCTCTTTACGAAGTTCAGGCTGTTCGCCACGTTTCAAGCGAGAATAAATGATGCTGTCTGCGCCTTTGCAGAAAAGTACAATCCTGCCATCTGGCATGCGTAAAATCGAACTCATTCTCTTCCGGGTAGAGTTGAACTCGAGTGTATTTAGTATTGTGTACTCGCGCTCTTCACCCAAGATATTAACAAGGATACCATCGGTAGTATGCCCCAGTACAGTGAAGCCACAATCTCTTGCCGTAGCGACAAGAGCAGCTTCGTCAGGCGACTGCGCTCTGAATTCGAGCTTTGGTGGGTCACCTGGAGTTCGCTCGGTAATTACGGTGTGACATAGAGCGAGAGCCAACATGAACTGTTCGTTAGCTTGCCTTTGCTCTTCACCCGCCTCACCCGCCAAATCTGCCACGTAGTCGGGGGCAACAAAAGTGAGGTCCTCATCTCGCAGGTACGGATTATCATGCATGCGACGCAGGTCTCCGATCATTCTAACACGATCTTTGGCGATCTGTTCCTTGGCGCGGGCAGACTCCTCTTCTACATTAATGCCTTGTCGGCGGTGGAGACCAGCCTGGGCTTCAGTGTACGCTTCACCGTACGGAACCCCATTGATTGTAGCCTTTTTGAACTCCATGACGTTCTGGGTCAGCGTGCCTGTCTTGTCCGAGAAGATGTACTCGATTTGACCAAGGTCGTCAGAGATGTTCCATGACTTTGGTGTACATGGGTAGTCTATCTTTTCATAGTACATCTGGGTGTCGTTGTAGATGAACACCGCCTGTAGTGTACGAATGATTTCCAGAGTAATGTAAAGTGATATAGGAACCAGATTCTGAAAGAGAATGAGTGCCGCCCAGAAGGTGATGGTTCCGTCCAGAGACGCGTTGTTATTTCCGTAAGAGCCGAACTCGAAGAGGGAGTGAGAAGTGTCATCTTTGGCCCAGAATATACCCTGGACGATACCTGCCACCAGACACATGAAGAACAGTATTATGAAATTGTAGATGACGTTCCAGTTTAGGTCTTTCGAGATTTTGGCACGCTTGCTTGGAGTGATACCGGCGTTCAGCATGATCTTGGTTTCTTCGCCTGTGTATACTACCACTCCGACAATCCAATCAGTGTTGCGGACGGTACAGCCACGGAGGAGAAGGTTGTTGATTGTGACTGGCTCTGCCATTTCGACCGTCGGCGCTTGTGGGTCGTGTATATCTTTTTGTTCCCACCGAATGACGCCACTGTACGAGTATAGATTTGGCTGCGGGCCTTCGCTTTCGATGATGAAAGAGCACTGTTCACATTGCCGAGCGTGTTTGACATCGCGTCCACAGCGGAGAGCTTGCCGGACCTTAAGATTCGTCTCCCCATCCAGATTTTTCGTTTCCACGTAGCAAGCTCCATCAGTATCAGAAGTGGAAAGTACTACTATATCTGCGGGAATTTCGTCCTCGTTATACAAACGAACGAAGTCGCCCACTTGAACGTTCTTCCAGTAATCTTTCTTGAAGCGGGCTTTGTCAGGAGTGGGTTTGTGAGGATCAATGAGGCTACCGTAAAACCTTGCAGGCTGGAGGTTGTTTGCGCGCGTATGCGGCGTTTCCGATTGAGCTTTTGCTGTGTCCGGATGTAGCCCGCCGTGGTCGGAGATAGCGATACCTATTTGGTCTTGAGCTGGTGGGAACGGATGGTTTTCTTGCAAAGGCGATGGCACGGGAGTCATCTGGATACCGTCGTCGTCGTCATTATTTCCGTTTCGCGGTGCCTGGAAGGAGGCCCGGGGTGAATACATCGAGGCACGTTTAGTATCAATCGAAGCACGACCTTGGTCTACAGCTCGTTCTGCATAGGACTTCCCTTTCTCTTTCTTCGACGTGAGCGCTTTCATCCTACGCCAAAGGAATGTGACTCCTCGGCTACTCGCTTTTTTTATCCTTCTCCAAATGGATATTTGATCTTCGGCAGAATTGACATTATTAAAATCGATTAGACGGTGAACGGGGGCGTTGTTTAGCTCGATGTCGAGGACTGTTCTTCGCCAGTCCTCTACGGCATCCTTAATAGCGGTGATGATGACGATAACAATAAGAGGTACAGCTGCTAGGCCAGGGTTCTCTACACCAAATATGGTAAAGAACTGTGCAACATACAGATTAGCCGATTTCAAGTATCATGACATCTTAAACTTACCCCTAATATAACAATAAATAAGAAATAGACATTCGCGATATTGTGAAACTGGAACCATAGGTTTTTAGGTACAAAACTGAGAGGTGTGTATTTTGCTGTTCGTATCTTGTTTCGGGGGAATCGGACGAGTGGGTGGCCTTCTTCGTCTCGAGCGTTCGGGGGGAGTGGTATGTTGAAGAAGATGGCACGCTGCTCAACAGAGCCATCGGACTCGCTCTGATCATCGGAAGTTGACTGCTCTCCATTTGTTTGCCCATTTTCAGAGTCTTTACCCATTGAATCGCGTTTGTGCTTTTCGCTGGACCCGGAACGGCTATGGATTGGTAGGCGTGCCAGCAGCGACTGCCTTTTTCGATCACCCTTTGCGCCCGGAATTCGATGCGTTGCCCATCTTATCCGTTTCACAGGATTCGATCTCTCGCTCTCTGGAAGTTGTGACTTGTCGACTGCCATGGCGTAGCTTTCCAACGATAAACACAGGCCCGTGTATAGTCAACAGAGACCGCCGGCCTCGGCCGGATTGAGTAGGGCTACTCTTAGATGGCCAGTTTTATGGCGGTAGGAATTGTAGAAGCTCTTATGAAGGCATTCAGGGATGCCGAGAAGGGCGGAATGGACGTGTTGGGCGAACAGATGTGTACGGGCGAATTATTTCGGCTAGGTGGACCGTGGAGGGACCAGGGGCGGGCTGGTCGAAAGGTTATGTACGTATTAGTGGTAGTAGGTATGAGAGGTGGCCACGGTTGGGAGAGACGGCGAGCGACAATCGCGTCGTCGCAAGGAGAGGAAGTGATTGAATGGGAGCGCACGATGACGACGGCGACAAAGGTAGGTGTAGAGGAAGAAAGTTTTGGGGCGTTGTCGAGATTACAGAGATGTTGGAACGGGGTATGGGATACTCGGTCGTGTATCGGTCGACAGAAGCTGACCCGGGCTTGGGGCACCCGACGGGGCTTGGGGGCTTTTTTTGGTGGTGGATGGAGCCGTCAGGAGTGATTGAGTGGTCGGTTTCGGTTGCGCAGGTGTCCACAGTAGGTAGGTATTAGTAGGTATTAGCAGGTAATAGTTAGGTAGGTAGTGTCAGTGGAGCCTCAAGTAGGTTGATGCTTACGAACCATGTCAGCCTTCTCGGACATAACAGTATTCAGCATTCAGCATTCAGTGTTCAGCCCTCTACAATACGCACAATTAATTGTTGTTCTTATCATCTACGTGTCCAACGACGCTCTCCTATGTCACTGGATTTATGGTCAATAATAGGTGGCATTTTCGAATTCCACCTTGTCCGTACTGCATCTGCACCTGCATCTATCTGCACCTGGCCAGCAACCGCACACTGCCCTCGTCTCTCCGTCTCCGCTGTCTGCTGCGACGTTCGGCATCGGTAACTTTGCTTTCCCTTCTTTGTGGGGCGTCCGGCGTCACTTGCAACCAACATCCTTGTCACATCTCTTCATTCACTTCTGACGCTCGCAACCGGTCCAAAGAACTTCCTGAGCAACAGTCAGCTCGATAAACGTCTTACCTAGGACCAACATCACTAGTAGAGCAGGCTTTGCGGGCTACGTCGCTAGTCTGCCTGGATTTTCATGTGCGAGGATCAGGTTCATCAGCCAACACGAGCTGTGTCAGTCTCGTCTCTAGCTAATTAGTCAGACCCTGGTTCATCCTTTGGCTGATCATAAATTTAGATCCTGTGCCATCTCAAAGTGATGAACGACAATCATAATTCCGATCCAGTAATTAGCTGTCAAGCATATCGTTATGTGAAAACTTTGCTCTCTGACATAATACCAGAATTTGAGAAGACTGATCAGCTCCCGCAAACCAGGACAGACAGGTAATCAACCTGGCCAACTACACATTCGATGCAGCTGCCCTTGCAGCTTATGGGAGATGTCCAGTATGTTTGCATTGACATGACATCCTCCGAGTCTAATGTGGTCGTGTACAAAGGACCACTTGTACTCAGGCGATGTCACGACTGGACACAGGCTGAAACTCATGAAGCACGTCGTGTGGAGCCTACTTGTCCTGTGAGCTGTAAGCATGAAGTCATGGAGTTGATACAAAAGAAACGTGTATCGGGATGGGATACGTAGCTCCACTTTCATACTGTGTAGTGGTCTATCCTATATACTATTCATTAATTAGTAATAGCGGCGCGATTCATCAAGCAACCTTGGAAAAGGACAGGCGAACGTAGTCCGTGCCGTTGCACGTCCATTGCGGCATGTTACCAGACAAGACTTGGCCGAGCTTTGGGTGCTTGCCCAGAGGTTCCATTTTGAACGGTTCAGACGGGAAAACATCTTTTCACTAATGATTCATTACGACTTAATTGACAGATTCCTGTCTTCATTTTCGACGCCGATGTTCGAGGATGGATATGGAATAGCAACAAGTAACAGACGGTCATGCCATTTGCCATCAATCATCTCTTGGTTCCAACACAGACGGATGGAACCACTAAACACTAGCGGATATTTTGCGGATACCACGTGGCACGTGGAATCGCGTTTCGCGTTGAATATGCTTCAGTTCCTACGCGTCGCATCGTCATTCTCACTGCCACTGCTAACCTAATGTTATGTGCCCAGAACTTTTGTGGGTCTGATTCTGGATTTCATACAATCAGCCTCTGGCACTTTTGACCATGTAGCAACGATGGCTCCCGTCACCAAGCCCCCGAAGAACAATCGCGACATTAAAGACTTTTTCAAGCCTCGGCCTGTTTCGCAAACGTCCCCCGCCAATGCCATAGGTACGCTTCCTCAGGAATCTACCTGGTCTGGGTGATTTGCCTCTCTATTGTGGAATCATAAACCTGACAAGAATCGGAGAAGATAGATAGACAGAGCTCCGAGCGTACATGGCCAAGTCCAATTCCTCCCCGACGAGGGCGAGACCAGAGTGCATCCGGCTCCACTCGACAAGATCCATCGCCAACCGCGACACCGTCTATAACTGCTGCTATGAATGATCATGACATACAGAGCTTGAACAAGGTACCGAATAGCACAGCCATACGGCAGAGACGGTCTGAAAGAATCCCTAGCCATGATTGCCAGTCAGTGGAAGTCGTCTCGCTTCCGTCGAGCCCTGAGGAGGTCTTCATGTCGAGCCCTATACCAGTCTCACCTATGGGAAGGACTACAACGCCCGCTCCAGTAGGTCTGCGGTATGTGAGAGATGGCAAAGAAATGATTCAAGACTCTGATTCAGAAGGCTTGGACGATTCGGACTCGGAACTCGAGGACGTGAGCGCCTTCATCACAGTCAATAAACGTAACCTGAAGAACTCGATTGATCCATGGTCTCAGTCGACTCCGGCTCTCGTACGCCGTGGAACGCCTCCACGAACAAATTTCCGAGATGCTTTGCGGGCACTGATCGATGACAAGAAAGAGAGTGTCGCTGTTGACGCGCAGATCAAGGAAGCAAAGATCATGTTAGGGAAAAAAGAGGACTCCCAGTCAAACGAAGACGAAGCGACTATGAACGAGAACATATTTGTCACCTCCCTGGGAGAGGATGATGGTGGTGAAGAAAAGGCACATAAAGTCCTTCAGGCCGTACAACGAACAGATGCGCTGCACCTGGACACGGTGTGGCACTTCTTTCTAGACGAGAAGCCTAAACAAGCGCCTTCGTTCCCATCGAATCATCTGTCACAGGTCTGGACTTCGCCATCAATGACCTGTAAGTCGATCAACACCGACATCTGTTATTACTGACGCAAAAATAGCATTAAGTTCGCGACGAGACCTATTCTTGTCTGGTTTCGTCTCTACATGGGCTGGAATGCAAGAGTTGCCAAATGAGGTCTTGCTCTGGATATTGTATGACCGTGAGTGGGTGTCGAAAGTCAGCTCGTCCAGCGCTAACCGATTCGAAGTATGCTCCAACGCGGATACTGACCTTCAAGAAGCCTACGTGCGAGTTCTCCGTGTACGTATTGACTCGTGCGCGCACCCTCAGTCAGGGCACTAATCCTCCAACAGGAGTCTGAAATACAACTTCGCGATCTCCTTACTATCGATCGTATCAAAGACCTATTCGCCAGCTTGAAGTCCAAGTCTGAAGCTCTGGATATCCGTATGGTGATGCAACCAAGCAAGGAAGTACCACGAAGTATGTCTAGGATATTTCTGGGCTGCGCAAGCTAATCGCCACAGGTGTTCAAGTACCGCTACCCCCTGGACTTCTCCCTCTTCTCACCCTTTTCAAGCAAGCTGCGTCTCTGTGGGTATACTAACTTTTCCCACGCGCTCCGCTGACGATTCCTAGCCTCACGCAAGAAACACGGTCATATACTCTATTCATCCTCGTCCGAATGCTCTACGACTCCTCAGTCCTTTCATCTGCTGCCACTTTCACCCTGCTTCGTTCTACTCTCGGTTCCTTGATTGACTCCTCCTCGTTGTCCTCGACTTTGGATACCGATATTTCCGCCCTCACATCATCCCTACCGTGCGCTCTCAAGTCTGTCACCCTCCAAGCTACCCTCATAACTGCTCTGCCCGCGCTCTCTCCTGCCCAGCAAACCTTCAAACGAGCCCTTGCGCTTTCTTTCTTCCTCAATACTCCCATCCCGGGCGTAGCACATCTTCTCTCGGCTTCCGTTGCGAAAGACGTCATGACCTGCCTCTCGACTAACTCACTTTACACTGCCATCGATGACACAACAGACTACTCCACCCTCACCGCATCCATGACTCTATTGGACGTTGCCATTGACGTCGGCTTCGGTCTCCCGCTATCAGCATCTGCGCCAGGACTTCCGGGTGATTCAACACCCTCTCTGACAAAAGATCCCAACGTAACGCGCTTCAACAATGACGTTGACGCTCTCGCCCAGCGTCTTCGGACCATCGAGAGCTGCATCCGAGACAGTGGCGCGACAGACATGGCGCGCATGTTAGCCAAGGATGCAGTCAGCGGGGTGAAATTCAGACTCGAGGGCGCTGTACGACTAGGCGCGAAGAGAAAGCGGGGCATGTTTGCTGCAGGCGATGAGGGGCAGGAGAGTATCAAGAAGATGTTCATGCGGCCCCCTGTGCCGAAAATAGAGAAGGCGGAGTAGGCGTGTTGATGAATTTATGGATAAATAATGACTATAATGAGGTGTAGCCAGGACGGCTCAAGATGTGTTTCCTCGACAGATGATGGTTTTGCATGTTGACCAGTAGCATATGTGAAGTGTACCGGGTTCATTGACTGGCCATCTGTCTCCTATCCAGGAAATTCGTCGGAATGGCAGCATGGTAGTCTATCTCTCCAGGTCGCGTCTCATATGACTCTGTATAGACCATGTTGATCTTGATAGTCATATTCCAGGGTTACTTTAATCCCACATCGACAGAATATGATGTACGTCACGAAAAGATCATTCGAAACTCTGGAATTCCTAACGCTCATAGAGCCGATGCCTGTAGCCAGATATTGACACAAGGGCATCAATTATCAGGCTTGGCTTGCGTTCCTAGCCGCGGACCACTTCGCGCTTGCCACCTACCCCTGAAATCTGGCACCCTGCTATGTTGCCCTACATCTCAATACATCCTTGAAAGGACTGAACGATCTAGTGGGGATAGAAAACCCCTCAAACGGCTACGTGTATAAACATACATATCCCCCTTCGTCGGCGTGTTCATATTGGTGAAATCTCTCCCTAAGTCTGTCTACCTTGCATCCAAACGTCGTATCTTCACGTCGACGAGTGCGACGTGATACTCGAGAGAAAGCCCTCGATGGATGGCTAGATGTGGTAAATTGTATACTTTTGACACTCTGCTAGTGCAAAAACTTCTTGCGTTATTGTCAAATGAGAACGCTCCAGAGAAATCTCAAGACTCGGTCAAAGACACCTCATCTCGTCGTATCGGGGGATCATAATCCGTATTCAGCCACAAAGCTCAATGTGCAACATCCTTCACATCCGCAACACTGCCCTCCCTGCCAATCAACACCTCCACCTCCGCTCTCCGCGTGCTCTGGCTTCGATAGCTCTTCTTCCCGCGCACAAACCAGTCCACGCTCATGATGATGGCTACAACCGCATATACGGCACTGACGTAGTTCATGTTACTCGCAGCGACTGGCATCGCGTACGGGAACGAGTACATGATGATGGTGAACACACTCCAGGCGAGCAGGACGATATTGGCGAACAGTCCGATGGGTCCCAGCCAGAAAGGGCCAGGCTTGATGGTGCTGCGGCCGCGAAGTAGTAGACAGGCAACTGGGATGGAGTATGAGATGTAGAGGAGAACTATACATGCTGTTACCATGCTAGAGGGGTGGGTCAGTCGATTTATCTGCGGGAGTCATGGGCCAAAGAGATAGCATACCTGTTGAACGCCGTATAGGAGCCTAGATATAAACAACCAACAATTGCGACAAGGAGACATGACACGGTATGCGCGTATAAGGGTACATCTGATCCAGGGTGCACACGGCTCAAATAACGATGTCCTGGCAAGCCCCTATCCCGGGCAAAACTCCAGCATAGCCGGCTCTGCCAAGTATGACTCGCAATCTCACACCCGATACCTGTAGCAATGATCAAGCTCTCGAGCACGATCGCACCTGCTTTGTTGCTCATTGCCTGGTAGAACAGCTCAAGAATCGGTACTAGCGTGGTTGTACCTGTCAGCAGTGAGAAATCGCCGACGATGCTGAAGAACATGGATATGCTGAAGAACCAGCTTGTCACGAAGCCGATGCCTACAGTGCCCATGATGGCAATTGGGATCATTTTCTCTGGTCGATGGACTTCTTCCGCCAAGTGTGTCGCACAGTCAAGGCAGGCAAAAGCCCAGTTCACGTTCACCAGACCGACAATGAACGCTATGCCGTTCTGCGACCAGCCTGTGTTGTTGATGAAGGTGGCGAAGACGAACTTGGCAGTTTGATGGGTCGGTGCAACAGCGGGCACCGTGATGAGGATCACGGCAAAGGATATGAGAGAGGTATACAGAGCCATGGATGCAACAATGGGTAGAGTCTTGCCGTAGCAATTGAAGATGTAGGCGAAAAGATTCACGCATTGGTACGCCACAAAGACATGCCAGGGGAGAATGACGCTGGACGTGTGTTAGTCGGTCTCATGGCTAATCCGGCAAGGGTGTTTTGCTTGGACGGAGTCGTACTCACAAGTCCGGATGGGACAACTGCCAGCATCCCACCAATGCACTTCCGACTGCCAGATTCACACTGGCACTCGTGAAGATACTTCCGACCCAGGCGGCCCAACCAGTCGCATAACTCGCAAAGTTCGCCCATTTCGGGCTCGCCAACTCGTTTGCCCAAAAGTATTGGCCGCCGGCATTGGGATACGCACTAGCCAACTCACTCAGACTGATGCCCACACACGTGCTGATCAGTGTAACAATAATGATGCCATAGATTGGGAGTAGTGGACCGCCTGAGTTAATTCCTGTGACAAGTGCCGCAGAGATGCCAAACCAGGAGTTTGTGAGAGAGAAACCGACGCCTAGGACGGACCATACGCTGAAGTTACGTTTCATATCTTGCGTGTAGCCCATACTAGCTAACTTGAGGGCGTCGGCGTCAAGGTAAGGCTTTTCCATGTCGACTCCGCCATCAGAACAGTTGACCAACGGAGGTGCTTGTTTGATGTTGTCCATACCGGCCTGCGCAGAGGAGGGCAGCGTCCAGAATCGTCAGATCGGTAGTAACGATGTGCATATGCAGCCCGCCAGGAGCGCGAAAATTAGGGAAGGAAGGGCTCTTTAATCGGGAGGGATGCCTTTAGTATAATAAAGCAATCCGTCTGCATAATATTAGTGAGTCTAGTGACGCCTAACGGGCACGAAGCAGACGGTTCTCCGGACAATATATGCAGCACAGCACTGCTTCCGAAGCACTCGCGACGCGCCCATTGTCTTATCTGATAACGGAAGTCGGTCCAGATTATCCCACAAGCACATCTCACCGGGAGACGTTGTATATGTCTCGCTGAGCAAGACTCAGGCTCGATGTAAGGGACCTGTATTGCAAGAAACGAAAGACCTGAAACAAGGTCTATGCATCTCTATGTCTTGACGACGAGAACTCAGAGTTGCCCCCATCAGAACACTCCGCTATCAGGTGCAGCTCAGCTGCATGCCGAGCCAGCCACCATCAGGTCTGTAGAGCTATCAAGTGGCCTGGCCGTGGTCCGATTGGACAAGTTTACCGATCGGACAATTCGAGTACGACACCGTGGTAACAGACTTGCTCTACCAGAGAAGCAAAGTATAAGGCCGGACGAAGAGGAATCCTAGCGGTAGTCTTTACACATAAAGAGGTAGTTGTGCCATTGACACGTGAAGGTACTCTCGAGATTTTAAAACCTTATACATCTTTCCAGTTATGAGACTAGTATACTAGGCACAATGTGGTTAACTCTGAGTCCAGACAAAGTAAGGTCTATGATTATTATCAACATTTTATGCCTAATATATTAATATATTAGCCTAAGTTTCTAGTAGCTACGGGTATATATATGTATATGCTAGGTGTAGAATATAACTAGAAAAGTAGTATCCAATCATAAACGAGCTTAGAATATGCCTAATGATAATGTATCAAGAAAGAATAGCCTGCACTAGAAAGGAGACGGTGATAGGATCATCTGTGTCTACTAGTGTCTGCTAGGGACTCACTCACATCTAGACCATTGTAAGAATGAGACCTTCATTACAACATGATCTTACCTTTCCTTCTAGAGCATCTACGCATGGGTCTATGCATGCCTCTCTGCCGGCAAGGCAATCTACCCTGTTACACGTGCGCTAGGTACACCATGTATCTCTAACTAAATATGGCCATGAATCTCCGCACGCACAACATCTGTTCATTTTGCCTGGGCAGCCTCGCGTCTACTACTTATCAACCCTTGGCACTAATTAGCTCGTCTTCTCACGACCCATGGCTTGAAATTCTCGCCATGAATCTACCTCCCCACTGTATCAAGCCATCGGATTTTTCAAGTACGGCCTGCATGGTACCCCAATCTGGTGAGACACGTTTGGCAGTACCATACTTCAAATGGCTAGCCCTATGACCGCTTTCAGACATACGAACAACTACTGTGTCACCCTACCAGTGGTACAAACGACACCTAGAGATGAGGCAGTCATCCCCCTTTAAGCAGAGGGCTGTACGGTTGACTGGATTGAGGGGTACAGAGACATGTTATTTCAAATTTTGTGACTTTGTGGATTTGCAGAAGAGCGAAGATTTACAGTGCCATTCCGAGAACATGTCTTTAGGGGGTTATCTTTGAGTGCGACCGACCAGGTGGGAAATGAAGCGAACCATGACAAGAGGGGAAGCGGAAGTGCGTGAAGGTACATGATGAGGTGGGTGGACATGAAAAGCGAAAACCTCCACCAATAGTATGCACACGGTGCGAGCACGAACCCAGACCTGTGTTGTACTCCGATGAACACCGGTCTGAGCACCAGTCTGATGTGTATTAGCATCAACCTGCCCAGAGAACTAGATAAGTCAAGTTTTGCGCCCGAAAGAAGGGATCCATAGCACCAGTAGCATCCTGCACTGTCTCCATGGACCTCCAATAACCATCACGACGAACCAAAGTGCCTGCGTACAGTCCAATCCATCATACTTTTCAACATATCATCATAGGTTTAAGTCAGGCATTTTCGTATCTGATGCCCAATTCTTTTCAATTTGCAGTCGCAATATCGTAACGTGAGGATCAGCGGCGGCGACAAGAACACCACCAATCGGTACCGCCTGGGTGGTATGATTGACAGGATCGCATTATTAACCTCAAACTCAGCTCAGCTTCTGATCAGGTGGATATGAGTGCTGTGGGTGTGTGGGCATCCTACCCTGTTGCGGCATATAACCATGACCGCTAGCTTGTTGCTGCTGGAGATAAGTCTGATATTGCAGATGCTGCTCCGGTGTCATATAAGCAGCGGGCATGCCTTGTTGCTGAGGCATACCGCGCGGCTGACCCTGTGGCATCTGAGCATGTGTATTGTCTTCAGGGGAGTCGACGCCTTGGTCACCGTCGACGCCGTTCGAGTCGGCGCTGGCAGGTTCGGGGGCGTTCAGGCAGGCCTGAAGACTGTTAGATATTTCCGCGACGGCGCAAGAGTAATGATGGTTAGACATACTTGAATAAGGTTCTTGCCCTCTGGCTTCGTGACTAGAGGCTGAAGTTTTGGGGTTGTGAAGGTATAGACGAGACCCGTTTCAGAGACGACGAGAAGGAGGACTTGGGTGCCGGTAAGGACAGAAAGTTCGTATGCCTGGGTGTGTTCAATTAGCAATTGGTCGTTTGGCATCTGCGGATGCGATGCGACGCGCCGAGTCGCGATGCGCGCTATGGGAAGGAAGCTGATACATACATACCTTTTTCATAATACCAGCCTTCCGTTTGGAGAAGGTGATGTGTCGACGCGATTTATCCTGTATAAACTTGATCTCAATCTTTCTTCTCTCGCGACCAGGCTTGTCATCATCGTCGTCATCGTCATCCTGGGCAGGACGAGGTCGCTTTGTTCCACGGTTGGCGTCGAGGCCGTTGCCATTGCTCACGATGGAGTCGTCAACACCAGAGGGCGACGCGTTGGGATCGTGTTCCTGAATCTCAGTCATGGTTGCTGAGCAAGAATCAAAAGAGGTTACGGTGATGTCGATTCGGGTTGCCGCTGGGCCTTACTCTTTGTGGCTGCTGAGATGTGTGGGGAGATTTCCTCTTTGGCGGAGGGCGACAGCTGCAGCGAGCGCGGGTAGAGATTTACTGGGCGGAAGCTCGGCAGCGGGACTTGCAAAGCTGGAGGTTAAGCGGAAGCAAGGAAGTGGAGAAGCAGAGATTGCAACAGGAGCAATACGCTCCGGTAGAGAAGCAGCAAATGCAAATGCAGATGCAGTTGCTGATGTTGACGCTGATGCTGAAGCTGATGCACGGTTAGAGCGGGCGATTGAAAAAGGTAAGGTGAAGAATGGATGGAAAGGGAAAGCCTTTAACGCAAAGAAGAGAGAATCATGGGGAGGTGGGAGTGGTTGGGTGGTGCAGCTGCGAGGGAAGGTACGCTAAGGGGGGGGCGCCTTGGGAAGAAAAACAGGGCGGGTGCGAACGGCGGCGCCAGAGCCAAAGGAAGGAAGGACCAGAGAAGGAAGAAGAGGGGGGGAGGGGTGAAAGGGGTGAGAAAAGGGCAAGGGAGCGAGCGTCTTGACTTCTTCAAGGGTCTTTTGGGGGGGAATTGCAGGCCGTCTTTGAAGTTTGAGGCGCCTTTGTGGGTGTGGGTGTGTGTCCTTATGCCCCCGTTATTGGGGAGAGAGAGCCTGCGACAGGCCCCAAACCACCACATCAGTCCCATCCATTCTCATTCCTCCTAGCTTAGAGCCATGAAGCCCCCAAAAGCCACCAAAGAAAGCTAGCAGAATACGCGCAACCATGTTCCAGAGATCAGCAGCAGCACAAAGTGTTGCAGCAGGCCGCAGAAGAGTGAGATGCCGATGCCGATGCTGATGCTGATGCTGACGCTGATGGATGGCTCTGTCTAGGTGTCTTCTGGAGCAGCAGCACGTACCAACAGCCCTAGCATCGCGTATAGTTGTTGTGTAATATGTATGCGCGCAAAAAAGGAAGATGGACTAGTGAAAATAGACGAAGCGCTTACCTACCTCGAGGTGTCGAGTGTCGAGTCCAAGCCTCGTGACCTGAGGATAGTCCAAGAATCCCAAGTGTCGTGGTGTCGTAGTGTTGTACTTGTTGTGGTTGTTTATGTTATTATCGTCGTCGTTGCGTTGCAGGCCGGGCAGCTACTACTGCTGGTGATGATGGACGTCGCTATTCTAGGCAAGAAGAAGCGTGAGATTGTCCTGTATGTGAGCAGATCAGAAGAGGGAAGGGGCGGACGAGAGATTCGGGGAAAGTGAGACGGTCTGACGGGGAAGGGGGCACTGGCCTGTTTTCAATTGTGAATGGCAACATGGGAAGGTGGGGGCTGTCTTTTGATTGGTCCATCTGCAGGTCTGTCTGATCTGGGGCGGCCCTGAAGGTGCTAAGGACTACGACAGGTATTGATTACAGACCTAGAGCCGCCTAGGTATGTACTAGTTAGTAGGACCTGGGTAGAGAGAGAGGTATATGATGGAAGGGGTCTGAGAAGGTCTAGGTACTACTACTCCTGCCCCCTCTCCCTATGCATACTATATATACCTACACGTGGAATCATAACATCAAAATATCGAAATAATCATACACAGCACAGAAGTAGTTATTGTTATTAGCAATGCCTGCTGTGTTGCAGCAACACAGTCTGGAGAGAGGCGGCCTATGATTGGAGCTGAGCAAGGCCATGTGATGCGCTAGAGGAGCAAGGAAGGAGCGAACTTCAAAGCGTCCTCCTCCGCCTCCCAGGTCCGCCTCTGCCTGCGACTCTAGCGGAAACAATACGCCGTAAACGGAAGGAGCAACCTTTAAAATAGCAACTCCTCGGCTGCCTTGTTTTCCAATTGTTACAGGTATATGGGTTGGATTGCCTTGCGCTGAAGCATCACCATGAAAGATCATACACTATTTCTCTTCCTACAACGTGTAAGCAGACCATACGTAACGGGATCATGAGTAATGAAAAGAAAACGTACTCAGTCTGCTAGGTACATACTACTAAGGTCTATCTAGGTAATTACCTACTACTTATCTAGCTAGCGGATGCGTATATGAGTCAGCCTCACCTAAACCTTGCTCTTACACTCTCCCGTGTGCTCAGTCAACACCTGCCTGCGTCCCGGTGGCACAGCATCAAACCTCGAAACTCATATGCACTTATCACTCAATAATCCACATCTTCTGAGATGTTCTGCTCGTCGTCTTTTGTCTCGCTCTCTCTCACTACATCTTATGCTACAGCCCACGCTGCCATTCCAGCGTCTGGGCTGCTGCGTCTTATAGCCTTATTGCTCTTCTCATTCCTAGCCGCCGCCCTTGCGTGCTGCTACTCAAGCACCAATGACAGGCATCTGTGACCGTACTGCCAACATGCCACGCTCATGAAACGCCTCTCGCGCCATGCTTTATCATCTTCACGCTTCAGACCTTTCCACATTGCCTTTATGGCCCTCAAGACTCTCTTTCCTTCCCTTTTTCTTACTGTAGTCACGCTGCTCTGCAGCTCTCCAGCGCTGTGATCTCGAACCTAATCTCTTACTTCGCCCTACGGCCTCAAGCATACACATATCATACAGGCGCAGGACGCTCTGCTGGCCAGGCTTCCTTCACTTATTCCATTTCCTTACTACAGCTTCTCGTTAGACACTTCCATGCTGCTATTGCAGGCCAACACCGCTTCGACAAGCCCCTGCGGTGCCTGAAGCTAATACCTCACTTCCACCACGATGCCTAGCAAACTGATGCTCACATACTTCGGAGTCGATCTCCTCTTTGTGGGCACAGGTGCTCTCATCTTAGGCTTCTCACTGAATTCCGAGTCTGACCGTAGAGACGAGCCCGCAGTCGACAATGTCGCGCATAAGATTCTCCTCGATCAATGTCCTCTCACCGGTATACCTTCCCGTCACCAGTCACTCCCACTTCACAAACTAATCATCACACAGCCGGAATCGTCAACGCAATCCTCATCATCTTCACTTTTCTCGTCACTCTGCCGGCGTTTTTTGTCCCCACCAACCGCTTCTGGCTCAAACTTCACGGCTGGCTCGTTGTCATCTGCGCCATCTTCACTCTCGGTCTTGGCCTCGCCATTTGGTTCGAAACACTGCGCACGCGCTCCAAGCTGTCTACAATCTGGTCCAATCAGGCCCCTCTCGTGCAGAGCCTTTTGCAGGAGCGCTTCGACTGCTGTGGCTACACAAACAGCACTGTACCGCCCTTTCTGCAGGATAACACCTGTCAAAACAGCCTGGTTGCGGCGCAGAAGGGCGGTTGTGTCAGCCCGTTTTCAGCGAATGCAAACGGTTTCCTGGATATCATTTTTACTGCGCTGTTTGGTATGGTAGGTCTGGACGTGCTTCTCATTCTCTGTGTGGCGATGGTGAATCGGTGGAGGATCGAGCAGCAGCGATACAAGCATATCGATGAGAAGAATCGCGATGGTGGTATGTGAGGCAGTTGAAGTATTAGCTCTGAAACTCACGAGAGTGGGTGCCGTGAATGAACGGAGGGCCGGTGCAGACCCCGTGACTTTTGTTAGCGCTGGCATAGGAAAGACACATGTGACTTTGAAGAGAGACCTGATCTAGTGATGAGCGAGTATGGATAGATTAAAGTACTTCTACAGTCATGATTCGTGATACATCTGCATCTTCGTGATGCTTTTTGGAGCGAAGTTCCCGCGCAAAACGCCTCGCCAATACCCCAAAGGAAAATGTGAGAATCACAAACCAAATGTACACTATACTATGTACGTGTGATACCAGGTGTTGATGTCGAGACAGTCCCATGCTCATCAGAATCTTATTACTCTCCTGCCCCTCCTCCTATCACCAACCGCATCCATTGCCCGGTCTGTCTGTGCACTGCGAAACGCTACCTCCACTCCCGGGCATTCCCGCTCGTTCATACCTTCAATGGCCAGAACACTAGGCCTGCTCCGCCCATGGGTACGCTGCCATACGATCTCATCGCAAAGTGTCTCGAATTTGGGACTCGTCTTGCCGGCCGAGCTACGATACAGCATCGCGCCACCAGGTAACCTCACAAATGCCTGCCAGCTCTCCACGACGTCAAACTTCACTTTCGGATGCACATTGCAGTCTCCGCCAGAACTCTGAGTAGAAGCGGATGCAGGCGGTGGATGATTGATACTGGACCGTGTGCCCGCGCCCCAGCCAAAGAAGCGCGTCTCGTGACAGTGCAGATAGACGGTGTCGACGCCGCGGAATGCAGAGAGAAGTGGAATGATTACGCTTTCTCGATACTTGCCCAATGGGTTCGATGCGAAACTGATGTGCAGGATCCTCAGTACTACGCTGCGCAGGCCTGGGAAGAGCGTCTCGTGGGCCTCGATACATAGTTTGAGGGCATCGTTACGAATGCTGCGGATGTAGAGTGGAATGCGGACGTCGAGATGGCGAATTGTATCGCGAAGAGATGGTGAGAGGCGCCCGGTATAGGCAGGTGCGACTAGTGATGGTGTTGGCGTAAGAGGCGTGACTGCGGTCGATTGCGGTGCGAGAACGAATGTTGAGGAGGCGTAGATCAGCATGTGGATATCCGTGTGGATGAGCCGGCATAGGAGAAGGAGGGATGACATGTCGGAAGAACCCCAGAACCGTCGGGGGTGGTCCGAAGGGGTATTGACATCGGCGGGATGAATTATGACAGTAGCCGGGCATGAAGGCGGACGGGAGTACATGTCGTCGGTGCTGGGGAGAAGAACATAGTGGAAGATAGCGAGGCGTATCTCTACCGGGAGACTCGCGAGGGAGGGCATTGGTGAGCTGTCCGACTTGTTCGTAAGACGTAGTGTTAAGGTTCACCAGTGGGTTTTCAATTCATCGGCTCATTCGTAGCTGGGGTTCCATAGTGTTTGATTTTCCTCTATGGAAGAAAGCAGTACGCAGCAGGTAGTAAGCGAAGACAGTCACGCCGATGGGCAGAGGGCAGAGGCACGGAGTTCTATATGTGCAGTTCTTGGCAGTGGTGTTTCTTCCCGGGCCCCGAGGTTAGATCAAAGAGTAGTATAGTGTAATTATATAGTAGTGTGTAGTGTAGGGGATGGATGTCGGAGTGGTCTACATGTGGCACTGGCGGGCTGCAGCTGGCTATTATTGTCATTGTCCCAACTCCCCAAGGCCAAGGATTCAATGCGCCTAGACTTGGCCGCTTCTATACCTACCCAATGCCCGTCCGACAGCATGGAGTGATGAGACAAGCCATGATAGTCAACATAGCCAGTCATAGTCATCCGACGCAGTGGAAATTTACATAGTACTTACTTGGTGAGTAAACATATATCCATACAGTGGTAGGGGTAAGATACCTTGGACGGTGCACTTAGGAACGGTCCGCTGTCTTCTCCACACCGGGTTTGTGCAAGTGTACTATATCGTATTTGTCCTAGATGCCTCTCAGTCTAAGATTGACATGTAATCACTGCCGTAATGAATGTCTCACGGCCCTTGGCATACGTGACCAGCCAAGACTCTCTTTGTTAAGTTTGTTTGTCCCGACACTGTTACTATGTTTGTCTCGGACATGACCTTCATGAGTGATGTAACTGTACAGGCAGCCGCAAAAAGGCGCACACCGTCTTGACTGCGTTGTTGTCGCTGCATTGTTCCGATAAGATCACGGTCGAACAGCCAAGAACACCAAGATAGCGGGATATCTGTGCGGTGACATACTGATTAGCTTTCCGTGGTCCAGATCAGATTGTGTAGACTTGTCAATGAATTGTGTAACGTAGGCCAGCACTGCACTGCAATCCTGAATTCGTGATCGTGGCTTGTACTGCTTGTAATGTATCTGTCTTCTCACGTGCGTCAATGGTTTTTCTGAACAGTTCCGGTCATATGCAGGCTTAGCTAAAGACATGCTTCGACATTGAGATAGGATAAGCTATCAAGCATCTTCGCATTGGTAGTCTACAAACATTTCTTTAATGATGCGTCTGAAAGTCGAGAAACCTGCCAAACACTACCTCGCCGGCGAACGCACCACCAAGAATCGACGCAAAATAGCCAACATTCATGGTCATTACTGCGAGCATGCTGTTGGTAATTAGCAATTGCAAGTTCACATTCGGGATAACTCCGTATAGGCGACTTACAGAAGATATCCAACCGCCACCATCACAGTAACCAGCACACTCCTCGGAAGATCTACACTGAATCTCCATGGCTGCACATCGTCGCTCGACTGGCTCACAACCCGCACTCTTTCTTCAACTCCATCCACGGTTAGGACCGCCTCCTTGGCATCCGAATCCATGGAGACGCGCTTCGCCGCCGTAGTGTCTGCAAGGAGATACCTCCGCTGCACGACGACACTGCGCCACTTCTTCTCGAGCACGTGCTTGAGCGTGAAAGATGCGCGATAAAGAAAGGCAAGAACGATGAGGAAGATGCATGTTCCAACATAATGGCCAGTGGAGGTAGGCATCCACATTGACGAGAAGAGTGGTGTTGTGCTGGCGGAGAAAAAGACCATGTTCATTTGCGAGGCGTTCATGCGGCCGGACATGGTAGAGGACATGTTCATGGACGACATGTCCATGTCCATATCCATATCGTCTCCGTGTCGTGGGCTCAACATGTTGACGTAGAATATCCTTCAGACAGATTCGCTGCGAAGCAGATTTGGCGGGCAGACTTTGCGCGACCAGGTAGCTGGAGTCGTAAGTCTTAGAGTTCCGAACTTGAGACACACGATCTCGTATTTTCGCCGAATTCCAGATGCAGCTTAAAAATCCACACCAGGCAGGTAACGTGAGACCAATCGGTCCGCGGTTTTAGTGTTTACAACAACGGTTTGGGGGTATCTATCGAACGAAGGTGGTCTGACACTCGAGAAGCGAGTTTACTCTTATTTGATTGAGGATGATGAATGTGATCTTGTGTGGACGCGGAGATGCTTTAAGAATTGGTCGTGCCAACAGAGAGAGAGAGAGAGAGCGAGAGAGCGAGAGAGATAGACCTGAGAGTTTTGTATAATTAGGTGTGCAGCTTTGAATTACCTGCGCATAAGAGCGTGTTTGAGCACGTTTCTCAGCCTTTGATTGGCTGTATGCTCGTGCAGAGGCGGCCTGTGACATATTAGAAGCCCACTCCACTATATTAAGTAACAGGTGCGAGGGCTCCCACGTGACCCTTGCTTGTGTTTCGATGAGGCTGTCAGTGGAATATATGTCACCAGAATGGACATGACAACTTGCTCGCTTTCAAGATTATTGGTTACAGTCGTAATTAGTAGTTAACAGCATTTGTTTGACAGTCAACCGGGCACGCGTACTCTCCAAGGCCAACCGAGCTTAGCGTTGTCTCTATCGTTTCGAGCCCACAGTAATTACACCTCCTAGAGGCATCCTTTCTTATTATGGCACTGTGGTATCAAGACTGTTGTAGGATCGGCTTCTGTATCATTGCCCTACGTCCAATCGCCATCGTCTAAAATCTTTTCACCACGCTCTACCGTCTCCATCAGGTCCTTGAGTGTCCAATCTTCATACTTATACCCAGGAACAGAATTGGTATTTTCGAACCGAGTCCCTATTAGGATGCATTTCATGCATTCATCGAAGTTGTCCACCGCATATTGCTCCGGATCGTGGTCGGAAATCCACTTTGGTATCTGACCCATCACCTTTGCGGGATCCCTCCGTATCTCGTCCCAGTCTAAATGATGAAATCGCTCTCTGTTTTTTATACCCATCTTTTGGGCAGCTGCCACACGTTCGAACCTGGCTCTGTCAGGACCCCATAGTTCACGCATGTACCTAGTGAGGTAGTCATTGCATACACTTACCTAAGCGTGATATAGACCTGTATCGCACGAGCAACGTCGGTCTTTGCTGTCATCGCCAGACACGTCGCCAAGGTGAATGCGTCCTCCATAGCCATCGTTGCTCCACTAGCTGAGGTTGGAAGGAATGTGTGCGCAGCATCACCGATCTGTACGATGCGGCCGTTGGGAGTCGACCATCTTGGATCTGGGTCTCTCCAGGTCAGCTTCCAGTCAATCACAGCATTGCTGGGTGTTTCCTGCACCAATGCTGAGAGCAGTGGCGCCCAGCCGTTCACCGCAGACTGTGCTTCCTGGATTGGAACCTGGAAATCTGCGAGATCCTCCTCCAGGTTGCCTCCTCGCTATTCCCATGTCAATAAGGACTTCTTACTACCAGGATAGGATACATGGTCGTTGCTCACATCTCGTCTTGTTAATGTCCAGAAAATCATATCCTCTGACTTTCCGACAAATGCGTGTGCATCTGCGCCGAAAAAAACATCCAGCTGGCTCTTGTCTCTCCTCCAGTGTTCCTTAAGAATAGTGTTCCGCATTGCCTCCTCAGCCTTATATGCTGCCCGATATATCGAGTATCCTGTGCTAATTGGCTCAGGGATATCTCCGACGGCTAGTCGCGACTTCGACCGCCACCCGTCAGCAGCAACAATCACATCCGCCTTCAGGACTTGCCCATCACGAAGTCGCACTGACGCGGAGTCGGGAAGGTCACAGAACTCCTCAGCAACCGCCGAGAAGCTTATAGGGATGCCGACTTCGTCAGCAACTCCTCGCAACGCGTTGTGGAAATATGCTCGCGGGATCGGCAACGCTGCACTCCCGTCGGTTGCCTGTCCAGTATGCATGGTGTCGATATGCTCCCCATCGTATTTCCAGAGTTCAAGTACAGGTTCCCAAGCTATCTTGCGTACGCGTTCTGAGAAGCCGGGCCACTTGGCTGGGGTGCGCAGAGCCGAGGGCTGTATAGCGATCATATCACCTGAAGAAGGAATCAGTCAATGTAAAATTGCAGTAGTGCGATCGCAATATCAACGAGACATACTAAGTTCTTCGAAATTCGCCCGTCGCTCTATCACTTTAACATTATGCCCCTTTCTATAGGCCTCGATCGCGAATGAAAGGCCTGCTATACCCGCGCCGGTCACAATAATGGAAAGACCTGTGTCAGGATCTCGTTCCATCGTGACCAATTTTTCTCTGGTAACCTTCGTGTCTTTCAAGGTTATAGTACTAATCAAGAACAGGAATCGACTCTTATATATTATTCCGTGTCGGCTTTTGGCGGTATTAGTGACTTAATCTCTAATTCCAGATGGCTGTACTAGTATTCTTCTCGGGTCCGAGAATACTTACAAGAACAGGCAGAACATTATATTAGCCAATTATATATGGTCGCTAGTCTTTAGTATCTAGTAATTAGTATGACAGTGTATACTTCAACTACTGTACTGAATATATATAACTATGTAACTACCTGCCTATATACTAATGCTACCTAAAACACCCAGCTAATTCGTCGCAAAGCAGTTATCGTCAAACAAGGCTCTGCAACGAGCGCTTTCTCGTATAACCACCGTTGACCCCATTCGACTCTCCGCGTGTTCTATGGAGATACCGTTAGGGTTCTTAATTGAGTTATCTATGTCGCTCGTACTTCCGATCTCATTGTTCAGTTGGTATTGGCTGAAGAGCTGATCTACCACACTGATGCATTTCAGGTGCCCGCTAGAACACGCAGCTCGAGTTTTGATGTCAAAGGCTTGATCTTGTGCTTTTGACGCCCACTCCACCAGTCGAGCCGCACCAACATCTGTGACAGCATACGCCCATGTGCATATCGGGCTTACCGATCTCATGATAGTCCTCTGACCTTCCGGTAGTCCCAGATGAGACTCTGGGGCATATATACTACGATAGTCTTTACGACTACAAACAGTCTCATCTGGCCAGCTAAGATGCTCTGGTGGATCATCCTTATTGTACCATTCGCCGCAGTGTCCAAGCCACAAGATGTCCCAGTCATCACCGTAGGGACTTATAGCGGTAGATGGTGCTTTCGTGAACTCGCGAGCTTTGATTGCAACAGTGGACATCTGACTCTTTATGTGCACGCTCCAGTCGACGTCATCCTCCAAGATCAAGGTTGTCTTGCTTCCACTCTGTATAACATGCTTCAATAAATCCAGGTGTGCGATCCAGGCTTTCGCGGACCCGTATGGTGGCTTCCTGACATCATCCGGGCCATCCTCCATGAAGAAGTGGACCATGTTTTCCCCGATGAACGGCTGTGGAGGGATGACAATATCTATACCGGTCAAATTGGCCGCGGCGTGGAGTCCATGAATTCGCCATTCTGTGCCCCGTGAGAGTGCAAGAATCTGTTCAAACTATACAACCGTTAATATGAATGGATTTCAATCTGATATTTGAAAAACCCGTACGCCTAATGTTGAGTTCTGAGCAGCGTCCAGGCTCCCTAGCTTATCCTTGATGTGTCTGGACCAGCCAGTTAATTCTCCCGCGTGTGTCCACTGGCCATGAGATACGGAAGTGGCGATTAAAACCAGGATAATGACGAAGATGGCGAGTCCCCATACGGATCTTCTGGTGAACACGGTCTTGAATAGCATCGAAGAGACTAGAGAGCCAGCTTATAGTCATGTGTGCCTTTCGAAAACCCGAAAATTTGCAAAAGATAGAGAATGACCGTAGTCAACTCTAAGACTGGGAAGTTAGAGCAATGGTAACACATCATAATAACCATACTACTACGTATATTATATATATGGCTCCAGAGAAAACGAGATTAGCCATACGTGCGCGAGGGATAAACTAGAAGTATTAATAGAGGCTTGCTGAAACAGGAATCGCGTCACCTCTTGGATTTCATTTGTGGGTCATGTTACCCCCTGTATTCCATACGTGGGTCACGTCACCGCTTAAGTATCATTGGTTATGATTCTGCGAAGGGCATAGTACAGGTAGAATTCGGAAGGAATCATAAACAGTCACACATCTCTAGCAACAGTAGCCCATTTGAGATCCGTCCGTAACCTTTTTAGCGCAACTCTTAGCACATATTATACACGCGATACACGTTAGTTAACATACCTACTAAGTTAACGTACCTACTAATGAGCCAACCTACTAATAAGCTAACCTACTAATAAGCCAACCTACTAATAAGCTAACCTACTAATAAGCTAACCTACTAATAAGCTAATCTACTAATAAGCCAACCTACTAATAAATCATGTAATTAAGTATAACTCTAAACGTCTATATTAATAACTATATACTTAAACTAGAGGGAATTTATATAAATAAGCCTTATATATCTTCTTATTATAGACTTTAGCTTTATCTTATCTCTAGTATTATATAATAGAGCCGGGATAGATAAGACTTAGATAGAGATATTACGTAATCTTACTTAAAACTATACTTAAGCTAGAGTCTCTATAGATTTATCTCTACTTCTTAAGTTAAATAATAATATATCTTAACTACTATTATAGTAATATCTATTATATCTAGAAACTTCTTTATACTCTAAGAGACTAAAACTAGTTAATTTAGAGTAATATAGTAATCTATATATATTAATTAATAAAGTATACTAAGTATAATAATCTCTAATATATATATATATATATATATATATAGTATATAGAATATAATAATACTAATATATAGAGATACTATATATATATACTTAAAAACTCTTTAGAGATATAAGTATAGACTATTATTAGTAAATACTAATATACTAACTCTCTTTTATTAGTTAAGGGTAACTCTTAACTAATAACTATAGAGACCTTAGATACTAATATACTCTAGTTTCTACTAGATATATCTCTAATACTAGTATAGTAGAAATAGCTATATAATAGAATATTCTAGAATAATTAAATCTCTATCTAAAAGACTATAAATAACTAAAAATATAAAATACTATAGATAAAGAAGATAGAGGGGACCCTAGTTAGAGATACTCTTCTAGATAAAATTAATTATTAAATAATATATATAGAGAGAGATTAAGAAAGAAAAGACTATCTTTCTTAATATCTTCTAGAGTCTAGTCTAGAATATTAAAGAGCTTACTATAGAAATAGAATAGATACTAGAAATAAGTCTAGAATCTAGATTAAACTAGATTAAGACTAGTCTACTATTATTAGAATCTAGCCTTAGATATAACTATATCTATATATACCTTAGCTAACTTAGTTAGAAGGTAGTATAATAGATAGTAAATAGTTATATACTAAATAGATTAGCGTCTCTTTATATATATACTCTTAGATTTCTACTAAAAGAGTTTAGTAGTAATTTATTCTATAATAGAATATACTCTATTATTCTATCTAACTATACTACTATCTAATAACCCTATTCTTATATTTAAATTACTCTCTATATAGTACTATAGTTAAGATAGTCTAACTAGAACTAAGAAGATTAATATAATCTACTATAGAGATAAGTAATACTATATTAAATAATAGAGATTCTCTATAATTAGTATTAATTCTAGCTATTTCTAACTAAGAAGTAGAGATATTAGACTAAATTATAGAGCTTTTAGATAAAGAAATAGTAGATATACTAAGTAACTTCTAATAATATAAAGCTAGATAATAAGTTATAGTAGAGCTATATAAGGTATTATAATAAACTATTACTAAACTATAGAAGTATAATAATAATAATAATAATAATAATAATAATAATAATATTATATAACTAGGTAGAGTAGTACTCTATAGGCCTATGCCTTCTCTAGTCTAAGCCACTATATAAGAAGAAACCCTATAGGGAAAAACTTCCTTATATCTATAACTATATCTCGTTAAACCTCTATTTCGTCTTAAGTATATAGCTATAGGGTACGCCTATTAGCCTATAGCCTATATTACTATTATTTTACCCTTAGATAGCACGTATAGGTGCGGAGGTTATTAGTTAAGGGCTGCCCTTAACTAATAATCGGGGTTCTCCCGGGGTTCTTCCGGTATATATCGGGTTACTACTAGCATATACCGGGTCTCTTCTAGTATATATTTCCGGGTCTACTAGTACTAGAGGAGTAGTAGATATATAAGTATCTATTAGGAGACGTCCTTAGAGTACTTATTAAGCTATTATATAATATCTAAAGTCTTCGTAACGTGGATAAGCCATTACTATTATATATAGAGGTTAGGGTATATAGCTAGATAGTGGCGTATTATACCTCTCCGGCTACACGTCTTATACTATAGGGAGATGTTGGGAACGTGTCTCTTATAGATATAGTATAGGAGTCCTATGGCGCCCGTTCGGGCTTAGATAAGTATAGATACTTAGGCTTTCGTTAGCCCTTTATACATCTATTTACTCGGTTCCTTCTATAGCCCTTAAATCTACTCTAGATATCTATTCTACTAGGAGGTCTAGTGGGCATAGAGTGCCTCTTTCTACTTATCTTAAGTCTACGACCGTATATTTTTTATAAGTTCTTAAAGGCTCTACTAGTCTAGAAGAGCGTCTAGGTTATCTCGGACTTCTTATACTACTTAGCTAGAGTCGGCTTCTATTAAGCATCTATACCGTATTTAATTCCGGCCTATATATAGAAGTATACGGTAATATATACTAATTCGTGCGCGTAGCGCGGTAAAAGTATATTCTACGTTTTCTATACGTTCCTATACTTATTATTTAGTAAAGTATACTACCCTCTATATCTAGTAGAAGTTATATATACTTATAACGTCTATCTCGCGTCGTAGTAGTACTATATTAGTAGCTTTATATACGTCTAATATAAGACGGAGTATACGGTTCTATATGGATTTAAGCTTTATTCGCCTAGTCTATATAAGGGCCGTATACTAGCACTCGTATCCGTATATAAAGGCGGGTCGTACTATAGATATATATAGCTAGCGTGCCTTATCCCGGGCGGTTCCCTATATAGAGACTATAATCCGTTATATAGCGGCTTCTATCTAGAGGGCCCTAGAGACGGCGTATACCACTTATAGTCCCTATTTAAGCTTACTATCTAGTATAACTCCGAGCGTACGTATACTTTATACTAGTAGTTCGTTAAATACGTCGATTTAGAGGCGTCGTTCGCCTTCCCTAGTTATCTATTTCCCTTAATAATTAATAAAGTGCATGAGCTGGTATTTCTCTAGGGCGAACTTTACTCCGTGGCGTTTTACCTACTAGAGGCACCTCTTATAGTTCTATTCTAGTTATCTATACGTTCGGTTAGTATTATTATTAATAGCTAGGAGGTATATATTATCGGCGTATCTAACTACCTCTATATACTTTATTTCTTAAAGAAGGTCTACCGTAAAGAAGAGGAATAGAATCGGAGAGATAGTGCTCCCTTATAGGATGCCGTATACTATCTCTTTATATTCGCTCTAGTATCTAGGGATATATATCTAAGTTATTCTTTCTATAAGGAATAACTATATAAAGCGTATAATCTATTCTAGTATTCGTCTTATCCGGAGGTTATAAATAAGTCTTATATAGTTTATCTTATTAAACGCTCTAGCTATATTAAGGAAGAGGAGCGATACTACCCGTCCCTGTTTCTATACGGCCTAGACGACTTTAATAATATATTAGATAGCTATTATTAGAGAGCTATCTACTTTTACCTTCTAGTTCGGAGGGAGGAGATTATATTTCTATGCCGCGGTATTTATCTTCTTTACTATTATAGCCTCTAGTATCTTACCTAGGTAGAAGAGAAGGGCGATTAGTCTCTATCCCTTTAGGGAGTTAGGGCTCTTTCCTAGTTTCGGGAGTATAATAGTATAGGTAACTTAGAAGCTCTAGGGGTAGTACCCCCGCGTAACGCATGCTTAGAATATATAAGTAATAAGCGGTAGGGTCGCTTTTATAGTGCTTTTTAGATATTAATTTAGTATTCTATCTAGTCCGGGTGCTTTATCATTTAGGAGTATCTTAATAATATTAAGTATATCCTTCTCTATAACTTCTTTAGGGATGTCTACCGCGTATAGATATTCGGCGCCGTGAACGTCTAATAGGTCTACTAGTTCCGGGAGAGGGAATATAGCCTTCCGTAGGGCCTTAGTTTTCTTAAGGCCCGTGGAGTATATTCTCCTCTAATATATTAGGGGAGGTATAAGTAGTAGAGGTGTTAGAGTGTCTACGCCCTTAGCCTATTTCGCTATACGCCATAGCCCTATTATATATCGTGTCTATTAACTAGTAATTATACGCTACTATTTACGCCTTTTATTATAGAGGATACTATCACGTTATTATATCGCTTCCTTCTATTCTTTCTACGACTCGGGTCTTTTTATATAGTATATACGTCTATATAGTCTTTAGGTGTCTTATCTACTTTCCCGTACTTAAGGAATCCCCTTTACTTCCGGGGGCCGGTATATTTAGTATAGTACGTGTTTATTTCTCGTATTCTAGTATATTTATAGAAGTGTCTATACGGCCTAGTCTATAGCTAGGTTATTAGATATATCGACTATAGAGGGATCTAGAATCGCCGATTCCAGGTCCTTTAGGTACTTTTCCTAGTTAGTGTCCTTCTATATCTATTATCCCCGTTATTTATTCGGGGTATATACGTTTATTATAGTTTCTATATATTTATAGTCGGAATCCGTCTATACCTAGCCTAGGCGGTAGTATTAGATCCGGTAACTAATGTACTCCGTAGCGAAGGTAAGGTTAAGCGTAGACCCGTCTTCGTTCCATTTATATTTTTTCTATATAACTTATTCTATAGGTATAAGTAGATATAGAAAGTCG